TGGAACAATCGTGGCTGCAAGGTGAGCTCCAAGGCCAATGAGAGGGCTTATTTCTAGCCACTTTGCTGTATTCCTGCCGCAATTCATTTTTGAGGGGATATAAATGGGTATAATACTGTTCCACTTTGCTCAGTCTTGGCGCCTTTTACATACAAAAATCCGCAACTTCAAACTCTTATAACTTTTTAACTAAAGTAGATATCAAAAATCTGGAAATAAAAACTAACTTTCATCACTAGTACTACACTTTTTATTTATAGACTTTTTTTGATTTTTTTTTTGGTAAAGTTATAAGCCCTCGAATTTTCGCCCGATTCTCGTCACCTTTAAGAGTGGGCGCACCATATATGTTTCTAGTGTATATGATTATAATCATTATATCACGTATATCACGTATATCACGTGCACATGTGCATGTATGTATTTATATACTATAATCAATGATCTTCGACAAGATACATGTGCTTGAACCGTAGGACCATGACTAGACCATGACGTAGCGTGTAGGCTTGACTCTTAAATGTTTGGCTTTCCAAAGCCCATCAACAGTTCCATAAGTACGTGTGTTCTATAGATCTATAGATCTAGCTAGTCACGATTCTTGTCGATGGTTGGGCGGCGTATATGTGTTACGTAAGCTGAACCATGTGCGGGCACAGTTAGGTAGAGTAGGTACTCGTATTTCTCTGACGTTTGTGGACGCGACTGATATTGCATGCCATACAAAAATACGCCAAGCTCATGATTTTGGGTGTATGCAATAATGGCCCAGTTCAAAAACGTCAGAGAAATACTAGTACTTGTACGTACATATACTTGCATGTAAAGGGGTGTGCACTTTATGCATCATGTACATGTATGTATAAAAGAAATAGGCAGAAAATTAAGAGCCTCAAGCCTTGGCGAGTAAGTGCACGACGATACATGTATTCACTGGTTACACACATCATGTGTTAGCAATTTTCATAGAAAAAAAAACTAAACGACGTAGAAGCCACTGTTGCCTAAATATACAAGATAGCGTATAATCACACGTTACATGTTTGAATACCTGATCCTTAGATCTGTGTCAAACCGGATACATGTATGTCAGGCTTATGGCCAACCACACCATGCAGTTATCGGGCTAGCTATAGACTAGCATGGCCCACATGGCCAGATGTATTGCACTCAACGTACTTGCTTACCAGCATATGAACCAGAAAATGCGAGTTCGAGAGTCAAGGATTATTTGTATGGAGTGGCGCGGATCTGCCGTACAAAATAGACATTTGCGTTTTCTGGTTCATATGCTTGTAAGCAAGTACTTTGCGCCTTTAGCCTCTCTAATAACTACAATGCACATTATCTACATGTAGTGCTTTAGTATCGTAAAGGTAAGCCAGGTATATATCAGCAAAGCTAAGTAATATACACATTAGGTATGATGTTTATCTACAGTTGCTGTAGTTAATTTATGTAGGTACATTGATACAACAATATGATCAGGTTCCGCTCTAGACTGTAAGTTTACATCGCTATCATAAGACTTAATTGTATAATAGTATCGTTGGACATGACAAAGCGGCCGGATTTTGTACCGTTGCTCTAGCTAGGGGCTTCGGCTGTAACGTGGTTTATGTCCTATTTAAGCAAGTCACAGTATTGAAACCTTGCTTACATTTAGGGCTTGGTTGAGACATTTTATACGTATATACGTAACGGTGCGTCCGAGATATATGGCCCCTCTTTCGCACTTAAAGTGTATTCACCTGCTTGGGGGGCTTAGTGGTGGGGGTCTTGTACACTAGAGTACTCTAGAAGCACTCCTCAAGGTTCTGCATGGAGGGCCCAGTAGTATTATCTCAAGAGCATGCGCTTCCAATACTAATCTTCACTCATAAATCATACATGTTTTCTAGTACAAGAAATAGCGCGATTGATCCGCCTGGCATACATCATTATGCACTGTGTACTTTTCGGAAATACCTGCAGCTTTGTGCCGTTCTCTGTGATAAGGCATACCTAATGTTGGTGGGAAGTGTTCCAGAATTTGCTTGCATTATAACCAGACAAATCTAGAATATGGCTGAAGTTTACAAATTGAGATCCATAGGTTATCACTCGTTATTTGACGCTGCTGGCCGTGTCTAGGCAAATGATGTTGTTAACACATGTACACAAGAAACTCGAATTATACGTTTAGCATTTATTTATTTCCTAATGTATTTCTTTTCCTTAATTAATCTTAATGTATACGTATCATTTGTCTAAACCACTCGCTATGTGATACTCTAGAGCTTTCATGATCACACAGCTCCTCAGCGTTCTCAGGATAGATATAGGACAAACTCCAGAACTCACAATATATTTATCGTTAAGTGGGGACACAAGGCGGCATGGTCACCCGATCTCTCATGATAGAAAATCACAAATCCCACGCACGACCTATACTTTCCGGAACCCCTGGACTGTGGATACTATTGAGGTACGTACTTGCTAGAAGCACAGTGATCAATGTGTGTATAGGGTAAAAAAAAAAGAATAAAAAAAAAAGAATGATATTTGTCGTAGGGTGCCTTCTATACGATCGATGTAGGTATACATGAAGAAGCAAAACATTTGATCATGCTTTTTAGACTGAGTGTTAAAATGCACGTTAGATTACTTTGTAGTACTATATATACGTAGTGATGACTATAACTGTCTGAGCGATATTATAATTATAAATCTTGTAAAGTTTTAGGATCTATAATGTGCGAAGTAAATCAGAATGAAGGTTTCGTCTCCAGCCCGGGAGTTAGAATGAATAAGTACATGTAGTTGGCGCGCGCGCAAAATTTGAAAAGTGGAGAAGTTCCAACACGTCAATTTCAGGCTGCCTCACATTTTTTGCAATTGTCTGAGCTTCTTTTGTCCAATCGACTTTGCCTGTATTGCTTCTCAACTTTGAGCATGGAAGCGATAATCAGGTGGCGGGATGCGGGTTGATTCTAATTCAGTTATGTATTAGATTGGTGAAACAAGGCACATGAGCACATGTACTCTACTCGATAAAACTCAGGAAGTAAGCTAGTGCGAAAACACGAGAGTTCTCTCATATCTCATATAAAGAGTCTGCTGTCGATCTCTCATAAGGCAGTCGGGAGCGGTAGTCAAATTTAATTTCAGGCGGCCCATGGGCAGCACAGCTACATAATACAGACTGCACTGATCTCTGCGGCCGCGAGATGTCCACGGGTACGCAGGGGAGGTAACACATATTTCTTATCTCGATGATTCTCGCGTTCTCCTTGATCGGTTTTCTGGCCAGCTGGCCATGGATCCACACTAGGTTCATCGGGTTCGAATTAAGCTTGATCAATTGATCGAGGCGGCTTGAATGCCAAGGTTATTTCATAACAAACTTGTAACTACATGTAGATTCTGAAGGTAGGGGTCCCAGATGATATATAATTTTCCATTTCGAAGCCATTTCTGCAGGTGTTGGAATACAGCAATATCATCACTAGACTATTGTATTTACGATAGTCTACTATATATATACATATGTATATACCACGTGTCCTTGCGCATTATATTACATACATGTACATGCACATGTATATATCTATCAACTATGATGTGTGTATCATAATTAGCTATATAACCTTAGGAAAAGATAAGCCTGCCATAAGCGTATGATATTGACAAACATCGCGCGTTTATTTGAAAACAGCGAGTAGCCATACTACATGTGTATAAACCAGGAACAATATGTGTAGGTTCTAAGCCTTCCAAGTTAAGCAAGCCAGTTGCAAGTATAGAGGACTCGATTCATTGCCAAACTTTTGCGGAATATGTGGAAAAAACTTCTCATTATCTTCAGAACTTACAGCATCGACTCAATTTCGCTATTCTCCTCTTTCTAGGCTTGGTATAGAGTACATTATATAAAAATAGTCATGATGTACGCTATGAAATCACGAAAACAAAAGGAAAAATATTGTTCTGCTCTTACATACCTTTGTCAGCTGTATTTTTGCGTCTATGTTACCCTAGTACTATATTATTCGAGAAAAAAAAAAGAAAAAATTTAAACTCAATCAACTATGTATCTTGATTAACAACACCAGAATATATCTTTTGTCGAATTTGGAGAAGCATGCATTTAGCAGTGCCGATCGGAGCAGGTCAAAGCTTGGACTTGAGGCCATCAGGTAACTCCTAATCTATCCTAAGCAGCGAGTCAAAGCTGCAGTAGAGACAATTTTCGGTTTGATATCATGCTAGATATTTCTGACAAATGCTATATCGTATCGTGAAAATTTCCACGTGATACATTGACCCTAGGCCTATGCGTTTGGTCCTCATCGTAGTATGTACCTATCAGCTTAACAAGTTAGTTCCAAGCCACTTTAAGAAATGAAATGTTTAAAGTTGAGGGACTCGTCTATATTAAAATATGAGAGACGTGGCTTATCTGCGTGTGATTTCACGACATTGTATAAGCGATTTGTAACACAGTATTAAAATGAAAACGCGGGGCAGTATACGGATGCACAACAATCGGACGTTAGGTCGATTGAGGGGAGACGATAAAGAGATCAGAAATCCCACCGTAGTACGAACGTAAACCGCAAGTGGTCTACCTATTCCCAGAAGTCAGAATTATATCGCATTAATACTCAAGGTCGGATGCATACGGCCCCAAGTTCTTACAACGAAAGACATTTTAAGTAGAGTAGAAAATTGGCACTTCTACCTGCACCAATTCCCCGCCATGGAAAGTGGCGTTGTTCAACATAAGATTCACGGCCAATTCGTCTACCGATAATAGGAATAGCAAGCGGAAGATCGACAAAAATGTGAGCGCCTACGCAGCGTTAGTTTCACCAACCCGCTTAAAGATCCTCGCATCCGGTTAATGTAGAGATTGTCTGTTAGTAGAAGAGGCGATGACAGCTGATATAATTATAAGATTGTCCCCGCGCACTGCATTGGGGACCACCCAGGTTGATGGGTTGAAAATCAACCGCCGGTCATTCAGCGCACTGCTTCTGCCTGACATCCTTAAGCTTTGCTTGCGATTCTTTCTTCAAAGCTGGAACTGTGGGTTTAGGGTGATCTTATGTCCAACCCGTACAAGGCTCTGGCATTAAGTGAATGAACTAAATGGGGTGTTGACTGGTGAGGATCCGTTCACTCACTTAATCCCAGAGCCTTGTATGCATCGTATGACATAAAATTGAAGGGCAAAGGTACGTTGGTACGTTCGAAAATCCTTTTATGCTGTTGTAGTAAATTAGGAATATGGGGGCTTTATAGAGCCCAAAGATGAGTATGAAGGCTGCATATACGGACCTTAATAACAAAGAAACTAAATGTTGGATCTATATATAACGATTGAACGGTTTCTAAGTTACAACAAATATCAGCTAGGTACTCTTTTAAGCCCAACAGGATACCAGTGTAAATGCTTACCTACTAGCTAGTGTCAACTACTAACAGGCGATATATCGCAACATCAAACCGAGGCAATCGTCATGGCCATGGGCGATGTCTTGAGAATGTCATACAGCGGGCGGCATATTCTTCAACCGCCAAAGAGCAAACATTAGCACTGAGAGCAGATATCGAAACTTAGCAATGCTATTGAGAGTTTTTCCAGCTGCTACACCAAAGGTTTTCTGTTAAGAATGTCGTATCAACTGTAATGGGACTTGCATAAAACTCCCATAATACACCAGACTCGAGGGCTATTCCGCTGAAATAAAAGTCTAATCGCAGTTCTTCTGTGCTCGAGTAAGAGGTAAAAATTAACCAAACCTACACAACATCAGCAATCGGCAGATAAAGACTGACACAGGTTATGTCTAAACACCTGATCCATGCTTCAAACCTCGTGTTCGCGGTTCCAAAGATGTCAGGTCTAAAGGTCAGCAGATCAAATATCGCGACGTCATGGTTCACAAGAAGTAACCTTGGGGCTGTCGAGAATTTGTCAAAAGGTCCAATCGGAAGGGACCGAAGACGATCCACGAAATCCCCCTACTCATTATTCTGAACAATGTCTGGCCATCTTTTTCGTCTATACCTGAACATTTGGAAATGACAAGTCTCGCCAAGATGAACTAGATCCTCAGAAACTCACACATGTCAATTCAAGTGCGTTAGGCTGAAGGACGTTGGGTCTGGAGAGCTCAGGGGATTTGGTATGTGCCAAAATGGCATCTTACCGGGGTCATCAAGAACGTAGGTACCATCTGGATCCTATCGCGAAAGATCCAATTTCGGGCCTAGGCCCGGGTAGTATGTGGCTGAAACGTGATGTCTCTCCATTCATGATACAAGTGTGGTGTGGACAGCACTGCCGGTTGGATTGGATATCATATCAGTTTAGGCGATACCGTTTTAACAATCTTCGAAAACCCCATCTTATTTGAAAACCTATAAGGCAGCAAACTGGTTTAATCAACGATCGACTAAATGGCAAATTACCAAGAATTTTTGTGGTAATTATTTTTTGTTCGTACAGCCTTACTTGAGTAGTTGCGTACTTTTGCGAGGGCTTTCTTTGTTCTGTTCTGTGGAGAACAAATGCAAAGACTAGCCTCGATAGCGTTTATTTTTGATGCTACTTCGGGCCTAGGTATTTTTTTCATAGGAATACTATACAACTTTAAAGGTCAGTTCATATGGACGGCCAGGTTAAGGAGAGTATGCAGCCATCATCCTCATCGCCTAAAACATAATGTTGTCGTCGATTAGAGTAGGGAACTATTTGGAAGCTTGTGGACGAAATAAATCTCATAAACTAAGCAAAGTATTACCGCTTTTAGTTCATGAAACTAGCCGGATTCAAGGCTTAAGGGATTTATTGGGGCTTATAGGTACTTAGTTTTAGCTTTGTACCAGCACCGGTGCGGGATGGAGACGAGTCTACCTATGATTAGCCATACTCTTCATGAATCGAGTATGTGTCCTTGAATCTTCGATAGAGTAGCAAGAAGGATATGAGGGCTCCATACATCTATCAAGTAGGTGGGCTGTAAGATATTACTACCGTGGATAACTTGCGTTCTTCAACTAACATTCGTTCCATATGGTTAACGTAGGCGCTCTGGATGGTTTTGGTGGCCGGACCCGACGGACCTGAGCAGCCATTTCGCCATCCCTCTTATCTAGTAGGTTTTCATGAACGTTTATAAGATATATCGATGATGATGATAACGAAGAAAAGTGAGATCGGCTTTGGAGCCTGGTGCCGATCACTCCATCGAGTGCTTGGGGCTAGATTCACAAGAGACGGGGTCCTTCGTTGCGGTGGTTTTAGGGGATTCGTCTGAGGTAGCATGAACTAGATATGGATCTAGTTAGATAATTTAGTGAGGAAATGTGGAGAGTGTGGAGGGCGAGATATTTTTGACTCTGAATCATGAAGTCAGGAAAGCGTACCTAGCTATCACGTGTCCTTAAGGAGTACGGAAAGCCAAAATGGGTTATAATATCACTGACCAAGATGTAGCGGACCAAGGTTGGTTTCGATCAAGATTAGAGATTACGCCATGGTATCGCTCTAACCCTAAAGACTAGGCTGGGTTCTCCGGTTTCAAACCTTTGGTATAGAGTGAAGTATGTAAGGCAGATATGATTCTAAGTTAAGTACGTCGAGAGTTCATCGTTTAAACATAATAATACGTACCACTAGCATTTCAGACCTATTGACATACACATGTACATAAGATGCATGCAGGAAGACAGTAAATCTGTTGAAAAAGGAGAAGGAGACTCGAAAACTCCAGATGCGATCGCGAACGGCCCTAAATCATAGGTCTCTATAGGCCTTAGCCTAAGCAAAGAGGAGCTAGCAGATACCCGTGAATGAAGGCCGATCGATCCATGATATGGCGGGTGATTAATTCTCGATTCTTTTTAAAGAATTGATGATAGATTTTGAAAAGCCGAAAAATTTGACCTCGCTATCCCACAACAGATCAAAAGAATACAAGGCCTTTCTTCCCTGGTAGCATGAATGATCTACAACACGTTAGATCTTTACATCCAACAACTATATGGTAATTGTGTTTTGTTATTGTGGGCCTGGGGCTGAAGCTGCTTTCCTATCCCAAAGCTTTTGTTAGTATGTACATGTATAGGCTATATATATGTATCTGAACTGATTAATTAAGTTAATGGAACTCCAGCGACCCAACCTATCAAAAGAATCGTACACCCAAATCTAAACCAGCAAACAATCGATCCGGTTCTTAACCACAATACCAACAATATAACGTACGAAGAGTTGATAATGCATACCTGTTATCGTAACTAATGATTATAGTAGTTGTACTATCTCGACCATTCAGAATTATCCTTAAGTTAGATTTGTGAGTAAATCCAGGGCAGACTGTCTTGAGCTTATAAGAACTCCGGGCCCTGTAGCCCAGCTGTAGATAGGAAATTTATTGAGACAACGATTATAAATTGACTTAGGTAAACCTTAAGTAGAAGCTGGAATAATCGGTCCACGTCCAAGTGGTCAGCATTTCTGTGACATTTACGGACTCAATCTTTCACTACTTCACGTCAAAATGGCGGCCTACAGCCAAAGGAGTTTAGTAATGAGAGGAATTTGACTTTAGTAATGTCTAATACTCGTGATGGTAAAGTAGTTAGTATACAATTCTCAAAGTTTAAGCCATGAGATCTGTTCCTGGATTCTTGTACTGGGACCCCACCATAATCCGCAACAATACCAGCTAGAAAATCTTTAGCTATCATAAAGCCACGATGATATCTCCTTATAATTTAAACGGCTTGAAGTTTGCAGCGCTGGTACTGGAATCTGTACTCCACACAACTTTATGGGGCCGAACCCTTCATCCATTTAGCTTGAATACGACCATATCGCTTTGCTTAAAGCTACTAAACGTAGTTCTAGAGAACTTACAGGAACCTAAGCTGATGTTTCATGGCTGTGAGAAATTAATCAGAGGTCGGGATGATGTCAGGTTGAAAAGAGGTTATCAAGCTCGATAAAACCTAGAATGTGTTGAAATTTCAACGTGTTGAAGCGATAAACTGGAGTTTGGTCATGAGGAGAATGGCGAGAGGAGGGGCTAATCGATCCTGGCCGTACGTGTAGTACATGCATACATGTACATACATATATTCTAGTGTACTGTGGCAGCTTGCTGCAAGTAACGGGCTGGGTACGAGACTAAGTTTGGTCATCTTAGGAATTGTGTACATACATGTATGTACATGTAGGTACTACACTTAGGCACAGAGAAGTACTGTCTCTACCTAGCCCTAGTGACCAAACTTATGTACACATTAAGTTATCAATTGTAAATGTAACCTACATGTATGTAGAGTATTACATGTATGTAGGTACTCTACTCTAGCTGGTTCCTGCACTACGCAATCAGATGATTTCAAAGACCCTCGAAAAAAACAAAAAAAACAGATGCAATGAGAGGGACTCGTCACTTTCTCGGATAATTATCCCTGCGCTATGAGATAAAATCTGTAATTCGTCCACATAGCCGGTCGCAGTGACTTTTAATAAGCCAATAGTATTTTGGGCGTGAAAACCTACAATATGTACTTACATGTACGGTACATGTTAAACGGGTGCTAGATCAGACTAAATGAAGAAGTACATGTAGACAAATGTCTAATGAAATGAGATAAAATAACCCTCATATATATATATATGATCATGTGTACTCGATCGTCGGAAATTTTAGTAAGCATTTGGTTGCAACGATATCCGACCATTTAATTAACGCGCGAGTAAGCCTCTCGCGAATTAAATACTACTTGTGCCTATGTATAAATTACAGTATGTATGTGGATAGTGACATGTACCTACATTTTGTCTGCTCTGTAGTTCCACCGCCAGGTACATGTACATGTATCTAAGCAAGATTGTTGCCCAGGCAATTCAATAATGCTTACATATACATATTAAGCTGATTATAATTGTATACATACATACATGTATATGTATATACATACATGTAGTCTCGTATCCATCACCATGAGCAGCTAATCCTACATGTAGTACTAGGTAGCTGCATGTGGGTGTAGGTTACGTACATGTATGTACTTTAAAGCTAAATATTGCATACATGTAACTTCGCCTCAAGACAGGTACCTATGTAAGAAAGAGCTAAATGACCAGCTGATGCTGATAAGCTCTGCAGTGCATGATCTACACGTAGAATAACTTCAATTAACTCTAGCGCGCTTGCAGCTCAATTTTCTAGGTTCCTCTTGCCCCGCGAATACTGAGCTAGCTAGCTATGGCGCGATATATATATCCAATTCGACAATTATGTGTGCATATAGTTCCAAACCTCACAGTATGATTAAAAAGATCTCCAAGGTATATCTCATTAACCTTGATCCCTTGGCCCGTCAGGCTCAACCTCAACTCTGCCCACGTTTGGTATCCAGCCGGACGGACTTGAGTAAGTAGATATATATGTACGTACTAGGCTGGAGAGTCAGGCTTGGTAAATTTAGCATACATCATTATCAGGCTAGTATACCGCTGAGATGAATTAGTCGATCGGTATTATATAGTTAGACTCAGCAAGAATTACTGAAGTCAATACGCAGAAGGCTTTGATCTTTCCCTCTAGTTTAGAATACTCGTGAATTGAAGAAATCTTCCATCATTTAATTATAAGATCTGGATGCCCCACCATGCGTACGGCGCCGGTGGCCATCTATTACGGGTATAGGTACATATATAATTTAGTAGCTAGAATATATATCGTGAGTGACTTTAAATTTCATATCCCGACTTCTGTATAGAGTTTGAGTAAGACTATTCTGATTAAGCCTGCCGGTTTAAGGTACATGGGAATCAACTCTAACTTCTATAGGATGGCTTTCGAACGTCCTGGAAGCTTATAATTAAGGGTTAGGCCATAACATGTAAGTTGAATATATTGCAATTAGTTGAAAGCTGCATGCATGTACGAGTGGACCCCGATAGTATACCAACATTCTCGATAGTAGCATATCCTCGATAGTAGCATATATCTACATGTAGTACGTTGGTCAACCCCGAACAAGTCTGTCAGGTAAATTTGTTCTCGAGTCTCGACACAATTGCAAGCATACATGTACCTACTAGCAAAGGTGCAAAGTCCTCGCGCCACGTGTAGGCTATTTTCTAGCATCATGATCGATGAGACTTTGCGTCTTTGCTAGTAGATATATATATGTATATATTCTCAATCCGGAGTACTATACTGTATCATAATTAATTACAGTAACTACATGGTGGTTAAGCCATGGTGGCTGAGTGACAAGCCACACTGCCTAATTGCTGTGGCTTGAGCACAACCGTGGCTGTCTCATACGCGTAGTACGTGCAGCACGCGCTTGCAGGGCCAGGTGGTTAACGAGCAACCTGGGACGTACATGTATCTTGTTTGTTGATAGTTACATACCTACACCCTGAGCTGTCACTTTGTTGATCTCTCATAGAAGGTTCCTCTAACGCTTCCAAACACCTTCTATTAAAGCCCGCCCCCAGCTAGCATTGAACAGAGAAGCGCGGATTAAATTGAATTCATCCCGACATTGTGAGTTTCTCCACCGCGAAATAAAGTCTTTTTGATTGATCTTTTTTATACTCCTGTTTTTTTTGTACTCTATCCGTTGCACATGAGATCTTTGTTTGTTCTTTCTCCTTATCATATCCTTTCTTAAGCTGACATCACCGATCAAGTGCCCAGCATTCTATAACGACTTCACTTAACTTGTAACCCCCAATCCCGCCACAAATCTTAGCTCCTGCCATAAAACCCTCTTTACTGCCCCCATCCTAGACTCAGCCCCCACTACAACAATGGCTACCATCTCCAAACAGCAACAACAGTCATCACCTTCTCCACCATCGGTACCCTCGCCGCAGGCCCTTGCATCTCGTGGTCGTCGCCCCGCACTAATACCCCACAATGCTGATCTCTCGCTCTCACTTTCAGCCGCTGCCACAGCTCTAGGGATGGCTTCGTATTCTCCGAACCGCGCACGGGGAACTAGTGGTAATAGTGGAAGCTTACTATGGGTACTTCCGTCGTCGAGTCCCCCGACAGCGGCGTGGTCAGGAGATTCGTTGGAGACAAGGTGGAAGGAAGACGGGCAAATGTGTGATATCGACCTAGATGACGACCAGCGAGAAGCTGTGAGGAGTCTTGTCGTTAAGGATGTGTTCTCGTGGGTATGTGCGCTCATTGGCGAGCTGGTTGGTCATACTGTTGACATAATCGACAGGTAAATGAAATGGATAGTGATCAACCACGGTCACAACTACAAAAAACAAAAATACCAGAGACTGCTCCTACTTCCCCGATGAGCGGAAATTTCCCAGAGGAATTGGACTTTCGGCGACGCCGACTACAGGAGGCCGAACGGGATATGGGGAGCAAGCGGTAAAAGCTTTTGCAGTATGAAACATGGCCGGGAAAAAAAAAGAAGAAAAAAAAGAAAAAGCAGAAAAAGACGACTGATGATTATGACGTTGACGAATGATTATGTGATGGACTTATAACGACTATGATGATGATACTACGATAACGACTTACAATACCTTGACGCTTTTAACGATTTGTCTACTTCTTTTCTTAGCTTTTCCTATTTTGTATTATGGAGCAAGCATGTACGTGTGGTTATACCTTTTTCTTTTATCTATTCCACTTTACGGCATTTTCCCCATCAACATCTGGGAATTGCTATAATGTTTTTGGACGGATTGCCTGGCTTGGTTCTTTATTTTTTATGACCTAATGTGGTTATTTGGGGGGCTACATACTGGGGAAACCTCTGTACAACGTTACAGTGCCAGGTTTGGGCAGAGTTTTGCTATTTCTAATTCGCTTCTGAAGTTAATTGATTGGCTGTAAACTTCAAGTGGGCATCTACTTACATACATGTATGTAGACTAAGCTTACGCGGGATTAATCATTCTGAGTAAACAACTTTGGTCTCAGCATGCCACAACCAAGATATATGGCTCGAGAAGCTATGGTGGGTAGGTGTGTAAACTTCGGCGTTTGCAGTCAATCAATCTATAGGAATTGGGAGATCTACCCCCATAATGGTACTAGCGCCTAGCCTGACGGTGGAATTTTCTCTAATTCCCATACAAAAAAAGTTCCTCTGAAGTTGACACACCCACCCCCTATGCCTTCTCGCGCCATATGTATATTGATTGTTTGCCTACATAGATGTGTGACGTGACCTTAACCTTAATTTGGGCCTAGTCCCTAGACCACACGTCAGCCAGATTGATGCTTTGCTCCGTGGGATATTCGCCCCTTGATTAAGTACTTACATATAGTACTTATCCAACAGTAGTTGATCACAGAATATCACTCGAATCATGTTGATATCATATTTAGTAAGTGTTGTTTGTTTGTTTTTCTTTGTGGCGATGTGGGCGGCTTGGACTCAATTATTCGCAAGGCAACTCGCATACGCGGCAACCAATAGAGGACGGAGTTTGGTACACTCGTGACCGCGAGTTCGATGTCTACTCTTAAGCCCTATGAGACGGAAGTCTATCTTCAAGTCGACCCCCTTCCTCTTTCCAGCCCCCCCTCTAGTGAATTGACTTCCCATAGACTGTCCCCCTCCCCCCTTCACTGAATCGGCCTCCCATAGTCACCCCCGTTGAGGGTTCCTCCCATAATACTTTTGTCTCACAATATCCTATACAGTTAATCGAATGCTTTGTTTATGCCCAGTTGATCGATATTTCCCTTCTACCCGGCCGTTAAGGATATGGATCACCCCCCAACACCCAGTTAATAGAGTACTTTAATTATTTATACCCTGTTGATAGTACCTCCCTAGACGTCCCGTTGATAGCTCTCAATACTTCATTGCACCGTTTGGAGATAGCATTGGATACCGTTGGGTCATTTCTAGTGGGGTGGTTGCTACGCAGTTAAGGGTCAAGGTCAGGGTTTCCGCTCTCGACCAATCAAATGATTAAAGCTGGGTTGTTAAAGACGCGAATGATTGAAGGAACGTGCATACATGAGGTACAGTACAGCGATAGGAATGATCTATGGAAAAAATAGTTATGGTGCGCCCACGCTTAAAGGTGTCGGATCGCGACGAAATGTCAATGGCTGATAACTTTGCAACGAAAAATGGTATAAAAAAAAGCGGTAAAATAGAACTCTAGTTCAAGTGATGAAGTTTAGTTCTATTTTAGCAGGGTTTTGATATTTGTCTGGGTTGGAAAGTTATCAGAGATTGAAATTATGTATTTTTGTATGTTAAATGCGCCAAGACTGAACAAAGTGGAACCGTATTATACCCATTTATAACCCCCAAAAAGCAAACGATCCGCAGCAAAATGCCCTATTGAAGCCACAATTGTTCCACTTCCGTGTGCCACCATTTCACCTTTAAGAGTGTGCGCACCATATATGGTGCACAGATATTTCGCCATACAATTTCACCCCCCCACCTTTGCGCTCGGTATGTATCTCAGCAGATTATTCGGTACAGCAGACAGACACTGTGAGGAAAAGGCCGCCCCATCAACTGTAGCAGATATTATCCATGCAAGTTCCCGACATTGTCACCGGCATAGTGTTATTTGGAAAATGTGATATGCGCACAACCCATGGCTGGCCAGGCATCAGCGAGCATGGGCAGGTTTAACCGTTGTTGGTGGGGTGCGGGGCAAAACAAGGCTGTAGAATTTGCACGGCTGGGTGTATGTAGTACAGCGAGCCATAGGATGCCAAGTATCTGTATATCCACTCTGACCAATCGGGCACACCGAGCCGTGGAGTGTTCATCATGATATATCACTCGATCTCGAATCTGGAATGAGTTTTGTTTAATTCATTAATTGCATGCAACCTAATGGGTTTTGGGAGGAAAAGTGGAATATTGGATTTTGAGGCGTGGGGGGCTGTTGGACGTTGGGGGTGGTGTTTGGTGGTGGTGGGCTTTGGCGTTGGGTTTTGGGAAGGGATTTGGGGTGGAATTGGGAATCGAAGGATTGTTGTTCGCCATGGCTGGGTGAAGTATTCCTTCGTCTTGAGAATGGATTTTGCTCATAGGGCTCTTAAGCTCTTATCAATTGATTGATATATATGGCGGCACGGGCAGCATTGATGGGATTTGGGTATAAAAACTGTCATTACTCATAATACTGCAGCATGAGACGTCGATTATATTTTATGCTACCTAATCACCCGCTCATAAGATTGGAAAGTCTTGAAACCTTTCCTCACCGGCCCTAAATGCCAGTATCGATATAGCTCATAGCAATCGATACACCCCGAAGACTTCTCTCCACAATCTCGATCCTACGCACATGTGTGTATCCGCTGGCAGTGGGATTCGAAGGCTATAAGCCCCCTTTGATGGCAGGCCTGGCAAAATTACACCCGGCGTTATCTTCTCAGTAGCCGCGCTCGAAGTCCTTCTATATATGCAAGGAGTCGAACAGCGGTAGTCATATGAGTACATTGGCCATGGTGCTAAGAAGTTCTTACGAGACAGAACAAGCTCAAAGCAGAAGAGGGGACAAAAAATCTCATACAAAACTCCGTCCTGTACATGATTCTTCCTAGCGTATGGCAACAGGTATATAGAGACTAACTTACCTGCTAATCTCAGCTAGAAAAGAGGACTTTGAATTCTCCAGAGAGGCCTAGCTAGGACGAAGAAAAACAACCCACCAGAATTAAAGGCAGATCTGCTTTCATAGCGCCACGCTACGCTATGCCGACTAACCGGCTAAAAGTCTCACGATTCAGAGAGTCAATTGATTGGTGGAAAAGGTTACCCCAAGACTAAAGAGCTAGTCGAAGGGTTTGTCTCGAGACGAGATATTGAGCCCATCTTTGGGCTTGTTATGGTATAAAAAAAAGTGGGAGACTTGCTTAGGCGTTCTAGTTATGAAGACCGGAGAGTGGTACTAGAGAGATAGACTGCAGAGGGTACTGATAAAGTACCGATCGAATAGGTCATGTAGGGGCTACTGTATTGCGGGGTCCATCGGCTCACCCACCCGTTGAGCATACACCATCCTCACTCCTTACCCCCCCCCCCCCCCCCGCGCGTTTTTGCCGTGTACGGCGCATTCTTGAGCTTAACTGCTATTCTGCTCGTTATCTGAAACTGGATTTAGTTACTGGTCTTCCATAATCTCTAACAGGGTCGATCGGGTGTTTCTCCTTAGAGAATAGGGAGTACTTGGTACGACATTCACATTTACACACAGAGGAGTCCGCCTGCTGACAGCGCCGGCCAAAGACATCATACATATTTACATACTGCAGGTAGAATTTCTTCCCACCAGCATTGCCACCACGTGCATGTCGAGACCTGGAGTGTCCACTGTCTGCACCAAGTCAAGTCCATGGATCCAATAAGAGAGCATTTATTAGTATAATGAGTATAATATCCTTGTGCTCTTACCAACTGAAGTTGGAGCCACCGCCACTATTTTGTCGGTTTACTCGGTATCTCTCGATTCGGTCCGGGGCCGAAAGAATCTAACGGTTAACCCATCACCTATGACACTTACCGTCCAACCAAAGCCCTCACGCCAGTTCTACAGCTTCCAAAAAACTCTTCTCGCAATAAAAAAAAAAAAACCCCAATATTAATCACAGCGTATCACTCGATATGTACCTATCGAAAAGTCCATCACGTGATTGTAACCTGTCGCGTAAGCCTGCCTAGCTACACGTCGCCCTGCACCGTAATAATCCACCCCCACCCCCCCGTTCCAACACACCCATTCCAACGCCAGAAATGCCTTTCCCCGTCCCCTCCGCAAGCACCCTCACAATCGCCGCAGCCACCACCGCAGCCGTCACCATCCCGCCGACAATCTACAACATGTTCTGGGGCGAGAACAAGCTCCCCGTCGAGGGCCGAGTACGTCTCTCCCATCCCCGTCACCCAAATCCTCGCGATATCCGGGCTAACCACCACAATTAAAACAGCTCGTAGTCATCACCGGCGGCTCCCAAGGCATGGGCCTCTCCGTGGCCAAGCTCCTCTCCAAAAAGGGCGCCAGCATCGCCATCGTCGCCCGCAACCCCACCAAGCTCGCCTCGGCCCTCGCCGAGATCGAGGCCTGCGCCCTGCACCCGGGCACGCAGACCTTCCACGCCGTCAGCGCAGACCTGACGCAGGCCTCCGAGTGCGCGCGCATGCTCGACGAGATCCGCGTGTGGGGCGGCGTCCCGGACATTGTGTGGACGTGCGCGGGCTTCGCGGTGCCGGGCTTCTTCAAGGACCTTAGTGCCCAGCAGCTCGAGGAGCAGGTGCGCACGAATTACTTCTCCGTCATGTTTACGGCGCACGCGGCGATCAATATGATGATGCGGTATCCGCTGCGCAAGGGCGTGCCGCGGCGGCATCTGGTATTTACGAGTACGGTTATGGCGTTCTATACCATCGCCGGGTATAATGCGTATTCGCCGGCCAAGGCGGCGATCAGGACGCTGGCGGATGGGTTGAGGCAGGAGTGTATACTGTATGATATCGATGTGCACTGCTGCTTTCCGGCCACGATCTATAGTCCCGGGTTTGAGGTGGAGCAGACGCTGAAGCCGGAGCTGACGAAGATCTTGGAGGGGAGCGATGAGGGGCAGACGCCGGATGTGGTGGCAGAGGCATGTGTGAAGGGGTTGGAGAAGGGGCAGAGTCTTGTTGTGACGAATATGTTGGGGGAGGCGATGAGGGGTGCGTGTTGGGGGGGGAGTCCGAGGGGGTGCTGGTGGTGGGATACGTTGTTGTCGTGGGTGGTGGCCGTGGTGTGGTTGGTGCTGGGGAGGATGATGGATGGGGATGTGCACAAGTATGTCAAGAAGCATGGCATCCCGATGAGGGGGAAGAAGGCGGCGGGGCCGAGGGAGGGCGGGATTGGCGGGCCGGGGGAGAGGACGCAGATGTTTTTGTAGGCGGTGGTGGGGGGAGAGATACCTGGGGAGCTAGGTGGCGGGAGTAGGATAGCGGATACTAATTTTCTTCTTCTTCACCTTACACATCTTATATGTTGGAGTAATTGTGGGGGGGCATTGATTGATATCTTGGGGCTCTAATATATCTGCATGCACCCACCCTTCGGGAAAAGCTTGTCTTGAAGCTCAGAAGCTCCCCTGGGGGGGGGGGGGGGGGAGGTCTTGGAGCTATATAGAGCTAGAAACAACCAAAACTCAACATTCGTATTCAATAAGCTTATGTTGCCGAGATTGGAGAGTGCAGGAATCCTGTTCTATGCACATCGTATAAAGTGTATCTTTTCTTACTTTGAGGTAAGCTTAGCTCAGTAGCGTGGGTGTTTCTGAGTGTTTGTTTCCGAGTCAGGAAAGGACCCCTGTAGAACCCTCACCAGAAAACAAAACGTAGAAACTCGCTGTATGCATGCACCTGCTCGGTGTCTCCACACCCGACGCCCGTCCCATAGCAAATAAAGACATACGCAAGTCCGGCCTCGACTCGTCAGCACCCGGCGAACCGTCCGGGGGGGGGAAAGAACCCTCCACGTTGCCAAGCCAGCCATGCATGCAGTGTGCGGCTCCCCCGGTAGCTGGCCCTAAAGTTAACACCTAGGCCTTTCCTTCCTCACGCCGAGAGAGATCTATCCGTCCACCCCCTCCACTCCTCCCTCCACCTCCACCTCCCTCCCCCAGATCGATCTCTCCACTCCCGCCTGCCTGTCTTGTCTATCAACTTCAAACACTCCCTTTTCCTCTCGATCTAGGCTCTCACCCATATACGCTCTCTCTCTCTCAGCACTCGCTAGTACTACTGCGGAGCCTCCAATAACGGCGAAGCTTCAGGATCCCCCCTTTCGCCCATAATGGGCGAACCCGTTCCCTTCACGCCTCCCGCGGCATTCCCAATTGACGCACTGCAGCTACTATTACAGAATGCGTCTCTGAGCGTTGTCCTGACCGCGGTCCTCGGGCTCCTGGTCGCGGGCGTATTTGCAGTTAGTTCAACCCCCCGGCCCTAAGCTACTGGCAAACTGTTACTGTACAATGTAGCCGTATATACTGACTCCCCCGATCTGCAGTCCTACCTCCTCATCCTCCTCGTCGCGCACACCCCCCGCCCCGCAACGCCCAACGAAAAGTTCTACAAGACCGTCACCCGCACCGGCGCCGTCTCCCCGCCCCGCGCACTGCCCGATGTATTTGCACACGACTCGAAATCGACACTGACGATCTCCGTGGTGGTCCCGGCCTACAACGAGAGCGAGCGCATCCCCGAGATGCTGGCAGAGGCCGTCGACCACTTGTATGCCGCGCATGGAAACAGCTGGGAGATCCTGATCGTCGACGACGGGTCCACGGACGGCACGGCGAAGGTGGCACTGGACTGGGCAGGTGAGCGCATGGCGGCGAAGCATGATGTCGAGGAAGACCAGGTTCGTGTCTGCGTGCTCGATAAGAACAGAGGTAAGGGCGGCGCCGTCACGCATGGGATGAAGTACGTAAGGGGTGAATACTCAATCTTTGCGGACGCGGACGGCGCGAGCCGCTTTGCGGACTTGGCGGCGCTGCTGAAGGATGTCAAGAAGGTGGAGATCAAGGGCTACGGCATCGCCGTGGGGAGCCGCGCACACATGGTCACCACCGATGCGGTCGTCAAGGTATGTCTTATCTACCATCATTACCCCCCCCCCCGGGGGTCCATAGCTAACCACACCGCTCGTAACTAGCGCTCCTTCATCCGCAACTTCCTAATGCACTCCTTCCACACGCTCATCCGCACATTCGGCATCCGCCACATCCGCGACACACAATGCGGGTTCAAGCTTCTCTCGCGCGCGGCCCTCAAGGCCGTGTTTCCGTACATGCACACTGAGGGGTGGATCTTCGACATTGAGATGCTTATCCTCGCCATGTACAAGGGGATTCCGGTCGCTGAGGTGCCCATCACGTGGCATGAGGTCGGCGGCAGTAAGGTTAGGCTGGTGCAGGATAGTTTGAGGATGGCGTGGGATTTGGGTGTGGTTAGGGTAGGGTATTGGTGGGGTGTTTATAAGGTGGGGGAGGGCGGGGTTAGGGTGTAGTGGGTGGTGTGGTTATAAATTTGTTTTGTGTTTTGTGCTTTTTATTCCTTTTTTTTGTTAGTTTGCTCGGGTTTGAGCGGTGCGTAAGCTGGCTGGCTGGTGGGAGGGACGGGAGGGGGAGGCACGGCGGGAAGTGATATCATTGACAATTACTTGACTTTTAGGCAGGTACGTCGGGGAGGGGCGGGGTGTTTCTTATTGTACAGGATAGTTAGGTCTCTATAGGCATTGGCATAGGAATAGGTAATCGGGCACCAAAATCAAAGATTCAAATTAAATCATACACTTGAAGTTTTTCTTCCTTTTTTTTCCCTCTCCCTTTCTTCCTTCTTTGCTTCATATTTGCTTCATATTTGTATATCTCGAGTGGTTGTCAACCATCTTTTAATGGCCCGTTTGGGAGCTGTAATGGCTTATCCACCAAGCGACTTATCTAAGTCAGTTCCAAGAAAAAGTTGCCTATATACCTGTCGTTTGGCACTAGTCATTATCATGCAAACTGCAACCCACATCAATTGTCCACATATATAGCGGGCCAACCTGCAAGAAGGGGTTTCCCCCAATTTGAGATATAAAAAGCCAGTACTAGTGGGGGATTAAAACTGTTTTTTTACAGATTTACAAGGTATTGTGGTTTTAATATATACAGGAGAGATTGTCAACAATGAATATGGGTGTGGTGGTATTGCAATTGGTCCGGTGGTGAAGATGGCGCTTGGTGACTGAGGGTAGGGAGTAGGTCAGAGTAGATTATATTTTTCAGTTGATTTTGATTTTGGGCCTCCTGACTTGGGGTTGACTTAAGGGCTGGCCAAACGGCCAAAACTTTTCAAGTCATTCCCCACCAAAATTCAATAAGTCGACCCCGTTGCCAAGACTTCTAGACTCTCCACCGACCCCGTTCAAAAACCCCACTTGCATCGATCGTCCTCCGCAACTCTCCCTTCCTCTCTCCCATTTCAGTATGCGAAAGCTATAGCATGCTATAGCGCGCCACAGGGATGTGGGTCTCGACACTTGAACCGTTCAAGGCTCTCTTTAAATTTAGTATAAAATGGTAAGGACAACGCACGTGACGGATTAGTCAGCGGCGATACCCGGCGTCGGTGGGTGGGAGCGAGTGATGGGGTGTGATGAGGGTTATTTGTTTTTTATTTGGTTTGTTGATTAGGTTGGTTGCATTGTTAGAGTATGGCCGGTGGTGCAGCTAGCAGTGGGGGCGTAGATCGGTTGCGGGGTGGTTTGGGGTGGGGGGTTTGTGCATGGCGGTGAGTATGGTATACTAGGTGATCATGGGCGCGCAGGTTTTTGGGCATGTCTGGTCGAAGATTTGAGTAGGTGCTGTGTGTGCCGCTGGGGGGGGGGGGGGGGGTCTGGTGACCTGTAGACGATGAGATGCCCTTCTCGATCGAGCGAGCTCTCTATATCTAGCGATATATGGCGTTATGTGATGGATGCGGCCGCGGCCGGCCCTGGATGTTACGTACAAGGCTCTGGCATTAAGTGAGCGAACTAAATGGAGTGTTGACTGGTAAGGATCCGTTCACTCACTTAATGCCAGAGCCTTGTACAGCAGAGCTTTGATATGCCGTCATGAATTATCACTCACGAGTTGCTTTAGCTATGTACATGTATTTCGCGCTAATCTAATACTTGTGTACATTTATGTACATGTAGTTTGATTGGGGGTGTTTAACTTGTTCCGGCCACTTTTATCTCTAGCACACCTAACTCACAATCCGCGAACCTCTTTAGGCTCGAAGTCACAGTTTATGACCACTTTTTCAACACACCTTCCCACTCTTAGAGGGTATCCGCTCCCTGTAGCAGTTAGGATTTTGAATATCAAGTCGGCTATTCTATGTGAATTGCAGGCACGAACGAAGGGATGCGATTCTGAGCTATATATATATGAGAAGCAGTCAAGCTAGCAGTCAGGCCAAAGGGCCAGCATGCTACCCACTCCATACCTTTCGGGAAGACCCATAAAGTGCGCCTATCAGAACTGGTTGAGGAAGAAGAAAACGTGTGTTTGAATGATATCAGCTCAGTTCAAACTACTTTGGCCATGGCCACGAAATGCATTACATGATATTATCAAGATTCAATGGAAATGTAATTTGACAGAAATCAAAGTCCCCCCCTGTCTCGTGCCCAGTCAAACGCCTTGGCGCCAAGGTTCGTACCTCACGCAGCTTCTGCATAGTTACCTTCACCCGATTATTAACCAATCAGAAGAAGGCTGGGCACGAGACAGAGTCCCCCAGCAAACGAGATAAACTTAGATCTATGAGAGAAATAAAAAAATCCTAACTCCTCAAAATACTAACAGCACAGTTAAAAGGCACCCAAAGGCAACGGCTCTAAGTCTAGTCCACACACATCCATCCGCCTCCTAGCCCAAGTCTCATACAGCTCTCTCCACACACCCTCTTCTTCTTTTCTCTTCGGCCTAATCTTATCTACCAGACTCCGTGGCATAGCATACCACGGCCCCGGCGCCTCATCGTCCTCAAAGTTCACGTAGTAGCTCTCGTCCCGCACCTTACTCGGGCTCCAGCTATCTGATATATATATCTCATGTTCAACTGCACGAAATTCGGAGATGATGGTATTATAAGGGTGCTGCGGAAGTATTAAGGCATATGGGGCGTAGAGTGTATTGATAACATCTATCGGGGCTGCTGAGGGGTTTTTGGTTAATGTTGATTTCACTACGTTGAGTGCATGCTCAGAGGGCTCGATGAGGAGTAAGTGGTCGGAAAGCGAGTTCCCAGCGACCTTGTTGTATGACCTGACTCCGCCAATGGGCGTGGAAGGCGCATTGAAAAGCAGCTCGTCGAGATTGCGTAGTACCATGCCTCTAGAATCAAGGTGTAAGATACGACTGTATTCTTTTTGTGAAAACGCATGCAGCAGTGACACTGCTGGTGTATTTTCAGCTACCATTACGATCAGCGTTTACTTCTTATCAAGAACACGGTGCACGGAGCTGTATACCTTCAATCAGGGGCTCCACTGCCTTAACAATCACCTCATACCGCTGCTCTGCGACCTTCAACAATCGATTCCATCTCCCCTTCTCATCCGCAATCCAGGAGTGTGGGTATACCAACATCTTATCCGCCACGGTCCCAAGCCTATGCAGCTCCGCCAGGATCATTACAGAGTTGCACAGCTCGTCTTTCGAAGATACATATTGGACGTATGCCAGCCTCCGTTCATTGCCTTTATTGCCTAATACCCATGCCGATTTTGCAGCACCATCGGTCTGGGTCCTAAAGCTAGGTTTTTGCGATGATTGTTCATTTTTCACAGAGTGGGGATTGATGGCGAGCTGGAGAGCTTTTAGTGAGCGCTGCTGTATCACCCAACCGGAGTAGAACAGTAGGAACGTGAAGAAGCACACTAGGGTTATACTGGATTAGCTAGCTATGCTCCGCGGTCCGGCAACTCGGGCAGGGCAAGAGCACACCGATCAATGCTGCAAATCTCAAGGGAAGGCGGCTCATGTTATTTGCTTGGCGGGGTAGAATAATCAGGGTTTATGGGGTCTTCGATAAATGGGACGATTGCTATTAGAGTGATATTATAAGGGCAGGTGGGGCGTATTGTTTGTGTGTAGAGGGGTGGGTTTTGGGGGGAGCTTTGTATGCTGTTGTGTTGTTCAACGGTTGCTAGGGTAATAAAATTTGCACATCATTGATCGCCGGTCCCGAATATAAAGTTTATTTATTTGCTTAAATTGCGTGTCCATAAACAAAATCTCTGATAGTCTTTTCGTAAATACTGAACTAAGTACTCCTCTTTTCAAGAGTTTTTGTTGCTCCATTAGCTCTGAGGTCTAAAATGAACGGGTGTATGATAAGCGCTTAAGCGCACGAGAGGAATGGAAAATAGAGTCCGTACCGGTACGTATCCACTCAAAAGAAACAATCGGATTTGCTAGGTCCTGGCCCCGGAGTCTCATTTTTCTAGTGTGTGACTGGGTCAGAAAATGGTACGTGCCAGTAACGCGGTTACATGGTACTCACACTGTGCTGCAGACTTTTGTCGGAGGGCAGTAGCCTGTTTGGGAGCAATTAGTAAGAAAGATCGCTTCAAACGTGCAGATCAAACTTACCCTACGAATCCCGTACCCCTAACCCTCGGGAGCTCACCCTCCTCTCCCTCCTCCTCTTCACAACTCACCCCCCGCCGGCCCACCTTTCCATCGAAGCCTATCACGTCTTCGAAGTCTTCAAGGATTTGCGTAAGTGGGCAATAGTTTTGGGGGGTTTCGTTTAAGACGATCCTTCCATAGGAAGCATTGGCATCATCGACTGGATTGGTTGCAAGGAAGGTTCTCAGGCTGAAACCCAGGCTTTCAACCTCTGGTTCCGGGTGGAGTGTGTGTGTGGCTGCACTGAGGTTCCTGTGTAGCGTAGGGCTGATGATACCGGCCCCGGTAGCTTGGAACCGAGAAGTCTCGAGGGCTTGTTGTGGCTGCACATCAATGGAATTGGCAAGCATCCAGGTGGCTGATGCGTATGGCCGCAAAGGGATCTCGCGAGTCGCCTCGTTAACAGGCGGTTGTGGGGGAGCTTGCGTGACAGTTCCCGGGAAGCTTTCCCTAACAGCTCTTCTTGCGAAAATTACGTTTGCATCCTCATCTGGACACGCAGTAAGAAACCTCTGGAGGCTATAGCCATTGTCACCAGTAGGCCTACGGTTGATCGTGGCTGGTATGATGACAGTGAGTATGGCTGGGCTAGAGCTCTCTATTGATTTGGGAAGCATTTTGAATGTTATAAAAATTTCAGCGCTAAATTAACGACACAGTCGGCTTTAATTGAATGCTGCTGCTGTAAATATGTACTCGGGCTCCTTCTTCTGTTCCGCAATCCACAACACAACTATGACTATGTAGACTAACGTTTTGAAATTTGATTGATGAGCCGCGAGGCGCCAAAACTAAAGTGCTGAATAGACGAGCCGGGGACGGGTTGGACCTTTAAAAAATGATAGACTCCAAGAGTGCTTAGGGTTGGGGTTCGACGGATGGGACTTGAGTGATATACAGGTGGGACTCAGCTCAGGTTTATACTTTATACTTACAGTCGTTCTTATTCTATATCATGCACTTCGCACATTTCGGGCAGGACTTCCAAATACAGGGATCACCCAGATTTTTCGCGCGAGGACTTCCACATGGAGTAAGAATACAGGGATCATAGATGTTTTCGAGGCCCTACATAACGTTCATGACCAGGTACCAGCCAAAAATGCGGGGTGCAACATCTGAACGGAGATCACAAATGTCACCTATCGTGTCAGACCTAGAATCCTGTCGTCGTAGGCGAAAAGGCTTGGCGATGCTGGGTACAGCCAAATTTGTATATAGTAACGGTACCAGGTCAAAAACGTTCAGTCTTTTAGTAACACTTAGGCAAAATTCCTGCACATCCGGGTGTCTTCCTAAAACAGCTAGACTATCTAGGAAATACCCTTCAAGAAAGAGACCTAGACTACATAGAGCACCTTCCATCTCAGAATCCCTGCTGAATTACACCTCTGGTACAATTGAGAACGAAAGGGTTTTGGCTTGGGTGGGTGAATTTTCGGATGTAAAGTACTCAAATGATTAAACACTTTCACACAAAGACATCCGATATCTTAACCTTGAAAAAATGGTATTCGGGGAATAGAGTGTTTTGGATCAAGATCTAAATGTCGAGCTCAGATTTCTAGTTCCTGGCGGCCGCGGTGGATAGGGCATACCGGTAGATACCGCAAGTGCTCTCTTTCTCGAGTTACTCTAACGATGACAGCGTCGTCCTCCCCACCACCAAGAACTAGGAATCTGAGTTCTATTAATATGTAGGCACATAGGTACCTGAAACCTCCTCATCTTACCCTGATTCGTTTGGCCTCGATATATGAATCAGAATACAGGAATAACTCTTTATATCAACGGTCCAAAGTACATGTAGGCATAGATGACGCTACAGGCACTCGGACACCCCCTTACTCGGATGATTAATGAAAAAGAGGTACAGAAGCTACCTAAAACGTTGATTTTCTATTCTCTACGTTAACTGCCCGAGTGAGTGGGTCAGGGAAATAGTCTACGTATAGAGTTTAATATAAAGCGAACATTCTAGCGTGGGTCGATATTCAGGGCCAACTTCAACTGGGAACTTTCATAGGGCCAATATTTTCTCCACTAAAGTAAGTCCCGCCTTTTCTCCACAGCCACTTAAATTTATAAAACCTATCTAATTCTATCATTTGCTGTAGTTGTTGGCCTGGTGCTGTCAGCGTAGAAGTACATATTAGTATTACCTAAATATATAATATTTATTAGCTATATTTCGAGTTCAAATTTCGAGTTCAAATTTCTGTCGCTCACTGCCATACGCTAGAGGGGCGAATTTACTTAGTGATAGTGAGAACACCTCCGGCGTACAGTGTAGTACAGGTGGACTAAGAATTAGTAATTTGACCTCACTCCGTACATACGCCACAATCACGCTACATCTCATCGCTGACGTCTTCTCCTCCACACCGACTCATTCACCGTCCGAGGCGCTATTTCTACCCGCCTTCACTGCACACTTCCCTTAACTTCAGCAACTGAACTCCTATTCTCATAGTTTCAACAAAATGGCTAATACAAACACCCCTTCTCAACCGGCCGCGTACGGGACTAATGCTGGGCATTACACCCGCCCTCCTCCAGCTTATGGTGGTGACCAGTCACCTCTTCTTGGGTCACCCCGTACCAGTGAAGATAATGTCCGCCCCTTAGATATCTCTGCTAAAAGCTATCATGTACTAAAAGCTCCCTTTAGATTCCCGATGACTTCAAATACTCTACCTCAGTCGCGGAAGCGACCATCGACATCCGCCACGCCTTTGTCCGTAAAGTCTACGCAATCTTAACAGTCCAGCTTGTTGCCACTGCCATATTTAGCTCAATCTCATTCTTCAACGAGTCTTTCAAAGGGTGGATCCAGACAAACACATGGATGCTTTTCATCGCTATGTTGGGTTCCTTCGGGCTTCTCTTAGCGACCTTCTGGAAGAGAAAGAGCTATCCGACAAATCTTATATTCCTCTCTGGGTTCACTCTCGTGGAAGCCTACACTATCGCTGTTATTACCAGCTTCTACGATAGCCGCATCGTTCTCGAAGCAGTCATCATCACCGGAGCACTATTCGCAGGTCTCACCCTGTTCGCTTTCCAGACAAAATACGACTTCAGCAGTTGGTACAGCTACCTCTACGGGGCCCTTTGGTTCTTGATCTTATTCGGATTCGTCTCTATTTTTTTCCCTCATAACGGATGGGTTGAACTGGCCTATAGTGGTGTTGCGGCGTTGCTATTCAGCGCGTACATCTTGGTGGATACTCAGTTGATCCTTAGACGGGTACATGTGGACGAGGAGATCTCAGCGGCAATCAGTTTGTATCTGGACATCATCAACCTGTTCTTAGCGTATGTATTCCCTAACTTCCTTATATTGATATGGCGGTGACTCCTTTGGTACTAACGGCATAATTTAATGGCAGTATTCTCCGTATCCTCAACTCTTCAAGCGATAACTAAACCAAAACCGAGAAGCTACAGTTTACTTCAAAGAATACGTAATTCAATATTGGCTGTTTAGCTCAAGGACATGAAGAGGTTGCACCAAGAAGTTCGTAGGTTTGTTTTTGCTGGAAAATGGGAAATAAGCAGGATGGAGTATCAGGATTAGGTTTTGCTTTATGTTAATTTTTTCTCTTGTTTGCTGCTCGAGTGGTTTGCTTGTGTCTTCTATTCTTTCCAGTAATTTCTGGGAGTTGTCCCTAGCTTGTTTAACTCTGTTTTGGTTGCTCCGCTTTGAAAATAAAAAAAAAAAAAACCCTGTTTTTATTTTTTGATTAGGAAGTGTGGTGTTATTAACGTGATTATAATAGTTTGGTAATTAAATTCTGATTATTAGTCAAGCTCCGGATAGCACTCTACCAAAACTAATCATAATCTATCACTCGAGTAGCGACACTTGAAACTTCAAAGCTTTACCTCCATGTATTTATGTTATTGTTCATGAATCGACTGCGAAGAAATGCTTGGGGAACTAAAATAGCCTAACAGTAATAGACCGCATGTCCGGCGCCGGTTTTATGTTACCGCTAAAAGAAGCTTCGGGAACTTAATCGAAGTATCGCAGATCACTACATGTAATATCATGTGCATTTTTTAGCTACTACACAGCCTCTATTACAAGGATATATATCCCTGGAACAAGTACTTCGGGGGTAGGGGTAAGTCGGTCAACAGGTGGCGGTGCATTGGCTGAGGATTTTTGAATATTTGCTTGTGTCACCGCCACCTGTTGGCAGATTTGCCCCTACCCCCGAAGTACATATGGGTACTAGGTATTTACTTGGAAAAGCGTTTCAATCTGGTGCAAATTAATTGTAAACCTACTTGAAGTATGTACATAGTATAGAATATCATGAACTGATTTGAGGATTATAGCGCCTTTAGACGACTGGTTATATCTTACTCATGCCTGCATAGAGTATATCCTCGAGTCTGAGTACTTATTAGAAATTGTGGTCGTATTAGTTAATCACTGTCGCACAACTGCCATAAGGGGTCAACGCGAATACATAAGCTCGCGAGTACTGCTTTTAACTTAAATGTCAGTTCTCAGTGTCGTCAGTTCTCAGTGTCGTCAGTTCTGGTTACACACTGGAAGCATGGCCTCTTCCAGCAAAGCTTCAATCTTGCTCGAAAGCGATACTGTCAACTCAATGGACCCGCCCAATACCCCATTTATCACCCCCGCCAACAGCTGGGGCATTCAAGCGGATAGATCTTCAGCACCTCCAACCAGTTATTTGGAGGCAGCTAGGCTCGGCGAGTGGGATATCCTGATAAGGATTCTTCTGGGGCAGGACAACAAAGCGATTCGAAAGTTATACGCAACTGAGGTGCTCCCTGAGGCGTGCCATGCTGGGAACGAGGGATCCGTCGAGATGCTCCTTAAACTCCATGCAGATGTCAATGCTCCACCAGCAAAGTGCAGCAGGAAAATCGAAGACAAGATAACCGAGGTGTACGAACAGGACGAATGTGGGAAAGCCGCAGCGTGTAGGCGGATAGCATGCGGACGAACAGCGCTACAAGCAGCAGCAGAAGGCGGCCATGCCCGGATACTTTCATTCCTGATAGAGAGAGGCGCACATATAAATGCGCCCCCGCAAGGCCAGTCAGGAAGAACAGCGTTACAGGCGGCGGCTGGGAACGGGCATACTGAGATAGTTTCGAGGTTATTGGAAAAAGGCGCCAATGTGAACGACCCGCCAGCAAATCATCGTGGGAGAACAGCCTTACAGGCGGCTGCAGAGAGCGGAAATGTAGAACTGGTTTCTATGATTTTGAGGGCCGGCGGAAAAGTGAATGCTCACCCGTCTATTCTTCATGGAAGAACAGCATTGCAAGCGGCAGCGGACGGCGGGCACTTAAAGATTGTATTAATGCTACTGGAAGCTAAAGCTGATGTTAACGCCCTACCAGCAAGGAACACATTTGGGCGAACTGCATTACAGGCTGCAGCGGGAAATGGGCACGCCGAGATAGTCTCGGTATTGTTGAAATCAGGTGCTAAAGTCAACTCCCCCGCAGTTGGTTATCATGGAAGAACAGCGTTACAGGCAGCGGCCGAAGGTGGACACTTGAAAGTAGTATCGATGTTGTTGAAGGCCGGTGCAAATATCAATGATCCCCCCTCGAGATCATACGGAAGAACGGCTTTACAAGCAGCAGCTGCAAACGGCAATGCTGAAATACTCCTTTTATTGATAAAATCCGGTGCACTTCTGAATGCCCCCCCATCGGAAAGCCGCGGCAGAACAGTAATACAGGCGGCGGCAGAAAATGGTCACGCACATATCATATCGATGTTCGGTGGTATGGATATCGTTAACGCACCACCATCGGAATACGATGGTATGACAGCTTTGCAAGCTGCAGCCAGAAGGGGTCATGATGAAATAGTTTCAACTCTCTTGGAAGCTGGTGCTAAAGTTAATGCCGCTCCATCAGATAACTATGGAAGAACTGCATTACAGGCAGCTGCCGAAAATGGGTACTCTAAAACAGTTTCGATTTTGTTAAAGGCTGGTGCCGACGTCAACTCCGCCCCAGCAAAATTTCACGGACGAACCGCGTTGCAAGCTGCTGCAGAAGGCGGATATGTTGAAATAGTCAAACAGCTACTTTCTACAATGTCAGGTCGTAACCTTTATTCACAAGCGCTATCATTTGGGAAAAAGCCACTATGGATAGCAGCTAGAAAAGGTCGTCACGAAGTAGTAGAGATTTTATTAAAGCACGGCTTTGATTATAATGAGGAGGTGTCTGGTAAGGTGGCAATCCGAGCGGCGGCGGAGGCTGGGTACGTAGATGTTGTAGAGCTTATCCTGAGTGCCGGTTATGATGTTAGATCCAAAGACTCAGAAGGCGGTACTTGTTTGCATTGGAACCTTCGTCATCCTGACGTTGTACGAGTATTATTGAGGCACGGTGCGGACGTCCATGCTCAAGACTTTGATGGGGATACCCCGCTGCACTGTGCTGTGAGATTTCAAAATGTGGAATCCATAGTTTTGCTACTCGAAAATGGGGCAAATACTGAACCTCGAAATTACGAGTACCAGACTCCGTTGGACTTGATTCTTCAAGACTCGGAAAAGCCATCGATAAAATTAGCAATGCCGCTATTCGATAAGGGCTGCAGTATCAAGGGTCGTACTGTGAATAACTGGCGAAGGCTTCTGGATTTGAGCGAGAATGATAGTATCTTAATAAGTGAATGTCATTCTGACAACAAGCGGTGTTATGATATCGATTTTGTCACCGACTATTCGCTCGAGCTACCAACTCGTGGCTCAAAAGTTGAAAGAAGATTATAGTACGTGATTTCTTATCTCAGACCTTATTTAGTCGCTGACAATCAGGCACTAGTTCCGCTACTGATACAAGTTCAACCGTTGGAGCTGGGCTGGGACTCACCCAGTCGGGTTCTCTCGTTGATCGTTTCAAGTTTTTCCCAAGTGTCGAAATGCTTGGGATTAAGAGAATGCCTGGGACAAATTCCACGATGATAAAATGGAGTTGGTCTTGGATATTTCCAAATTCAGAGAGAAACCAATCTGGGGTAAACCTTCCCGGAGTAGGGAAGCTATTCTCTGCAGTTGATAGACAAGGTATGAACCATCATGTTTATCCTTTATCGTAAAAATCGAATTTCTCATCAGCTTGACAGTGATTGTGACCTGCCACGTTTGCTTTGAGGTTTTGGTTCATATTCCAGACACTGAAAACGAAAAGGCTTCTGGTCCAAATGCCCTTAGAGTAGGGAAGTCGTTCCAGACAACAACCAGAGGGAGCGAGATTTCCTGGACGATGCTGAAGCCTGAGACTGTACCTGATGCAGATTGTCCTGTTGAAACGAAGGCTAGCCCTATATTTCAGACAATCGACTACCGGAGCACCATAGATATTGGTTGGATCCCTGACCACGGGGTGGACTTCTTCATCTTGTTTTTTGTTGATTTGCACGATAAGTGGAGACATATATTTGAGCAGGCAGAGCTACATCTATCAAACAGTGTAAGTATACTTTTATCCTCTGCATCTCGCAAAATCGACACCTGTAGTAACTCGTATCACTGCAGCGTAAAACCCTACTGCTAAACAAGGGCAGAACCGAAGATTTCATCGATAATCTTTTGATTGATGCTCAGCAGTGGAGCAACTTTAGAGCTCTGCTGCAACTCCATGTGCGGACCGCTAGAAATCTATTGCAAGACTTTCGAGAAAAAAGGTTTCTATGTGACGAAGTGAGGGAATCCGAGCTGTTGAAAGTACAAAGAGGCGAAATCGTACCAGCAGAAAGCGGGTTCTCTGGGCCATTGAGGAATAGTGGCGCTGGTCCTAGGAATGGCGTTACAAGTAATCAGGCGAGAGTAAATGATGAAGAGAAGGTGTATGCGCTGGACGAGTTAGCAAGAATCATCGATAGGATGGAGACTGAGGTGTCAGAGGAGATTACGAAGCTTGATCGAAAAACAAGTGAGCTGATAGAACTTGTAAGTGTTTTATACTGCCTTTTGGAGGTAAATTATGTAATGACCAATCTGCTGATAATCTTTTAAGGAGTTCAATCTAGTCTCTATATACGAGGCTCGAACATCAAAACTAATGGGTATGAGTATGAAACGACTGAGCTGGATTACGGTATGTCTGAACAAAAAAACCTAGTACTACGAGTAGAGATACTAAAGGCCTCTAGTTTATCTTCCTCCCACTAATGTTTGTCGCGGTAAGCTGCAGCCCACCCTCCGTGCCACCGGCAACCTATCATGATATACAAGACCGCTAACCATCATGACCAACCCAGTCACTATTCGGGATGAACGTCAACATCCTCGAAAACAACCCACAGTGGTGGTGGGCCTTTGTGATTGGCGGCTCCCTCTTCGTCTTCGTCATCTTCTGCTGGATCCTGATGAAGTTTATCCCGGTCCGCCATTTCTCTCCCCCCCCCCCCCTTCCTTTCTCCTGTCTCAAAAATAAATTAGCCCACAACACTAACAACCGCTTCCAGGTCGACCAATGGCTCGTCGACTTTGACCGCTCCACCGCCGCCAGAAAACTATTACTGCTGGTAAAGGTTCCGAGCTCGATCAACCTGCGGCAGAAGCTGAAGAGGGCCCATCGCCGCGGGCCGAGTGCTGGTGCCGCGGACTTGGAGACGGGGCGGGGGGTGTGGGAGAAGGGAACGGTGTTTTCGTTTGAGCCGCCGCCGAGACAGTGGACGAGTAAGTTGAAGAGATATTGACGGTGTGTAGGCTATTTTGGCATTATATATGTGGGTTTTTTGGTTTTTAGTTTTTTGGGTTTAGGAGCTTTGGATTTGGGGGGTTTGGGAAGCATCTGGGCTTTATAAAAAAAAATTCGATTTTGGAGATTTCGTAGTCAAAAAATTCCCTACGTAGTGGTGTTATATTTGAATAGAAATAGGGCAGGAGACTATCCCACCACCTGTTGCTTTTAATTAGAGTACCCACTGGAAGGTTGCATGCAATTAATGAATTAAACAAAACAAAACAAAACAAGAATCCAATAGAGCACCCGCTTGACCTATATATGTACCCAGGGTGTTGGAAAGTGATGCACATTTTGGTTTGACAAAGGCCAATTACCCCAAATACCTATATTTTGGCGCAACACAACACGCTCCCTAAATTCAAATTTCGAGTGTAGGGAGTCTCTACAATGGCTAAGAATTCATCTGGTGCTAATTGAATACAAAATAGCCATTCTTCAAGCAAGAAGTCACTATCCAGTAGCGAAAATCAGTGTTAAAAAAAAAACCAAAAAGTATCGATGACAGACCCTTTTTTATTTATTTTTTCTTATGAAAGGAATCTACACACTTAAATTAACCTCAAGATAGACTTGTGTACAGACTAATTCTCTCGTGGTTGAGATATCACCCAATATGCATCATTTTCCGACACCCTGGGTACATATATGTCTTTACTATGTACATACATGTAGTACCTATGTAGCTAAAATTAAAACCGCACGCCGGTCGCCGTTACCCTAATATTTGCATCTGTATCACTCCCACGTGCACGCGCACAGCCCCCGGGTCCCGCTGTCATTAATTTGCCACCTACTCTACTCTACTATGCTGTCAGTCCGGCTGTCACACTAGCTAGCTAAAACCTTAATCTCACCTCGTCAACGTCACAGCGTTTGGTATTTGGGATTCGATTTGAGTTTATAAGAACGAGCATTGTGGTGCGTATTACACTCTCACACGTAGTTTTGATCACAGGGCATGCGATATGATATTACAAGAAGCTGCACCACACGAGCTCATCGATTCGATCCCAAAGCCCACAAATGCGTACTCTACGTATTGATCATTCCAGGTACTAGCTAGCTCCACTACCACAGCCAGACCCGCACATATCAACCCGCCCGCCCGCCCGCCCCTCCCCCGTCCCTCCTATATCTCTATTCCCACACGTATGTACCCATGTACCCAACTACATAACCCTCCCAACCCCGGCCCATCATCACATTCAGGTCCCATAAACCACCAAGCCTATACTCAAACTCAAACTCAAACCCAAACCAGACCAAACCAATAAAAAAAAACTAATACTAAATATAAAAAAAAGAACGCCCTTTACGGAACGACTAACGGAGCGGCTGAACTGCGCTGTACTGTCTAGTACCCCCTCCGAAAAGAAGAAGAAGAAGAGGAGGACCAAGAAATGAGATGAGGACGATGGGGATGGAAAAACACTCTCTCGATCGACTAGTGCGTAGGACTTGGCGGATCTAACTACTGGGTGAAAAAGAAATAATACTCAAGAGCATGCACTCTATCGCAGTTGGCCCCCCGGGGGGGGGGGGGTGTATAAGAAGATAAGGAAAAAATATATAAAGAAAAGGAAACAACAAAAGAGAGGGGAAAAAAAAAGACAAAAACGAAAAACAAAAACGAAAACGTGTGGTAGACAGGTTAGACAGACAGAGACATGCGGTTTTCATGAGGAGAAGGAGGAGGTCAGGAGAGCCTAATCCTTCAGAAAGGTCCTACAGCTCACACTCACCAACTCCTCCTTCTTCTTCCCAATCACAAACGCACTCAGCCTGCCACCTCTCACGCAGTTCGAGTCCAGGCCCTTCGAGTACTTTCTAATATCCAACCCCTTCGCCGCATAATGCCCATACCTATATCACAACACTCTCATTAGCCCCCACCCCATTTCACACACAAAAGACAAAAAAAAAAGATAAAACTTACACAACAGTCGTACGCCCCTCCCCATCCCCCTTCCTCTCCTTCTCGCCCCGATTCCACACATCCGCCCAATGCACACCATCCCTCTCCCCCTCCGGCAGCGGCGTCAACCGCCGCTTATCAAGACTGCGCATATTCATGATCGCCTTGGGATCCTGGTCCTCCAGCTGCACGCCATGCACAAGCCCCGCATGCACAACATCCACCTGCCCCAGATCCGCAACCTTCTTCATCCTCAGCACCAGCGGGCACGCGTCCAGCCACGCCGCCTGCTTCCTACTCAAGCTCTTGGCCAGCTTACGCTCGTTGCGGATGCGCTGCGTCGTGAACTCGTCGTCTGTGTCGTCGTCGGCGACCTCGACGGTCTCCTCTTCCTCTTCCTCCTCCTGTGCGGGCTCGAGCTCGAGGTCGTCGATGCTGGCGGCGGTGGCGGTGCGCGCGGGGTGTTTGCGGCCCTTGCGGGCTTTGCGCTTCTTCTTTTGGAGGTCGTGCCAGTGGAGGAGGACGCGGTCTTCGTGGTTGCCGCGCACGCAGCCGGCGGAGTAGCTGCGTGCGAGGTCGAGCACCTTGAGTGAGTCGGGGCCTTTGGAGATCATGTCGCCGGAGAAGACGAGGTAGTCGTTCTCGGGGTCGTAGTTTGTCTTTTCGAGGAGCTTTACCACTGTTGCTCTCATTTTATATGTCAGTCGCTGCTGTCTTGTCTCCCACCAGATAATGGGATTGATGGGGACAAACATACACTCATGAAACATCCCATGCACATCCCCTATGATAATGACCCTTCCATGTCCCTCACCACCACGCTTAACGCCCTTCCCGCCGGGGACCAGCGCGCGCGGGACGTCGGCGACGAGCTTGTAGCCGAGGCGCGAGGCGAGGAAGCGGTCTGCGGCGAAGTAGGGCTCTGCGCTGGGCAGGAGGGCGCTGGCGGTGGTGGTGACGGTGGACGGGAGAACGAGGTAGAGGAGGAAGAGGGAGGCGGCGAGACTGGTCAGGTAGTAGCGCCATGGGGCGGCAGAGTCAGCTGCAGGGTGGGTGGGTGCGAGTGCGGGTGGGTGTGGGTGGGGATGCTTGGTGTCGGCGGGATAGGGTGGTGGTGGTGGTGGTGGTGGAGGGACGCTGGTGCCCGTGGGGGGTGAGTCTTTCATGGTGGCTTCTGGAGGGGGTTTGGGATGGATGGATGGAGATGGACGATGGATTGTGAGAAATGAAATGGATGGGAGTGTAGCGCAATAAATATAGCTGGAGCTATCGGCGCAGGAGGGACGCTGTGGCAGTAAAAAGAAAAAGAAACAGGCTAAGCTTCGCTAGCAGCTAGCTTAGCTTACGGCAGCTTCGCGTCCATTCCATCCGTGTTAGCATTCATTCATTCAGCTGCTGTTCCCCTCTCTCTCCAACCAATTTAAAAAAGCAAAGCATAGAAGTGAGGTGAGATCATCATCCGGCGCAATTGCGGGGGAGATTGATAGGGCTTGGGTATGGGGGAAATTGAAAAGTCGGATATCTACCAAAGAGTTTCTTCAAAGACCTTGAATGGAAGTGAAGTAAGTCAAGCTGGCTGTCATATGCAAGCAAGTAAGCAGGGCCCCCAGTAGTAGTATAAGCACAAGATGTAGCTTCCGCTCGCTACCTCCACCACACAAAACCCCTGCTGATCCCGCTTCTAGAAGCAAAGCCTAAAAAGCTAAAAAGCTAAAAGCTAAAACCACACAAGCGAGAGAGAGAGAGCAATGTCGTAAAGGGTCTATCTGCTACTGCTACCGAATTATTCCTCGATTCTCCAGAGTCGTGGATATGTCGCTCTCTTCTTCTTCTTCTTTTCTGCTGCTGTCTGTCTGTCTGTCTGTCTGTCTGTCTGTCTGGGCCCACGACACACACACCCCATCCTCCAGACGTTCCATAGCTTCCCTTAAGGACCCTCCGTGGTTAGGGTTTCCCAACTTCCGCTCCGTAACTAGCGAGGACCCTGCGCAGCGCGCTTGCAGGGATGTCGGCACTGGCGTGCTTACTCGCTCCATCGCGCCTTCCCCGATTAGTTGCATACATAGGGAGCACCTTGTGTGAGTGAGTGAGAACCCCAAGCTACTCTACTCTAGAAAGCCTATTGTTGGCAGCTCGGAAACGACTCCGACACGTTTTAATTCAGAAGATCAGGAAAGAGCATATTACAGACAAGACAGAGAGACAATTAACTGCCCGTATTAGCGATTTGCGGCAGCGAGGGGTTACGTTGCCCTGTCTTGCAGCTGGCTAGCTGCGCTGCTGACTACAGAGCTACATGTATGTAGGTGTCAATGGTTTTTCGCGCGGGAAATATTTATGGTACCTGCTTAATTCATTGATTTCATGGATCCAGAGTTGCGTACGTACGTGCTTCTCCCGTATCCCCCCCAATCAATTGCAACAGACAGGTTATACGTCGTCAAAGGAGGGGGGACGATCCGTCCGAGAGCTAGAGCTATATGTGGCTCTCGATCCTCTTCTTCTATATACTACTCATATTCAATGACGTTTCCGAACACGACTGCTATTGCATACCATACAAAAAAAAAGCGCCAAATCCACCCTTTTTGTATGTCATGCAATATTGGCCGTGTCCGGAAACGCTATGAAGCTGCGAGTACATATCGATGGCATATATGGTGGTGGTGGTGGTGGGACGAGCTGGAAACAAGCTTTTCCAATGCAGGTGCAGTGGTACGTACGCACCCACTCTGTGCGCTCTCATGTGGAGGAATAAGCTTTTTGCTTTTATAGGGATCGATCTGAGACAGCTATAACAAGTATAACTATAACTATAACTATAGGTACAAGTACATACGACATGAAGGAGCTGGAGGTTTTAGGTTTCGCGGCCTGTCTCGAGATCTGTCTACGAATATCTAATATTGGAATTGAGTGAGAGACGGTCTAAAAGCTAGCTAGCTCTAACGATGGATTTGCAAACCTGCAGATACGAAACTGCCTAAAAGTCGGGGAGACTTTTAATTAGAAGCATATCCAGTTTCCACGTATGCTTGTACCTACACTGGTAGTGAACCGCCAGGTAAGTAGCCAAGTCACTCATGTCTTCTACCAGCACTCCATTGCAAACTAAATCTCTCAAACAACCACGATACCTGCGCTTATTCAGAAGCAGGCATCCCGCTGTCCAGCACAAACGCAGAACTCCGACAACCCTCCCATTGACAGGGCTTCTGCTAGCTACACGCAGTTGCCTTGAGTTCGGAAAACGCCGCTTTACCCCCCTGGCCAACGTCTGTTCAATCATTTTCACGCAATTCGCAAATATCACTCGACGGCACTGCCCGTTGTTAGGGGGTGATGATCATTTAAAGATATACGCGTCCGACACAAGCATTTTTCTTTCCTTTTTGCACGTGCACCCGCGGATATGTCGGTACCACCGAGTGCAGTTTGTACCGGGGTATCGGTACCCGGATTGTCGGCAGCCCATGAGCTTAGCTCTACTCCAACCTGCCGTTGGTTCAAATTCTGCTGGTTCCGAATCTGTCTGTACAGGATAGGAGCTGTGAGACATAAGGGGGTTTTGCTCTTCGAAAATCAATTGGGTCTATCTAATAAATGGGTATATAACATGCATGGCTTTTTCCGTGCCCCCCCCCCCCCCCACCTCCCGGATTCATATGTTCATTATCATAACTTCGTGTTGGACCTTCTATCATTGGCCTTGAGCTCATACTATTGCTTCTGATGCCTCGGACTGACGAATACGAGCTGCCTCACGCACTTGGTCCTTTTCGTCGTCATCATCATCGAACTCTCCTTCCTTACAAGCCCAAGCGTCGACATCTGTTGCAGGGAGGTATACGTCAGCCGCGTTTCACACGATGCAGGGCAACGGAAATAAAAAAGCTTAGCCCTCTTAGCATTTAGCCAAAAGGGATTAAGCTTGTTTTTTATATTAAGTTGGGAGCCGGGGAAAGAGGGATTTTAGAAGGGAGAATAGTATCGTATGGAAGGGCCGAATTTACTACCCTAAGAAACAGGAATACGGGGGGGAGTAACATACGCTTTAATGTCTCCCGGTTCCACCATTTGTTCATGATCCTGAGCCGAATTGGCACCAACAGCACAATAATGACTGGAAACGCTGGCGCGGCAGGTGTAAGTGTGACCGCAAAGATGCCCGCAGTTACTACTATTTGTAGCAGAGTGTACATATGAATTCCACGGTAGCCTTTGATTCCACTGGGTAGTGGTGGCAGTTCACTCGAAGGCCTACGCAATGGTCCAGTCAATAACAAATACCAACGTAAAATAAAGAAGAAAACTCATACGTCAAAATGTGGAAAAATCTTATCAGTATCGGGTTCACGGTTAAACTTTGTTCCCCCATATACAGAAACAGGCCAGCCAAGACACTGGTCGGTGTCAATCCCAGTACATGCATCAACGGCGGGCTCACGAATGCCAAGATACCGATCGCATGCAACAAGTGACTCCACCGCTGCTCATGGACAGTGGTGATTTTCTTGACGCTTCCATCTTCGTCCTTCACCTCCTCGTCATGAAGAAGAGATTCGGAATGCAGAGGTGCTTGCGGGAGGAGTCCGTTCGCAGGGGGGATACCGAGTATGCCGCACATTGCCGTGGTGAGCCCGAGAAGAACGACATCCCATGCGTATCCGCCTGGCTTGCGGACGTTGTATCGCGAGATCGTGGCACATATTGTAGATACCTCGACATCGAAAAAGAAGAGCGTTGTTATAATCATTCCCGGAATCATTGCGGCGAAAATCCATGATACATCAAGCTTCCAAAACTCGACGATGAAGTGGCTTCTCTCCGGTGATGTTGGTCGAAACGACGCTGCCAGGTTGTTAGCTTATCAGTACCATATCAAGGTAATCTCTAGATCATAACATACTCGACACAGGTAATCGTTGTTGATCAAGACTATCCAATTCTCCGATCTGCGGCATGCCGATAAAGAAGATAATTGATATAGCGGCTGCATACTCAGAAAGACCCATTCGCACATATTTGTGGAATAAAGGGGCCCAACTGTTGGCAGTGGAGAGAGTTACAGCCACCAGAAATGTTCCAATACAACCGATTATAGAGTAAAGGAACGATGCTAACGATGTGTTTGCGTGGGATCGCTCCAGCTCTTGGATACTATATGTAATTCAAGTGAGTCTAAGCCCAGGGAACTCCAACTAAATAACTAGGATGTCTGTACTAACGCTTTGTGGAAGTAGATTATTGAGTTAAGCAGCGAGAATATCTCAGTAGAAAACGTTGTCACATACTCCATGGTCCAGTCGTGGGCATTGAAAATGGCAAGTAACCAGTGCATCCAAGCAGAGTGGATACATGACCAAGCCATAAAGGGAAGAAAGTCAATATGAAAGTTCTCATGGCATAACGCGTATATACGCTCTGAGAGAATGCAAAATGGCCCTGTGACACCCAAGATGGTAAGTGGTTGACCTGAGAACCTACAATCACAACCCATCACTCATAATTAGCCATCATCCTAATACTCAATTGATCAAGTATATTAAATCAGTCACTCACAGCGCAAAGACTATTCCACACAACCCTGTTGAAAATACAACTTCAATAGTTCCATAGTTCTTCCCCGTCAAAATATATAGATCACTAGCAAATGTGATGCCCGGCAGCAGGTTTGTAAAGAAGACAAACACAGCCGACGCAAGTATAAGTTGGTTGAAGTGCCAATCGGTATGATACAATTTTGGTCTCCCCTTCAAGTCACTTTTGAGTAATCGAAATGGTGCTAACGCTCCGTTGCCCGTGAATAAAGCTCGGAGACCCCCGCCTCGTATTATTTGCGCTGTTGGAGTCGCCATAGGGCTGCCCTTTTCAGGATCTGAAATGTCAGGGGTGCTACTCCCAGGTTCGTTGATGGTAGTACTGGAACCCGCGACCAATGGTTGCTGATTGGGTACTGGTAGTAAAGTTTTGCTTGAAAAGTTGCTGTTCGACATGAGAAGCTGACAATAGCAAGGTAATTATTATATCGAAGTGGTCATCTTATGGTCTTGATCTATTTGCTTATATGTTCAACTTCGATCTCCGCTCCTTTGAATCCCTTGTTCCGGTAAATTTTGTTGGGTCCAGTGAGATTCTTGTTTAGGTCCGGGTATGACGATGCAACGTGTTTAGAGGGCTTGCGAACCGAAAGTCTTTTTTCGTTCCTGGTTTTTCTGCCTTGCCGTCGTCGCCTGTAGGCGGAAAAGGAAAACACAACTGGAATCCAAAGTTTATATACATACAGCAGATCTATTTGGCCGGCTCGGGGAACTCCTTATGCCCTATGCCATGGCGGCACCCCTGTTTGCGGTAACGTCGTCTTGGCAAGGCAGACTTCAACAACTGCTGGTTTTAGCAACTCTATCAATGTTGGTCGAGCACGCCAATTCCTAGGAAATACTCAAAAAGCACCAGTCCTGATAGCGGGAGGCTTGAATACCTCAACTGGTGATACTATGCACTTCATGTACGCCAATATTATTTTCCCCCTAAAACAGGAGAAGGGGCACCACCACATTGTGCACATTTTTTTTTTTGTTTAATTCATTAATTGCATGCAACCTTACAGTTATGGCAATCACATTGTGCACATTGACTGATAGGCTTTTACCTACATGTACTCTAGAGGAGCAGAGAATTGAGAAGTGCTTTGTCGGTTAATTGGGGCTACTTGATCTTATTTATTCAAAGCGGCGAAGGAAATTGGTGCCTGAAGGTAGTCTTGCAGCCGAGTCTATTTGTATAGCGGAATACGGTCATATCCTCTTATTCCAAGAAAACCCCCACTTATAAATTTCGTTATTGGTCTATAAGCTGTACAGGACATTAACTTTTCCCTTAGATGGGAAGATCTGTACCTACTGAAGCCTACATGCCCGCTTGAGTATGAGATCCTAGAAGGAATCCCAATTGATGGACTAGGATTGCCAGAGATCCTATGAGTGACCTGACCTGCTATGTAGGTACGCGCATAGATAGCGGCTGGGTTATGTTTGGAGATATCTCCGAGTTACCTCATTCGATAAAATATCGTTATGTTATCCTCATGTCTTGAAATTTTCCACGAGTAGGGTTGAAGCAAACTCACCGCTAACCCCGCACCCGACGAGAAGGGTTGTGTCACCCTCTTCTGCATCTTGGGACATCACTCGAAAGTTTACAGAGTGTCTATCCTTCACCATCTTCGATTCCAATACGCGGAACTAATAATAATCAGCAGCAGAAGAAGAAGAAGAAGAAGAAGAAGAAGAAGAGAGATCAACTTTAACTTCATCCCGAAAAGATTCCTGACGCAGAGTCCTGTATAGCAACGGAAAGCACGGATCGAGATGTTAGGGGCCTTGAACACGGGTCAGGGACCCTCCTTGGATTTGGAATCCCTTAGTGCTAGTTATGCCTTCGGAGAACTGGACCCCACGTACTGTTGACTTCACTTTCAGCCTTACGGTTAAAATTATCGTGTGACGGTTTTTCTGGCCCTCGGATAGAGGGTCGGTTTACTATCCTAGTATGATGGTACTGCTGGCATTTGGGGAGAGTAAAGAGGTGGATGACATGTTGGAGCTGTTGAGACAGTCACTGACAAGATCACCCTCTAGGATCTGTCTTCATCGCGGTAATATCTATTACCGTGTCCTCTCGAGTATTCTTTAAGGCTTCTCTTGTTGCACTGGTTGACAGCGTGTTATCGCTTCGGTTTCTGTCCTATACCCACTGAACTTTACGTGTTTGTTCCTAGATGTGAACAATGGCGTCCTGCCACAGATGACCACTAAGTAATTTTAGGATTATGATTCCGTTCCCCCCAACAGAATTTTCGCTGCCTCCTGTCTTACGAATACTACGATGATCATATGTCTTTGCAGAAACCTCACAATCGAAGAAAGCTTACGGACCTTTAGATGCTCCACGTGTGCCACTAGTCGTACGATCTCTTCTGTGGGAACAAGAAACACATTCGGATAGGACAACAGCTTGTATATGCTTCATTGTCGAAGGGGAGGTTGGTCTGGGAGTCTCTACTGATGTTCGAAGTAGTTCATGGACTTGGGTTTCGAGTATCCTAGCCCCTTCTCTCCCCTCCCCCCCTCCCTCTAAGTGTAATGAGCACAGACAAAGGCTTCAGATGTTCGACGATCCCAGTAAATAGGCATTTAGTCACCCCCCTCGAGATTTATAACTACGGTACTAAGCTAGGAGGAGGTGGTAAAGACCCTCATTAACACAAGGATTGGTGGGTGTTCTGTTAGCCGGAATATGGGTTAGAAACGTCTTGTATGTGCATACTTCGTCGTGGTTTTTTTTTTAATATATCTAGAGTAATAATTTGTTTTAATTCCAAGGCCGTATAAAACCCTACTAGTACGAGTATACCCAAAAAATTATTATTGATGTCTCACCACGGCAGCCGAACGCTTCCTTACTCGATGACACACCGCAAGTTTCTCAGTTGGCAGACATTTGCTAATGCAACCTTGGAACTAAGGCAGAACCCTTCGATGTCACCTCGCAAGAGTTGCGATACCAGAAAGATGCAATGTTTTTTTTTTGAAAGGTATTTACAACTTAAGACTAGCACCCACACCAGAACCCCCAAACCCAACAGGAAAGGGTGTGCGAATCTGCCTTCCCGATGCCTAATAGCTACTAATAGCCCTACTGCAAGAGATCGACCCAACCAACTCAACAGAAGCGTCGAAGCTTTAGGTCTTCTAGCTTGGGTATTTACAAACTCCACAAAAGAATGGTTGATGTTAAAATGGCCCTACAGGAACCTGCCGTTTCCATAGCCCCTTTACGTCTTCATGTCATGCACAAGCCGCTACCTGTGAGTCAATCGAGGCCAGGGAGACGTATCCGAATAGAATTATAACTTTGCCTATCAATGATTGCAGTTACTTGTGGCTACTATTGTGGCTTGCGTTCTATGTACTCTACTGCTTATCCTTTCCCGATTTGGGGCACCCGCGTCTATCCCGATATCATTCAATATCTTTCATTCGGGTCTTCTTTCTCCGTGATGTTCGTCAATCCGTGGTGTAGGGGAAAATCATCCCCTTTAGACTTACTTACCAAAAGGCCCCCTTGCTTGGTTATCCAGGATTTTCGTGCCCTCATGATCAGCCATTTGCGTAGCTGTGTCCCCCGCACGCCCTTGAACAAGGACACCCATCTGTCACTTTATCAGCAAATCCCTGGCTTGGCCTTTATTAAGAGGCCCATCACCTCCCTTGGCTGCGGAAGTTTCGGAGTGGTCTTTTCTTGCCTTGGCTTCTGCGAGGGGGCAAGCAAGGAGCTACTGTGACTTCGTCCCTGACCGCTGCACCCGCCATCGAGTGATAGTTTATGATGATGGGTGTCAACTGTCTAAAATGTGGCTTGTTGGCACTCCCGTACTGGCTGTGGGTAAAAAAACATACTGCCTTGATAGTTCTGGTTCGACAGTTTCTCCACTAAATACAGCCCGGAACTTCTATCTTATCAATATATCAGATCCTTCTTCTATATTGTTCGATCTAGTCAATTGTTTTCTTCAATGTACTACATGTAGGTAGCCAGAGAGTCACAGAGCTATATACCGCCAGATAGTTTGGCCAGGGCAGTAGTTCAATAACCGCGAGCTAACCTCCTCTTTCATAACGACTTATATATCAACGCCCAACATCATATTTCCCGTGAATATTTACTCATCTCGCTAGGTGCCTATACTTACACTACAGGTAACTAGTCATCCCCCGCTGCCCTCTTCTTGACCTTCGCCTCTGCCCTCTCCTTCTTCACCCTTCTCCTCGCCGCACTGGAGCTCTCCTCCTCCCCAGCCTCTGCCTGTATCCATCTCTCCCACGCACCCTCACTCACATCATCCAGTATAAACCTTCCCAACACCCCGCTCCTATATCTACTTACCAACCACGCCGCCGTGCTCTCCAACTCTGGTACCCCTCCCTTCTTCAACTTTCCCGTGGCCTTCGCAGTCGCCTCCAAGAGCTGGATGATATCATTGGTGGGCGGATGGTACGCCTTATAGATCGATGGATCAACCCGGTTGATATGGAACAGCAGATAGTCCGCAATCGAGATGAGCGGTAGAAGCGCGTTATTGACGCACCCGACGAGCGCGAGTGAGAGCATGGTGCGTGGGTTCGGCATATACGGTATAAACACACCTAGTACCCACCACCCAGCAAAAATCAGCATCCGCACATACACACCTCCCAACTTCTACAGTTACAACTACTGATGCAAAGAGAGGGACAGACCAGGCGAATCAATCAGATAGATCAACGGGTCCTCCGAGATCTTTACCCCCGTCGCGATCTTCCTCGTCACCCCGGGCTGGCCGCCGGTGATTGCGGCCTTTGTGGTGGACCCGGTGCCGACGGTGCGCAATGAGTTTAGGAGCGATGATTTTCCGACGTTAGGCATGCCAACGATGAGCATACGGGAGCCGGTCATATGGTCTGCTGCTCGCGCGGTTTCTGCGAGGGTGTCAGTAGACCGGCGGTGGGGGGGATTGGGTGGAGGGAGTAGGTACGGCGTGCGTGGTCTATGATCTTTTGGACATCGCGTTTGTCCTTGAAGTTCGAAAAGAGGACTGTGTGCGGGGCGTGCCATTTGCGGAGTCTTTCTTGTGTCTGGAGTGGGGTTTAATTGGCTTGCCAGTCAGTTCACAGCCACCATCGAGTATCCCGAGCTAGTTAACGACCCAACCAAAATCCTGCCCACCCGATCATTACCCCTCGCAAACCCACGTCCTTAAAGGGAAAGAAAAGAATCACCAACCTCCAAATCTAACACCCCCGCCGCCAGGTCCCGCTTCGTATACACAATGATCCTCTCCCTACCCTGCAGCGTCTCCTCAAACAGTGGGTTCCTGGACGACAGCGGTACTCGGTAGTCTCGACACTCGATGATCAGCTCCACCGAAGATACCATCTGCTTCATCTTAGAAAGTCCCAACTTGTGATGCCCCAGGAAGTAGCTTGTGATGAGGTTCGGCGAGAAGGGGAACTCTGTCCGCGGAACGAAGGGGGTGCCCTCGATTGTGGTGAGCGGCAGTGTCGTCTTTTTTGTGCTTAGGCTCCGCCGGGGAAGAGAGACGAGTGATGGGCTAGTGATGCGCCACGTCCGAAGGGGATTACGGACGGGGGCGAACATGGCGGTGGTGATACTATTATTTTGAGAGTTACGAGGTCTACTGGTGATACTTACTGGGCTACTAATGGGCCTATCAATTGGGTTAGTGGTACAAACAAGGGGTTGGCCGGTTGGCCGGTTGGTTGGTACAGCAGCAGCAGGAACAGCAGCAGTCGTCTTGTTAGGGATGTGTAGGAAATTTTTCTGTATTCGTTGGTGCCAAGACTTTGTTAAGCACTGCGGTGGTATGTGTGGCTAGCAATGTCTAGATAGCATCTCATATGGAGGCCTGGAGCATTGTTCATTGCTAGACTCTCTAAATCCCATACACTCTATCTGCCTCTCCTCTCAACCCTTCACGGGGACATGCGATAAGTCACCGAGTGATGGTTCATGACGCGCATGTGTCTGTTAGTGTATGCTTGGCGCCTTGGCGGGGTGTATGCGGCTCTAAAAGTTTTTTGACGTCGAGCTTTGAAGTTTTCAGTCGGTTCTGAACCATCCCAAACCCACACATCCCACCCCACCCCCCGAGAACAACGATGGTCAAGAAGGCAGTGTAAGACCCCCAAAAACTCTCTCCTTCGGACTTCAGGGGCTTGAATTGACAATTGTGCTTTGCAAAATAGTGATAAGCGCATTCCCGACCTGATCAGGAACGGCGTCCAGGTACGAGAACTCCTCCAGTCACGCTTGAGGTATGAAAATGTCTAACACCCCGACAGGAGAAGAAACGATCCTTCTTTGTCGTTGTCGGAGACCGTGGGAAAGATGTAATCCTCAATCTGCACTACATTCTAGGCAGCGCAGACCCGAAACAGAACAAGTCCGTCCTATGGGCATACAAGCACAAGCTCCTCGGCTTCACCAGGTTCAATCCCTCGCTCTCCCCCGGCGCTGTAGGAGATCAATCATACTAACAACTAGGCACCACCTCTACAGTCACCGGAAGAAACGCGAAGCCAAGATCAAGAAAGAAGTCAAGCGCGGCACCCGCGAAGCCAACACCGAAGACCCCTTCGAGCTCTTCATCTCCCTCACTGACATCCGCTACGTCTACTACAAAGAGACCGAGAAAATCCTCGGAAACACCTACGGCATGTGTATCTTGCAGGACTTCGAAGCGCTGACACCCAACCTCCTCGCGCGCACAATCGAGACGGTAGAGGGCGGCGGGCTGGTCATCCTGTTGCTGAAGACCATGACGTCGCTGAAGCAGCTGTACACAATGACCATGGATGTACATTCGCGGTACCGCACGGAGGCCCACGGGGACGTGGTAGCTAGGTTCAATGAGCGCTTCATCCTCTCGCTCGGAGACTGCGCGAGCTGCCTGGTGGTCGATGATGAGCTGAATGTGCTGCCAATCTCGGGCGGGAGGGGCGTGCAGGCGCTGCCGCCGCCAGCATCGGATGCGACTACGCCCCAGAAGGCGGAGCTGAAGGAGCTGAAGGAGTCGCTGGCGGACGTGCAGCCGGCGGGGGCACTGGTGGAGATCACGAAGACGGTGGATCAGGCGAAGGCGGTCATGACGTTTATTGATGCGATTGCGGAGAAGACGCTGCGCTCGACGGTGACGTTGACGGCGGGGCGTGGGCGAGGTAAGTCTGCGGCTTTGGGTGTTGCGATTGCGGCGGCGGTTGCGCATGGATATTCAAATATCTTTATCACTTCGCCGTCACCGGAGAACTTGAAGACATTGTTCGAGTTCATCTTTAAGGGATTCGATGCACTGGGATACAGCGATCATCTCGACTACGATATCATTCAGTCTACGAACCCGGCGTTCAACAAGGCCATCGTGCGAGTCAACATTCACCGCCAGCACAGACAGACAATCCAGTACATCCAGCCACAAGATGCCCACGTCCTCGGCCAGGCCGAGCTGGTCGTTATCGACGAAGCCGCTGCTATCCCATTGCCACTTGTAAGGAAACTTATGGGACCTTACTTGGTATTCATGGCCTCTACAATCAACGGATACGAAGGAACCGGTCGTTCCCTCTCCCTCAAGCTGATCCAGCAGCTCCGCGACCAATCCCGCGGCATCAGCAAGCTCCCCACAGAAGGGGAGGCTGCCTCTCGCGACGGAAAAGCCAGCAAGCGCTCAGACTCTGGAAACATTAGTGGCGGCGGGCGAACCCTCCGAGAGGCAACTCTCAGCGAGCCCATCCGTTATGCCCCCAACGACCCAGTAGAGAAGTGGCTCAACAACCTCCTCTGTCTCGATGCCACTCTCCCCACCAACAAGTCTACCCTACATGGCACCCCCGACCCCGCAAAGTGCCAGCTGTTCTACGTAAACCGTGATACCCTTTTCTCATACCACCCAGTATCTGAGCGCTTCCTCCAGCGCATGATGGGTCTCTACGTGGCCTCTCACTACAAAAACTCCCCCAACGACCTCCAACTCATGTCCGACGCGCCCGCCCACCAACTCTACGTTCTTCTCCCCCCGGTCGCCGAAGACGGCCGTGTCCCCGACCCCCTCTGCGTCATCCAAGTCGCACTCGAAGGCCGCATCTCCCGCGAATCCGTACAAGCAGCGCTCAGCCGCGGCAAGCGCGAAGGCGGTGACCTCATCCCCTGGCTCGTCTCGCAGCAGTTCCAAGACGACGAATTCGCCGGCCTCAGCGGCGCCCGCGTCGTCCGCATCGCCACAAACCCAGACTACACCGGCATGGGCTACGGCCAGCGCGCGCTCCAGCTCCTCACGGACTTCTACGAAGGCAAGTTCCAGCCCCTCGGCGAGGACGCCACATACGTCAACGAGGAGCTCGTCCGCGTTACCGACGAGGAGATCGAGGCCGCAGACCTCAAGACCGAGGCTATCAAGATCCGCGACCGCGAATCCCTCCCGCCCCTCCTCCTCCGCCTCAACGAGCGCCGCCCCGACGAGCTCGACTATCTCGGTGTCTCATACGGTCTCACAGACCGCCTCCACAAGTTCTGGGCTAAAAAGGCAAAGTTCGCGCCTGTTTACCTGCGCCAGACTGCCACAGAGCTCACCGGAGAACACACGTGCGTGATGATCCGCACGCTCGAGGGCAAAGACAACGCCTGGCTCGCCGCCTTTGCAAAGGACTTCCACAGACGCCTGATGCAGCTCCTCTCCTACGAGTTCCGCAAGTTTCCCAGCGTTCTCGCGCTCACCATCTTCGAGAGCGCAACGGCGGGCGCGCGCAGCAGCGGCGCCGTCGTGAACCCGCTAACGAAGGCACAGCTGGACGAGCTGCTGTCACCGTTTGATCTGAAGCGCCTCGAGAGCTATGCAGATAATATGCTGGACTACCATGTGATACTGGACATGATCCCGCTTATCGCGCAGCTCTTCTTCGACGGGCGCATCAGGGCGGGCGTGAACTTGTCGTCGATACAGCATGCGATATTGCTTGCGATCGGACTACAGAGGAAGACGCTGGAGGATGTGGAGAAGGAGCTGGGGCTGCCGAGCGCGCAGGTGCTGGCCATGTTCCAGAAGATTGTGAGGAAGGTGGCGATGTATTTCCGGAGCTTATTGGCGCAGAGTATTGCGGAGGGGCTGCCGAGCGAGAAGGCGGGGAAGGCTGCTGCGGTGGAGGAGGATGGGGAGGAGGGGGAGGGGGAGAAGGCGATGGAGCAGACACTGGCGGAGGATTTGGTGGAGGGTGGGGAGGAGGTCATGAGGGAGATGAAGGAGAGGGAGATGAGGAGGGAGGTGATCAATAGTTTGGACTTGTCAAAGTTAGTGCTTTCCCCTGAACCGAATGTCAAGTAGGGAGTGAGTGGTGAGTGGTAGATGGCATGGGAATATTATGATGTTTCAAACCACTACTTTCTCTCAACTCCCTCACTCCCTCACTTCTGAGAAAAACAGTGCTAACAGTACCACACAGATACGAGATCCCCTCCGCCGAAACTGCCGACTGGGAGTCCGCCGAAAAGCAGATCAAGCCCGGCAAAAAGACCACCGTTGTCAGCGTCAAGACCGTCAAGCAGTCCAAGCGCAAAGCCGGAGAGACCGCCGCGGAGATCTACGAGCAGGAGATTGGCAGCGTGAAGAGTAAGAAGTCAAAGAAGAGCAAGGGCGGGAAGAAATAGAAATATCTAGGCTAGCTAGAAGCAGAAGAGGGGGTGGTAATTCTTGTATTTTAGTTTTTTTCTTTTTTGTTGGATATTAAAAAAGTACTGTATATTTTTTCGTTAATTCATCATTTTTCTTTTTTGGCGGTGGCGATCTCGGATAGGGCTGAGGCGTGTAATGAATATTTTCCATGCGGCCTCTGATATCGGCGGTCTTGAACGGCGTCCGGGGGACGCTATGCTCCCCAAAGTGAACTGAATCATCCTGTAAAGGGCGGCATCCGACAGAGTTGTGATGAACCATACATTTATCCAGCTACAGCTACTAATGTACAATGTAGCTACCCCGAACGAATACGCACCCTGAACGGCGAACATGCACCCTGAACGAAGTTTACCCCCTAAACAATCGAAGTAGTACGCCAGCTTACCAATAGGCAACAGCAACACCACACCAGCCGCCCCCACCAAAGCTCCTGTCGTTGAATTAGTAGCTGCCCTCCCTGAAGAAATGAATCATCAATGCGAGTTTTTGCATGCGAGCGATAAGTCGTTGACAGCATAGCTAATCACAGCACCGAAACCAAAAACCGACGGCGATGGTTTCCGTCCTATTAATCAGTAATAGAGCTGTACGCCCGACTCGGCGGCGGGAGTATTGTCAAGGCTTTTCTATTAGAGGATGACCATGAGACCAGGGGGGTACGTTGTGCACGTATTGGTGATGCAGGGCTAAGAATCCGGGAAAGCGTCTGGGTTTATCGAGAGTACGCGTTCTCTGCAATAACACATGAGCCAAAATGACACAGTTCACTACATGTACGATAGTAAGTCCGCTCGATCTCGGCCCTTCCTCTTCTAGAATCAATGAACCAAAAAAAAAAAAAAAAAATAGCCTGCTAATTTATTTCACCACAAAAAAAAGAACAAAAAGGTACTGCGACGATTTATTATGCGTTACTACCCCCACCCCAGGTCGAACCCAGGACCTTATATATGTCCCTGGGTCAAACACACGGTGTCTCTACCTGAGGAGCAGTCTAACCACTAGACCACTCGCCCATGTTGGATACTGGGCTAGAAGTAATACTTGAGCCTTACCAGTATGTGCCAAGATAGAGAAGAACCCTAACCCTGGGGTCAATGATAGCTGGCATCTTGCGTCACGTGCTATTGTACGAATTGAGATGTGTTATTTTTGCCGCTGGATGGTCGAAGGGACATGGTTTTTTTTTTAATCTACATGCAAATTAGAGTTAAAGATAAATCTTATCCTGATCTCGGTAATTTAGGAGAGTGGGTTTGGGCCGATGTGTGGTGGTACACATACGCCCACGGCGTGGAGTGTCGAGGCCGCCCGGAGATCTTTCGTCTGAGCACTCAGAAATATTTGTCTTGGCGTAGTAGGACGTCGGTTACACAACTCCGTGTGCAACCACCGGTTGAGATTCTGATTCTGAAAGAAAGGGACGCTCAACAGAAAATTTTTACAATGTGTAGAAGTTTAGTGATCCGGACGTGGGTAGTATATTTCTGGGAGCGGGCTGTCGTTTCTCCCTTCTTTCACCGCCGCTGCTCCTCAATTGAAGCCAACTCATCCAATCGCTCAAGTCTAGCTATAATATTTCCGGGGACGGGGTTTCGCTTTTCCCTTCTTCCCCCGCCGCTCCTCAATTGAAATCGACCCATCCCTTCACCCAAGCCTAGCTACACGCAGCTCTGTCCAAAACTTTTGTCTCTAAATCTCTGTACTCGAGCGGCAGTTCGCATCCGCATGTGACCTGCCACATGTATCAGGTCAGACTCAGTCCTCGTAAAAAAAAAAAAAAACGCATATTGCAGTAACTCGATAAGTGGAATGAGAAGAAGATTCTACAGCTATGATCACTCAAAAATGGTATAGTGTAATGAGATTATGAGTCAAAATTGGTGATGTCGTTGAGGCCGCAGAGTACCTATATATACACCCAGTGACGAGAGCAAACATCGTTACAATATCGTGATGACCGCACCACCACAACATATGCAAAAAAAGAGTTTGATAAGCACACAATCCGAGAGCGATGATTCAGTGGCCGCACAAAAGAGAAAAAATCGACGGATAGGCTTCTCTTCCTCTTTCTTCTCTTCATCTTGCTCGCTCACAACCAACTCTGTGGAAACTTTATCACAGAACACAACTCTTCGTAAGGATAGCTTCTTTTAACCTCTCTTTCAAATTATCTTATAATCTATCCTTCGCCCCATTTTTTTTTATTTTTTTTTTATTTTTTTACGTCAGGTAGCTCAATTAGGTTGGTCACTGTTCGCTACAGCGTCGGCATCCTCCACGGCTTATCACTCGGTTTATAACCCTAATCCTGTCTTTTACCCAACCCAAACATCATGTATTCACGATCACAGCCCTCTTTCCTCTGCTTTTCAAATCATCACAAGCCAATACTCCCAATATGTCATCGAGCAGTAAAGATGAGCATTCAGCTAAGAATCTGATTCTTCTAGTACCCCAATTCGGGCCGATCTACAATCCGCCATATAAAAAATCCACAAGCAGACCACTGTACTGCATTAATATACCGTTAATCACCACTCTCTCTCAAAAGAAAACCCCCCAGTAAAATCACCACCACTACAATGGCTGCCCTCAGAGAAGCTCTCGAGAAGCTCACCAGCCTCAGCACCCCACCAACTATTGACACCACTCCATCTCACTCCGCAACCTACGCTGCCTGGAGCCTAGACCTCTCCATCAACGACTTCTGCCCCGAGTGCCGTGTCTCTAACCTCGTCACTAAGTACACCGAGGGTGACGTCGTCTGCGGTGAGTGCGGCCTCGTCTTGGGCGACCGCATCGTCGACACCCGCTCCGAATGGCGCACGTTCTCTAACGATGACACCGGCAGTGCGGACCCCAGCCGTGTCGGCGCCGGTATCGATCCTCTCCTCCACGGTGAGCAGCTCTTCACAACCATCGCCTACAAAAATCCCACCAAGGCCACCACGTCCACCAAGACCACCGCCGCCGCCAGCGGTGAGTCGAATGGGCGGATGCTGCAGCGCACCCAGGCCCGTGTCACGGAGAGTAAGGCCAACCAGTCCCTACTCGTGGCCTATGAGCGCATCGCTTCGTTCTGTGCGGGCATGAACATTCAGAATGTCGTCGTCGAAGCGGCAAAGACGCTGTTCAAGCAGATCGACGACGCAAAGCTGTTCCGTGGAAAGCAAGTGGACATCGTGGCGTCCGGGTGTATCTTTTTGGCGTGCAGGCAGTGTGGTGTGCCGAGGACGTTCCGCGAGGTGTTTTCGATGACGAGGGTGCAGAAGAAGGAAATCGGGAGGATTTATAAGTTGTTAGAGAAATTCTTCAATAATCAAGGGATGGGGGCAGAGAATGGGGATGGAGAGTATAGGGTTCCGGAAACGACGAAGCCGTCTGAGCTCATCCGCAGATATTGCAGTGCGTTGAGAATCGATCAGAGGTGCGCCTCGGTCTCCGTGTCACTGGCAGCGAAGGCTATGGAGCTTGGGTCAGGGGCTGGGAGGTCGCCGCTTAGTAACGCCGCGGCGTGTATCTATATGATCAGCCATCTGTTGGGGACGCCGAGAACCACAAAAGAGATATCGAATGCTGCTGGCGTGGGTGAGCCGACGATCAGGAATACGTACAAGGGCTTGTACAATGATCGTGAGAAGCTCATTGATCCGAAGTGGCTAGAAGATGGGAGGGGTGATGTTAAGAGGTTGCCTCATGCCTAATTTTGGAAGCAACGTTGTTCTTTTATGTTTTTTTTTTGTGGTTTTTGATAACGGGAGGTTCGTTTGTCTCCCCCTCGTTTTGGTTTTGACTACCGCCTTTTACGGGGTTTGGGGATGTTACCTGGTATATTTATAATCTGTGTCAATCTTTCAAAAAAAGATTGAATGAAACATCTATGGTGGTGTGTTGACACGTATACATTTCGCATGTATTACAGGTAACCACCTCACTCCTACCTACTCCTCTGCTCGGCTACATACCGTCTTACATTCCTTATCCGTTTACATATCCTCTACGTTCCTTTCGTTTCTTCCTCTTACATATTACTATACTCCACTACACTTCGGATTAGACCCACCTACAACCAAGGCTGATCCTGCTATATATGCATGCATATATATGGAGAGAAGACGCTACTTGTTGTATGGGGTATCTTCTTATTTCTTATGTTTTATATTTGTTTGGAGTTTTATATTGGATTTACATATTTCCACGGTTGGTATATATGGGCGTTTTGTGCTTTACAGCTACGGCTGCTTCAATGTTTGTTACTCTCTTTCTCGAGGTAGTTATTTACATGTTGCTAGCTAGCTAGAGGGGACCGAATAAAAATGCGGTTTACACAAGTATCTTGTTGATTTTTCTAAGTGATCATGAGTGATTGTGAAGGCTTTCCCCCGAGTTCACACAAACTTTGCCAACCTCCCCTGGCTTAAACTACTCTTAGTAGATATATGCATGAACACGGGTCTGAGAAATCATGTCTTTAATTATGGGTTCAAACTTAACAAACCCAAACCACCCAGTAAATTGACCCATAGGCTTTCCCTGCTGATAGATCAGAGTACTGTTCTAAAGGGTGTATGTATATTATATTTTTCGGGAGTTCCTTTAGCCAGTAGGAGGCTCCATATCAAGTTTGTTGAAACCTACTGTTTTAAGATACTAGATCATCACGGTCGAGCATATTCTATATTTGGAGCCTGAGCGTTACGTTTGTACGTTGGACCGAAATGTAACTCCTAAAACGAGACCCCAAAGAGGAATGCTGTATCATAGCCCATCACTCGGTAGTATAGTGTCTTGGCAGCATCGCCTAGGTCTAGAGAACCACACCAAAAACCGTTGTAGTAAATTGATACATGTATGCTGTATGCTAGGTTTTTGTTTTCTAGTAAATAGTAGCTTGTCGTGGCTAATATAGACACCAAGGGGGTTCTGCGGGAGATGTGAAAAACGATTTGTGTTGTTAATTTACTCTGTGTGAGGTTCCATTTCTTCGCTTATAATCAAGATCTTGAATATATATTCCCTCGGTCTCGATCGAGGTCCAGAGACGTTGCGCGTGGTGAATGTGAATTATCTTCTTGAGGTTTCAAACAAATCTTTGGCTCGAATTCCGGACGCCTTGGTGGGGTTTCCTAGATTAGCCTCGACAACGTTATACAAATTAGACATTTCTTTCAACTGTATTTGCAGCTCCGCGCTGCTCTTGGACTACTGAATTTAACTACCTAGTACAGAGAAACTTATCATATTTCCACCCTCTCGAAATTCCATCACTACCAAACTTCCAGCGGTTAGAGGAAACGATACCTGCAGCTTGTTAGCAAATACCTCTCTCTAAACTCCATCCCTGATAATTCCAGAAAAATTCGGCCACCGCAGGGGTGGAATTATGATAGGTTTTGCTGTAATGGCATTCTAATAATCTCGCCCAAAGAAGGTTAGTATAATGTCACAAGACCGGTTTCGTAATTCTGCCAAGACCTCAATCACCACGCTCTTATCTCAGCCCCACCATCTCTCCATCCAACCCCAACCCCATCCCCCCACCCCACCTCACAACCATGGAGACTCAAAACGCCAATCCCACGATTCTCAGTGTATCCGACCTCCCCAGTCGCCGCCTTGAGCAGAAGAAATCCTCGCCGTCAAGTCTACTCTCTGGAACAGTCCCCGCATACACCAGAGATCCGTTCGCCACTGGTACGGGAGCCGACTACTCGAGCTCAGACGACGATGAAAGCGAAGATGACTCAGTAGTTGAGAAGATTGACGAGCAGGAGATCTATGGTAAGCACAATTCCCGTCTGTCTCATCTTCCCCCTTACTTATTGCTACCGCGCACCAGACTTAATCGCCACAATCTCCGACCCCGAACACCCTCTCACTCTCGGCGAACTGGCAGTAGTAAATCTTCCGCATATCCAAGTCACCGATGATCCATCAAGCCTGACAGGTCGTGTTCTTGTTGAGCTTACACCGACAATCAACCACTGCTCCCTCGCCACGGTCATTGGACTGGGAGTACGAGTCAGACTTGAGCAAGCGCTCCCGCCACGGTTTAGACTGGATGTGAGAATACGGGAGGGAACGCATGCAACTGGGGATCAGGTGAACAAGCAATTGAATGATAAGGAGAGGGTTGCCAGCGCTCTGGAAAATGAAACTTTGATGGGTGTCGTGGGTAAGATGCTAGAAAGTTGCAAGTAGGGCCTGGGATCAACGCATCAGATTGAGGGGTTTGCCGGCTATAGCAACTATCAACTGCTTTGTTAATCGCAATGGGGGTGGAGATACAGTCCAGGCCACTCCCAAAAAAATTTGGGACTTTCACGTCGTACAGAAGCTCTATTGTACTGTTGAGGGATATCTCAAGATTTTGAAGAACCTGTGTTTATATCTTTGCTGGGAAGAACAGGCACTGTCTCACCTATGACGAATATGTGAACTTGCCAGGGCCAATTTCATCCGCGCTTGGCGGGCTGGTTTAAGACGATTTGGAGATTGGTGAACAGTATAGTGCAACGAATTCTTCGTAACTGTAGCTTTCAAAAATCGAGTTTAGGATAGAGTGGTCGTTTCTTACATCCTGGAATCTCTGTCACGTGAGCTAGTGGATTGAACGCTATTTGCCTCGTGTGAAAGCCGACTAGGCCTTCTTTAAATAGGGTCACATGCTGTTAGTTGTGGAAAGACATGGACGTTCTTAACTCAACCAGTCCGCTCCGGAATATCGTGTATCAATGCGCCTTTTACTTCTTCGGGCGATATGATTCCTACTTCTCGACAACTGAAGAGCATTGGGAGCCCCAGGATAACTAATTACACACGATCTCTTGGACTGCTAGCGTATTTGTGTTTAAAAATGTCTGGCTGGATCCTGAGTGGCTCAATGTCAAAGGCACCAAATTGATGGATTGAGTTGTTTCTTTGAACCTACCGCACGTCAATCACATCCGAATATGATAGACTTGATTATCTGTACCCAAGACGTGTAACAAATCAGAAACTAGTCCAAAAGGTTTGTAATAGCAACTTCTGGGGAGATAGAGCCCAGTGCTGTCAAGGTTACGGCTGTAACCGAAATCATGGTCGGCACAAATGTACTGATACACGGACGAAAGACTAAGGAAAGTACACCTAGGTGCCAAGGGTTGTGATGGCGGCCCCCCACCACCACCCCAAACTCATCAAACTTTTCCTCGTATGCTATGGCTCTGTAGACTAACTCGAGCAGTCTGTAGGATATACGCCGGAGAATATTCCTTTCACTTAGTTCGTTTAGCGATATACTGATAAATTTCAGACAGACTTCTAACATACCGGCTTCCGCTGAGTACATACATGTACTTTTCATATCCAACTCCTGACATACCAGATGCCAGAGGTTAATATCAGTTACATACACGGATACCGATTCTAAGAACATCCTCCGATGCTTCGAAGCTATGTACAAAGCAACAAGCAGAAGTGTTCCATTTATACTCCATCAAGGCATCAATGGTTATCCAAAGAACATTCCTATGCACAGCGCATATATACTCATTCGCTGTGATGTAGCGAACGCCCTTAGCTATCCTGTTCTCTCGAATCATATATGTTCCCTCCCACCTTCTATATACCTGGGAGCCAGTGATCACGAGCCCCACTACAATAATGGACTGCGTACTCATTCTTCTCACTGAACGGCATGCTATTAGAGCATCACTAGCGGTGGAGCTCTAGATACCCTGCTCGGAGTCAAAATAACTATATCTCAACTTTTCCTTGTCGTTTCGATCTTTCCAGAAGGCCCCTGTTACCGACCCAGAATACTAGTAATGCAGGAACAATCCCGTCACTAAAGAACTTTAGGAACTTCCCTCCCCCCTGTTAATACAGCTTGCAGTAAGATTATTGTAGAAATATGGGAGGAGTCCTATTAGCTTGCCCAGCCAGAGAAACCCTGTTTTTAGACCCCTGTTTCTACAATAATTCTACCTCTCGCTGTATTGACTATTGGTTATTTGCATGAGACTGCGGCCCGACATATACTGGGCAGTGGGTATCACAAAGGTTGACACACCCACAGGATAAATTCACGAAATCTATGATTACATACTGGAGCAAAGTCCTATGGTTGGTACTTCTAACTGTGTGCAATATTGAAGTGCAGAAAGTCTGCAATCGTCGAATCACAGCCTTGCGTGACTCGCGAAGCCACGTGCCGTTGACCCAATGCCAGTGATACACAAGCGACTCGCATCAAACGGTGTCTCATCGGCTTCACCACCGGTACCCGGGAGAGATTGATAACAATAGCAAGCAACCCATCCACAATATTTATCACGCCGCAAAGACCCGAATGTTGGGGACAAAATTTGTTTGGCTCTCGGTATCTCCGATCCTACGTCCTGGTACTCTACTGAAGAGGGGTCTACATAATGTACATATGCCAATGTAAAGTTATCTGGGCATTCCGTAAATTCAACACGAGACGCAAGAGGATAAAATGCGGGGCGGTGAAACAGAATCCAACCGGCAGCGTCGATTTCGCTTACCAGAATAAAGTTAATGGTTATACGCTGGTCTTTGGTTACAGTTTTTGAAGTTTTGAAATTGTGAACAGGGAAGCATAGAACATTGGCATGCACGCGTGCTGCGCATTCCAGCTGGTTGGTGCTTGTGGCGTTTTCTATCAGGTGTTCCTATTACTCCAAAGGCAGTAAGCCGATATTCAACCTCACGTCTTGCGTTATTTGATAGGCGTAGAGTAGTTACTCAAATCTTCGAACGATCGCGAGATATCCAACATTTAACTGGAGAAATAAACCCTCTTAGACGAGAAATATTTGGTGGTGGTCTGTAGGTCCAATATGGTTTTTGTTGCCCATATCAGGATCTACCTGCATGAATTTCACAGCTTTGTGACTTTATGCGCGTCTTCAGGCCCACATAACTTTACCTAACAGCAGCAAAAAAAAGCTGTTCTGGTGACATGACTGGAAAACATCATGGTAAATATTTCCGAATCGGATGCTCACTCAAGAGTACCCGCCACTGCTCTGCCAGACATAGTTCAAGCGATAGGCGACAAAGTAAAGCTAGCACTCGGCACTCGCCTAATCTCACGAGATAGCATGGATTGTTTTTGCCTGGGCTTGACCAGGAAGGGATGAAGTGCAGTCCCGCCATCGCGGGCAGCTGCATGATAATTTAGAGTGCCTAGGTACTCTACCTTACTAGGATTGGTGACTATTTAGACAGGTAACATTTCCCTCTGGGAATTGTGCTTTTTTTTTCTTCTTCCTTTTTCTTCCTCACACCCTCCGCTCCCCTCCTGTTCACAACTGCGCAGCTCAGTCTGAGACTGTGTTAAGTCAAGAGACACAACGGTCCCCTGCGGCCAGACAATTGAACTCCTCTTGCGAAACCCTGATCTAATTAACTTAGCCCCTCCCCACTAGCGACTACAAAAGCCTCGCCAAAGTCCTCAACTACTGTAGCTTGTTAGCTTAGGTCCTTCACAACACGATGTATCCCGAAGATGACTCCAAAATTTCCCCGCATGCAGCGGAGTTATCTGCGTCGCCGGTAGAAAGCTCGAGCGCCGAGAATGATATTCGTACTCCCCCCAAAGGAAGATTTGCTTATATCAAGTCGCCGCGATTTTGGCTGGTTCTGCTGATAGGGTATGAATATAACCCATAATTTTGTGGAAGAGAATTGAGAGAAAGATTGGGGAAGTTAACAAGATATAGACAAATACTATCACTATGCATCACCTCTACAAACACCTTTTCCGGTCTTCTTGGGATGGAAGGAACCTCGATACCCGCATTCCAGTCCTTCTTCAACTACGTTCTGCTCAACCTTGTGTACACCTCCTACACCCTGTACAAGTATGGATTCAAAGGATGGTGTAAGATGGTTTCGAAAGAATGGTGGCGATGTAATCTCACCCGCCCCCACTTCCCCGCCTTGTAGTAATGAGGCGCCCACTGACCACTTCACCACAGACATAATCATGGCGTTCCTTGATGTCGAAGGCAACTACTTCGTGGTCCTTGCATACCGCTACACGACAATTCTCAGCGCCCAACTAATCAACTTCTGGGCTATTGTCGTCGTCGTGATCATCTCCTTCTTCTTCCTCCATGTGCGCTACAAGTGGACCCAAGTCCTTGGCATCTTGATCTGCTGCGGAGGCCTCGGTCTCTTACTTGCGAACGATGCCAAAAACGGTAGTGTAGTCGGTGGAGTATTGCCAACTGAGGTGAAGGGAGATCTTTTCATGTTACTTGGAGCAACATTTTATGGTTTCAGTAACGTGTTTGAAGAGTTCCTGGTGTCGAAAAAACCTATGTATGAGGTCATCGGACAGATTGGGTTCTGGGGAATGTTGATCAACGGCGCCCAGGCTGGTATCTTTGACAGAAGTAGTTTCCGTACCGCAAACTGGAACTCCAAAGTTGGCGGGTACATGACTGGATTCACCTTGACGATGTTCATCTTCTGTAAGTTTGAAAATTTCTCATATTTCTTTTTTCATGACGGTTGGATGACTAAGTGGAGTAGACACCGTGGTCCCCATCCTACTACGCATGGCATCCGCTGCGTTCTTCAACATCTCCCTTCTCACTGCAAACTTCTGGGGTGTCTGCATTGGAGTGCAGGTTTTTGGATATACAATTGGAAAGTGGTACCCAATCGCCTTCGTAATGATCATTTTGGGTCTGGTCATCTACTTTGTCATGAACGGGACGCTGGGAGAGTCTGAGAAGCCCTGGCTCGGGGAGAATCAGGAGGAGGGTGTGGCAGGTGTAGGGACTGCGAAGAGAGCCCTTGGGAAGGGACGAGGAGACGAGGCCTAGGAGGAGCCCCAAGCTTCGGTTATGTGGAATCTTCTTTTGTTCGTTAAGGGGTGAACCCGTTTGTAGATGGAAAGGAAGTTTGTCTGCGTTCGAGGAGTAGTTTATATTATGATTGGTATATATTAATGATCTTTAATTTGCCGTTCTTCCTTGTGGTATTTACATCGGGACCGTAAGCTTCTCACTTTTGATATGGTCAGCCAACTGGTCTATTGTTTCTTCCTACCACATTTAATCAATTCTAAAGCCCACGGTTCATTACGTTCGTATAACGGCCGGCCCCAACCCCAGTACAATAGGCTGGGCTGGTCTAAAACACTTCAATAGCTCAGGCTTGCGGTTGTAATGTAGTAACGCCTGCTTTAGAGCTCATGGCTAGCTTTGTAGTAAGGACATGTGAACACGCCCCAAGGAGTCCAAATCAAGAAGTGAAGACGTTATCAACCATTGAAGCATATTTAATGAATTAAACAAAAAAAACGTTGAAGCATGAGCTATCACTCGCCCCAATCGAAGCTCTGTTTCTTCTCTTTTTTTTAAAATTTTTCTTTCCCTTTATAGATGCTGTCTACTTTAATCGAGTGTTGTCTCGTTCCTATAATGAACTGGTACTATGAGCAAACAACCTCGTGATCAATACCAACGCCCTTCTTGCTCCTATCCAATAGCCAGTGCCATAGCCGTAAAAGTGCTTTCTACTCGGGGACAAAGGAATACAAAAACCATAGTACTATATTGGAATTACTGATGCTACTCCTACCCCTGGTTCGAATGTCCCAGGAGGTCTCCGGGGTATCAATATACAGTGTTGTTATGGGGGTAATCTAGGGGTGTTACTAACTAGACCATTCACCCGGCTATATTTTGCAGTGCCCCCGAATTGATATTTGACAGAATAGCTAGGCCGGCGCCAAGATAAGTGGTAATCTCTAGCCCTGTCGAACTCAGCGCCAAGAAAAGGCTTGCCGCACCCCCGACATTCCACAACGCAAGACACCCATAGGTCCCCAACACCCCCCCAGAATAAACGTTTACAACATATACTAGCCTTATCCACCCACTGACGCACCTCCCATGCCTGGAACCCCCCCCCTTTCGCAACAAAACATAGGTCAAGACAAAGCCTAGGGCCATTCTTTATATCTCAGATAGAAAATGACTAGCCCATAGCACCGCCGCCTATGAATAAGCTTAAATCTAACCCAATTGTTGGTAAGAAGGTCGTCCCTCCTCCTCCTCCTCCTCCTCCTCAAGTACTGACCTAGACAACTAGCTGAAACTACTAGTACTGGCAGCCCGTACCCCTCAGAGGGGCTTCTATGCAGACTTACCAGCCTAACGTATATGCTTGTCCGCTCATTCCTTGAGGTCCTTTGCGCCATATGCTTTTATTCGCTACGACTTTCAACCACAAACACATCGAGTTCATACCCAGTTCAGCATCAACTCTACTTTAACCCCTCAACAATGCTCCGACCATATATATAGGAGGTTATGGAGCTTATATGTATACATTTCTACCAGCAAGAGACAGGGCAATAACCCCTATATGACCACACCTACCGCAGCTACCAACCACTTTTACCATAAGTCTCCGCACATAATATAGATCAAGTCATACGCCTCTCCACACCAAAGATTCGAAGCTAGATATTCATCTCATATGTTCTATACCTCTTTCACTAACTCCATATTCATTTCCGTAGGTGCAGCGCATCAAACACCGGGAGGATACATGCAAGCTACACCCCAACACTAGTCAAAAAATACAAGACGATAGTAAATACACACCCCGATAACTTTCAGGCTACCCATAATTCCATTAGTGTAGACTCTGTGGATCTCCTTGGTGCCTGCTGGGATCCCCGCGGGGGGTCTTAACACCTCTAATAAGCGAGTGATAGTTCATGACTATGATTTCTAATACTAGCATTAGTTCTGAGCATAGGCTAGTGACTACGCGGAAGTCATTCCCTCCTGGGTGACTTATTAAGAGTTGAGGGGTAGTGAGTAAGTCCTAGCTGGGTGATCACGTGAGTAATAGGCATGTGTGGGCGTATAGCCGCCCTCTATCTTTACTTTGCGCCGACGGCTCTCGTATACAATCTCTCAGATTCTCTTCCTATTTTTTTGCGTGGCGTGTGCGGTTGGGAGTCGATAAGTCCCTCATACCCCTCCCCAGTTTCATCCGCCTCTTTAACAGAAACTTGACTAGCGCAGAACTCGCCCTATATCCTCGTCTGGGACATACTTATCTCATCTTAAAAAACACACTAGACGTTTAAATAAATAATACCGATATAACCAGCCTTGTTGACCTCTTTATCTGATCATATTTGAGTTTGACCGTCTAGAAGGACGATTAATCCTCTCCCTCAGCATAACGAATTATCAATCCTTCTCTCAGCTTGCATGTAATTAATTAATTAAACAAAAAAAGAAAAAATCCTTCTCCCAGCAGGCGGCAGATAGTCGTCGAGTGATATCTCATGATGAAGATATTATATCACCTATCAATTTAGTTTGTCATATATCGACCTTCTCTTCGAGGTTCTCCTCTTTTTTAGTAATTACCGGAAAGCTTATCTGAAGACGAAAGGGTGCTAGGAATAAGAAGATCTTAGAGCTCACACTACCAACGACGCACTACCAAGGAGACGCACCCACCCACCCACCCACCCAACCACAACACATCGCAGCAAGGGAAAAAAAAAATTTATTTTTCTATCTTCTCCACAGCCCCGCCCAACCAGAGTACTACATACATGTAGTACTACCCTCAGTCAAACAAGCTCTCATTTTTTTGCAGCCATCATTAACCACCACTGCTTCTTCCCTGCAGCATGCAGCCAAAAGCTGCAGAGAAGCTACACAGGGTTAACATCACCTCTTGCATTTTGAAGTCATCATCGGGTCCTCCCTCTATCTCTTGGGGAGGGGGCGGTGAGAAAAGCCCTCTTTATATGTGGCACAACCTTACCCTTGCAGGCCGGTGCCAAGAGATCTGTGGAAGCTTAAACAGACAGGCTGCATGAGCGACGTCACTGTGTATGTGCCTGAGCCGTTGCGTTGCGGCCGAGAGATTCATAGTGCTTAAAGCGCCCCGCCCCGCCCCGCCCCCGGCCCGTACATAGAGTACGATGGGTCGCCGTGATATTAATCCTGGCCTGCCGGGAGATTTTGTGGGTACATGTAGCTACCCTAGTTACTCGACATGACGCTTGCCTTGCTTGACACTTGCGGGGAGGAATATATGAAGATACTAATATTCTGAGCAGGGTTTAGGCCCCCAGCCCCTCCTACTCTATCTACTCGTATTTCACTGACGTTTTTGAACTGGGCCATTATTGCATACACCCAAAATCATGAGCTTGGTGTATTTTTGTATGGCATGCAATATCAGTCGCGTCCACAAACGTCAGTGAAATACAAGTACCCACTCTACATACACTCGCTGCATGCGGTGCGAGGGGGTACAGATAGATGGGAGTTGCCGGGCTCACGTGAGGGGGTGTGTGATGTTGACTCCGGTGGGGAGAAACGAACTACCGAGAGAGAAATATCGAAGAGCCAACTGCAGGCGCGAAGGAGGGAGGGGCAATTGAATGTGGGTTATCTAACAAGGAATTTGGGGCGAAAGGAAGAAAACACAGCTTCTCACCGCCGCAGAGGACCCCCTCATAAAAAAACTTGGAACGAAATCGTTGTGCGCCCAAAGAATCCAGTTTTTTTTTCCTGCTTCATTTTCCACCGCCTAAAACTGCGCACCAGAAAGAAAGTTTTTTTTCAGGCACATTTATGTAAATTCCTCTTGGCAACGGACATGTGACATGATAGTCGATATTGATATCGATATGCAAAGAATAGAGAGACATGGTGAGACTCGTACCGGTGTCACAGGCTAGGTACCTCCTCTACAGTAGATCCTCACCTTGGCCCCAAAAGAGGGGGAAACAATAGATAGACGCCACATCCGAAGAAAGAAACCAGGTTTTTTCTCCTCTCAAATCAGTCACGAACGTGGTTGTCGCTGACTGGTTGTAGGCGAAATCCCCGGGCTGATCTGGAGGAAGGCAGGAAACAGAAGCGATCTCGTGTGACACAGCGATCTACACTTTGTGTTGTAGATTTGAGCATGTATTACTCAGTCCTCAGGAAAGTAGGTATTTTGCAGAGTAAACGATTGTCGATACATATACTCAGTCGTTAATTAAAAGGTCGGAATTTTTAGTAAGCATTTGGTTGCAACGATATCCGAATACTTAATTAACGCGCGAGTAGTAAGTAGCAAAAAATACATGTACGAGTGACTTTTCATGACCAAACCAAGTAGCATACAGACATCGTCTCGTAACTTCGTCAAGTGTAAATGATCTAAGTAGTAGTCCCCCCTTTTGTTCAGTGCACTGGAAAGAAAAACAAACACACACCCTATTCCCCAAACCTAGCCTGCTAAGTTAGAAAAAAGCCAAAAGAAAACGACCGACAAAAAAAAAAGAGCCCCCTACTCCTCCCCCGCCTCCCAAGATAGCTAGGTCTAGGAAATAAAAAAGCCAAAACCAAAACAATAACCCCAAAGCACCGAAAAAAGAAAAAACGCCCCCAGAGTATGGCACACACAACACAAACACAACACACACAAGCACAGGGGCAGAGACATCTTCAGCCTCGTTCTCACCACTGTCTAAACCGACTCCTCCGATCCGGTTGTCTCCCATGCTTTTCATTCACCATCGACATCGCATGATGCAGCTCCTCCGTTCCCGCCGCCGCCCCACTAAAGTCATAGATCTGCCTCTCCGTGATGGTCTTCACATCGCAGTCCCGCAGCGTCACCACCGCATCCATCAGCATCTGTGCACTGACCTGGTCCGCCACATACAATCCCTCCTTCTCGCACCGCACCGACACAAGCTCCAGCCCCGTCAGCGCCGGAAAGATGCCCGCCCGCGTCGCCAGATACTCGCCCATCAGCACCTCCGCCTTCTCCTCAACGAACGTCGCCCATAGCACCAGTGTCTTGAGGTTCGGCAGTACCACCGGCCGCTCATCGTCCTTGTCCAGTAACGGCGGCGTCCCTGACCCCGACGACGACCCCGACCCCGACGACGACTCCACCGACGCCCGGCTCGACACACTGCTCCGCCGACGTCGGCCCCGCCCAAGCATGTCCCCGTCACTGTCCCGGCCGCTCCGCCGCCCCCGAAATATCAGTCCCATCGACACCCGCCCACGATAGAAGTCCAGATACGTCAGCGCGGGGCTCGCCCTCAACAGTACGCGCAGCTCCTCGCATGCGCCCTCATCCACGCCCACCAGTCCATCCTCGTCAACGGCGAAGTAGCTCTCCGGTACACTAATGGTCAGGTGAGTCAGGGCCGTCGGTCCCACGGTGCCGTACGAGCAGCCGAGATCGCGCCACCAGTCGGTGCGTGTGAGCTTCCGCAGGTGGCGGCAGTGCGAGAGGAGGGTGCACATGAGGGAGCGGGCGGGGGCGGCGGAGGTGCTGTGGGGCTCACCAGAGAGGTCGTGACATTCGAAGATTTCGAGGGAGGGGAGGTGCGGGATGAGGGAGAGGAGGGCGGAGCGCGCGGTGTGAACTGGTGGCTCGTCTTTGAGGAGGGGGTGGCCCCAGTTGAATTCTTGGATCTCGTTCTCATCTTGGAATTGGGGAAGCGGGGCAATGTCGATTGTGAGGCGGCGGACGAGGGTGGTGAGGTGCGGGGAGCTAGGTGGGAGAGGGGAAGTTTAGCCCTCAGGAATTGCAGGCAAAAGATATCATGATCCTCCACACACTCTCTCTCTTTCTCTTCGGTACATATGCAAAATGATAATGGCAATTGATGACAGGGAATTTAAAAGAGCTCACCCCCTCTTCTCCTCCAAGAGTTCCGGGCATTGGTTTTGGGGGAATTGACGATTCTCGCCACCCAACGGACAGACGACGACAGCAGGCAGAAGGCAGAGGCAGCAAAACACAAAACTCACCTCTTCAAAACTCGCAACTGGCTCTCGCGGTAGGCATAGGGATCGAACCTGATCTCATGATACAGTTTCGCGACCGCCAGCCTCCAAAAGGTCCTGCTGACAGCCGCAACGCGCGCCAGGTCCGTCTTCTCGAGGTATCCGATGATTTGCTCCAGAATCTCCTCTGGGAGCTTGTGGGTGTTTGCGTTCGTTCGCATGTTTGTGTTTAGCATGATCATGACTCTTGTCCAAGTCTAGTAGTGAGGAAGGTTCAAGCAACTGCTGTGCTGCTGTGGTGAGTAGCAGTCGTGGGTAGTAATAATAACGGTAGTAGTAGTAGGGGTTGGTGAAGTGTAAATGCCGGAAAGGAGGTCATTGTTCGACTTCCTTTTTTTTTTTTTTGCTGCTGCTTGCTGCTGCTTTCCCCCCCCTTCCCCTTGCCTTCCCTTACTTACACCCCCCCCCCCCCCCGTTGCTGTCTCGTTTATTTTATCAGATTTTTTTTACTATTGCTACTTACTGCTACCCGCGGGCGGAAGTTGAGGCCGGCCTGATAGGGATGGTCTTGATCGTCGTGACGCTGTGCCACCCTGCATTGCGTAGCAAGAGACCCGAAACGAACAGGCAGTAGAAAAAGAAAAGAAAAAAGGAAGGCCTGTAGACGGCATCATCATACATGGCCAGCCAGGCCCTCCAAACGAAAAAAAAACCGACCCATGCAGCTTTCTGGTTACCGCGAGTCGACCTCGTGGGTGGGAATTCCGGGAGGGAAGAGGAGCCAGGCTAGGTACTCTAGAGTACATACCAGCCAGCGCCAAAACCCTTGCAGGGTCCAGGGTGGGAAAGAATAAATCGAACAACTCTCTCAAATGACATACCGATACCTACTCTAGAGAACCAGCGTTCTAGGTACTCTAGGTACTCTACTGGCTCTGCGTAGGTATCCCATCGTATGGATATACTCAAAGCGGACGTACTCTAGTCGTCGCCCCTACCAAAGAAGAGAGAGCAATTGCTGCAGGTGCAGGCCAAGAGTGATCAACCTCTCTAAGCTCTTCCTTCACGCTTTCACACTGCGCCCCTCTGCCTGACCCCCATGTGAAAAAGAGTAAAAAAGCCGATTACCGTTACGTTACCGAACCAATTTACTCAGGCGTAAAAGTAAAAAGAGAAGTGTGTTTATTATCGATATGTTGAACACAGTCACATGACTGCAGATGTCACTGGTAGAGTAATAATAAACGTAGTCCCGCTGTTGACCGTTCGGCATTGCTCTTCCGAGCAAGCAATTGGAACGGATCCAGCTGGGAATGAAGTGCTGAAAGCCTCTGCATAAACACACAGACGCTGTTGCATAAGGCAGCTACCTAGCTGGGGAGTGTGTGGGTAAGCTACTCGATGCTATGAGCAAATAGGCATATTAGCTGATGATCATAACTGGGGAAAATGAGATCTTCCAGAACGTTTTATTCTCCTCGGACCAATCAGAGGTGGAGGCAAATCAGAGGTTGTCAATTGCCTTACTTTACTTCACTTTGAGAGACATTCAACTCCCGGTGCGGTGAGGTTGATGCTGTTCTATTCTCGTGATAGATAAGGTATGGCCTGGAGAGACAGCTCGAGAGACAACCGTACCTAGAGCACTAGTAGAATAGTAATAAAGTACAAGTATGCAAGTAAAGCATTTGTGACTTGAGTGACCACCTGTGACCGCGCGTCATTCTACAAACGAGTCTACTACAGATAGTAATTACATCTCAACCCAAACCCAACTATCAATACATCTCAGCGCCCACGCGGGAGGCACAGTAAAGTTACCTATTTACAGACTCACCAAGAACACCTCTCCCCCGTCTAGCACATGTTTCAAATCTCGATCCCACGATCCACCAGGATTGGGGAGCTCCCAAAAACAGCGCTATGTATCCACGTTGGACGACCAGACATGAAACTACCTTACTCTACCTAGAGTAGGTTGAGGAGATCAATGATCTACAAACAAACCCTCCCTACCCCAAAACAAGATTACCGAATTCCCGCGAGACAAAACGATTGGACCATCGATCCCGCTTACATTCGGCTGAATTGGGAAGATGGATGAAACAGACAGCATATGCCAATATCTACTGGGTTGGTATGGGTAAAAAAACGTGATTGAACTTTTTCTTCTTCCTCCTTTGCTTACTTCCCCTTCTTCTGCCAGTACCTGCCAGCCAGTTAAGTATCAACATCCAACCCGGTTTAAAACAACGACAGATGACGACAACAACGACGACCAACAGCCTCATTCAACCGGGAATGAGGTCATATATATCTGTCCATCTGAAACGAAACGGAAACAATCCAACGAAAATATAGCAAGAGAGATATGAAACGAAATCGATGTTGACAGCAACACATGCAAAGCAAGTTTCATCAGTATCAAGCAACCAAGAGTAGAGTATGCTAGCTAGAAAGAAAAGAAAAATATGAAAAAGAAAAACAAAAGGCTAGCCATGAAATCACTATATTACACGGGAGCTTTCGAATTTCCCTTTCCCTCCCCTCATCTCTCCCCCCTCTCCCACTCCAATCCCCAACCCCATTGAATCTTGGAACAATTGTCAAGCTCATGCAATGACTAATGGTACTCGGTAGCAGGCAGGCAGCTCAGGTAAACTCTACTTATTCTACATCCTGTTTCTCCAACCAGACCTTCACGCCGTCCCACACACACTGTCCACCGTTCTCCCACAGCCAGGGTACAATTGAGCCTATTCACGTGGTTTATATCACCCCATCCCGGCCCATAGATTGATCCATCTGCCCGCCCGCTCTGCCGGCGCGCTTATAGTGAAGCAGCACCGATACTTCTCCATCCCAGCACAAGCATCACAAGCCCTCCCCTTGTCGATCCGGGACAAGGGACGTGCTAAAGAAATGAGAAAAGAAAACAAGAGAAAAGTCAACAAATCAAAAAAGCAGATACGCCGGATAACAATACGGAATAGAGGGATTTGGGAGAAAAAATAGATTTGGCGGTGGCAGAAATAAAGGCAAAAAAAGAGAGAAAAAAGAAGATATAACATTTCCCTTTGGCAGTATAAAATAAGATATAAAAAGGAAATTATCGCAAAACGCATAAGCCAGCGCCAAGAGAAAGAAAGATTCCCCCACCGCCTTTTTTTAAATTTATTTATTGAATCCTTCTCGCAATTTACGCCTCCTCTTTCGGGACCTCCTCCTCCTTCATTTCCACCTTGGTTGGCTCCTCGCTGTTTTCATCAGCTGCGTCTCCCGCCGTAGCCGTTTTGACTGCCAAATTAATGGCGATCTTCTTGCTGGGCGGGCTGCCGCTGCCTCCGAAACTCCTCTTCCTCGACCCCATTTGGATGAGGCTACTTCCACCACTTGGGCCTCTCTTTTTTGTCCTAGACAGTTTACCCAGCTCATCATCGTCTTCCTCCTCTCTCCTCCTCTTCTCTGCCAGTCGCTCGGGCATGGGCAGGCTTGATACCGGCTCTTCTGATTTTGACCTGACCGTTGACGGTGACGTTGAGGGGCTTGGGGTTGCTGATGATGAAGGATCCTTTACTGGCGAATCTTCCGTCTTTATCTCAACCTTGACCTCACTCTCGTCTTCCTTCTTTACAGCAGCCTCCTCTCCGACATCATCCATGGATTCTTCATCTGCATAATCCACCAATCCCTTCATCACCGGTGGTCCTCCGTTAATAAGCCTTAGGCCTGGAGCGTTGTCTTCTTCGTCTGAGCCGTTGAAATATTCCTCTTCCAAAGGATCTGCTTCCTTGATTCCGTCCCATCTTCGTGCTCCGTTGATTTGGTTTCTACAGGTCGGACGAATAGAGTGTGAGTAACAGTAACCTTTGGGGGTTGATGACACAGCATATACGAAACCAGCTAATTAATACTAACCTTGGCGTGCGGTCTACCTCGGAGGGATAATTCGACGGCAAAGTACTATCTTGCATTTGATCGTTTCTTAGGATTAGAACGGAGAAGGTATCGACATATGTAATCTTTGACATCTTTTCACGGTAATTCTCAACCAAATGAAGGATAATTTGCTTTACGTTTTCCTGTTGTCCAACCCCGTTAGCACCATTGAACACCAGTGATAATATGACCAAAAATACCCACAGAAGGGGAAAGGCTCCAAACCCGTTTGATGAATTCAAAGAATTCTAAACAAGCTGAATTGAGTAAATTATCTCTTGGCATAGTTTCAATAACAATGTTCAAAATGGGTTCGAACAACTTGTGCTTGATCATATGCCGGATATAAAACTCATCCTGTAAACCTACACATACGCGGAAAAATTTCAATGCAGTGAGCTTGAGGTGTTCTGTGGCGATTCAAGAAGCTGTGCTACTCGCGATGGTAAGTTTTCAGCTAGTAGGAAGTATTTGCCCCGGAATGCGTGTTGTCGGACGAAAATGCACAATGTCTCCACAAGATGTGAATACAGTGATACCTCCGCTATCGATAACCCTTTTACTGTCCATTACGAAATTCCGTCAGTCATTTACTCTCTTTCCATATCCCCCGCAATACACACCCTCCATATTCTAAAGTGTCCTTACGTGATGTTCTCTTGCTTAAGTCAGATAATGGCAGAAATAGTTTCTTGGCAGACTCATCATAAAAGTTTTTCAAGAAACTCTCCGTCTCGTGGTCCGTGGAATGGCTTCGTAGTCTCATGGTGATATCACTGGTCTTTCCAAGTCCTTCAAGTTGCGGTCCTGTCGCGGGATCCAGTAATACCCTAATAGCATCCGCAATTTGTCCTTTACTCCCAAATCCTGCTCTCCCAGCAATAGTTCGATTAATGTATCGGTCAATGGCTTCTGTTTGTCGCTGATCTGCCGGAATATAACATTGCGCATCATCACTGGATCATGGTCTATCATAGCCACAAGGACCTCAGTACCGGCGATCCTGACTGCAGCGTCTTCGTGAAGCAGCGCAAAATCTATAACGGCAAATAGGCCATTCTGAATAAAGTGTGTGTAGAGCTGGGTTCGTGCAGGACCCTGGAGGTTCTTTGCGATAGAACAGCATTGCTGAATGAAGAGAACACCATTCTTCTTTTTCGACGGTTCCGAACCCTCTGTGTGAAAAATCGCGAAAAGATCCTTTAGGAAAGCTTGGTTGCTTTGCAAATGTTGCAGGATGTCAACCTGATTGAAGAAGATAAGAGAATTAAGTACGGAGAAAGTCGGATCGTCGAGAATTCTGGCCAGCACAACGTCTTTCAGATACTGCAGCCGGTATGTCCAGTGGATCTTTTTCTTGATTTCCGGATCTTTTATCGGCACTACCTCCTTGAATTTGATTTGTCCGAGAGGAATTGGCGGTGATTGGCCTTGTGGCTTGGGAAGTCAGGGTCATCTGCATGCAAGCCAGGGGCGTTAGCGTAAGTGGCGCACTGCATATCGCGTTTCCCATCTTCCTAAACTTACACTCTAGGATCCCTACAACCCCCAGTACAACCTCATCCATGACAATGTGCTCGATGATCAACGTATCGTTCAATAAATCATCATCTTCATAATATTGCATAATCTGTGAAGGTTATCCAAGCTCTCTAAGTCCTCCGCAACCTCCAATAATGGAATAAGCTTTCCAATGTAGTCTTCACTAAGGATGAATTTGCCCAATGAATCTCTTCCCGGCACTGTTGAGCTCGCAATTCGAATCTGATTCTCGATATCCATGAGGTTACCAAGTTCCGGGGGGAGGTAACATTACGGAAGCTATCATTGCTTCGTTTGGATCGTCTGATAACATCTCATCTGTAGCTTAAATATTAGAAACTTTGTCGATACCCGACCGGTACTCATGGACCCAGATAAGAGCGAATAAATCAAAGGGTATCGACAGGGGCAAACATAAAGACGGTAGATGGGGGGTGTTAGCTACGTACCTGTTCCGGACATGGACAGTAAATGAGTTTGGACATGACTAACGAACTCCCTGTAGTGCGTTTATCCGTAAGTATAAAGTACAAGCCGCTTGGCATCATATTATCACCATTCTCCGCGCACTTTTAATAGTATATATAACGACGGGTGCAAAAGCTAAAGATGAACCTACCAGATCGCTGCACACCCTTCGGGTTCTTGGAAACTCAATGCCATGTCTGTACCATGTGGCTCAGTCCACACGATAAGGGTTTCTACGTCATGGGGTATTAGCGACACTTTTGAGGCAAACCTGAAAGGCGCACTTGGTGAATCATGCCACCTATTTCCTTTCTGCACTCTACCGGTGCCTTGGAGAGATTGGAATCGTGGGGATGTAATAAAATCGATACTTACCCTGTTGTTTCTGATAGCCATCATCTTTTATTATCTTAGTCTCCAGCAGCATCCGGTCCTGCTCCTCCTCCGATTTCACCTGTATATGGGGTTCGTCCTACAACAGCGCGCCACGACCATCAGCCACCGATAACCTACAACATAACGACGGCCAATCCATCCGGAGCACGAAAAAGCCAACAATTGCAAGATGAAAAATTTCGAGCCACTGCCAACAGCTTCGGAGTCGTCGTGGTCGCACTAACAAGATAAGTCCGAGGAAAAAATCCTTACATTAACCAGCTGTCCTGTACAGTATCCAGTTCCCCTATCGAACCAGTCATTGTTCCTCAACTCATACACCTTTACTCGTCGCGGCGTCGTCGGCGGATTTGGCACTGTTAGGGCCATCATAGTCGGTCGGCGATGTTCCCAGCGGGGGGTAAGACGGACGACGAGGGAAGCGCGGCGACTTATCGTAGCCTTCCTCCTCGTCGCCTAAGATAGACTAGATCCTCCCTGATTAGAAAGCCCCCAAACACGGGTGCAAACGCAGATATTTGGGGGGATGTTGAATATAGCGGTAGTTGTAATGTTTTTCGCTATTAATGAGGCTGTAGAGAGCTTTGGGCTGTGGACGTGATGTGTTGTGGTGTGGTCTCGGTTGGCGCGATGAGTGAGGCTAGACAGACCAGCAGTTGTTTTTAGCGGGCAGGGGCCTCTATTACTCGAGCACAGTTATGGTAGTCCCTGGGCGTCTAGGTTGTTGTTGATACTGCGAGCTGCCGACAACGCGCGTCTGGGGTGGAGGGTGGGGGGGAGAGATTCGCGATGGGGCTGACTGACTCCTTACGAGGGAGGGGAGCGCCAGGCAGTAGATGAAGGTCGGGATGGGATGGGGAAGGAGTCGATGATGGAATATGTCGAAGATGACGATGTAATGTGAGGTGTGGTGGGTTAAGATTGATGAATATTTCCGAGAGATCTTTTGAGAAATGTGGGTATGTATGGACGATATTGGTATGGATGGTAATGTATGGGGGGAGGGATGAAGTCTAAAGCAGTCTTCTCCTTCTCTCACTGGTAACAGGTGTACCACTCGGAAAAAGGGTTGTCGCCACTATTTGCCTTGATTTCTCCCCTTCTTCGAGTGTTCCCTGGAATGATTATTACCGTATGAACCGGTATGGTATGTATGCAGTTGAATTCCTCTTTTTTCTTTCCACCCTCTTTTTTCTCTTTCCCTCTCTAGCTCTTGATAAGTCACTTCGACAAGTGACCAGTTTTCGCTTGTCCGATACTCACTAGTACTAGCAAAATGCTTTTTTTCCTCAGTCTCTTTTCCTCTCTTTTTATTCCTTGCTCCTCTCTCTCTTGTCCGGTCAGTTGGATCTAAAAACAACGATCGATCGCCGGAGGATTGATTGACTGAGTGATATGGCAAAGAAAGGGCACACGGCAATGTTCTCTATTCTTTCCGTCTCTCTATTTTTTTCTTCTTTCTTCTTCACTACCTTTCTTTTCCTCTATCCCACAAAAAAATCTTCCGTCTCCACTATCACTTTCTCTCTCCCGCTCTTCGAAGAGCAAGCTGTTGCTGGCGTATTAGGGATATATTCTCCGCCGCTTTGGTCCAAAACGAGGACGGGGATATAAGAAGCAAGAGGAAAAGAGCACACGAGCAATACCCAACCTATCTCCTAGGTCGAAAAGCCAATGGGAATGGCGAGAGAAAAAGAAAAAAAGGGACGGATGATAGGATAATATGCGAGTGAGACAACCGCCCAAACGAACGAACCCTCGCAGTAGTAGCAGCAGCAGCAGCAGCAGGCAGCTTTAGCTCAACAATTGCGGGACCGAGTTTGGGTTCCAAGGGAGTGGGAACGCGGAGGGGGAAGGAGAGAAGGAGCGAAAAGAAAAAAAGGGAAGCGGAAACGGAAACGGAAGGGGAGGGAGCTTGAGCCTTGAGGGAAGAAAAAAAAAAGCTGGGGAAGCCAGCCAAATGGGGGGAGCGAGTGTTAAGGGCTGTGCCGGGCCCTGATTGCGCGAGAAGTGGGAGTCGCGTAAGCTACTAAACTCTAGTGCAAGCGGTATGTATGTCACTCAGTGTCGCGGTGGTGACTCGAACTCCGTCAAGCTCTATCTCTACTCCGTCTCTGTGGGGGAGCTCGGACTCGAGATAGAGGAAAAAATAAATAAATAAAAAAAAAAAAAAACAAGCTCAGCAGCATGAGCAAGTAGCAGCACCACCGTATGTACCAGATAAAATGTCCCCCCACCCAACAAAGAAACCTGGGTGCAGTTGCTCTAGGAACAACACCCACTACCAAGACGTTCCAGAAGAAAGCTACGGAAGAATACCTGCTTCGCTTCGCGTAGAAGGGAACCCCCCAAACAAAACGAGGGGAGGAAAATCGACGAACGACAATTCTGCCGACAAAAAGAGGCTCTTCCTCCGGGATCTTCGACAAGAATGCTTACGTAGTGGATCATGACAATGTGGCAATATTAATACTCGCGAAATTATTATTGCATCTCCCACCCCAAATATGGATCAGAGTAGCACTGGTGGTGTCAATGTCAATCGGTAAGTACCAGCCTGGTATTGTACCACGTCCAACGTGTAACTACACTTCAAATATAATTAAGAAAAGAGAGCTCCACGGCATTCAAAACTTAAATTGGCCCTTCTTTTTTTTTTTTTAATTTTTCAATTTCATTCCTTCATTTCTTTTCTCCCCAGCCCATCAGCTCGCCTCCACTCCTACATGATCTGTGTAAAGTTTGGCCAAAAACCATACCCAATCTTATCAAAGCAGGCTGCGCGTCACGCTCCCCCCAGGGTCTCATCCCTGCACGCTCGTCCCATTTGGGATGCAGCTTCCAGAAACAGGCCCGCATCTTTCCAACCGTGCACTGACCCCAATCCGCCGAAAATAGAACACCCAAATCTTTAGAACCCCTAACCCCTAACCTCCCTCATAAACATCTTGATGTGATGTAGGTAGGTGTGAACAACATAAAAGGCTGGCTGGCCACCGCGTTTATCGCTTAATCCTTACCGAGATCCGAAGGGAAGGGGGATATCTTAGTTTGATTCGAAATCGACCAAACGTGCCTGTTTCTTTTAGATTTTTTTTTTAGGTTACAGCTTAAGCTTTCAGCCGCGATACGATACATGACGACACGCGACAACCACACTTCACGCACGAGGTGACAGTTGATAGGGCTAAAAATATATGGAGCCCTGTGGTTGGGCTGAGCTAGGTGAGGTGACGTAAATAGGGCACATAGCTTCGGTGCCGCCGCCACCGCCGCTGCGAGTCATGGATATCACTCGGTCGTGGCGGGTGTGGTGCTTATTTAGACGTCGGTGAATTGAGGGTTTGATGAGATGTTATATATTTGAAACCTTCTACACCCCCAAGGATTATCTTTGGACAGTTTGTCCTAGGGCCCTATGTCACGGCAAAGATCAAGTCTATTAAACCTAATTCTTCGCCGACAAGCATGCGTTCTTTAGCAGTTAGTAAATGGCCACTAGGGGAGGCACGTAATTCCCCACATGTGCCAATCGTGAAACACCGGCGGTGTCGAATCTGAGCACCTTGTCTTGGACTCCCTAGTTGTAGATCACACTAACTGCGTGACAGAACCTCGGGATTGTCTAATTCCCAACCATCTAGTCTTCAGAGTCCCTATTATTTATTTATAGTAAACAACTGCTTCGTTTAAACCAAACAGGCCGCGGTTTACTATAAATAAAAGAATCGGTTCCGAAGGCGTGGCTAGATGCTCTCTAGGCTAGTTGACAAAAGCTAGTGGCAATGCATCATGGTACGTACATGTATGTACTTTGACTTGGATTTTGTTAGTAGACGATACAGAGCGTCGAAAATTTCTAGTTTTCGTCCATATAGTCTTCGAACCATTATTTTATTTATAAAAATGGACCACATGCTTTGAGTCTTCGACGCAAAAGGTCCATCCTCCCGAAGACCTGTCCAGACGTTCCCCAAGCAGTGTGGCCCACAAAGCGCATCGAGGCGAGGAAGACGGGGTATATCGAGTTGCCTCTCCCTCTGAGGGGATCTGCTTTGTGTTGCCTCGAGCCATATACACCTATGCCTTGAGCTGTATACCTTGTGCACCTCTGGGCATTTGCCCCGAGGCAAGGCACAAAGTACTTCGCCATCGTGGACCAAACTGTCCCCAAGCCATCTAAACACAAAAGTCAGTAGCAACAATAGCAGCACCCAGCAAGAAACACCCTCAACTCGTGGGGAGGAGAGCGGAGAGGGGGGCATAAAGTCCACAAAGCCAACGCCAAAAACACCGCCGAGGAAATCGTAGGCATGGGTTGCAGAATGCATTTGCCTTGCAAACATTTCCCATCCCTCCTGACACGGTTCCAAACAATGAGCTTTCCAACATGTAATTGTACGTATGGTCGACTCCAGACTGAATCCTATACGTCCTAATGCCGGCCTAGGCTGTTATCGTCATGACAGGAAGTTTGAGGATGAATTCAGGAAAGGGGGCATTCAGTGTAGACTTGTAGGAGAAGCAAGTGACAGTGGAGCAGGCAACTACCTAGGGGACGAATGAGGGGGGAAGAGAGATGGGGGATGGCGAATGAGGGGAAACAAGTGAGAATGGAGCGACGACCTGCAGGTGGAGAGCGGAGGGAGAGGGGGTAGTATAAAGTGACGAAAGTGAAAAGATGGCGGCAGGGAAAGAAACAGCAACAGTAGAGATGAAAAAGAATGAAGATTCGGTGATGATGGAAAGAAAGAAGTGACAACGAGAAAGATTCTCAGGGCGTCGAAAGGAGCAACAGTTGTGGCGGTGGAAAAGAAAAAGAGAGGGGACGAGCAACAAACGAAAGATGCAAAAGAAAAGAAGACGCGGGCAACAAAACCCACGTATCACACACCACACCAAATCACATGCTCGATCAGGTACATACAGACAGGTACATACATGCACTTAACGTCATGTATGTAGGGCTCAACATTTCATCTCAGCGGCACTAGCTCCCGAAACCTTAATTCCCACGTCACCACCCACCCACCACCCCCACGTCAGCACCGAGGCAACACCCTAACTCTCGGCAATCTACGCCCAGATGGCCGAGACTCGGGTCACAATGCCATTCGCACTGGCGGATGGGGGCGAGTGATAATCTATGATTAACACACCCACCACCACCAACCTATCTGACCTGACCACACGGAGTCCCCCTACCTATTATACAGATGGGGGCGTTATCTATTAATTTCGTGGGCGAGGTTTTATGCAGGGTTGAGTTAACATGATCGATCTGCAAACATGTTCTATATATGTGGCTACTGCTATTTGCACGACATGCATGGAGCGAACCTTCCCCCGCGGCCCGCCGGACCCGTAGAGTATAGAGCTACGTATACACGCATTTGCCCTCCTCAACAACTGCCAGCTAGGATATATAAACCCTGATATTTTGGTTTTGTTCGGGGAGGGGTATAAATATTCCAACGATAAGCTACGAGAACTACAAAGCCATGCACTCGCACGCCATTAGTCTAGACTGGCAATTAGTATGCTACAGGCCAGGGCTATAGCTAGCACACGTACCTGCACTATATATAGTGAACCCTCCCTACACCGTCACCATCCGGTCGACAACCATAGAGATCAATAGAGCGCACCGGGGTTAGCATTGATATAAGCAGTACGCTTTTGCTTTTAGAAGTCTGAAAGGGGTATAAAACCCTACAACATATATATATAGCCAAGGCTCCATAAGAACCCATGCCATCTAGCATCCCAGAAACCAGCCAGGAAAAACAGCAAGCACGAAGAAAAAAGAGGTGCAAAATTATATTCCTACAGCAAAACTACAGAAAGAGCCAGAACGCCAGCCAGAAGCAGAGAGAAAACACCAGCAAGAAAGGGGGCAACCGCAGCATACACACACACAACCCCCCCGACCACCAGGCCCAGCACCCTACCCTACTTCCTCCTCTTCACCAGCACCCCATCCCTCACCATCCCAAAGCTCACCCCGCCCTCGCCCGTCATCCACCCCGGCATCTTCACGCCATCAAACACCACGCCCGCCTCTACCAGGCTCCTCACCCCCGCAAACACATGCGCGCCCTCCAACTTGACGCCCACGCTCGGCCTCCACTCCTCCCCCCCTCCTCCTCCCCACCCGCACCGCCACCCGCACCAGCAAGCGGCGGAAACACATCCTCAACCACAAACTCCACGCTCTCCAACCCCCTCCCATCCCCCACCCTCGCCTCGCCGCCAAACCGTCCCTCCGCAACCCTCCGCCTCTTCCCCTCCTCCCCTGCTCCCCCTTCTTCTCCCCTTCCACAGACTCCAACAGCCCCCGCTTCCCCCCCATCACATCCAGCGGCCCCCCCTCCACCCCCCCGCCAACATAAATACTCCACACCCCCACCATGCCCCCTCCCCCCCTCCCCCACCCCGGTAAAAACACAGCGCCTCAAGCGTCCTTGCACACATCGCGCTCGCGCGTAACTCAAACCTCCCATGCTCCCTCGACACCGCGGCCGCCACGCTCTCGCGCACCACGTCGCGCAGCCCGTCCCCCGCCCCCGACGGAATGGTGTGGTACACGTACCCCGGCGCGGCCGTCGGGAAGGCGAGCCAGAAGATGCGCTTCGCGGGCGGGAGGGAGAGCGGCGCTGTGGGCGGGTGCGGGTGCAGTTGCAGGCGGAGTAGGTGTAGCGGGAGGGTGGGGTGGCGGGTGGAGAAGGTGTGCGTTGTGACGAGGGGGCGGAGGGTGCTCGTGAGGGTGTGCGTGAAGGTGGGGGCGTGGAAGCGCGGTGTGGGGGGTGGGGCGTGGGGCGTGGGGCGGTTGAGGGGGTGCAGGGTGGAGGCGGTCCATTTGTGCGTTGTGGGGTGGGAGAGGAGGTCTATGGTTGTTAGTACAGTGCTGGCGGAGAAGAAGGGGGGGGGGGGGTAGGGAACGTACAGGAGTAGTCCAGCTCCGCAATCTGTAGCAGGTTCAGTCCATCCCGCCATTCGCGCTCTACCACACGCTCAACAACCTCTTTCCCCTTCACGGCGCGGCGCTTCATGGCCTCGTACGCCTCTCTTGCCTTCTCTATACCTCTCTCTCCTTCCCCTCCCCCCTCTTCCTCTTCATCATCCTCGTCCTCGTCGTCTTCGTCTTCAACGGGCGCAAAGTTCGGCTGATAGGTCTGCGTCTTTGTAGCGTCTAGCCACGAGCCCAGCACCAGCTCGAGGAGGAGGTCTTTTGTGAGCCGTGACAGCAGGCGGCGCGTCGACGGTGTGTGCGGTATTAGTAAGGTGTTGGACAGCGGGGCGCCGGGTTTGGGCGGCATTGTTGTTGTGGTTGTGGTTGTGGTTGTGGTTTGGTGGTTTTGTGTGTGGATGGTGGGTGAGGTTGGGAAGTCGTGTCGCGCACGGGCCTGTGTCAGTGTCAGTGGGTGCCGGGGTAGGGGTGGGTAGGGGCAATGATCGCTGGGGCAGGTTAACTGGGTTCAGATCGACACCGTCGAGTGATTTATTGGAGATAGTAGTGTAGGGCACGTAAGGGGTGAAAAACACCACCCACGAGCCATTGACACAAACGCGTCCAAACAAGCACCCCGAAGCCCAATCACATGCTTCCAAAATTAAAGCCCCAATCCTCTGAATAATAATAAAAAAAAATCGAATAGATAGTCATTGATACCTACATACTAATTACTAGACCCAGCCTTGCCTATTCCGCCTTTTTTTATTACTATTACTGCTACTCACTGCTACTACTATTAAATACTAACCGCAGCTCCTCCGAGCCACCCCCCCGAAAGCCACTACATGCAATTATTACTACCCGCAGTTATTACAACCCCCTACTACTACATAAGTAGTTTATTATTTTTTGCAAAGCCGCACCCAGAACTTTTGTATATATTCACTCACGACCAAACAAAAAAACCCAAAAGTCCGTAACTTGAAAGTAGAGCAAACCACAACATATGCAAACAAATCCCCAAACAAAATCCCCAATGCAAACTACCCCAAAGCAAAAAGGCGCACAGTAAATAAATAAAACTCCAACCCCCACTAAACCCCACTATCTAGCCCCCGTCCCATGCTCCCTACAATAATCCTTCAACATCTCACACCCGCGACACCCCGGCGTGGGCACAAAATACTTCTTCGGCCCATGCTCCGGACACCTATCCCCCACCTCTGACACGTCGGGCAGTCCGGCTGCAGCTGGTAGTCTCTATACGGCTGCTGCTGCCCCTGGTAGCCTCCTCCCCCTCCTCCCCCCCCTCCTCCGTACTGCTGTTGCCCGTATGGCGGCTGCTGGCCATACTGAGGCTGGCCGTACGGCGGCTGCGGCTGCGGCGGCGGTGGTTGGCCGTACTGTCCGGGACCGGGGCCGGGGGAGCCGTATGGTGGCTGCTGCTGCTGCTGCTGCTGCTGCTGGTTGTATTGGTTGTAGGGCGGCTGCTGGCCATAGGGGCTTTGTGGGGTGGGGGGTTGCTGGTGCGGTGGTGGCTGCTGCTGCTGCTGTCCGTACTGTCCTGGTGGCGGCTGGCCATACTGGCCTTGTGGTGGTGGTGGTGGCTGCCCGTATTGCCCTTGCTGTCCGTACTGTCCTGGCGGTGGTTGCTGCCCATACTGCCCCGGTGACTGCTGTCCATACTGTCCTGGTGACTGCTGCCCATACGGCGGTTGTGGTGGTGGCTGCCCATACTGTCCTTGTCCCTGACCTTGACCTTGACCCTGCCCCTGCCCGGGCGCTCCCCATTGCTGCTGCGGCTGCGGCGACTGCCAATACTGTCCCTGCGGCGGATACCCCTGCTGCCCACCCTGCTGCGCGAACGACCCATTGGGCCCCCCATACGCACCCTGCTGCTGCGGCGGCGGACCCCCACCACCCTGCGCACCATACCCCGCCGACGACGACGACGGCGGCGGATACCCCCCCTGCCCCGAAAAGCTCCCCGGCTGCTGCTGCTGCTGCTGCCCATACCCGCCCTGCTGTCCCGAGTAGCTCCCCTGCGTGCTAGAGAAGCTCCCATAGCCGCCCTGCCCCTGCCCAGAGAAGCTCCCGCCCGGCGGCACAGCTGGCGTCGTAGACTGACTGTATAGCCGCGGCGGCACGGCGGGTGGTGCGCCAGGCGGCGTGTGGATGTTGTGGCCGGGGCCGTAGGGGCTGTATGGTGGTTGCTGTTGCGAGTAGGAGCCGTGGCGGCCTGGGTCTTGGTAGCCGCCAGCGCTGGTGCCGGGCGGGCGCGACGGGTCGGTGAAGGGGTGCCCTGACCCTGTGCTGGTGTTGAGGTGGTCTAGGTAGCTCATTGATGCGACGGTGCCTGATGAGGATGAGGCGAGTGCTGCGGGGGTGAATTCCGCGCTGGTTGTTTTTGGGCTGATGCCGCTTGCGGCGGAGGGGGCGGGGGAGGGCGTGGGGCGTGGGCGCGCGGGGGTGGTGGTGGTGGTGGTTGTGGTTGTGGTGGCGGGTGTGGGTGTGGGTGTGGGTGTGGGTGTGGGTGGGGAGGGGCGGGTGGGCTTGGGCTTGGGCGGTTGGTATGGGATGTAGCCGGTTTTTTTGCTGGAGGTGGAGGTGGTGTATTTGGGAGTGGACATTGTCGGTTGTGGTGGAGAGGGGGAGGGAGGGAGGAGGAGGAAGAGGAAGAGGAGGGGAGGAGGAAGGGAGGGAGGGAGGGAGAGGTAGGGGTGGGGGGGGGGGGGGAGGGATTGAGGCTACACAGGTGTAGAGATGGGGGGGTCACGAATGTTGTCCTCTGTCTGAGACTGTGTCTTTCAGGCGGTTCTCTCTCTCAGCTTTTCTCTCTCAGCTTTTCTCTCACTCTCCGCCCACGTCGCACACAGCACAAGGCTCCATTATGGTATGTACTCCCTCTTCCTGCATTGGCCCGTCCCTGCCAGCCAGCCAGCTCGGCAGTCCGATGCGGTCTGGTGCATGCCGAGTAGAAGTACACGCGTAACCAAGCCCGAGCCAAGGGAGCGAGCGAGTGACATGTCAGCCAGCAATTACATGTCACACCGATCATTACCCCACAGCTGGGATGATGGGTGGAATAGTTGGAGTAGGCCTTTTTATGATGTAATTGCAGACCTTTATTAGCCTGATGTTGGCCGTCGAGTGATGGCCTGTGGTGGGGACCCCTGTCGTGAATACTCTGGGTTGTTAGATTCTGGACAGGGCTAGGTGGATGGTGAATATCATTGACTGTGTGGTGGGGGGAGTACTTGTAGGCGGAGCCTTGTTTGGAGAATAGAGTAGAGTACATGTGTGTAAGGTACTACGTATACTCGTAACTCGTATACCAGGTTGAAATTAGAGTACATGTATTCGAATGTTTGTGCATCAAACACTGTGTGTTCTCTCGTGACCTACATGCATTCGAGCATATATATTGCAAAGACCTCGATATCTACCCGTCAAGTGTTTAATGACGACCTCCGTCCCGCATACCCATTCGAGGGTATAGGCTGAAAGTACATTGCCCCGTGTATGTACCATCACAAGTTCTACGAAACACCCAAACAAATAACTGCAACTCCATCTATCCCAGCCCCCCCCCCCCCCCCCCACTCGCAACTCAAACTATATCCACAGTTCAAGTACAAGCACAAGTAGCTAGCTATATACACCCAAACACCACCACCCCCCCCCCCCCCAAACCCAGCCCCAAGTCAACTGCCCCCGAAACACGCCTCCTCAGCCCAAACATTCAAGTGCAACTTCATCCCCCTCCCTCCATCCCGTACCCATGCCCATATCATATATGCGCCAAGCAAGCAGCAGCACAACCGGGGAATTAAGAATTTCGAGATGTGAGATGAGAACCACATGTACCTGTCCTGTCGATCTCTGTTTATCCTTTTTTCGCATAAGCTATGTTTCTCCGGACCCCCTTCCCTGTCTAAGACTCTGGGGTCAAGTTTCCCATGGGCGCACAAGCCAGCTGAACCCACCACTCAGGATACCGACATGTCCCTAGCTACCTACATGTCCCTACGAGCTACATGTACCTACACAGCTCTCTCCCAGGTTGACTCATGGTGTCTTGGCACCCACTACACACACACACACCACACACACCACACACACGTCAAACCAGCCAGGACTAGTGTCAAGTTCAAGGCATCCAAAAGAAAGTTGAAATCTCTCAACGCGCTCACTCACCACATCCATCCCATCCATCCCATACAACGTCGCGTCTATCATTTCATCGCCCACCCCCCAACCCCACCACATCAAAAAACCACAATCTCACATCACACACACACCACCACACCCCACTTCTTACCCCGGGAAAGCTAGCTACATAGCTAGGTCAGATCTAAAACACCCGCCCCCCCCCCCCCCCCTCCACACACATACACACACACACACACATCAGCAGAAGAAATCAAAATCAGAAATGGTCCGCATCCAGGAAGACCCCTCCTCCAGCGACGAGGACGACTCACGCGTTGCGGCGAACAACAACGCAAGTTCATCGTCGTCGGCACTGACGTCGCCGTCGTCGGATAAGGAGAATGCGCGCAGCAAGGGGAAAGGGTCTGGCGGCGGCGGCGCCGTGTCGAAGGCAAACGCGAAGGGGAAGGGAGCAGTGAGGGGGAACGGGAAGGGGAAGGGGAAGGGGAAAGAGGTGGTGCGTAGGCATGGGGGAGGGCTGGCGGAGATTGGGGAGCAGAATGAGATATTGGAATCTGAGGAGGAGGAGGAGGGGTCTGAAGAGGAGGGGGGCGAGGAAGAGGAAGAAGTGGGGGAGGAGGAGGAGGAGGAGGAGGAAGAGGACGGAGAAGAGCAGGATGGGGAAGGGGAAGAGGAGGAGGAGGAAGAGGAGCAGAAGGATACGGATATGTTCGACCCTGACCAGGACCCGGAGGAGCGCAGGCAGGTGCGGATGCAGTATCGGGAGCTGGGGAGGAAACTTAACGGTAATTACCACATCCTCTTATCATCCCCACCATATTGCTACTTTATAGAAGCCCCCCACTATCCCCCCCACCTTCCACCTTCTGTGATTGGCCAACAAGGCTGACCCTTCCCCCCCCCCCGCGTACCCCCACAGACAACAAAAACGAATACCTCCAACCACACTCAGACGGCCTCCTCCGCACCTTCGAACAAGCCGAGCAGCTCTTCAAAAAAGTAAAACAAACCTCCGACGCCACCATCGACTCCCGCATCCTCGTCCAAGCCACCGACCTCGCCCTCAAAAAGGCCACAAACCTCACCTACGGCAACTCGGGCGCCACCATCGACGCCGACGAGTTCGTCGGCCAATGCATCGCCTTCATGCGCAGCAGCACCCGCCCCCCCCCGCCAACAACAACAACAACGACGACGACGACAACGCAGCGGCAGACGACGCAATGGACTGGGCGTACCTCGGCCGCATGGCGGCGTTCAAGGGGAACAAGCGCCCCGCGACGACAGACTTCCTCCTGGGCCCGCTGTCGGTTACGAAGAAGATCCGCATCATGAAGGCGCGGCGGCAGGGGCTGCGGCGCGACAACGCGAACCTGGTGCGGCCCGTCGAGGTCACGCAGCAGCAGGGGGCCGGGGAGAAGGCGGAGGCGAATGGGAGTAGCGCGATGAGTGCGCTGGTGCAGAAGATATATTTGGACCTGAAGGCGTGGTTTAGGCGCAACCCGCGGCAGGCGGAGAAGGGGCTGAGTCTGTTTCGGTTTGTGGTCAATCCGGACTCGTTTGGGCAGACGGTGGAGAATATGTTTTATTTGTCGTTTTTGGTGAAGGATGGGTTTATTGCGATTGCGTATGATGAGGAGAATGGGCTGCCGGTGATTCGTATGTCCCTCCCTCTTCTCTTCGAAGTGAAGTGCCGAAGTGATGCTTGGTGAAGTGTGGTGAGGTGATGGGGACTGATGTGTGAATGTGAGCATAATAGATTGTACGGACCCCGCATCCCAGGAGGACCACAAGGAGTTCGACGTCTCGAGGAGCCAGGTCATCTTCTCAATAACGATGTGGGAGTGGCAGGAGATGAAGCGTATCTTTGATATCACCGAGAGCATGATACCCACGCGCGCGCAGGAGCAGGCGCTGACGAGTGCTACGGGGTGGTATTCGTAGATGGCCGCCGGGGGGGGGGGGGGGGGGGAGGAGGGAGGGGGCTTTTATGTTTATCGTCGTTGGCATCGTTGGTGTTGTTGCGGGGGGTCAGAGATATAGTAAGCGTGCCTGTTCTGCTCTGCTGGTTGGGCGGGTTGTGGGAGCCCGGGATGTGATGTGATGTGATGTGTGATGTGGTAATCATGTATTTCTTTCCTTCCTTCTCTTTTACTTATCTTATTTTCTTCTGTCTCTCTGTCTCTGTCTGTCTTGTCTTATCTGGGTGCATTCATATTCATGGCCATGGTTTTTTTTTAACTATTACGGTACGTCACGTTGGGAGGCTATCTGTCTGTTTCTTTTTTTGTTCCTTTTCTTGTGTATTATTTTCTTATTATCACGAATTCTAAGGGCGGGTGGCGCCGGGGGCGGGGGGCTTTTCATATTTCCTCCTTTTTATATCTAGTTATCCCCCCTTTTTTTTCACAATGGCGTTTTTTTTTTTTTTTTTTTTTCTTTCTTTCTCTTTCTTTCCCGTTTGGACTTTGAATTTAAAAAAGAGAGAGAGACGTACTTATGTTACATGTAGTGAGTGAGGAAAACGTATGCTGCGCTGCGTGCGGTCGATGTTATGTTATGTAGTGAGTAAAGTACAGTACATACATGTAGACAGAAACACCGGTTTGTTGAGTGTGCGCGTTTTTTGGGTTGGTTGTGGTACTCTGGTTTGGAGTGGGGTTGTAAATAGATGGGTATGATATGAGTTTTGGTTTGTAACGTCGTTATGTTTCTGTTCTGCGGTTTTGTGTATTGTGGTTTTTGTCTAATTGGTGTGATTTTCTACTTTTTTATTTGGTTGGCTGGTTGGACGGATTGATGATTGGTTCGGTAGTGGTGGGTGGTAGTTGGGTTATGAGTAAGTAATTTATGATATATCGTGCTGTATGTAGACTACCATCATAGCATAGCAAAAATTCCTCTCCCTCTCTCTTTCTGTCGAGAGACCAGCCAGTCATCGCTCGAGCACAATTCCAAAAATGAAAGAAGAAAAAAAAATATAAAAATACTGCCAGTTACAACTGGCACTACCACTACACACTACTCGTCACTAGAAACCTTGCTGGTTAAGGTTGGGTAGTTTTGGGTAGTTGAGGAGGAGGCAAGGCAGGCAAGATGAGAAAAAGAGAACCTCCCTTCGACCAGAGTCGAACTGGTGACCAACCGGTAAGCAAGCAATTACAGCCGGGTGTGATACCAACTACACCACAAAGGGATTGATTAATAGATTTGAAAAGCTTTATATAATTTAATTTGCATGAGCGGGAGGGAGGACAGGGGAGGGGGGAGGTTAGTCATTTTTGCGTTTAGGGGGGTTACTGATTCGGGTTCGGGGGGGGGGGGGGGGGGCATGGGGGTGGGCGTAGTGGAATTGGGACTTAGATTCGGATGGTAATGGTAGGAGGTGTGTCGGTATTAGATGTTTGGATGTTTGTATCACTTTCGCAAACTAAAATCGGTTTCCTCGGATTACTACATACTGGCCTATTAGGCCAGATGTTGGGATGAGATATATATAGACCCGGACCTATAGCCTGAGCCTGGCTCGATTACTGTAGGTACCGGATTTAATGATTAACCTCGGTGACTATCCGCATGGATACACGTTTGACCCTCGAGTGCAGTGTAGGTGACATCAATGATCAAACAGGAAGATGCGTAAAACGTGATGCCATCTTGTGAGATATATTCCTCGCGCAGATCATTGACACACACCTGTTTAAGCGCGCACGCGGCTCTGCTCCACTGCAACCAACACGGCTTAGTCACAGCCTTTCCTTTCATCGTCTGTCTGTCTCTCTCATTCTCTTCGAATCTGTCTTCTCGCTGTCAGTCCGTGTGAAGTCAACTCGCTCGCTCAATCTCTCTCACCACGACATCGAGTTTATTGAACAGAAATATCACCACCTACAGACCTCCAGCAAACATTTTCTTCGCTCCAACTTCACAATGCCACCTCCAGACCGCGCTCCTACTGGCAAGATCGTCTTCGTGGGCAACATTCCCTACGGTAACAACCACACCCCCCCCCTCTAACCTCACTCCCCCCTACCCAAAGCACTAACGCCCCCCCAGGCCTCACCGAAGAACAAATCACCGAGATCTTCTCCTCCGCCGGCCGCGTCCTCTCCTTCCGCCTCGTCTACGACCGCGAAACCGGCCGCCCCAAAGGCTTCGGCTTCGCCGAATACAGCGACCAAGAGACGGCGGCCAGCGCCGTCCGCAACCTCGACAACCACGAGATCATGGGCCGCAAGCTGCGCGTCGACTTCTCCCACGAGGGCAACGCCCCCGACGACATGGACACAATGTCCATGTCCATGTCGGGCGGGCCCACGCCGCTGCCCCCCCTCCCCCCCGGCGTCGAGATGCCCGCGGGCCTCAGCGCCCCCGACGCCATCAGCCGCACCCTCAGCGCCCTCAGCCCCCCGCAGCTCCTGGAGATCCTCGGCCAGATGAAGTCGCTCATTGCCACGGAGCCCCAGAAGGCGATGGAGCTGCTGCGACAGGCCCCCCAGCTCAGCTACGCTATCTTCCAGGCACTGTTGCTCATGAACCTTGTTGACACGAGCGTGTTGACGCAGGTGATTGAGAATGCGGCTCCTACGGCGGCGGTGGTGCCCCCGCCGCCCCCGCCGGTGGTGGCCGCGAGTGCGACGCCTGTCCAGGTGCCGGTGGTGCCGGTGGTCCCCCCCGCGCAGGCGTATGGTGGGTATCATGCGCCGACACCGCCCCAGGGGTATGTTCCGCCGCCGCCACCACCGCCGCCGCCGCAGCAGCAGGCGCAGGATCCGGCAAAGGCTGCGTTGATACAGCAGGTGTTGAGCTTGACGCCGGAGCAGATTGGCGCGTTGCCGGCGGACCAGCAGAGTCAGATTATGATGTTGAAGCATCAGATCCTGGCTGGCGGTGGGTTTTAGATGCAGGTTTTATCTTTCTTTTCTTTTTTTTCCCTCCTCTTTTTTTTTGGTTATGATGGTGACGCAGAGAAAGGAAATGGCGGGGTGGGGGGTAATATTTGTGCTTGTGGCTTTAAATGGCGCTCAGCTGGAATAGTGGGTGGATTGGATTGAAAGGGACCTTTTTTGTTTGCATTATTTTCTTTACCCTCATCTCGGTGGGGGCCTTTTTTCTTTTTTCTATTGTTGTTTTAACATTAGGCATGATCCTAGCTAGCTAGCCAATGCCCTACCTAGCTTCGGATCTTTATGGACTTTATGGTTTTGTTTCAATTAGTTTTGTTCTGTTTCTTTTTTTTTTCTTTTATCGACTCAAAATTGGAACGGAGAGAGTGTTAGCAGGGAAGAGAGAGAGAGTATAAGAGAGAATGAATCCCCAGGATGAGGGATTGGCCTTGTAATTCTAGAAAAAAGAGTACATCACAGAAAGCAAGTAGCGCCAATTCCAAACAACAGAAGTCAACCCGAATGAATAAACAGCAGTTAACCCCAATGAATAAACAAAAGACCCGTATCTAATTCTCTCTCTATTCCGACCTCTTTCATTGCAAACTCAGTAAGTACTAAGCTGGTCAAGCCTTCATCAATCCACTGGGCCATTGAGCCTGCAGGTGATGATTTCAAGAAGTTAGCCCAGCATAGACAAACGGGCATATTATCGTAAGAAACACTTACCCTAGGGTTCCTCCAGCTTGTGAGCCACTCCTCCACGGGAGGCTCACTCTCCGGGTTCCCAGTGGGCTGGGGCCAAAAAAATCAGCATAAATATCATTGAACCTGACCGTGGGGGGCTTGGCATGCTTACAGGCCCAATTAACTTGTGTCTCAAGGCTGCCAGGAAGCCTACGGTATTTACTTTTGCATTCCCGTTTGTATCGTCCGTAGCATCAGGAAGCTCCTCGGTAGTTTCATACTCCACGGTTCTGGAACCTACGTCTGTAGAGTAGAAAGTTACAGAATCTACAGTTGCAGTGTCGGCCGATGTCGCAGACTCTATCATAGCATGAGCCCCGCAAGAGGACATTACGGCCCCGCGGGAGGACTCTCCAACAGTAGATGCCTCAACGTTCCTTACTTTCGATACCAAATTCCTAAAAAGCAGGTCTGCACTCGCCCTCAGCCGGACGAGTGTCTCCTCCGCCTCTTCAAGCGTTCTTGGAGGGCCCGGCAATCTCGGAGGAGCAGAAGCCGGTGTTCTGGTCCTTCTTCGCCGTGAAGTGCTTTCCATGCATCCATCCACGACGCCGGCGCAAGCTTCAGCCAGTGACCCTCCAGCTTCCAGCACGCTTTCAGCGCCGTCTATCTGCTGCAAGATGAGGCTGTCGGTGAAATGCTCAGAATCCAGCTCTCTATCGACGGGGTACCATCCCTCTTTTTTCCCATACCTGCCAAAGTACCGGTCAAAGGTTCGTCCGGCAGGTGCGCTCACTTCGGGGAAGATTTCGTCCCGGCACTCGTACACGCTCATGATCCGCTTCAACACTGCCCATTGGTGCCGCCGTTTGTGGGACTCAATGGCGGGGCTCCAGTTTAGGGTCTTCATGCTGTACTCTTGGACAAGCCTTGTGGGCCGGCGGTTCTGTTTGTCGATTAACTTCTGTACCCACTGGCGTAGCTTACTGGAAGCTTCGAAAAAGTTCCAATGCCTCTCGCTCCATTCCCACATCTGCTGGAACTCTAACCCAATCTTTGCCGACTCCCTCGCTGTATCCTGCCTCCTATAGAAGTCCTGCACCGCCCATGCTACACTCGGCCCCGGATACCCGCCAAAGAACGTCCTAATACTCGGAAACTCCGTATCCAGTCCCTGCTTCTTAAAGTCCATAATGATCGTATGAAACTCTTCGTTCTGCAGGGCCTGTGGCCCTTCCGCAACCTCATCCTCCCTCTGCTGCCCATACTCATTATCCAGAAACTCCGCCGGCCTCAGCAGCAACGGACTACTCTCCTGCCCCCATTGCAGCTTCTCCATGAACTCTGCATGAAACCGCGCAGTCTCCTCCCGCTCATACATAGCCCTCAGAGACGGCTGCAGCTTCGTCTCAATGTCATGGCGTCTCTTGAGATCTTGCAGGTCGCTTTCGAGTGCTGACTTGAGGATCTTGTACCAGTACTTGTGCTCCCGGCCCAGGAACTCGCCCTGCTCTTCGAACTTGGCAAACTCGGAGAGACTGGTGGGTGAGCGGAAGATCCGCAGGGGTATGCCGTTCCAGTTGAAGGGAGGGCTGGAGAAGGCGGTGCGAATGGCGTTGGGGGTTGGCGGCTGGCGGAAGAGGGGGGGCGGGAATTCGGGGGCGCAAACGGGGGCGGGGAAGGGGCCGAGGAAGCTGTTTGGGCTGTCTACGCGAGACATTACGACCGGTGAGAGTAGAGACTTGTGGCAGTGTCTCTTGATAGTCGAGGAGGTAGTGAGGTATAAGGATAGGTGATAGGACAAAGCTTCTTCGGTGGTGATGATACAAGTGAGAAGCGGGTATATGGTGCAGTATTGATCTGCGATAGTATCAAGATGAGGAATGAAGCTCTCTGGCAGAACTTATAGCAGTAGCTACATGTAGTACTAAGGTGAGAGGTTAAGGACACATAACACAGAGAGTATTGATAGTTTGAATTCTTGTAATAGGTTGTCCACTGAGGAACGCATGCGTAAACCTCCAGATATCCTCCAGAGATATCCGTGATTCAGAACCAATAATAAAGTTTCCAAGAAGGGTGCAATCTTTCTAGCAGATCATACATGTATAATCATACTCGTGTCACTTAAGTATGCTCAAAATTTCAAGGCTTGTAAGTACAGCCAAGAGAGAGAGATATTAACAGCCACAGTGGCTTCTTCATGGAAAATCACTCGCCAATTCCATTGGCCATGATTATTGCATGTAGGTTTTGTTAATTGACTGACCGGCAGCGATCATGGGGTTAGTTTATTGCTTGTCTCATTGGCTTCATGTAAAATCGTTCTCTAATAGTAGTAAGAACGAAGCCAATAACAGCTTCACGTATCAACATAGACTCCTCACCTCGTCACCATCAGGCCTCCCTGACATCAAGTCTATTCAGCTCGTCGAGGCGGCCTCAACCAATGGCGATCCTCCAACAGCTGGGCAGGGAATATTCACGGAGGTTGGTAACGAGGGTGGGGTATTGGTGGTTGGTGGAAGATAGGAAGGCGGGGAGGTGGTTGGGGGTTTAAGATTTTCGAGAACTACTAGAGTTAGGGCTAGGGTTAGGAAGCTATTAGATTTCGGTTGGGGTGGCTTTGGCTAGGAGGGTTTTCTAAGTCCCGTGTGGCTGTCTGCTCTCTACTCCTACGTCTCTCGGTCTCCATTAGGTGAGATCCAGGAAGGATTAAGTCACGTTAGGCCTTCGTCCCACCCTCCCTATTCGTCTCTGCTTTTCTTCCTCCTCATGGAGGAGATGTCTATAGAGCCCAGTAATCATGAGGGGCCTATTTTGCGTTAAGTCTCCCTCTCCATTCCTCCTCCCACCCTTCCCCCCGTTTCTTTGTTTTACTCCCTCCTCAAGGATGGAGTCTATAGACAGTCCTCTTGGTCTCTAGGCTCTGGCTTAAGGATCAGGAGGAGTCTCTTTTACGTTCGGCCTGCACCTATTTTTGCTTCCTGTGAGAGAAAAGGAGCAGTAGAGGCTCCTACCGGCCCCTGGGCTAGTCCGAGGGGCCGAGAAGGATTTATCAGATCTCCCCTCTACACACGCTTTCCCCCTACCCGCCCCCGCCCCCGCCCACTCTCCTACCCGCTTTTGTTAGAGGTTCTTAGTGCCCTCTAACTTTAATTTTTGCCCACCCTGCGAGGAAATCAGAGTATGGATCTCGACCAATTTCTGAGCAATGTCCGAGGGATTGAGAGAGATGCCACAACTCCTCTAGTTCCTATAGCTCTTATCTCCCCCTACAGACTTCTTCGCTACCCGTTATTATTACTGTGTCAAGACAGCGAGTTTGGTTGTCTGATATATAGCTGATACATACGTGTTCTAATATCTTTTAACTATAAAACAAGGTTGTTCCTCTTACACTTGTAATAGCAACGTCCATACAATACAATTATTTTCTATCTCTTATAAACCACACTCCGAACAACGGCTTTCACCCGGATCTTCTTGCCTCCTCTCTAAGAAAGTGCAGATTCCTATAAATCCTTTGGGTTTGTCTCAGGGACCTGGAGGGGGTCTAACTATCATGTATCCCTACCCGCCACTGCTGAAACCCCAGCTATAAAACGTTATCAACTACCGAGCGTCCCCTGCCATGAGAGCCAGTGAATGCGAATATCGTAGCTCGGGAATGCACGCTGATAGAGGATAAGATATGCACATCACGGGCGATCACTCGTGATTCAACTCCCGTGCAACAGTTACGAACCACTAGTACCCTCTCCTCTACACTCTACACAGTAAGATATTACTTCAACCCGTGTTCCATTTCAGAGATAAAATTAGACTTACGTGATGTTAATCTACGATCATCGCGCGGGGGACTACATTCGAGCGGCCGGGCCCAGTCGAAACTCAACTCAAGCTTGCGGTATTATGGTTCACGAGCCACCTGATCATGCCATGAAGAGGGTCGATTATATAGGTTCTCCAATTGCAATAAGTGTAGTACCGCCAGGTCTGTATTGCATAAAGTTATCAGGTACCTTATGTGATAAGACCAGCTCTTTATATCTCCCGAGGGGCAGCTGTAATATGAGTAACAGGCCTGGGCCGGCACATATGAGCTGAGTGCTCCTGGATTAACGTATACCACGAGGGACGCCCTTATTTTCGGCGGCCACCGTATCGATCCTAAAAACACGTGTTATCTACGTTTCCTAGGACTGAGGCGTCCCAGACTTGTAAGTACAGAGTTTACAGACAAGGATGGGGTTCAACCATTGAAAACTGTTCTTGGCAGATTTATTCACACCATCCCATCAGCCAATCGGACAGCTCGAATTTAGAGCTGGATTCTTTAGCGGAGAGGGCCTAATATCAGCTGAGCGGATACGGGGCTTTCAGTAGTAGTTGATCACGTTTTAGGTCTGTTTCTATAGTAGGGCGTTCGGCCTTGCAATTGAGTGGGGAAAAATTATCGATCATTGACATTTGAGGTAGTATGTATATAAGAAAGTCACGATCAAACTTATTGCTTTGAACTCTTCTTTCTGTACCATTACTTGAACCTTGATTCCACCATACTCAGTACAATATATATAGCATACAGAAATTCCTCTCCCTTCATCTGCTTTCTCCCTTCATCTGCTTTCTCCCTTAATCTGCTTTCTCCCTTCATCTGTTTTCTCCCTTCACCCGTTTCCCCCCTTCATCTGTTTCCCCCCTTCATCTGTTTTCTCCCTTCATCTGTTTCTTTGCAGAGACTTGCGCATCACCTACTCATACAATCAACATCCATACCTCATCGGTGCTAAATATCTACTATCAGCCAATACTCTTTTAGTAGTATTCTCACAACCCAACCAACTCAGAGCCGTTGACTACCATGCCTCACAACGTCAACGTAAACTACAACGGAGCCAGCATCTCCGTGAACTCGATCTATGATCAAGTTGATTTGCGAGTACAAGCCTCCACAGCAGACCGTCAAGGACGACGAAGAGAAGATTTCAGCCTAGAAATAGGCAGCTCTAGACCCGGCGAGCAAGCACATGTTTCCGGGTCGAGATACTTTCAGCCTGGCGAAAATTCACCCAGTGAAGACGAGGCCAGGAATGGTCGCATGCGAGGAATACAACAACAGCCACCGCCGCTTGATGAGTATAAAGTTTGTCAGCAATATGAGGCTACAAGCCATCAGTATTCCGATCAGTCTCATCCATCAGTTCGTGAGACAGCAAGGGCAGCAGCCACCGCGCGCGCCACGTCCAGCTCTCATCGGTCGGAGGTCCCTGAAGATTCTTATTATTGGCCTGAGAGTGTGTCTACTAGCAGATCTGGCACTGGCACTGGATATAGATATGCAGTTTCTGCTCGTGAATCTAGCCACGATATGAGGGGTGACCGGGTACAGTATGCCCCCGGCTACAGTCCCACTCGTGGTTTAGAATCCGGCCGCATCCAGAGACCTGGAGCCTCCGAATCTTTCCACCACCAGGTGTCTCAGCCTTCCCACTACTCCCCAGCCATCTCCACTACATCTTCAACCTCCCGTCACGGAGGACCTCGCAACTCTTATCATTCGGCAGACTCGAGTTCATACTCGGTTTCAAGCTCAGATTCCGAGGAAACCGTGGTAGCAGCACCAGCCCCTTCTTCTTCTTCTTCACCGTCGGCAGGCTATCACGGCAGGGAAGTGATCCTTTACGGGACTGGCCGTTCTAGCCCACAGAGTTCTTATCCTGAACGGTTCTCCCACCAGTCGGCGGATGTTTATGAAGGTTACCAGGGATCTCTGGGGTACTCGGAGAGCACGTGCGACAGTTATTATGATGACGATGGAGGAGGAGGAGCACATCCGCAGCACGATGGAAGGCCATGGTCTGAGGCGTCCTACCCATACTCAGACTCTGAGGATAATGAGTGGCCGGATATTAGGATCTTGAGTGTTGATTCGAGGAATGGACGATCTAGGCAGTATTATCGATAAGAAATTACAGACTTGTGTTGACATCTGTATGTACGTAATCTGCTGCATGGAAAAAAAAATTGGTTTCTTTTTTTTCGGCGGACGCATAGATTTGATCATGAGCCATCACTCGCGGGCCGATGCGGGCTTGGCAAGCGTCGGGTTTTCTGTTACATATACATGTAGTCTCTGTATTAGCTGTTGCATTCTTTAAAAATCAAATGACTTGATTCGTGCCTGATTCTTTCTACCTTGTATCTCCTTTCCAGCACTTCTAGCCACACACTAATATATTCATCTATTCCCAGGCGTACGCATAAAAAAAAAACCCACAACCAGAAATCTTTCGTAGCGGTAGAGAACCCAACTATGTATGCAGTATAGAGGTGTAAATATGTAATTACTGAACGTATCACCCAGCGCATGTAGCCACCCACCGGTCCGGTCCGGTCCATTCCGTTGGTCATGTATTAACACTCACTCTCATCTCTTGGCATTATTCCCCCGCGGGCCCCCACCTCTTTTAAATCACCACCACCACCGCCACCCCGTGTCGGTGTCCGTGCTCCATTCACTAGCAATAGATAATACCCGTCCGTCCGTATATGTAGACTCCATTATACACAGCGCCCACCGCCACCGCCACCACTACACAGACTACTACTACTACACACACATCCTACACCACACCTCACACCTCACACACCACACACCACACCCAAACCAGACCAGACCTCATCTACGAAAATAAGAAAGAAAGAAAAAAAAGAAACACCAGAAGCTAGTTAGTTGTATCCAGACAAAACCTGCCCCCCTCGCCGAAAACGAAACGCAAAGCCAAATTCAAAGCCAAGGAAGAAAACGCCCGCACGCAGAAAGATAGAAAATAGAAAATAGAACCCCATGGAATGGAAAGGAGATGAAGGAGAAGAGGGAGGTAGGGGGAGGGAGGGGGATGGAGGGAGGGAGGGAGGGAGGGAGGGAGGAGGCTAAAATACAGGTATATAGAGAGTATGCAAAAAAAAAATGTCGGGGGGGGTAAGGGTTCACACATGTAGTAAGTAGTAAGTAGTAGGAGGGTAGGATCGAGGGTTTAGGATATATCGGCCGCAAGCAGCAAGCAGTCAACAATCAACAGTCGACAGCCAACAGCCAACAGCCAACAGCCAAAAAAAAAAAAAAAAAAAAGATATAAAAAAAGATAAAATAAAAAAATAAAAACCGGGGGGTATAATATAAAAATCCAAGTCCAAAATCCAAAGCCCAAGTCCAAAAATCCAGTAACAAAAAAATGGTAACAAAAAAAAAAAGGTATCACACTATACGACGATCCACACCCGAAGCCCGCAAGCAAGCCAGACTTAGACCCTCATCCCCGAAAGACCTTAATCCGATCCAGCACCTCCGTCCTACACACAGGGCACTGGACCATCCTCGGCGAGAACTCCGTCACCTTACTGACGCCCATCTGGTTCGCACACCACTATCCACACCACACATCATCAGTCAGTCAAACCCCATCCATCAACCAAACCCCACCAAACCCCCACCGCCCCAAAAGGAAAGAGCAAAAACAAACCCCACAAAGCACCAAATGACTACACGGCAACAACAACGTATCCGCCACCTGCCCAAAACAGATCTTACACTCACTATCCAACCTCAACGCCTCCTCCTCCAGCGGCGGCGGCCTCGTCTCATCATCATCCAACCCCTTTGGCGGCTCCCAATGCGCCCTCCCTCCCCCCATTCTACCTCCTCTCGACACTCTCGCCTGCCTCCTCCCCGCCGCCGTCCGCATCCCCTCCCGCCGCCGCATCTCGCCGCGCAGCTGCACGAGCACCTCCACGGCCCGGTCAACAGGCCCCGCCTGGTCCCCGCCAAGGCTCTCTCGGAAGTTCCGCAGCAGCGCAACTACCTCGTTGACGGACGCCGCGAGCGGGTCCAGCGACTCACCACCACCCCCGCTGCCGTCGTGTGGAGGGGGTGGTGGTGCGGGGTCGAACCAGGCTGAGACTGTGTCGTGGCGCCGCGCCTCCTGGTCTAGCTGTTGGCGGCGTGTGTATGCCTCCCACGATCTTTGGAACCTTGCATGCGCTGTTAGTCATCCACCACTTTTCTGAAATCCGGGGTTGTGTGGGGGAAGGAGTGGGGAGGGGGGGGGATTGGGATTGGGATTGGGGAGGGGGGAGGGGGGCAGTGGGCTATACTTACAGCGCAGACACAGGCGAGACATAGTCCTCATCTTCGACATTCCCCCACACACGTCTAACCTGCTCCTGCGGGTCCGCCGCAAGCTCATGGCGCTCCCGGCGCTCCCGCAGCTCACGGAGGCGGCGCAGGCCCTCATTGGCGCGGTCGAGGATGTCATGGTTGCGGGAGCCGACGTCAGCCGCATACTGTCGTGTCTGGTGCTCCAGCTGCTGCGAGAGCGACGCAAGCTCCGCGGAGCGCCTAGCGGTGCCCTCAGAGAGGTGCGCGAGCTCCGTCTCGATATCCTGGACACTATTCGCGAGGGACCATAGCGGCTGGTTTGTCGGCGAGCTTGTAGTGGTTGTGCTATTTGCGTCTTCGCTTTGTGGCGGGGCGACGTCGCTGGGTGTTGTGGCGTCGGCTTCGCTCTGCTGCGAGGAGTGGTCTGTGACGGCGCGGGAGGGGACGAGGTCGGGTGTGCGCGAGACGTGCACTTCGAGGGAGTTGTCGGTGGTGGCGGAGGTGACGGAGGCGACCGAGGACCAGGTGCGGTCTGCTTCGTCGAGGGCGGAGAAGGTCTCGCGGCGGCTGGGCCGGTGCGGGACCACCTGGTGCTGCAGACGGGTGTAGGAGCGGGGCGTGGCCTGGCGGATCCCGCTGGCGCGGTAGTCGCGCGGCAGGTCGCGGCTCCGGGTCCCCATCATCATGCGCGCGTGCAGCCTGTCCAGCTGGTTCTCGATATCGGTGATCTGTGCGCGGGACTCAACGAACGAGAGCAGCCCCCTGGATTGAGGCGGGAGCTCAATATCGTCAGCTACGGTGGTGCCGCTCGTGGTACTTGCCTGGGCGTCCATGGAGCCCATACTCGAGGTATCGCTATAAGTACGCGGTATCGGCGGGGCAGCATGCCGCAGCGCATCCAGTCGCTGCTGCTGCCGTCTCATGATGTCATTGTGGCCAAGGTGATTCAGCGACGGGGGCGGCTCCTCAGGGCTCACTGGCGACGGCGGCGTCTCCACTCCCCCGACTCGGCTGATCAGTATGCTCTGTGGGCGCTGTATGACCCGCGAAGCCCGTGCTTCTGGGTCTGGCGATGTAGGCACGCTCCTGACCCTGCTGTGATGGTGGTGATGGTGGTGGTGGTTGTGGTTGTCCCGTTGCAATGGCGGCGGCGGCGGCGGGCCCTCGACGCTCTGTAAGGGCTCCTCTTGCCGCATGTTGCCGGGCCTGATGTAGGTTGCGGGCCGCGCAGGCCCGCTCGAGGTGTAGTGCTCCATCTGCGAGAAGGCGCTCGCAAACGTCCGGCGTGGGGAGCGGGGTCCGTCGAAGGCACTGGAGCGCGGGAAGTCGGGTATGCGGGACAGGGAGGCGGATGTGCCGGCGCGCCGGGTTCGGCGCTCCCAATAAGCTGTGTGTGTGGATAGTGTTTAATTATCAAGCGCGACTGTGTGCGAGAGAATGGTGTTTTAGGCGACAGCCATCATGAGCGGGGGAGAAGAGGAGAAGGAAGCGAAAAAGAAAAGAAAAAAAGGTGGGAGGTAGGATATTTATGGGGGGGAATGGATCTTTTGGTGCTTCTCTTTCCTCAGCCGTGATGTGCGACAGCTTTGTTTATAAGGTATATATGGATGGGGGGTTGGTGGTGCAGTGTGGGCAGGAGAAGGGTGGGAAGAGGGAGGCAAAAGGGCGGGAAAGGAGAAAGAAGGAGGTAGGTAGAGAAAGGGAGATATGTACCTTTGCAATGATCGCAGTACGAGCTGTAAACAAACCGAAACCAAATCAGCTCACTTGCCAAGGGGGTTATTGTGTATTTGAGGTATGTAGAGTAGAGTAATGCAGAGCAGTTGAAAGGGGGGAGGGAAGGGGGGGGGGGGGGGTAAAGTAGAGTAAGCAGAAGCAGGTGGAGAGATAGATGTCAGTCAGTCAGTCAGTCAGTCAGTCAGGCACTCACTTCCATCTGGTTCCCTGCGGCACGCTTCCAATGCCGTCGATATAGACAGAGTACGTCGGCGTATGCGGCCTCAAGTCTGAGCACGCACAGCACCCAGGCAGTGTGAGAACACACCTCGCCGTGTTCTTGTGCGTGCACACCAACGTCGTCCCCGGCCTCGGACTGGGCGGCGTCGGGGAGAAGGACATTTTTCTTTTCTTTCTGTGGTGTATGTATGTATGTATGTATGTATGTGGTGGTATGTATGTAGTAGCTAGCTGTATGTTAGCTGTCTGTCTGTCTGTCTGTAGGTGCGGTAAGTGAAGCGAACGGGACGGTCCGTTCTGCTTGTTTTTTTGGCCTAGGGGTAGATGGATAGGGAGGGAAGGTGAGAGCGATGTTTATCGGGAGCACTGGCACTGGTTGGTGGTGGTTTGGTTTTGGTTGGCTGGGTTGGGATCCGACGTTGGGTGGTGGAGGTTTCGTTCGTTTCTTCGGTAAGCAGGCAGGAGGGAGAGCTCTCGTGGATGTCGTGCAGTTATGCATGCATTGCAGGAGGGAGCTACATACAGTTGCAGGGGTGGCTTGGGGGGGAGGGCCTTATCGATAGGTCTGGGAGGCTTGGTGATCGTGGTGGTCGCATGCACTCGAATATTCTCTACCACCACCACCGTACTCTGCAGTGGCGAGGGAGGGGGTGGATGGGATGGGATGGGATGAGATCAGAGAGGGTGTTTTGCTTGGTTTCGTTTAATTGCAGGGAACAGCCAGAGGTGACCGTGATTTGATTATCGTGATGGGCGGATTATCATTCACATTCGATCACTAGTAGAGTACTGGGATGAGGGGGTGTGTCAGGTTTTTTTTCTTTCTTTCCTTCTCTTCCTTTCCCTCTCTCGATCTCTTCCTCCCTTCTGTCCCGCTCGCTCGCGTGAAAGAGGGCAGGTCTACAGGGTTTGTTTGTAATCGTGATGGAAGCGATTCCTCTTCTCTCCTCCATACAGTCGAGTGTCCGTAGATACCGCGGTACACTGCATGATGTTGTTGTTGGGGGCGCTCTTCTCTGCTCTGTATCCGAATCCGAATCTGAACCGAATGTGCAAGTGACAGTCCACTCTTAGACATAACCACATAGGGCACACTCCACTCCACTCCCCAAGGTCGATCTCCAGACTCCAGATTTAGAACTGCTTCTCGAGATGGCTCCTGCTTCCCCCCGATCTCAGATGAGGACCGAATGTGCATGTCTCACTTCTTCCCTTCCCTTCCCCCTCTTTCCGCACAAAGTTCCACCGCGAGTGACGGCCAATGAATCAACCCGAAACAGGGTTCGTCGTCCTGGCCATTTCCCGGCCGGGAGATCTCTGTCTCTGTAGACTCCTGGTTGGTCTTGCCTACTTGAGCGATCTCGTGTGCAAACAACCAGACGGGAGAAGGGACGTCAAGATGTCAATAGAGACCCGGAAAAGCAGCACGTAATGATGCAAGGGACGGGGGAAGAATCTCAAGGATTCAAGGGGATGTTGCACTCCAGCACCCCCACTGATACAGGCGCGGAATACCATCATCACCACCATCAGCACCGGCCATCACTCACCTCTAAGAAAGAAGGGAGGCAATTAACTGTCAACATACATGAACACTTCCCGTGAGAATGAACACCCAAGGATCCCTGCCCAGCCGAGTGACAGGCCATGAAACCCACCCCGACACTCACACCCCCCATGCAGCCTAGCGCGTCCAAGCCGCGTAGAATGGATTTCCCGACGCGTCCTCCCCATCCACCGCGTCAACCCCAAAACCCAACGAATTCACAAAATCGTTGTGAACAAAAAATAAGATCCAATCTTCAAAAACTTGACAAGACATAAAATATGGCTTCATCATCAGGGCCTTCAGAGGGCGCAATTGACGCTCTGATGCGTGCTCCCGAGTATGTGCACCCGTACCCTTCTCTACCATCTACCATCTACCTCTACTGCTCTACTGCTCTACTGCTCTACTGCTCTACTGCTCTACTGCTCTACTGCTCTACTGCTCTACTGCTCTACATCCTACCCCCACACCCCAGACAGCCAGCTAACATGGACTCCCCCACAGCTCCGAGCGGGAATACACCACCCCGCACCGCCTGCAAAGCACCCACACCCCCAACCCGCGCTTCACCATTTCCACGCGCACCTACCAGCAGCAATTCTCCACCATGTATTTCCTGCGCCTCGCCTCTCTCAAACCGCACGTCGACGCCCTCGCGCACAGCGCCTGGGGCGACACCACGATCGCGGGCGAAGCCGTGCAGCACTGCGACCGCGTGCTCGACGTGCGCCAGGGCGAGCTGTGCTGGGTGTCCGGCACCGTCTACATGGACATGGGGCTGAAGCCCAACATCCTCGACGACATCACAAAGGACCACTGGATCGCCGCGCCGCCGCCGCGCGCAAAGTACACCACCCCCGGCGCGGACCGCATCATGCTTGAGGACGAGAGCGGGCGGCTGAGCCTGGTTGGCGGCGTGCTGGGGACGATGCATCTGGTGACGGGGTGTGTGGTTGCCGTGATGGGCAGCGAGACGGGGGATGGCGACTTTGAGGTGCTAGATGTCATTATTCCGAACTTGCCGCCGCAGGGGCCGGTGGCGGAGGAGGAGGAGGAGGAGGAGGGGAAAGGGAAGAGCAAGGGCAAGGGGAAAGAGGAGGGGAAGGGGAAGGGGAAAGGCAAGGTCGTCCTCTGCAGCGGCCTCTCCTTCCGCGGCGGCCTCCGAGAAAGCTTCACCACCGACCTCCTCAGCGAATACCTCCTCGGCGAGCTCGGCACCCCCACCGAGCAAGCCCACACCGCCACCATCATCCGCCTCATCCTCGCCGGCAACTCGCTCGGCGCGCCGCTCTCCGTCCCCGTCCCCGCCGGCGAAGAAAAGGCCAAAAAATACGGCTACGACGCATCCGCATACAACGCCTCGCCCGCGCTCGCGCTCGACAGCTTCCTGGCGCAGCTGCTGCCGTCGCTGCACGTCACCGTCATGCCCGGCGAGACGGACCCGGCCAACGTGTCGATGCCGCAGCAGCCGCTGCATCCCGCCATCTTTGGCGAGGCGAAGGCGTATGGCGGGAGCACGTTTGAGCGCGCGACGAACCCGTGGACGGCGGAGGTGGGCGGGGTGGGCTTGTTGGGGACCAGTGGGCAGCCGCTGGATGATGTGTATAAGTATGTGGAGGGGGAGGACCGCCTGGCGATGGCGGAGCGGCTGTTGAGGTGGAGGGTGGTGGCGCCGACGGCGCCCGATACGTTGTGTGAGTTCTCTTGCTTCCGGTGACTGGTGTGGTGGGGGAGTGCTAATGGTGAGGTGTAGGGTCGTATCCGTTTAACGACCAGGACCAGTTTGTAATCGAGGAGTGTCCGCACGTGTTCTTTGTCGGGAACCAGGACAAGTTTGAGACCAGCCTTGTCGAGGGCGCCGAGGGCCAGCGGTGCAGAGTCGTCTTGGTGCCGAGGTTTTCAGAGACGGGGGAGGTCGTCGTGGTGGATCTGGAGACGCTGGAGGTCGAGGTCGTCAAGTTCCAGCTTAGGGAGTAGCTAGTTGGTTAGTTAGTATTAGTAGACTAATATAGGGCGGGGGGGAGAAACATAAAAAATTGGTAATCTGGAGTTATGGCTGGGTTTAGAAGAGATTATTGCTTCTTTTTATTTCTTTTCTTTCTCGGGCTGTGGTTTGTGGCATTCATGGAGAAAAAAAAATAGATAATTTCTGTCTGTAAGAAGTGCATATATATAACTAGACACCACCACTTGTCTTGTTAGACGCTGAGAGCCCTGTTTTTTTTTTTTCTTTCTTTCTTTTTACTTCCGCCCTCCCATTTACAGACGAATTCGAAGCTTTCGTTTTCTTACTAAAGAAGTGGCTATCACCATACATAGTCTCAGTTAACGTTTGGCATGGGCCATGTCTTACCATGATCTCCAACATGGTTGTTTCCTTTGCAGGTGGATTATACCACAGCACCACTACTCAAGGGAGTGGCCTAATGGGTGTGCTACTTGGACGGTATGCCAACGTGCAAGTTGGATAGCTGGTGCAGAGGCTGGCCGAAGATAGCTATGTATGTGCCGTGGTGCATATCAAATTCTCGCTAGATCCGATTCAGTCCATACCTTCCATCCCACTGACAATGCTCTTCAGTAAGGAAACAACGCTTTCTACTACCTAGCACTAGTGTACGTGGCAGAACTGAGAGATGCTCCGTCCTTTCGCTCAGGAAATCGCCCTCATGACCAAAATCCCCACGCTCGCCTGGACCGAGCGAGTGATAGTTCGTGACGCACGCCCTATTTTGGTAAATATCCCCGAAATAGCACTATTCCGCATTTACTCTAGCCCGCTGTATGATCTAACTGGGATTCTTTGCAAATCGGCCTCGTATTATTGGAATTTGTTTGTCGATCAGGTAGGGATTCTAGACTGGGTCGCCGCATAGCTACATACATACAGCATCTTCGGCAACTGAAATCTCCGACATTGCGGCTTCTGGATGCGTGCTCTTGAGGGAATATTTTCCAAATCCGCAGGCAAATCCCATGATATGAATATTCTAGACCTCGGCTGGCTGCCCTTTTGGAGCTCATGATCTGTTCTAGCTGTTGCTCAGTAATGCAACTGCAATGCGGGCAACCGATCGCCACCGTCAACCACTTCCAGCCACGATCGATAAGATAATGGCCGCGGGTGCAGGAGGTTCAGTGCACCTCAACACCACACCTCACACATCTTTACCTCTACCTCTACCTCTACCTCTACCTTTACATCACTCACCACCTGAGACAATCCACCACCACCTGAGACAATCCATCACCACCTCAATTGCATCAAAAAATGGCCTCCCGAATACCCCTCAAGCAGCTTGCCCGAACCAGCACCTTCCCAAGCACCTTCTTCTCGCCGCGCATCGCCGTCCCCGCAGCCCGCAGCCTAGCTACCGCAACCACAACCACAACCACCACCCCACCACCACCAACCCACAAGCCCAATGACGGCACCGCAATAGTCCTCCTAAACATGGGCGGCCCCAGCACCGTCCCCGAAGTCCACGACTTCCTCTCCCGCCTCTTCGTACATCCCCACTCCCCCCCCCCCCTCTCCCACACTCCCCACACACCGCTAACACACACCCCACCAGGCCGACGGCGACCTCATCCCCCTCGGCCCCCTCCAGAAATACCTCGGCCCCCTCATCGCACGCCGCCGCACCCCCAAAATCGAAGCCCAATACTCCGTCATCGGCGGCGGCTCCCCCATCCGCCGCTGGTCCACTCTGCAAGCCACCGAAGCCTGCAAGCTCCTCGACACGCTCCACCCCTCCACCGCACCACACAAGCCCTACGTCGCCTTCCGCTACGCCGCGCCCCTCACCGAAGACACCTTCCTACAGATGCAGGCCGACGGCATCCGCCGCGCCGTCGCCTTCACCCAGTACCCGCAGTACTCCTGCTCCACGACCGGCAGCTCCCTCAACGAGCTGTGGCGCCTGGCCAAGAAGTACGACCCCGCGGGGCGCATCGAGTGGAGCGTCATCGACCGCTGGCCGACGCACAGGGGGCTCGTCGACACCGTGGCCAAGCACATTGAGGAGTCGCTGTCGACGTACCCCGCGCCCGAGCGGGACGGGGTGGTGCTCCTCTTCTCCGCGCACAGCCTTCCAATGTCCGTCGTGAACCGCGGCGACCCCTACCCGGCCGAGGTCGCAGCAACAGTGTACGCGGTGATGCAGCGACTGGGCTTCAAGAACCCGTACCGGCTGGTCTGGCAGTCGCAGGTGGGGCCGCGGCCCTGGCTGGGCGCGCAGACGAGTAACACCGTCGAAGAGTACGTCAAGAAGGGGCAAACAAACCTACTACTCATCCCTATCGCTTTCACCTGTAAGCCCCCCCCCCCCCCCTACCCCCCTCCCCCTCTGCCACTACTAACCTACCGCAACACAGCCGACCACATCGAAACCCTCCACGAGCTCGACCTCGAGATCATCGCCGAGTCCAAGCAGCCCGGCATCAAGCGCGCAGAGTCGCTCAACGGCGACCCCATGTTCATCAAAGCGCTCGCCGACATCGCGCACGAGCACCTCCGCGGCGGCGCGCGCGCGAGCGCGCAGCTGGGCCTGCGCTGCCCAATGTGTGTCAGCGAGAAGTGCAGGGAGCAGAAGAAGTTCTTTGCGGGGGGAAGGAGGCGGAGTAGGTAGGTGTCGTGGGTGGGTGGGTGAGGTGGGACATGGTGTGTCACTCGGTGGTGGTGGTGGTGGTGGTGGTGGGGTTTTTCGTGTAGATAAAAGTCTTTTTTTTTTTTAATGAGATGTTGATAGCTAGCTAGCTGGCGCTGGGATACTGGGAAGGTTTTTATTCTATTCCTGGGCGCTTTCGCTCAGTTGGTAGAGGGATGGGCTGCCTGAATACATAGTAGTCTGCCTGAATAGAAGTTTTTTGGCAGGTTGGCGGGAAGCTGCATTTCAATTATTTCCAGTCACATAGCTATCAAGGCCCCCCATTCCCCAGAGTACTACATATATAAAGTAATATCCAAACCCATCAGTCAGATAGACCACCCCAACCCTGTACAGACCACCCCGTACCATCACCTACAATCCCCGGCCCCCGGTAATGATACCGAGTGACACCCCATGACCCCACACCCACTCCACCCGGGCTTTATATCTCCATCCTTCCCTCCTCCGGCTACGACCACCACACACCACAGACAACAACACCACGACCGCCACGACCAACAACGTCGGATTCTTGAGCTCTAGAGAAAATGACCTTCTATATGTGTATAGCAATGCTCTATATGACTACTTATGTAGCTACGGAGCATCTCTAACGACTACTAACTACTATTACCACCACCAACTACGAGCCCCCGCAAGCCCCCACAGGCACCACAAACAAGCACATAGTAAAGAAAGGAAGAAGAAAGGAAGAAAGCAAAAGAAGATCATCATCCGCTACCCCCACCCCCCTCTTTCCTCCCCACAACAAAGCACCACACAGCATAAAACAGTACAAACCAGCTCAATATCATCATCATAGCCCCCGGCCCTCGCTCAGCCTTTCATTAGATTACAATTACATCTTCATCCCCTAATAAAAACAGTCGATCGCTTTACCAACAGCAAAAAATCAAAAAAAAGTAAAAAAGTAAAAAAGAAGAAAAAGTCTATAATACAAGAAGTCTCATCTCCCTCACCTCCCCCTCTTCCTCCTGTGTCCCTGTCCCTTAAGCTCTAATCTCAGAGTAAATATACGGCATGAGCACCACACACGCCTTATACAGCACTCCAAAGCTCTTGACAAACGCTATCGGCCAGGTGGCCACCGCGCTGTTGGCGAACATGATCCACATGCTATAGAAGGCGACTGCGAAAAAGTGGTAGAACAGGACCATGGGCTGTCTGATGATTCCGGCAAGGAGCGCGGCGGGCTCGTCGATGCATTGGCCGCCCATGCGGAAGTATTCGAAGCATCCCCTTTGGAGTGTGCGGAGGCGGTCGTCTATTGTTTCTGTTTGTTAGTAGGGGGTTTATATATATGTAAGGGAGGAAGAGGGAGACGAACCGTTAGCGGCAAAGAGGGAGTAGAGTGCCTGCGCCAGGATATTGACCACACTCGTCAACGACTTGCGCTGCCAATGGAACTTCGACATCTGCCTCAACACAAGATCCGTATCCTCCAGATCTGGCACCGTCGCCGGGCTCAACAGTTCCGTGACCAACACCACATCATTAAACGCCACCGTCATACCCCCTCCCGTCAGCGGATGTCTCATATTCATCGCATCTCCCAGCAGCACCATCCCCGGCGTCGTATTCGTTGTCGCCGGCAGGAACGAGTTCGGCATACTGGGAAACCTGTCTGCCTCGAGCGCGGCCTTAAACGACGGTCTGATGCACTCGGGCAGGTCCGGCAGCACCACGTTCTTAAGGTGCGCCTTCACGCCGCCGTCCTTCGCGCTCGGCATCTTCGGCATGTCAATGAGCATGCGGGTCTCGTGCGTGCCAATCTGGTACACCAGCACCGGCGGGTTGTTGCCCATGATCACATGGCCGTGATTCGGCGATGGGAGCACGGCGTCCTTGAGCTCCAGCCCAACAAAGTTGGACCGCACCTGCGGCTTCTTGTTGATGCACTTCTTGCGGAAGTTGGACGCATATCCGTCCGCGGAGACGGTGAGCGCGCCAAAGTAGTGCTCCTCGAGGGCGTCGGCGCCCTTGCGCTTACAGATGACGCCGAGGACCTGGTCTGTAGCATTGTTCTTGATGACGTCGCGGACGGTGGTTTCGATGATCGTGACGCTGTTGTTACAATTCACCCGCCGGTTAGCAACACACGCCCCGCATATACACCCCCGCACGCCCGCAGACTTACTTCGGAGTTCTTCTTGCCGCCTCGCGCAGCTTCATGATGAATCTCCCGTGATGGAATGACCGCCCCTCCGGCGCCTTTCCATCGGGTCCCTTCGGATACGGAATCGTAACCCTCTCGCCGTGGTAGATACACTCATAGCCATACGTCGGGATCGCATCAATTCCCTCCAAGCAATCTACCATCACCCGCACGCATCATCAGCATCAATCAGATCCTCTCATCGATCCATCATCAATCCAATCCATCCATTCAATCAAAACAAAACGAATATAAAAAGACTCACCCCTCATCCCCAATTTCACCAGCGCCTCCACACCCCCCGGCTGCAGCAGCTCGCCCACAATCCTATCAGGCTCCGACAGATCACGCTCCAAGAGCAAGACCTGGCGGCCCTGCTTCCCGAACGCAGCGGCGAGCGCGCAGCCGAGGACGCCGGCGCCGACGATCACGACGTCGTATGAGTTTTCGCGCTTCTTTGGTTTCATTTGGGTTGCCATTGGGTCGTTGTATTAAGCTTTACGGGTAGGCCGGTAGAGGTAGATAGATAGCAAGTAAGGTAAGGTAAGGCAAGGTAAGGTAGTAACGCAAGAGTGTAGCACCGGTGAGATGCAAAAGGGTTGAAAAAGAAAAGAAGAGAAACACTCGGGGGGGCAGCAACGTAAGTCTTTATGTGGATGTGGCTGGCTGGGGAGCTTCTCTTCTCTGTTCTTTCAACACTCGTTGTGGTGCATGGAAAGGAAGGTTGGGCAATTCAAGGGGTAAGAAAACGGTTGTTGCAATGGTCTGACACGTGAAAAAAAGGAAAGAAAAAGCCTAGCAACAAAAAAAACAGACCACAATTCGAACCATTCCACGCCCAACCTCGAACCATTTACTAACTGGATAGAGCATGTCTACATGGAAGTAGATACTCTACAGGTACCTACACAGGGCATTCACACATTCACATGTCGGCGGATAGCCCCCTTTTCGTCAGTCAACTCAACTTGAACTCAACTCAACTCACAGTAGGTCGGTATCACCAATTCTCACTCCTCACCACCCTACGTAGGCAACGCACAGGGTATCACTCACTCCATTGCACGTGAAGAGAGTACCACCCACTATTTGGAATTAACGCAATGTGCCCGGAATTGTGCTTAGAGCTTAAGCCTGCCATTGGGCTGACGTCCCGATGTTTGCTGATGACTAGCAAAAAAAAATGAGCCAATGGAATTATCGTCTAGATATTAAGTACAAGTAGATAAATACTATTCAAGTCGCCGGCCGGCCAGCGTCAGCTTGCACAGTAAGCTGAGCTGGGACGAAAACGAAAAACGAAAAGAACAAATGCAATGGCACCGGCCGCACCTGCACTCGCACCCGCGCCTGCGGCCACCCGCCTGCCTGCCTGCCTAGCTAGTAGGTAGGTTGGGGGGGGGGGGGGGGGGGGGGTTCGATTGAGAACAAAGACATAGGGAACCGGCCACAACCACAACGACGACCACGACAGACAGAGATACAGCGACAATTGCACGAATATACCAACTACTTATGACATAACAACTCGAGGGGGTATGTATATAGCAAAGTATATATACCTATATCTTGAACATCTCCCTGGTACAGTACAGCTATCTCACAAAATCACAATCCCCACCCACCTTCCCTGTATTACTTTTACCCCCCTCTCTCAACCTCCCCCTAGTATCTAGCTCTCACCTCGCCTCTCCTCTCCACTACTCTCTCCTCTTCTTCCATTCACACAAGCTAAAAACATCCTCCATTTTACATAAAAAAAATCGCAAAACGCAAGCCCGCTGGTAAAAAAAAAAAAAAGGATAAAAGAAATCCGAACCTGGAATATTCCAATTCCAATAAAAAAAAACATTAAGAATATAGAAAAGGCGCCACAATCATACACGCAATTGGGAACATGATGAGTGAGCTAGGCCTGTACATTGGTTGTTGTATAATAGTGGTAGAAACATCCAAACAGTAACAAAAAAGAAAGACAGAAAATAAGGGTCATATAAAACATCGCGATCGACCGGTCGGGGGGTGAATGTAAGTGAGCGAGAAAGAGAGAGAAGGTGATGAGATGGTGATGATGCGTATGTGTTGACAAGTTACAGCATTATATTAAGAATATGTATGCACGAACATGGACACAGTTAGGGGGGGCATGTTGTTGAATTTGGGGGCCGTTTTAAATATCTTGGTTTTTGTTGGTGTCGTCCATCGGGTGAAAAAAAGGGTACTTTCAATAATCAATTATTTTTTTTCTTCGTAAAAGTAATGCCGCTTTCAGGCGAATATTATCAAGGTCGAACGAAGCTGGCCTCAAGCAGTACTGGAACCCGAGTCCCGGTTTTTCCCATCATAATACGAGTCATAGACGTCTGATAGAGACCCCGACGAAACCCGGTTGTTGTAGTCCCCATTATCCACACCAAGCATCATCATCACACTACCATTTCCCTCTCGATCTTCCGCACCGACACCCGCGCCCGCACCCGCACCACCACTACTGCTACTACCCGCCCCTACTCCAGCACCCGCGCCCCTCATCGTCGCGACGGAAACCTCTCGTTCTGGTTCTGCTCATCACCTATAATAAGCGCCCGTAAGTCACACAGGACGCACTCCAACAACCAAACAGGCTTAGAACCTACCATCATCTATAGGTCCATCAATCTTAATCTGCGGCCTAGGTGGCGACGGTGGAGGGGGGCGACTAAAATTTGTTCCCGCAGGGGAGCTAGGCGGAGAGTCTTCATCGACCACAGAGCCCGCGTCAGAAAAAATGGTCATGCCTCTCGTTGGCTCTTTCACCTTACGGATCGGGGTCATATTACTCTGTATTTTCGGTCCTCCATTGGAGGACGAGTAGTTATTCAGACCGAGCCCACTACTTGGAATATCCGACTCGAGCTGTGGTGAGCTTCCTCTCGACAACGGGCTGGGCGATCTCGGGAAGCTTGGGGACTCGGGAGACCGCGGGTGCTTTGGGGAGTCGGGGACGTTGAGCTGCATATCGACTGCCACCTTTGAGGGTGGGAGTTGTGCGGGGCCTTTGGGGTTTCCGACGTCAATAGTGATGACGCTGCTGGTGGCGCTGCCCTGGCCGAAGGGGATGTTTCCGGATTGTACGAGAGTGCTGGCGGACATGCTGGCGGGTGTGGGTGTTGTAGGGCGGGACTGCGCGACACCGCCGTAGAAACCCCGTTCGAGGGCGCGGATACCGAAAAGATCACCTTCGCCTTCTTCGCGCTGGTTGAGCGCAATTTGCTCTATTTTTCCTTCCTCGTTGGCGGCTTTGGCTTTGGCTTCCTGTGGAGTTTGTTAGATCTCATGGGTCTATTAACGATTTTTTTTTTCCTAGGTAGAGTAATTATATACCGCCATGATCTTTCTGGTCCTGTGCCACGGAGGTGAATGTTAGTAGCCGTCCACAATCGGTAAATTATTATTACGGGTACCTACTTCTGCCTGACATAGAACAATTTCATAAATCCGGCAATAAATACCAGGAAAATCAATGCCCCAAGAACGATGCTGTAAATACCCTCTCCGTTAGATATATATATTTTCCAATAATAGATGCAATGTAAAAAAAAAAAAGCCAGCACAGTAGAAGGGTAAAAACTTACGCATATTTCAGCCCAAGATTGAGATCTCCGAACCAATTACCCATTGTAGTAGTAGATTTTAGTAGACGAACTAGTTAACGAACGAAGCTTTTTTAGAAATAAAAAAACGAGTGATATAATAATAAGGCCGGATTGTATAACTTGAACGACGGTCCCAAAGAATGACAGAAAAGTAATAGACTTTTCAGAATGACCGAATAAAGAAGAAAGAAAAGAAAGAAAAAAATAGTAGTAGGCTGTAGTAGGAGTCAAGCCCTAGCAACTGTAAAGAGAGATAAAAAGTGGGAACTGAAGAAAGTAAATATGGGAAAGGGGGGGTATGGGTGCCCTTTTAGATTTAGATTTTGTTGGAAGACAGGATAGGCTGGTAGGAAAACAATCCTGGAGGGTTGAACACTGGCCCTGCAGATGCTATAACCCGGTTTTTATTGGAGGTGATCCTAAATGGCAAAAATCCAAATAAAGGAAGGTTTTAGTATTTCAAGATAAGCGAGAGTAGGCAGCTATTCCAGTGCAGCGAATAAAAGAGTGAAAAGAGAGACAGAAAATAAACAAGGACTGGCTGTCCAGTGTCCACTCTGATACTATCGTCGTGGGCGGTAAGGTAAAGAGTGTGCGTTGGAACAAGAATAAAGAGGGAGTGGATGGGTAGCAGAGACAACTTAGTAGGTAAAGGTTGTGAGTACCTACACAGAGAAGAAAAAAAAAATAGAGTGAGAATTGTGTCGAACCAGCGGAAAGTAGAAATTGTGTACCTAAAGATAGAGATTTTATTTTTTGTTTATACGCTTGATAGAGAAGAGGAAAGACGCCCGTGACGACGAAACACGCGAATGGAAAGGGGGGCAGGGTCTAGGAATCGTACTTCTCCCCTACCACCACCCCTACCAGCTGCTTGACTGAGACACCAGATGAACCTCACCAGCCAGCCGGTTCACACTGTGGTGGCGAGGAGAGCGGCAACCTAGCCGTTCCTAAACTCCAATAGGTGGCGAGCCAAATAATAGGGAAAGTTCAAAATCTCGTCATCGAATCAATTGCTCGATCCTCATATTGAATATCAGAAACCTACCTGCGCGTATGTACTCTAGGTAATCAAACGACAAGAGTCAAAGACACATCTAACCTCGCGCTGGGAGGAAAACACTTGAAGCATTAAATAGTAGGCACAACGTAGGTACAGTCCAAATAGAATATATAACCGCAAGCCAAGAGATCTATACTTACCCACAACCCACACTGTGCCTACTGTACCTACATAACGCAGACGCCCTATGTATGTTCCTGAAGTCGTGAGTTTCAGTTTCGGTCAGTCGATTTCAAGACTTTTCCGTTTGGTTCGGTTTCTCCTCTTCTCTCTTTGTGCAGGGGCGGTTTCTTCCTCGTTGGGTGGGTACTCAACTCGACTCTAGAGAAGAAGTGCGCCAGGCAGGCGCGCGACGCACCGTTTCGGTGTCACAGCAGCGATCCGAGCACAGGTGTTACAGGGTATATGCCGCTAAAGAAGGTTACCTGCACTTTAGCAACAGCAGGCAATAGTAGCCCCACCAATATGGGGTGGAAGAAAATTCCGCTAGAAATCCAAGCTGAATACTAGTATTTCTCTGACGTTTTTGAACTGGGCCATTATTGCATACACCCGAAATCATGAGCTTGGCGTATTTTTGTATGGCATGCAATATCAGTCGCGTCCACAAACGTCAGAGAAATACGAGTACAGCAGAGAAATCGCATCATGCATAAGTTTTACGACAGGAAAGTGCATGTAGGTAGAATTCGATGTCGTCTACTTAACTACTACACATATGAACGTCACCCCAAAGTACACTCTTAGTAGAAAATACGATTTCACGATGTATCGATTAACCATCATGGATATTGGAAGTGCGTGGGGGAAGGGGGTGATTTTCGAAGGACTGCCTACCTATCCGATTATAATTACTTCAGAGGCATCACCCCTCTTATTCACTCTTGTCCCACCGTCCCGTCATGGCATGGCACCAGGGAATAACACTTGTTGTTTCAATTGATAACACATCTGTACATCTGCATTAGCGACCTTCACGATGGCTGATGTATTTAAGGCTCATTGGGATAGAGATAACCGCAGTGGCTTATTTTCTTATTTCCCTAGTAGGAGTAAGTACCAGAACACCCACCATTTCAGGCTCTTCTTTCCTCGTGCTCCGCCGTTCTTCCTTCCTTCCTTCCTTCCTTCCCTTCAGGTCCCAAGGAACAAATTCAATACTCGCAGCTGTCATCCATGATCTCCAACGAAAGCTTGTACATAGGTGCAAACATTCCGCAGTGGGGAGGCCTAGAACACACACACACCACTGCCACACTCCTTTTACGATGTTAGGAATATGCGCGTCCCAATTGGGGATAACTCAGGGGATGGGAAGAATGTTGTCGGCAAGCGAGCCGGCACAGACGGGATGATCGATGTGAAGCGCTAGCCTAACCCTATTAAGATATGCACTAACTTTACGCGGATGAACCTAAGTTCGTCACACTACCATTTTTGTTGCCAAGCCCCCAAGGGTCTTTGGAATACGGGTAAGGAGACCCTTTATTCCACTGACTTAGAACTTAATGAATTTTCGTTGCTTCGGGTACCTACTCGACAAGCATCAAGTGCTTTGACTGAACCATGAAAGGTACAAGATGGGCCAATTATAGAAACTCGTACTGGTAATGATAATTATTTGGAAGAACCAGGAAGGTACGTCAAGTACCCAGACTCCAAAGTACGAGCGCACGCACCCTCAGCAAGCTGAGCAAAGGTTAGCTACATATGGTGAATGAATATAAAGCTGTCTCGGGTAGTAAACTTACCATGACCCAGAAAATCCATCTGTGGTACGCTGCACAGATAATCAGATTATTACGCCATAATTACAAGCTGAGCAATTGCAGGTGCTACATCCATCGTCGGATTAACGGAATTCTCGTCCAAAGATCGGCCAGGACGAGTGCTTTTCGATGACGCGGGATGTATTTTGATCCAGCTGTAGCGCAAAGCACTGAAGACATATCACTTTCCAGTTCTAAGCCGTCCTTGCAGCCCGCTCCGCCAGGAGGTTTCATAGCTGATTGACTCGGAATTTTTTAATGATCAGGGCTAGCTGTACCTGCATTATCCTTTTTTGACGGCTGTATGTATCAACGTTGTGATATTTTAGAAAAGTATAGGTAATCAGAAAGGAACCCCCCACAGGACATAACGCGTCTGCGTCTCTCTCAGAGAATGTAAGTGCAGGGTAAATAGAATTTGCACGAGGAAAAAAACTGCCAAATATGGCTTTGCTTCCCCCCCCCCCCCCTGATGTTCTCGTACGTGAGGTGGCTTGCGTGATAGTGCGACAAACAGGAAGAAATAGGCGGATCATGTGACTAAATGACTCCAACAAAGCAACTTTGCTTCCAAATATTGTTTTAGCCTTTGAGAATGCTGATAAGAGGCACGTGGGTTTAGGGGGGGTGGGGGGGGGGTGAGCGGGGAACTCAAAATTTTTGTCTTATCATGACTGTTTAAGGCTGTCTTCATAGATTGCTATGTATCTACTCTAGAGTAAATTATTCTAGCACATGTGTAGATATGGTTTGGAGCTAACCGGCGTGACAGACTTAAACTGGATGTCCCTTAAACGTTTACCATTTGATATTCGAGGCCTATCAGCGAGAAATTGGCACATTGGCACGTCAGCATTGAAAGTGTAGATAAACTAGACATTCGCGGGTCTGTTTAGAGCAGCATCTCAGGACAATACGCGTTAGTTAGTTAGTTGCCCCTTGCAGCACTGCAGCAGCGCTGATGTCTGGCACAACGTGGCTTACTGGTTGATATTACAGCCCTACACTGATTGGCCAACCAAGCGAGTCGTACAGGGCCTTTAATGAGCTAGAAGATGAAGCACTGAGGGGCTGACCCGCCTCGATGTATGCATATCAGCTCTTGACTGATTGGCGCAGGCATGGCCACATAAATCAAATCTCCTGGCTGTCCCTCCGAACGAACCAACCAAACCAACCAAAGGAATATATTTCCGCTTAAATCGGCTATGGGGACCCCTTATCCACATGCTATCGGAGGTCTTTATTTAAATTTCAGCGTGCACAATTGTGGGAGCTTAAAATCTCTAAATCTACGTACTCAATCGGTAGTGATGCGCCCTAGGTACAAGATATGAGACCCGAACCTTGAGTAGACATGGAGCACAGATGAGTATTAAGGTTTAAGTCCTTGCTAAACACTTCTCTCAAAGCTTGTGCGCTCCATTAGGTTGTGGATCGAGAATCCAAGGGACGAGACGAAACCGCGAGTACGGAGTACGAATCAGGTGGAACAAGACTAAATCTTATACGAGCCGAGGGAGACATTGTACAATTTCGTCCGGCACCATCGTACGGGATTGACGACCCGAGACCGGTCGACCGTGACATAGCACGTTGACAGAATTGACGGATTAGGTTGATGAGTATCTGTTTAGTAGAACTGTTAGTCATATCATCTCCACCAACACACGTGTTTTAAGATGAGAGAAAATGTATAAGAGGTGCCGAAATACCCGTACGGTTTTTACTTATGAACTCTCAATGCGGCATATTCAGTTCGAAGGATTCATGCTCCTCTTTAATTCGTGACGTTTCCGGACCGGTGTTTGACTGCATGATGATTGGATTCTTGGTGTAGGCCGACCAAGCTGGCTGGAAGCGTCATGAAATGATTATATATTCTATAGAGAATGAACGGCGAAGAGAGAGAGAGAGAGGGAGGGAGATGCACAGAAAAGACCTGATGGCCAGTTTATTAGCTAGCTGTCGAGTTACGCATACGCGTAACACCAACTGACGATGAGGTGTTCTTTATTCTATGTAGGTAGAGGTATGTTCGTGCACGACATGTAGGGCTACATGACACTCCCGCTCTTGCTTTCATTCGACTTAGAAGCCACACATCAAAAGGGATGATCATGTTCACTGCAGGATCTCCTCCGCGGCTTGCCACTAATATCACCTTAGTTATGGATTGAATGCTCAGTACATCAGTACATCAGAGGATTGAGAGCTTACAGTTACTTGAGGGTTCCCGATAAATCTAACATACTACCAGTAGCATACTACGCTCATTATAAAACTCGTCTAACGAACACACCATTGCTGCGCCAGGGATGAATTCCTCACGAGTGATATCTCGTGATCACAGGTTCCAAACTCCTTGTGTAACGTCGATCCCACCCATGCACGCAAACCGCGCCGCCGGCAACAACGAATCAACGGTTGACCACTATCTGCTCTAAAAATCCCAATCCCATGATCTTGGGATGATATGGAACCCTCTAAATTAATTAAAGTTGCCATAAATCCACCAAGGAAATGATCATGCATACTTGACAGCCTTCTGGAATTATACCTATATTACAGTACCCTTACGTCACTGATCCACGTACGGCCAACATGCATGCGCAGAGCCTAATAGTATCGCTCTTGGTTCCCATTCTCCTCCTTTTCTGCCCCTCGCTGCTGTCTCTGGTATCTCCAGACTCCTCCATGAACAGCCTCCTCAGCTCCTTCCGCTCAATCACCCGCTCACGCCTCGCCCTCCCCAACAACAGCCTCCTCGGCCGCAGCACAATGACAACCTTCACCCTCCCCTCCACGTCCACCACTGTCCACCTCACCCCCGACCTCACCCAATCCCAACTCCTCGAGTTCCGCCCCTTCAAAGACTGGCTCTCAAAGCTCCAACACTCGCTCTCCCTGCAGTCCCAGAACACCAAGCACCCCTTCCACGCCGATCCCTACATCCTACACTCAATCACCATCCAATCCGTCGACTTCTTCGGCGGCTCGCGCATCGGCTTCCTCAAGCTCAAAACCGACATCAAGTCCGCCTCCGGCGCCTCCCTACCCGGCTCCGTCTTCCTCCGCGGTGGCAGCGTCGCAATCCTGCTCGTCCTCGAGACCAAGACCAAGGGGCAGAGCGAGCGCTGGGTCGTGCTCACCGTGCAGCCGCGGATCCCTGCGGGCTCGCTCGAGATGGTGGAGCTGCCCGCGGGCATGATTGACGACTCTGGGACGTTTGCCGGTGCCGCGGCAAAGGAGATACAAGAGGAGTGTGGGATTGAGATTGCGGAGGACAAGCTGATTGATTTGACGTCGAAGGCGCTGGGGAGCTTGGCGGCGGCGGAGGATGAGAGGTTGGAGGAGGCGGTATATCCGAGTCCAGGCGGGAGCGACGAGTTTATGAAGATCTATGCTTATGTGCATCAGGTTGAGGATGGGACGTTGGACGAGTGGAGGGGGAAGCTGACGGGGTTGAGGGATGAGGGGGAGAAGATTACGTTGAAGCTTGTGAGGCTTGAGGATCTGTGGAGAGAGACGAGGGATGCGAAGGCCCTAAGCGCAATGGCGTTGTGGACGGGATTAAAGATGTAGATATAGATCTATATTATATAATTATAAGTACTAGTGCAGTGCTTGTTGGTTGCTATGAGGATCTAATATCATGAATTGTAGGTCGGTATAATTCAACTATAATATGACCGTAAAGATATACCGATAACTACCGTTAATTCTCGAGAAATCCACTATCCCCGCTTCGCTAAATCTTAATTCCGGGCGAGAAAACGTATGTATCTGCACGAGTCCGTGAAGTTTGATACGCCAATTCGCCTTGGTTCGGACTTACAATATACAAATACGGGGATAGTGGATTATTCGAGAATTAACGGTACCCTATAAAGCTTCATAAACCCCTTCCTCCCTACTTACCTCGGAGGCGCTTGATAAAATCACATCTAAGCGCCTAATCGTACGTACTAAAAGAGTAGCCCGCCGGAGGATAAATACATAACCAGGCGCCCGTTCATAGCGGCTCACTCGGCGTGGATGATGGATCATGATGCACCACTACTCGAGATATTTACTAAGGGAGAGGATTGCCATAGCTAGCTCTAAAAGAGAGACCAAGTCGTCTATTCTTGGGCATTTTTGGTGAGGTGATCTATGGGTACCAGGCGCTCCACTTCGCCCTCAAGTCCGCAAAGAAAATGCTGGACTTTTAATCATTGACTACTAACCAACACCCAGCATTCCCATGCATCCTGGTTGCTAAATACTAATAGAGCAAAGATTATCGTAAAAAAGCATTAAGAAAAAGAACACAGCAAGGCACCATTGATATTACTAATTACCCACCTAAAACCATGGCCCAGAGCTCTACAAGAACTTCCACCTCCTCACCATCTCAAAGCCCTCCGCCAAACTGCCCACCCTCGCATCGATCGCCACCCCCTGCGCCTCCAAGCGTCTGCATTCCTGATACAGCGCCTTCAACGGGACTAGATAGCACTCAATGAACTCGTTATCCTCGAGCTGCTGCTTCGGATTCTCATTCCTCGGGTCCATTAGATCGACCTTGACATGCACGAAATGGAGATTGGTGTTGCACATGCCGGGGTCATTAAACATGAGGCAGCTGCGCTCGCCAGCGTCGCCAACCGGCTCGACCACGCCGTGGTAGCCGGTTTCTTCGTAGAGCTCGCGGATGGCGCATTCTTCCGGGGTCTCGCCAGCGTCGATGAGGCCGGCGGGGATCTCGAGGGTTACCTGCGTTGGCGGCGGGTTAGTTTGTTTGTGAGGAAAGAGGATGGGAGGGAGAGAGCGTACTTTGCCAATGGGGGGTCGGTACTGCTTTTGTAGGAGGAGGCAGGGCTCGAAACCGGGCCGCTCGAGGACGGCGATGATCCCGACGCCGTCAAAGTCAACGCCGGGAGGGCGGGTGCAGCGCTCACTAGACTCCCAGGTGCGTTCGGTGCCGTGGGGATCTGTGTAGGTTGTCCTGAAGCTATGTTAGCACGGGGGGAGCTAGGTGAGAGGAGGAGTGCGGGGGAGAGGAACTTGACGAGTTTGACCCATTTTGCGTCTTGAGTGGAGAGTGGCTCTTGCGAGACTATTTTGCTGGCGGAGACGGACATGATGGACTGTTTGTGGGTGTGGTGGTGAATTGTTTACTGTGATGTGATGATGGTGATGATGGTGATGATGATAGTGGGTGTGGGTACCGGTGTGATAGGGATGGCGGGGTACGTTGAGGCTCTGGTGACGTAGAGCGAATTACAAGCTTGGTGGAATAAGCTTTTAGATCTCGGGCGGGAATTAGTGCCAGATTAGCGAGACTGTAGATACCCGAAGTCTAGCTTATGTCCATGCAGTTAATTAGAAGTAGGCTCATAAGGGCTTACGGATGAGTGCGTGAGTGTGTGTGTGTGTGTGAGGCACCGTAGAGTACATGTATATAAGCACATCTTAAGCCTCTAAGTGAACGATAATATTATTCCCACGCTTTGCTGCTGCATAGCTACACGTCCGGTACATACATGTATGTAAATACATATAGCTACAAGTGCTTATTACACTCCGGAGCTGCCCCCACTACGCCACCGCCGGTACATACGGCCTCACATACCTCTTTATCCACCATTCCGGGATCTCGCACGCATCCTTCAACCCGTCATTAATCTTCTTTATATATTCCTCCCTCACCACACCCTCCTTCACATTCCGGTCGATATACACCACGCACCGCAGCACCCTGCCATCATCCAACATCTGCACGTCGCGCAACACACGCTCATATACATATGGTGCACCTTCGTAGCCGTCCAGAAGCGCGATGTCCGTGTCGGTGAGGCTGTAGACGACTCCGTAGCAGTCGTCTGGGGCCGAGGACCGGATATTGGCGTAGCCTCGTGTGTAGATGAACCAGCAGTAGGATGGAAGGAGACCGGTCCCGATGAGAGTGCTCTGCGGGCAGCGTTGTCTCATTTGGGTGCGCCAGAGGTTGGAGCCGTAGGCGAAGTAGTAGGTTCGGGGGAGAGAGGACATTTTGGCAACTATTAATGGTTTATGTATATATTCAGGGACTATGGGGGGTGGAAACGGTATTTATAAGTATTCTTTTCAGGGAGGTTGAATGTTGCCCTCAAGTGTACTGTTTAACTACTTATGGCTTTCAAGAAGACACCTGAGCGGGGTCGGCATAAATACGACAAATCACATAAAGTCGTCAAAGGTCATGTTTTTGCAGATACATGTATGTACCATCCTCACGATTTTACTCGAATAGTAGATACTACTCTTCTGTAGAGGGAATGGAGTTGTAGGAGTTGTGTTTTCTGCGCTTTTTCTGGCGCAGATTCATATTGGAACCATATGTATTCTGCATGTTTGGTAGCAGATTTGCACTCGGTTCACTGTTCACCACTACTAACTCAGTTGCCTACTACCCCCCTCTACTTTCATCTACACCCAAATACACACACCCCCATAGCCTACCACTTCCCAGGGGAAAGAATTGTAGGTATCCAGAAAGCTAACTGACCGACTACTTCTTTCTTTCTTTCTTTGTTATCATAGTCACTAAATATCACTCGGAGTGAAATTCGGGCAGAGTCAGGCCTGTACTTTTTTTTCCCGCAACTCTTTCCTTTCAGGGGGCACTGTTTGATTGGTTGAGCCTAAACTTGCAGCCAAGAAAAGGCCATGAGCCTGTCCTCCACTCGCAATCGCACCGCTCGTTAAAGAGTCATAGTAGTATGCCCAGAATTGTAGAGTGTACAAATATATTCAGCTGCCCAAGCACCAGATAGTATTGAGATATGAAAATTGATATCGCCCATCTTGGGTTCAAGATCCTAGTCTCATAATATTATGCCAGATTGGACACTCGCCGCCACCCGTGAAGGCACGAGTGTGTGTGTAGCTACCGACTTTTACAGTCTTGAGTGCAAGCGTAGATGCTTCTTCCAGTGCTTCTCGTGCATGCTAGTAGCTGCCTAGGTTGGAACCTCAAAGGTACTATGCATCATATATGACCGCACTTAGGCGGAGGTGGTAGCTCTCTGTACAGCCTGGCACTTGCAGGAATTTATATGGTGATTGTTCATTAGAAGCTTATGCAAGGCCCACTAAGCTGGCGAGAGACCTCTTGCTAGCTGACATCTGTTGCTGTTTTCTCTGCTTGGTAGTTACTCCAGCTTCTAGGCCAGATATATGTTTCCTGATGGTGTAATACGGACTCGAGGCTATCTCGGGCCTATTGTGTCATCAAGGGCTTGTGAGACTTCCTGTCCATGGCTAGATACTTTAGATCCGTTTACCTGTTGCTTTCTGGGTCGGTCTTTCCTTTCTGTTGAGTGGTAGTCCATGGATGCCTCCGCCGTCTATCATCTTCCGCCCAGCCCTACATCTGGGTAGGAGGATCAAAGATGTTGTTAGTTAGGGTTCTACTACCAGTGTGGGTGCTGGATGAAGTGGGGGCAGGAGCCGCCAGAGGGAACACTGGGTTGTGTTGTTGTCTGTGGTGGTGGTTGTGGTGGTTGTGGTGGTTGTGGTTGTGGTGGTGGTTTATGTCCAGTTGAGAGGGAATGTTCGAGTTCGGCGTTGTATTCACCAGCTCAGCTGTGGTCAGATCTAGAAACAGGGAGGAAACTCGTACTGTGCTATGGCATCGGCTACATGTATGTCCCGGTTTTTGGCACTGCAAGTATATTTAGTACTGATAGTTAGTATTCTGTAGTCCCACGTCTCTCATCTAGCCAGACGTTGGAGAATGGGAGACGAAGTTGTTCATACATGTGGTGTCATGATTAACCTGTGTAAATCAATAGCAGCTACTCTAGATTTACATGGCAAGATACATGTAATTCGCTGCACACTCCTACAATTACCCCCGGGCCCCCCAATCTGCACCGCCATCGATGCATCACCATAAGTCACCTTACCTATTAAGAACACAGTTAAGCCAGGGACGACTCCGGTCTATTGGATGTCTTATTTTCTAAATAGTATAATCTTCCTCGTAGTGGTCAGGAAGCATTATCATTGGTTGGTTCCCCTCTACCAGGACTGCTATGTGTAGATGGACAAAGAGTCACTCCCGAGTTCGGAAGGGACGCGACATATGTAGTATCCACTTTGTTGTGTTGGCCTCCAACGATCCACAAGCCCCGGAAAGCCCAAGGTCCTAACCTACACGCGGCCGCAGAGGTTTTAATAGGCCATCCCGAGCCCGAAACACGTTTGGACTGGCCCAAGCCCAGCAAACCCAACCGGGGCCTGGCTTGGCCCATATATACGGGCCTAATCCCGGGATTTTTTTGATAATTTATATGATTCTAAGAAAATGTATTTAACTGTTTATTGTGATAAAATCTCATATTTATTCAAAGATTTTCTTTTCATAGAGAGAAATGAGGATTGAAGATGATGGATATTCTTAAAATATGCACTATTTCGACCCATATAAATGATCTATAAAGCCCGGGCCTCAATCGCCTTAGGACCTGGCCCAAGCCCGTGCCAGAAGGCCGAATCCCGGGCCGGCCCATATAACCTGAGGCCTATCAAAACCTCTGCGCGGCCGCAACACACGCCTCACCCTAACACACCACTGGATAACCGTGTCAGGACAACACACGCCATCTACCGCTGTAGCCCAGTTACTATGGTGTCGCCCAGAGGGGCCGAGGTCCGCGGTTCAAATCGCCTACCTCCCAGGCTTGGTGGAAACACTGTGTGACTGGGTCGAAAAGAGCAGCGCGCAAAGCCTCTCTTTTGTTACTTTTGATTAAAAACTTGGGTCAGGTTCCTTTTTTTACCTCCATTTTTCTTCTCTTAACTTTACAATTGTCTTGTACATGTATATACTAGGACCCTTGCAGGGCAGGTTCGCAATATCCACTGTTCACAGAGTATCACTCGAGACTTGGCGATTCTGAGTTCTTGCTTCGCGAATGCGAGCCTTCAGCTGGGGGGCCTGCTATATTGGATTTGTATCTATCGCATGATTTATAGGAGTATTACTTAACCTGGGTACGATTTCAGAAGATGCGGGGTAATAGATAACATAAAGTAGATATAGGAAGAAAAGAAGACGGAGAAACCGCAACCTTTTCAAGCGGTTGCTAGAACGATCTTTATAAAAGACTATTCTGGCCAGAGATGGCTATAGACAAAAGACTTAACAAGGCCTTCATCCAGGGAGGAGTGGGAATTCTCTTCCAATTGCAATAAGCTGAGTGATATTCACTAGTGAATCATGGCCAGTCACTCGGTGCACATCACCGTAGCTTTGAGTGTTTCCTGGTATCTGATGATTGCAAATAAGATTTATGGAAGATATAGATAGGCTGAAGACAATAGACATATATCGACAAAACTGAAGGGTCTGGCGTGCAGTGTTCTCGGGTTAACGTTTTATCTGCAAGATGATCAAAGTTCCCGACCTCTTTTTCTCTCTGGTTACATTTGCACGTTATTTGTTTCTTTATCCTAGATGATCCCTTATTTTGTCCCAGAAGCTCCAAATTCGATGCAAACATAATGATCTACAATACAACAGGTGTCCGAACCCCACAACCAAGTTTGAAAGCCAAACGATTCCACTCTTGGGTATCAAGGATAGATACTCCTCTCATAAAAAAGTAAAAGAAAGAGAAAACACCTTTGGGCCCTTACTCCCTCTGCACGAGAACTAGTAATCCCATAATTACCAACAACGCGGTCTTCATCCAAGGATGCTCACTGAGCATGATGGTAACGTAACCTACGAATGGGATGTACCCAACAACGCTCCCAATAACCTCCTTCTCACGGTTGAGATACCACTGTCCACGGGGGTACAGCTCGATATCGTCGGCATTGTTGTTGTCGCCCTTTGTGAGGAGGTTAAGGGGAGTTTTCCTACAAACGGGTGTCAGCGTTCTATTCACTTGTAGTACCAGCATAGAAAGAAAAGAAAAAGTACTCACTCTCCCTGGTGTCTCCTGACAACTCTGTGCACAATCGGGATTGCGGTGCCCACATTGTACACCACAATCTCACCGACCTGTGTTCCACCGAATGAGGAAGGATCCTTGTGTAAGTCTAAGTTCCTATTCCACAGGAACAGAAGATCTCCGCGCTGGAACGCAGGCTCCATGGAACCGCTCAACACGACCACAATGGGGGAGGGTGAGTTTGTTGCGACCGAGAGTCCCTTCCATAGCATGAACGCCGTTGAGAGAATTAGTGCGATATTGAGGACTTGCGAGAGGATCTGGCGCGGGTTGAGGCGCTTGAGTTCAGATAGGCCGAGGAGGTCGAGTAAAGACATTTTTTGTGGTATTTTTGTGGGGTCGTTGTTGGGGTTGGAGGAGCTTTTGGCGCGGTTGCGGGAGCTGTCCGGAGGTGTGTTTGTGGAGGTTGAGATGTTGAAAGGTGTCGGGATTGGAAGAAAGCTTGGCATAAACATGCAGGTCACATTATGGCGCCAGCTACGGTCACACGCCAAGGTGAACCTCAATGATACTAGTGAGATAAGTAACTGACTTCACTCGTTCCAAACACAGCTTCGACATCTCCTTCTGAAGATTTTGAAATCCCACTACCCTGGCAAGGAAACACCCATCGTCACTATGGCACTCCCCGTCATGGAACCCTTTACGTTCGCGAGCTCCCGTTCCCTCAAGATGGAGGTGAGCGTTAGGATGTAAATCACCTCCCCTCACCCCTCAGCTTCCCGTAGAGCTAAACATTAGCTATAGCGACTCGCTCGAAGGGACCCGCACCCCACTACCGTACACAACCCTGCTGGCCGATCCGAGTCTAAAGCATGTAGGCTCAAACGCCAGGTACACATACCACCTCGCCGCGCATTTCTACAGTCGCTAACTTACCGCGAGACAGCAACTCCTCCGACCTATACCTCACTGTGCAGTTGTTTGCAGATAGTAAACCGTTAACAGTATCTGTGCAGACGTCTTATAAAGCTTTTAGATCAAATCGAACGTTGGTTACTCACCCAATTATTGTGGGGGCCTGAACTAACAAGAGGGTGCCGTGTAGATGGATGGAATGGCTCACGGTGCCGGTAAGGTACTGCAACTTACCGTTATCCTCACAACTTGCGATCACGGTATGGGATCTTGCTGGTCCCGGGAAGGCGGTGCCATTTGGGGGAACGACAGTGAGCATGTTTGAGAAAGACAAGTGGGTGGTGACCTTCGCTAGTAATAGTATTAGCTTACACTTACACTTTCCAGTAACCTCAAGAAGGGCCGCCAGAAGTGCAAGCTCTGGCCTGGTGTTGAAGCCGACGGTTTAAGCGACTCAACCACCCCGTCAACCGTTTCATCGAACAGCGAAACGGACCGCCTTGAGAAACTCCTTAAGAAACATGAGCTGGGGGAGATCCCTCGACTTGACTGGCTGGATAATCTTGCGTTCCGGCAGATTGAGCGTATCAATAAACAGGCGTCTTCAGAGCGGAAGAATGATCATTACCTGTTTATTGAGTTTCCGCGATTTGATTTCCCGGTCGTGTATAACGATTATGACTATAAGACTGAAGCTGTAATCGAGGGAGATGTAACTGGTAATAGTATATCTCCGACAGCTTCCTCTGCTCCAACAGCCCCAAACCGAAATACTCCCGTTCCTGGTGTTGAGGGCCCTGCGAAGAAAACTCTCGGATTCACGATGAGGGTTTATGACCCTGAGATGAATCGTGATAATCCAGCTGAAAGTAAACATCGCCGACTTGTTCGTTCACACCGCAATGGCCCATTAGATCGTGATTTGAAACCGAACGCCAAGATAAGAGATGAACTAAACGAGATCCTTAACTACTCCCCAACACAAGACCTAACCAGCGAGGAGAAAGATCTGCTATGGAAATTCAGGTACTCACTAGCAAGGGATAAGAGAGGCCTCACGAAATTTCTCAAGAGTGTGTCTTGGAGCGACGCGGCAGAGAGTAAGCAAGCAGTGCAACTACTACCAAAATGGACAGAAATCGACGTCGATGATGCTCTTGAGCTATTGGGTCCAGGATTCGACAATATGGCAGTTAGAGCTTACGCTGTCGACCGGCTTCGCAAAGCCGACGACGAGGAATTGCAGTTATATCTTCTTCAGCTAGTTCAGGCGCTCAAGTTTGAACGTATTAAACCCTCGACAACTACTGATGCGTCTCGCGATAGTTCACTGGCGAACTTTTTGATTTCCAGGGCATGCATGAATATCACACTGGGGAACTTCTTCTATTGGTACTTAATGGTCGAAACGGAGGATACGAACCAAGAGTATAAGCGGCTGTTTAGTAAGGTGGCTTGGGAGTTTCAGGTTGCGTTGGGCAAGATGGAAGATGGTGATAAGAGAAGGGCGGTCATCAAGCGACAGGCAGACTTTGTATTTATGATCGGGGAGATCTCTAAAGAAATCCAAGGGCTACGGGAGAGTAGGCCGAAGAAAGTCGAGAGGCTAAGGCAAGTCCTAGCAGATCCGAAGAATGAGTTGGTTAGTTTTGAGGCGGTCCCATTACCGTTGGACCCTGGGGTTAACGTAGTTGGATGCTTCCCTGGTTTGTTTCTCCCTTATTATGATGGATGGTATCACGATACTGACGAATAGTTTCTAGAGGCTTCAAATGTTTTTAAATCGTCCCTCTTTCCTCTTCTCATTCACCTTAAAACAGATACTGGAGCACGGTATCCAATCATCTTTAAAACCGGCGATGATCTCCGTCAGGATCAACTTGTAATACAGATTGTAACATTAATGGACAAGCTCCTACGTAAGGAGAACCTTGACCTTAAACTTACGCCATACCACATTCTTGCTACGTCGGCATATACTGGTGTCGTGCAGTTTGTCGATTCTCTCTCGCTCGCAAGCATCGAGGAGGGTAAACATGCCCCCGCCGCTGGAGTCCTTCCATATCTCCGGAACAACTATCCAGACGAAACTACAGATACTGGAGTGAAAGCAGAGGTTATGGACACTTACGTCAAATCCTGCGCCGGTTACTGCGTAATAACCTACCTCCTCGGTGTTGGTGACCGACATCTCGACAACCTCTTACTCACACCCGACGGCCACTTTTTCCACGCAGACTTTGGCTTCATACTTGGCCGAGACCCCAAGCCATTTGCGCCAGCAATGAAACTGTGCAAGGAGATGGTCGATGGCATGGGAGGGGCGAACTCAGTAAACTACGCAAACTTCAAAAGTTACTGCTACACCGCATACACAACTCTGCGCAAGTCCGCAAACCTAATTTTGAACTTATTCGCGCTCATGGTAGACGCCAACATCCCAGACATCAGGCTGGAGCCCGACAAGGCCGTGTTAAAAGTGAAAGAGAGGTTCAATCTCGAGATGAGCGAGGAGGAGGCGGTCAAGTTCTTCCGAAATCTGATTGAAGAGAGCGTCAATAGTGTATTTCCAGTGTTGATGGATCGGATGCATGGCTTTGCGCAGAGATGGAGGAAATAAGATTATGGAGAAGCAAGTGGAGTATTCGAAAGTCTTGTTGTACCACTGTTTGGAATATTTATTATGACTTGGTCTTTTTCTGGTAGGCTCTGGTAGAGTAGAGTTATACATATATTTGGAATGAAGGCGTTTCGAACTGTAATTCAAGTGCGTGGGATGACTTTCTGTGTGAGAGACTATGAGTGGAGATGATTCATATATTTCTTTCCCGGATAGGTTGTGTACATCCAGGTATGTATAACTTGGGCTGAACTAAAGAGATAAATTAGTGGATCTTTCAGCTGATCCCCCTACGAAATGAAAAAAGGCCCGGAGTTCCGTGAGTACGGCGGTATCGCTTGGATCAGCGAGCGAAATTCCCTAGCCAAGCAATATCTAGAAAGATATCGGGAAATGGAGCCAGGAAACTATCCGTCGGGCTCCGTATGGCCGCTTCTGGGTCCGCGGGTCGTCCTGTGCATGCGCGGAATAGAATTAGCCCGACTTACGTTTGCCGTTGCATACCTCCCGCAGCAACTTTGGGGGTGATAGAGCCTTCTGCATCACTCATGAAATATCACTCGATCGTTAAGCTTCCCGGTCCTAATATTTAGATATCTAGTATATTAATAATCGACATAAAACTATTCATCTAGTTCTTTATTATTGACCTATATATGTGATCCATTAAAAAAAACATAACCGAACCCCAAGAGTAGAAGAAAAAATATAGAAACCTATGTGTACATATTACGGAATCATTCTAGTTAGTATCAGCCTCTTCTTCGTCACCATTCGCGCCTCCCTTGCCATCGCCCCAATACACGCCCTCCCTTAAAAACCAGGAACAAGCGAATGCAAATGCAAATGTCGACCCAAGGCACACAAAAACCGTCTGCGGGAAAGTTGCAACCGTGTATGCATACACGAGATTAAAGACCGTTGGGGCCACAACTCTCGCTAATGAATGAAGTAAGGCTGTCGCCCCTAACAGTTGGCCAGTCTTCTCATCAGGGACATGCTTAGTGAGTGATGACTGGAGGGTGGGGGAGCCGATCCCGCCCAAAGCAGTGCAAACACCTGCTGCGGTAAAGGCATTGGGTGTGGCCGCGACGGCGTAGAATAGATAGCCTGCTGTCTCAATGATGATGCTAAAACGGATAAGGAGAATATCGAGTTTATCGGCACCTTTTTGGTGGGAGGAGGGATGAAGGTTACGGCGGACGTAATGAACTACTACGGGGAGGATCACGAATAGCATAGTTACGCGGGCTACGTTGACGATTGATAGGTATATTGACGACTAATAAAAAGGCTCAATCAATATTTGCGTGGATAGCTTCTTAAACCGGGGGGCCATACCTCATAGTTTCCCCACTCAAATTTCAGCTCCGCAAACAAGATGATGACGGTCATGCCACCAATACCGACGCCAAAAAGAATGGTGTCTGTGGCAGCAAGTAGCATGAGGTTGAGCCTAAGTCGAGGACTAGAGCCAGGACCGGTAGGGAAGAGGACAGAAAGAGGCCTAACAAAGTTGATGGGGTTCATGGTGTGTACCCATGATTTCAGTGTACCGCCATATCTCTGGACTTCTTGTGCATGCTTTTCTTGGGCGATCTTCTTACGACGATCTGACAACGACTCCGGGAGGATGCAGAATAGGTAGAGAATGAAAAACACATGTGCCCCCTAATCCCGTCAGCCGGAGTAAACTTTAAGTACGCGAACGAAGAGGGGTCAAACCAGGGCGGCGTAGAAGATGGAAAGAACGTCTCCAGTAACCTCGATCAGCCACCCTCCCATTGCTGGCCCGACTGCGATACCCAAAAAAAGACAGCCCTGAAAATAGCCGAATGCCGTAGCACGTTTTGCGGGAGACGTGCAATCAGCTCCATACGAGTATGAAAGCGCCATACCTAATAAGAAGCTCCCGCAGATGCCATCGACCGTTGAGCCAAGGAGAAGGATATTGACACTAAAAGTTTCTGGAAACTTTGCAGCGAGAATGGTCGTAATTTCGCTGGCCAGCAGCCCGAAGGACGAACATGCCATGAAGGTCCGACGTCCATAGCGATCTGATAACGATCCTATGCGTGGTGATGTAAACGCACCTATGATGATAAGCATCTGTATTGCAGATCGTGGGGGAAGCCACAAACCTATTATTCCACTAATAAGACTCATATAAAGTGTGAATTTCGATACGAGAGCTGCCACCTGCGATATCGCGCAACGTTAGGCATTTTACTTTCAACATAGAAAATACTGCAGCTACCTCCGGATTTCGACATTGCTCATTTGGGGCGCCGATGAGAATAGGCATAACCGGCGTCATGCCCCCAGGCAGATATTGTTTCTCTGCGAAAAATTCCCTGCATATAAGAGCTAGGATGATGTTCAACCGTGGTACGGCGACGCTTCATGCGGTCAGTACGGAGCTCGGCTCTGTCAAAATTGATGTCATCATACCCTCCAAAAGCTATCGTGAATAAACAGAACGGCGGCAACAACCAGAAAATCTGAAAGTGTAGCCGTCAATTTTCTGCACGTGAGACCACACAAAGTGGATATCTTACTGATGGCTTTCGGTGCCATGGCAGACCCGCAAAATCGTCGATATCTGCTCCCCCATCTCTTTCACCAGCTCCTAATAGTGGCGAGTTCTCGTCTCCAGAGATCGAGTTGGCCTTGGATGATAGTACCGATTTGCCTCCATCACCATCAACACCTCCGCTCCCATGCCGATGCGCTTGGATTTCTGACTCTCGTGCAATTAAGGGGTCACGTTCCATGTTGATAATATTGTTTTCGAACGCAATGTACGTTTGTGCTTGGGCTGCACGCGATGGTTGGACTGGTGAAGCCAAACGTTGAACCGACAAAGATGAAGTTATATGAGACGAAGATAAGATGTAACAATTATAAACGGGGTCGAGGAGATATATCTAAGGAAAGCTTCGCCAATGATCGAGCCCGGATATATCTGTACCGGGCCCCGGGCTTGCTTACTGATGCACGATGAAATCAAGTTACCAGGGATCTGGTGTACACATCCAAACACGCTAGCTTTCTGCGGGGATGGAGATAAGTGAAGCTGATAAGGATGCCTAGGTTCCCAACGACAGGCTCCTCGCAGGGGCTCTTCATCTATTTATTCTCTCCTCCCGTTTCCTGAGTCAGTTAACATGGGGCTTGTCCTCTTGCTTGACGGCGATGATGATCGATGCCAACTCGTGAGAAAAGAGTCGGGACGGTAATCGGCCGAGAAGAACAAATTTAGTTCAGCTATATGACGGCACAACCCCAGCGAATAAGGTACCACGTACAAGTATGTGTGTGGCATCCCTATTCATACATGTAATCATTTTTATCTACGGTTCAAGTTCCCATTTGCTGGTGATTTCATGGTTAAACATCAATTTGTTTTTTAAACTGCTTACAAACACGGCGTAGAAGCTAATGGTGGTTAGTACGTTTAGAACCCCGTACAGGCTTGAAAAAAGCATTCTTGAGTACGTAGCTGCACGATGTAACTGTACTTGAGATATTAAGAATATCGATAACTCTAAAGATTATAGTATCTGCAGAATTATCTTTTCTGCTCCTCGGAGGAACTTTATCCCTCCGTGCTACCCGGTAAATCTTGATAGGACCACGTCTATGAAGACTCAAAAATTCTGGTTGTTTAGTCTATCAAAGAATTGAGCTAAACCCCAGTCTCAAGATTATATGTTAATGAAGCTTCTACGAGGAATATCTAGATCATATTGTGCCAGGCAGGATTGAGTTCTAGGGCGAAACCTTCAATATCGTTATGAAAGTCTTAGCATATATTATCATGCCGAGTATCTAACCCTGTTTCGTCCTGTCTGATCGTGTTATTCGCCGTAATAATCTGTCAAGTAAGTATGTGCCAAGTGTTCTACGAACATACGCGTATCTATGTGTACCTCATGCAGAGCACTAAAAGTGTTGCAAAAAAGGCTCGATGTACAATAAGAAAACCACGTGAGTAAGTACATGTAGCTCCCAGGGGTAAAACACATACTTTAAGTTTCACTAGGTTTAGTACGCCAGCTTCTCCTGTACTGTACGATTACTAAGGGGTAGTGTGTCAGGTCAGCATAGAACCTGTCCCTTAATATTTGACAGCCAGCAGATTGTCAACGATTAGAATCTAGCATCTAGTCTTTGAAGAGCCAACCTTGTCCCATCAAGTCCGAGGTTTTAGCACTATATCTTGTCCCACTGGCAGTATTACACTGTTGCACACATTATGAAAATAAAACGGCAACCTGCATTGGTTAGCATGGGATTAACGTTCCACAGGACAGAATAATCTCGTGCCCAGCCTGTGTTAAAGATTTGTGTCAGTACGAAGTGCGACAACAAAAAGTCTGGGGACAAGATTAGATAGAGGAGGCTAACACCTTATTAGAAAATATGGGATGGATATTCTGGAAGGTAAGTAATCGAATGAAGTTTAGGAGATAAGTATAGAAGAAGACACAGAGTAAACCCGTAAGGCGCAGGTAATAAAGGGTGTTGTAGAGTAGAGGAAGGACACAGGATCGGCGGTTTCATAGAGGAACCGATATCACCAGTGGTCTCTCGTTTCTCTCGCTGCTGATAGTCATAGTACGTTACGTTGTTATCATGTAAATGCATGCACCTATCATCACGGGCTTGCTCCTACATGTAGACAGTTGTGAGGTACTCACTGGTGTGCGAGGGCTCTACTAGCTTGACTAGTAGCTCAAAGAGTGATTGGGGATAGGTTCGGAAAAGCTTACCGGTAATACGATGACCGAACGTAAGCTAGGATTTAGCCGTAGTTGAAACTGCCAATGGGATCGATTGTGAACCCGCATGAACTAGGCTAGAAATCATGTTCACAGGTTATCACTCGCCGGCCCAATTGGAGTTGTTGGGTATTTTGTTTTTATTTAGTCCATTTATATATGCATCGTTGTAAAATTAGAGTGGGGCAGATACTAATTTTTTGGATGTGAACTTTCTAATTGTGTTGAAAGTCCGCTCTCTGAAGATTGTATCCTATATCCTGTGGTTAAATATCAAGCCCTAAATCCGTCGCTTTGGTGGGTGGTTACACTTTAGGTCCCTGTCCGCCAGCGCCAAACATATACTATAACAACTACGTAACCACTAAGAAAATAAGAGTCTTAGCAAACCTCACGATAGTCACAGATGGATGGGTTCTTAATTCACTATTTCTAACGATGTAAGACAAGAAGGGCGAAGATTATGCGATGGACCAACTATTCTGACCGCCCGTTAGGTGAGAAACCAAGTAAATTGAAGTAATCTACAAAAAGGATAGGGTATTTGTTAGGAATATCCATATGAGCGTATGCAGGGAGGAATTCTAGACAATAGCTATGACAATTAACCGAGTGATGAACCGTGAATGAAGAAAATTGTATCTTGCGAAATAGGGTTATTAAAGTGTATCATTGAAGTTTACGGGCGGATATCAATCAATGCTAAAGCTTGCTTACTTAAGTACAAGGCATGGTAGTTTACATTGGTCTACAAATACTACGCGCCTAAAATTAAAGGTATGAACGAAGCTGTCATTCAACCCAGTTCTAGTTGACGACAACCTTACTTGGGCCAGAAAATTGAGCAGGCCCACAAAGAAATGTTCTCCGAAAATTGAGTGCCATGTATTCCAAGGACCAGTCATGATAGACGAAATCACACAAATGAATTAGAGTTAAAGAGGCTATAATAATAGACCTAAGAATAAGTAGAATCATAAAGCATATCTAACGTTCTCGCCCCCTAAATGTCTTTGCTATCACTAAGAGTCGAAATGCAACAACCACAATCATATTATAAATACCGATAAAAAAGACCCCATGGGAAAGTGAGAGAAAACCCGAATTTCATGTTACCCCTAATGATAATAGAAAGAAATAAGGAAACAATAGATGATGACCATTCCCAACTATGCCCCCTGATGTGTCTCCCCAACGGCCAATTTCCCACCCCAATTGCTCCGGTAGTTGTAAAAAAAAAAGATAAATAAAAGTGAATACACCCTTCCCATGTTCGCCATGATAAAAACATAAATAAACTAAAAACATAGAAGAAAAAGGTAGTAGAAAAAGGTAGTAGAGTGTAGTAAGTATGAATCGGGTATAAGTAAAACGGTATTTTGCTGTACGGTAATGCAATAAGTAACTAGAAGGCAAGTGTGCAAAGCAAGACATAACAAAGCAATCAACACAACTGCCTTATCCAAACTGAAAACAACCCCAGAAAATTTATATAAAGAACAAAAGAAACAATAAAGAGGGTACCAAATAACATGGAAAAACCAAACCGCAATTTCTTTTTTTCGAGTAAAGAGGAAAGAATAAAAACTATTGCAAACACTTAAAAAGAAAATGAGGGGGGGGGGGGGGGAATCCAAGATAAGGAATTTGTAAAATACACAAAAGAAAGTTAAATAATGAATGCAGCGGTTTCCCGCAAGAAAGAAAAAGATATGCTCAGCAATAAAAAAATAATAGTAGCTTAAACATGTGAATGGGCGCGCTCGGAAGCAGCGTCTGCGTGGTGGTGATGATGATGGGAATCTGTGCTTCTACCACCACGTACGCTTTGTGTCTTCCGACCTCCACGCCTTGGAAGTGTGCCGACATCATGTTTACCTATAACAATGTTAGTGAGGACCCGACCCATTACAAGGGGTAAACCATACCATCACAACAAGCTCTAACATTCTCCAGTTTTTCCGAATCCTCGTTCTCAATTTGCTCTCTCAGATCCTCCGCCGAATCATTCAAGTCACTCTGGTCATATATACTGGGGTTGTGTCTGCTGCTCTTGGTACTGAAAGTGCCGAAACCAGAGGAAGGCCTGAACAAGTTACTGAGTCTGGCTCTGCTACTCTGACGCGCAACCTTATCTGAAGGGCGGCTATTTGAAAGCGACGAGTGGTTTCTAGCAGGTGATGACGCTCGTGTTGTTCGCGTATTGTAAGACGAAAGGCTCTCAGCAGCACCGCCGCGGACCGAGCCGGGCGCACCGTTTCCGTTTCCATTACCGAGGGTTGCGTGAAATTCCTCGGGATGATTAACAGGCTCGCCCGCACCCTCTTCCCCAAGTTCTCCTCCGGTCCTCAAAAGCAGGTATGATAAAGCCTAGAAGCAATTAGAATCAATCGCCACATCACAACGCATAACAGAGATCTACTTACATTGAACCAAGTTTCATGGCGTTGCCCTGTTGGTGCCGTGAATTTCAACGACCTTCCAGGCGTAATGACAACCAAACTCTTCCTGTGCAATCCGGGAGGCATTGGGTTGTCATCTGTCACAACCCTAACCGCCTCAATGGCAACACTCTTCGCCCTCAGCTCAGCTCTACCAGCCGTGGTCGGATCCCGTTCACTCCAGTAAAGAGTCCTTGTGTATGGGTGGACCCAGAAGAAACGCTTATGTCGGCTGTGCGATAATGATCCGCGCCCAGTGTTCCTTGTGTATTTCCAAAGGTATTCACCGATCATGGTTTGAGTGATGGCTTGGATCATTCTTGGATCTGTCTGAGCTTCTCCTGCAACAGCCTCGGGCATGATGTTGAATCTTGTATCAATCTCAGAGGCGAATGAAGATATCGATGATCTACGAGATGTAGGTGAAGAAACCTCACTTCTAGTGGCGGAGAATCGGGGAGTGGCATTAGGCCTTGGTGTCGTGCCAGCCTTGGAATTTGGTGTTTCGGGAGCAATTGCCTTGATAGTGTCGGTGTTGACCGGGGTCTTTGGCCTGAAGGAAACGTTGTTCCGCGAAGATGAAGGAAGTGGTGGGGGTCCCATAGAGCCAGCACCGCCTCTCAGACTTCCAGAGCTTCCAGGACGCTTGATGGCACCTCTACGTACTTCATTGAGACCAATGCTGTCGCGAGATTCGTGAGATCGAAGACTGGGTGACCTAGCACGCGACCTATCCCCTCCGAGATACATTGAATCCGGATTGTTGACAGCGAACGCTGGTCGCTTGCCCTTGTCGACAGTTTTAGCAACAGCCATGTTATCAAAAAAGTCATGTGTGATGTCTGTTTGTGCCTCTTGATCCACAGCCGGTGCTTTAATGATTGGGATGTCCTTCATGCCATTGCCAAAAGTGCCAGCTGAGAATGTCCGTTCATTAGCACCCTTAAGGCCTTCAGGTTCCTGTGCAGGAGTCCCAGGTCGCTTCCATCCGCCAAACATCGAGCCAAAAATTGAACTGGCTTTCTGGGGACTAGGCGTAGTCGGGCGTTGTTGCTGTTCCTCCACGGTCTCGGAAACCTTCTTGGGGGTTTCCTCATCGGAAGATACAGATGCATCTCTTGCGGTGGGAATAGGAACCGGGATTGGTAAAGCCGATTTCTGGATGGGCTCGATTGGCGTGGTATCTTGTATTGAGATCTCCGAGAACTCCAATGGCACTTCGGGCACAGGCTCAAACTCAGCAACCTTGTCGAACACAACCGAGTATTCCTCAACTTCAGGCTCGGTCTGCGTTCCCGCAAAGGATACGGGTTCAGGATCGGACTGCACTCCAGTGTCCCTCATGTCCAAGACTGGGATGGCAGATACAGTTTCTTGTAAGACATCTCGCTCCTCCCTCAGGGCTGCAACCTCTTCCTCGAGCTTGACGATAGCTGGCTTGAGGGTTCCAACCTCTTTCTCGAGTTTGGCAGCGAACGGCTTGAAAATATTGACCTCTTCGAGGTTCTTCTGAGCCATTTGCTGTGCGGCTGGGAGGGCAGTGTTCTGCAAGTCGTCACGTTCAGCCTTAAGAATTACAACCTCCTCCTCGAGTTCCTCAATGACTGGTTTGAGTGTTCCAACTTCTTCCTCAAGTTGGGCAATGATCGGCTTTAAGGTATCTACTTCACCACGAGCCTTGATGAAGTCGGCCTCGTTCTTCTCTGCCAACTGTTGGGCAACCGGGAGAGTCTCCTTCAAACTATCTCTCTCCTGCTGCACAGTTGCCAATTCTTCCTCCAGCTTGGCGACAATCGGCTTGAGCGTATTGACCTCTTCAAGAGCCATGACGAAGTTATCTTGGTTCTTCTGTGCCATCTCCTTGACTATTGGAACAGTCTCCTTTAGGTCATCTCGCTCCACAGTAAGAGTCTTGACCTCCTGCTCAAGCCTGACGATAATCGGTTTGAGGGAATTGACTTCAGCCTCATTCTTTTGCGCCATTTCCTTCGCCACTGGAAGAGCTTCCTGTAGACCGTCTCGCTCTTGTTTAACACTTACAAGCTCTTCTTCAAGTTTAGTGATAATAGGCTTAAGAGCGTTTACTTCCTCGAGAGTCTTGACAAAATCAGCCTCGCTCTTTTCTGCAATCAGCTTCATCGCCGGCAAGGCATTCTCCTGGAGATCGTCGCGCTCTTCTGTCAGATACTTGACCTCTTCTTCGAGATCGACGATGACAGGCTTGAGGTTCACGATCTCCTGCTCAAGCTGGGCGATAATTGGCTTGAGGGAGTTGACCTCGGCCTCCTTTTGTTTGGCCATTTCCTTCGCCGCTGGGAGGGCAGATGCAATTTCCTGAAGGCCATCACGTTCAACTTTAAGAGTACCAACTTCCTCCTCGAGTCTAGCGACGATGGGCTTGAGTGTGTTGACCTCCTCAAGATTCTTCTGTGCCATCTGTTGCGCCGCTGGGAGGACAGTTCCTTGCAGCTCGTCTCGCTCCACAGTCAAGATTTTAACTTCCTCTTCAAGCTTGACAATGATGGGCTTGAGCGTGTTAACCTCCTCAACAGCCTTGATAAAATCGGCCTCGTTCTTCTGAGCCAATTCCTTAGCAGCCGGGAGGGTGTTCTCTTTCAAGTCGTCTCGTTCCACCTTGACAGTTGACAACTCTTCTTCAAGGTTAACAATGATGGGCTTGAGGGTCTTGACCTCATTCTCGAGCTGAGCGATAATCGGCTTGAGGTTATTGATTTCTGCCTCCTTCTTCTCTGCCAACTCCTTCGCTGCCGGTAGGGTAGACGCAGTCACCTGGAAACAGTCCCTCTCCACCTTCAGGGTCTCCACATCCTCCTCAAGCTTTGAAATAATAGGCTTAAGAGTGTTGATCTCGTCCTCCCTCTTCTGTGCGAGCTCTTGAGTAGCGGGAAGGGCAGATGCAGTCACCTGGAAGCCGTCGCGCTCCGCCTTCACCACCCATACATCCTCTTCGAGCTTGGCGATGATGGACTTGAGGGTATTTATCTCAGCCTCCTTCGTTTGTGCAAGCTCTTGAGCAGCGGGAAGGGCAGATGCAGTCTCTTGGAAACCATCACGTTCCACCTTTAAGATCTCTAGATCCTCTTTAAGCTTGGAGATGATGGGCTTGAGCGTGTTTATCTCAGCCTCCTTCGTTTGTGCAAGCTCTCGAGCAGCGGGGAGAGCAGATGCAGTTTCTTGGAAACCGTCACGTTCCACCTCCAAGTTATCGATATCCTTCTCAAGCTGGGCGATGATAGGCTTGAGAGTGTTAATCTCAGCTTCCCTCTTTTGTGCTAATTCTTGGGCAGCCGGGAGGGCATTTTCCTGTAGGTCATCACGCTCCGCCTCCAGAGCCACAATATCCTCTTTAAGCATAACAATGATGGGCTTGAGTGTGTTGACCTCCTCGAGGTTCTTTCGGGCTATCTCCTTCGCAGCGGGGAGAGCATTTTCCTGTAGGTCATCACGTTCCTCCTTCAAGGTCTTAACCTCCTCCTCGAGCTGGGCAATGATTGGTTTGAGTGTGTTAACTTCCCGAAGAGCCTTGGCAAAATTCTCCTCATTCTTCCTAGCCATCTCCTTTGCAGCCGGGATAGTAGATGCGGTTTCCTGCAGACTTTGACGCTCCACCTTGAGAACCACGATCTCCTCCTCGAGCTTGACGATGATTGGTTTGAGAGTATTGATTTCTTCCCGGGCTCTGACAAAGTTGGCTTCGTTCTTTTGTGCCATGGCCTTTGCTGCTGGGAGCTCGGTTTCTTGCAAGTTGTCACGCTCGACCTTGAGATTCTTGAGCTGCTCCTCGAGAGAGGCGATGATCGGTTTGAGTGTGTTGATTTCCTCTTGTGCCTTGACAAAGCTAGCCTCGTTCTTCTGTGCGAGTTCCTGGGCAGCTGGAAGGGCAGATGCTATCTCCTTGAAGCCATCACGCTCCGCCTTCAGAGATGCGATTTCCTCTTCGAGCTTGACAATTATAGGCTTGAGAGTGTTGACTTCTCCCATAGCCTTTGTGAAATCCTGCTTATTCTTCTGTGCTAGCTCCTTGGCATTCCTTGCATCCTCCTCAGCCGCTCTAAGCTTTCTCTCTGTTTCCTCGCGGCTGTTTTGTGCTGCCCGAAGCCTATCCGCCGTCAACGCACCCGCTGCTGCCGCCGCAACCAATTTGGCGACTGATATCCTACCATCTTCCTCTGCTGCCGCCAGTTTCGCTACTACTACTCTTGACTCCTCTTCTGACCCTGCTAATTTTGCAGCCGTATTCCGGGCCTCCTCTTCAGATGCCGCCAACCTGGCAGCCGTGGCCTTGACCTCTTCCTCAGATGCAGCCAACTTAGCAACGGTGTTCTTGACCTCTTCCTCGGATGCCGCAAGCCGTTCAGCCGTGATACGGGCCTCTTCCTCAGATGCAGCCAACCGCTCGGCAGTGATCCTCGCCTCTTCTTCTGCCACTGCTAGTCTCTCGGTGGTAGCCCTCATTTCATCTTCAGATGCGGCCAACTTCTCGGCTGTGGTTCGGACCTCTTCCTCTGATGCCGCCAACCTCTGAGCTGCGGCCCTTGACTCCTCCTCCGATGCTGCCAATCTCTGAGCTGTGGCCCTTGACTCCTCCTCCGCCGCAGCCAACCTCTCAGCGGTAGCCCTTGACTCCTCTTCCGCCGCAGCCAATCTCTCAGCGGTGGCCCTCGCCTCTTCCTGTGATGCCGCCAATCTCTCTGCCGTGGCTCTTGCCTCCTCTTGTGACGCCGCTAATCTTTCTTCCGTAGCCCTTGCTTTTTCCTGTGATGATGCCAATCTTTCTGCGGTGGCTCTAGTTTCCTCTTCGGAATCAGCTAACCTCGCTGCAGTGGCCATCATCTCTTCTTCCGCAAGCCTCAACCTCTCCGCAGTTGTCTGTCCAGTCTCTTCGGACTCCGCCAGTTTTGTCGCTAACGCTCTGCCGCTATCCTCTTCCTGGGCGAGTTTTGCCGCTGTTGACCTGACGTTTTCCTCTTCTTGAGCAAGCTTGGCTGCTGTAATCCTCACATTCTCCTCTTCCTGAGCAAGCCTAGCCGATATGGCCCTCGAGCTCTCCTCCTCCTGGGCAAGCCTAGCCGATGTCGCCCTCATATTCTCCTGCTCTTGGGCCAACTTCGCCGCTGTAGCCCTGACGTTCTCCTCCTCTTGTGCAAGCCTCTCCGCAATACTCCTGCTATTCTCCTCTTCCCTTGCAAGCCTCTCCGCAGCCAACCTCGCCTCCTCCTCAACCTGCCTTAACTTCTCCTCTGTTGCCTTGCCGCTATCCTGTGCAGCACGTAGCGCCTCCGCCGCAATCGCACCTGCCGCCGCCGCCGCAACTAGTTTCACCGCTGACACTCTTCCGTCCTCTTCTGATGCCGCCAACCTCTTTTCCGCTGCTGCCAAGTCCTTCTCTGATGCTGCTAATCTCGCGGCTGTGGCGTGAGACAACTCTTCAGATGCTGCTAGTCGATGAGCGGTAGCCATTGCTTCCTCTTCTGATGCGGCCAATCTGGCAGCAATATCCCGTGCCTCCTCTTCTACTGCAAGAAGCTTCGCTGCAGCGACCTTTTCGCCCTCCTCAAACTGTAGGAGCTTCTCGGCCGCTAGCTTGGCCTCCTCGTCTGCCTTGATTAGTTTCTCCGCCGCCACCTTTCCGGCCTCGTCGGACTCGAGAAGCTTTGCGGCTGCTACCTTGCTGGCCTCATCTGCTTCGAGCAACTTAGCAGCTGCAGCTGCGGCAGTGCCTTCAACCACGAGTAGCTTCGCTGAGGTTACCTTGAGCTCCTCTTCGGTCTCATGGAGCTCCTTACTAAGGTCGGGGTGGATGGGGTAGGATACGTCGGATTGCGTGCCCATCTCAATTACTGGGGTTGGGTCGAATTGAACTCCAATGGTAGTGACCGGGGTGGCCTCGGACTGGATGCCAACCTCTGAAACTGGAGTTGCATCATATTGGGTTCCCATCTCTATAACATCCGCATCTTCAGATTGGACGCCCATGTCGTTGGTCTTTTCCACCTCCTCGATTGTGTGCATTGATGACATTGTAGAGAACGCTGTTCGGGGCCTGTCCAAATCATTGATACCCAAAAAGTTGCGAGAACGGTCAAGCACAGGGTAGTCCAGGAGATCATCGGTCATGATACCGCAATCGACCATGGCACCCTTGGTAACGTATGGCATGCTAGTCCTGGTGGGAGTAGTCGGTGCCTCATCCTCCTCTGCAGTATCCTCGTCGTCCTCACCATTAAACATACCATCGCCCAACTCGGCAAACAAGCTCTTGCGCTCACCGGCGCCTGAGGGTCTATGACGTACACTGCTGGGGGATCCGTTGCGGAACTGGAAGGTACCTGCGTCGCTAGAGCTCGCTGAGAACGCTCTGTCCCTGTTGCTGGAGCCGACCGAAAATGCGCGCTCACGGTTTCGGAACATGCTGCTCTGGCTAGGCATTCTGGTTCCCCTGCTCTGAGGTCTACCCATTTTGCTCCTGAGACGTTGGCCTGAACCGGGGATGGGGGTCATAAAGTCGTCGCGACGGTTGCGGCGGTCCTCATACGCGCCATCTGAATCCTCTTCGGTAGATGCAGAGGAGGCAACGCTGTCCCTGTGGCGGATTCTGTTGAGGCCGGGGCGTCTAGAACCACCAAACGAAGAGGCGCGGGAAGTCTTCTTTTTAATGGCCTTTAGGTGCGGACCGGACTCGGTTTCGGTGAGTTCGTCGGCTGAGGTTGGGTGATCGTACACAGGGCTCTCATTGCCAGTCCTATAAGCTTCCGTCTCTGTCGCAGTGCTGTCATGCTCATTGGCGGTCTCGAAAGCATCTGTAGTCATGCCGGTAGCCTCGTTTGCGGTCTCAAATGCGGACTCGTCTGCTTCACCGCCACTAGGTGGGCTGAGGGTGTAGTCTCGGAGGACAACTGAGCTTGATGGGAACTTAGATCTGGTGGGTGAAGTAGGCTCATCTTCTGCCTCCTCCCATTCCTCGTCTACCTGAGTGTTCTTGACTACTTCATCTTTGGTACGGCGTGCACCGCCAAGAAGAGCTGTGTTGAAGATGGGTCGTGGAGCTCCGGACTTGATGAATGAGGCCTTGCCCTTCCGTCTCTTGTCGGCACTACTTGGTGGGCCACCGATAGAATCTCTTCTCAGCCGCGAATTCTCAAGGTCGTCTCTAGCCTCCTGTAATAGGCGTCTAAGCTCAGCCTTCTCGGTCTTTTCTCGGTTCATGTTTGACTTGAGGTTGGTAATCATTCTGTGGGCATGCTGCAGACTCGATTTCAGGGTCTCGGCTTCCAAGTGTGTATTTCTCGGCGTTGGCTTTGTGGGAGATGTGGGAGGGGAGTTTTCTGGTGTGGTTTGAGCGGGCTCCATCACGAACGGATCCTCATTCTGTTCAAGGTCCTCTCTGTGCTCGAGGGAGGCCCGCAATCGGCTGCTCTGATTATGACTATCTTCTAGCTCCTGCTTCAAGTCCTCCACCTTCTTCTCTAGCGTAATACGTTCATTCTCATTTGTAGCCAGATTCCTCCGCATGGTGGCAAACTCGACTTCATGATGCTTATGCTCCGCTTCGAGGTCCTCAAATAGCTTCTCGTTCTGGTGTTTCCACTCATCGAGCTCCTTGATGATATCCTCTTTCTCGTGGCATAGCCGCTGAATCTCTGCGTGTAGTCGGTCTTCAATCTCCTGCTGGTCTCTGGCCTGGGCTAGTAGATCCTGGTTGAGCAATTCCAAATTCCAGTTCTCCTCTTTGTACTTCTGCTCGCTCTCGTCAAAAGCTCGGACCCGGTTCTCCAAATGCTCGGCCTGCTGCTCCAATCTGGCTTTCTCAATCTGTATCACCCGGAGAGCCTCCTCGCGCTCGGACAGCAATGCTTGGAGCCGCCTAACCTCAACGAGCAAACCCTGGCCAAGCTCAGCCGCGAACTCGAGATCGTGTTGTCGGGATGGCTGATTTCGCTGGCGACGTGATGTAGGTTTTGAAGGGGAGTTTGTGCCATGAGCCTGTAGATTTGCTGCGGTCGATGGGGTGATCTGTAGTAGTGAACAAAAAGCTGATTAGCTTAATCTTGAAACCCCCCACAGAGATCTGCAGATCTACCCGAAGAAGGGGGTGAGAGAGGGCAGAAAATAAGATTAAACACCATACATTTCCAGCCGCGTACGGTGACGTTCCACCGCCACCGCCCATGATCTTGTTCGTCAATACCGCCCTTGCGCTCTCTCTGCCGACTTCATTGTACTCCTTCTCCAAGTCCTGCAGTTTCTTCTTCAGCTCCGGGTCGACCGTGTCGCCGGCCTCGTCCAGCTCCTTGATCCTCGATTCATATTCTTGTTGCTGTTTCAGCAGCGCCCGTCCCAGGTTCCCGGCGGTCTCGATGCGTTTGCTGACTTCCGCTAGATGTGCCTCCAGCGTCCGTTTGATCTGTGATGGTGACGATGTGGGCAGGGAAATGAGATGACTGTTGCTGTCCTGGACCGATGTCCGCTGCGGAGTCGTAAACGGGTCGTCCATCTCGGCAGACAACCTCTCCAACCGTAGTTAGGGGGTTCGTCGACGGGGGGCGGTCCAGAATTGCCCACAGTGAATTGGACCGGTGCTAGTTTAGTAAACCCACAGCAGGATTGGGAGGGAGGAGAAATTATTGGGTTGTTATATAATGGTTTGTGGGTGGGTTTAAGGAAACGAGCGACGAAGGTCGGACGGCCGTGGTAGAAGAGGGAGGGGGTGTGAGATTAATAGCTGTGAGTAGGCTGGCCTGGACTAGGCACGGCTGTGAGGGAACAAGCGTGACTGAAAGTTTGCAGCACGTTCCGTTCCTGAACGAGGAAGCTAATCGTCAAGGGTCTGAGCTAGCGGACTTGCCGAGAGAGACGAACGACAAATTTAAACTAACCTAGGTACTGTAACTGGGGTGAACCTTTTTTGCCCTTGCTTCCTTTTCTCTAAGAAGGATGGAATTATTATGAAGAGGGATACAAGAGAATGCGACCGCTAAAAAATAAAATTGGTGATACAATAGAGAGAGAGTGAGAGTGAGAGAGAGAGAACAAAGTGATGATGTCAGAACTAGGAAGTACCGAGCACCAAATGGGATGTGGGGAGTAGGGGCCTCTTTTTGGTTCACGTTGAATGAATATCTAAGAGACACGGCCAAGTTCTCTCTTTTGAAAAACTGCTGCTGACGTCGCTACTAGCAGTATCTGCTGCGCGGAGTTGTGAAGGAAAGAAAGAGAAGAGAGAAGGTGAGAAGGTGAGGAAAGGGTTGGGCCGGGCTGGGGGAAAAAAGGAACAACAAGTAGAGGTACAAATGTGATTTCTATTTCCTTCCTTAGACCGACAATGACCTGTCCACCTGAGAGAGATCTGATTGTCTGACTGACTGGCAGATTGTTCTGCTGGCCGGTGTTCGCTAGCCAGTGGTTGGACTAAGTATGTAATGTAGAGATGGGTAGTAGCCGCCCAGGATTTTCAGGTTAGATTTCACCAATGCAGACCTGTCGATGAATGGATTAGATTCGAATATGTATGTAATGTAGTTCGTTTCTGTGGCAAGCAAGCGCAGCAGCAGCAGCAGCAGCAGCGATGGATGAATGGAATGAGCTGCTTACTCTGCCTCTCTCTCTGCCTATGGGGGGTGAGTGGGTGGATGGATGGAAATGGATGAAGAGGAAGAATAGAGGCGCTGGTTCACCCGTGGGTCTCGATCAGTTGTTCGTTGACGCGCTCCAACGAATAGCAACAGCGGCAGTACGAGGCCAAGGCTGCCGCGGGTTCAGTTATATGTTTCGATCGTCGACCAGTCAACAGCAACGCGAGCGCCCAGCACAGCGATGATCCACGTGTACGCAATATTGCTGCACGCGTTTTTAACTGTCGAATTGAATTGGCGGGGCTGTGGGGGGATACGTGAGAAAGTGTAGAAAGGAAACTCGTAATAAAAACAAAAACAAAAAAAACACGCGAAGGGCAAGTCTGTGCAGCAAAGTGGGATACTAATAATAATAATATGGAGAATTGGAACTTAGTGGGTATGACTGTTGGATGTGGAGTTTGGGTAGTACCAGCGGCCAGTTGGTGGGGAGCGGGCTGGAGAATTTGTGAAGGGGGGTATATAAATTTGAGATGTGAGAGAGAGGAGGGCGGCTAGAGCCAAACACTACTTTGAAATTGAAATTAATAGAGAGAGTGTGGAATTAAAGGAAACCTTCAATTTGTTAGACATACAAAAAGGAAACAATTAAGGAAAGTGACAAGTGAGGGACACGATATTATGGATATGATATGTATGATTCACGAAATTGGTGATATGAGGGAGGGAGGGGAGGGGCAGGCAGCAGCTCACTGAGGCGAGGCGACCTAAAGGTAGGGAAGAAAGAAACTCATCCGGGGAGGCGATCAAATGATCTCTGATATATCCTTATAATATTCGGGGGTGGGTGGATACTCTTGATCTCTCTTTTACAAAACGGGATGAGTCCCCCATCTCACCCCCTGTTCAGAACCAAACAACAAGCAAGAGGTTCCCAGTCGTTCCTACATGTAGCCAACACTTTTTGCACTAGCCTGGAAGCTATCAACAAACAGTAACGACTGAACTGGGACATTAACCCGATAGGCTATGTGGCTCAGACCATGTCTTGGTAATGACCAATTAGCCACAGGCTGTGGCAGTACACCACTCACCACCACCGAATCGATCTGCCCTGTGGTGGTAGGACCGACATCATCCCTTCCTCCGGAAGCCACCAGCTCTTACGCGTTGTGCCGTGCCGATTACTTACATTAGAGATTACGAGGATCCCCCAGAACATCTTAGAAGCTCTCGAACATCCGTCATCACAATCAAACCTGAATCTCAAACATCTCCACATCGCAATCATTGCTATTAGACCAGACATCATCTCACCTCAAGGTCAAACCCCCCCACAAAGCCAACTCCAGAACCAGGACTAGAACCAGAACCAACGAGCCAGTCATGCCCTCACCACCACCCCCTTCATCAGTCCCCCTCTCGGCCCCAGACGCGCCCGTCCCCTTCTTCAAACGCGCCCCCAAGTCCAAATCAATCCGAAAACGGCCCGCCACGCCCCCCTCCGACGACTCGTCCTCCGACTACAGCTCCTCCGACGAAACAAAACCCATCAAGAAGCGACGCAACCTCAACCAAAAGTCCAACGCCGTCACCACCACCTCCGTCACCAAGCCCAGCAGCAGCAACACCACCACCGGCTCCGCCGCGGTCGCGCGCACCTACGCCCCCGATGCCTCGCGCACACTAACCTCCGCCAACGACGCCACGGCCACAAACTGGCACAACGAGATAACCGGCTATACCTCGCCGCCGCGGAAAGTACTCGACAGCAGCACCTCCGCCGTGAGCGACGAGCCGCCCGTCGCGGACGGAACCTACAAGGGCGCCTCCAGCTACGGCAACTTCATCAAGAAGTCCAAGGACGCGCCCGCGCGCACCGTGGGGCCCATGAAGGCGCCGAGCAACATCCGCTCCATCACCGTGACCGACTATGCGCCCGACGTGTGCAAGGACTACAAGCAGACCGGCTTCTGCGGCTTCGGCGATACGTGCAAGTTCCTGCACGCGCGTGAGGACTATGCGCAGGGCTGGAAGCTGGATCGAGACTGGGAGATCCAGCAAAAGGCGGGCGGGAAGGCGAAGAAGCAGGAGGATGCTGAGGACGATGATGAGTGGAAGGAGCTGAAGGACATTCCGTTCGCCTGCGTCATCTGTAAGAAGGACTACAAGGAGCCGATTGTAACGAAATGTTCGCACTATTTTTGCGAGAGCTGCGCAATTGGACGGTATAGGAAGAACCCCGGGTGTGCAATCTGTGGCAAGCGGACAGACGGCGTCTTCAATGTTGCAAAGGGTCTCCGGAAAAAGCTCCAGCGAAAAAAGGAGAGGGAAGACGAGAAAAAAAAGGAAGAGGAGGAGACGAACGAAGATTAGCTTGTAGTTATGGTCTTTTTTTACTTTATGTATCTGTATTATAAGACTTTCACCTGGGAAAATATCACGGCGTATTTGGCAACTCACCCCACTCTGCCGTGATCTACGCTCTGAACTTGATTAGTACCGCCCCTCCGCAAAAGTGTTCATGACGGACCTCGCCTTGAAGTAAACCAACTGTCTTAGACACGCTCCAGCTCCAGCTCCAGCTCCTGATCCCGCCCATGTTCCACCGAGGCCCTTTACTGCACACCATAAGACGTCTCTTTCCCCGGGCAGCTATTGTGACTGCAATACTCCCAGCTGCAGCTGGCCCATGCATGATATATCGATAATGCAGCTCTTATCCAACACCCCAACCTCAATCCTTATCCTTATCCAGACACATGCAGGTACGATTAAGTAAAGTATGTAGGTACAATATTACCCCCAGAGCCTATGTAATTCCCCGTCGCGATCATGTCATGTGTATGTGCCACTCATCAGCTCCTCCCTTGAAACTCTCGCAAATTTCGCTGCCTAAAAGGCCAAATATCCTTCTTGACCCGGTTAAATTTCTCCACTGCACTAAATACATGTACGGTACATGTAGTTAGTGCAAACCGGGGTTGAATCGTCGTTTCATTTAGACTAAGCACGGTAGGGAAAGGAAGGTGTGGTGACCCCTGCAGACTCTGCAGTCAACCGCTCCGGATTTGGTTGCAACAGTGAAGTGAGCGAGTGATATCCTGTGAGGAGCGTTAGTGCTTACATGACGTTATTATAGTTGTATGCAATAGTAACCTGTAGAATTAATAGAATTATTAGGCCCTTTGTCCCAACCCGGGTGGGTGTGATAACAAATAATTGTAGACCATACCAATACGGGTTTCTTATTATTATTAGTGTCTAAGTATTCAAAGCCAAGCCCACCTCAACTCCATCTTCCTCTTATCCCCCAAACCTTCTAAGGAACAAAGTCTATCAAAGCAAAAGATGCAGCAAAACACCGAATGAGAAAACAAGCCACCCAATGAACCAACACCCCCCCCCCCCCACCCTCTAACCACAGCAATAGTACTTGCAGCAATGCAAAAACTCCACCACGCTGTACGTATATACCACAACCGAAACGATAACCATTACGACCACTACTTCCCTTTCACTTCCCAACCCGCCCAGCAACCTCCAGTCCATCTCCTCTCCCCTCCGTCCACAATACCACATACCAACCCTCGTCCATACCGTTGAATACAGCAGTGCATATACAGCCACATACAGTGCCTGTTCAAAGTGTCTTCCACAGAACCGCCCCGGTACGGGGGTAATAGAGTTTAGAACAAAGATCTCTATGAACGCAATAACAGATGCGCCGACGGCAATGATAAACTCGGGCGCTACCCATGGATAACACGGGGTGTTGATATTGGGCAGGAGGATAAGGAGGTAGAAGCATGACGATGCAAATGGAATCGCGGTGACAGTAGTGTAAAGACAACGGAATCCCGTGCGGAGAAAGCGGGATCTCATGAGACATGAGAGTAGGCGGGTACGAAGATTGGTCTGTGCATGTAGAGGGGGCCTAGGGAAAGGGAGACTCCTCTCGGCACATCTATTTATTATGGCCCAGATCTAGATAAGTCAGACATTGCTCCACTTTTTCAGAAAGCCGTTATTAGAAACTTACAATAACAAGCCACATGTAGAAACACTGTGTAGCCCATACGATATTAATCAGTCTGAAGAAAAAGATCCTCCCATTACCAAGACACCTCTCTCTATAATAGTAAAGGCCCAGCAGTCCTGTCATGCAGAAGGCAATAAAGATGCGTATAACGATGACCATGCCATCAGAGATCCACTCGAACGGGGACTGGATGATCTCCGTGAAGATATACCCTTCCGGAGGAAACGCAAAATCGAGTTCATCCTCTAGCTTTCATGTCTATGGTAAGCGCTCACTCACCAACCAACAGCAGCACAGGAACTAAATACTAACCATCAAGACTATCAGTATCACACTCCTCTCCCAGGTCACGACCCGAATGTTGCTCCTGCTGGACCTGCTGCAGCAACGGGGTGTGTTCATTTACCCTTCTCTCGGCACTAGGTTCTCCTTCTCTCAAGCACGAAGGGCCATGTTCATGCCCCTTCGAACCCTTCGAGCCTTTCGACTTTGAGCCTTTGGAGCAAGAACCACCAGTACATTCACTCTCCCGTGGACGGGAGTTCTTTGAAGGCATTTAAACAAGCAGCAGCAGCGGTGATAATTGATTGTATGATCTCAACTGGTAGTGTGGGTATCAAACAAGAAGAACTGACGATCAAGAATAGAAACAAAATAAGAGCGGGGAATTCTCAAGCCACCTTTCAAACGCTAAACACCAAAGAGACAGATCTGCAAAATAACAACGAGTGATCCAACGTGAAGCGTGGCCCCCAAGAAACAGAGCTGACTAATGCCAAACAGCGAAAGCAGAGCTTGGACACCAAGAGAGCTCGGGCGCCAAAACACACACGGCCCTGATGTTCTGGAAGCTGTCTTTCTGGTTGATCCCCCTGAAGCTCCTTCTCGAGCTGCCCGGTAGTAGTGAGAGGAAGAGGTAACAATCTACGAGCGAGCGAATGGGGGAGGGCCGCGCCCTCTCAGCTATATAATCAGCAAGCATCCTCCCCCCCCCCCCCCGCGCCCCCTCTATCTCATGGGGGCGTAAATAACATCAAACCGCAAATTCATCACACGAGCAGAATATAGCGGGGAGTGGAACATTCGTCATCTTATATCTCTACACCGCACACACCGGACGCGCACACGAGCTCTTGCGAGAACCAGATAACAAGCATCCATCCATGGCCCATTCCCTTTCCTTGTGTTACACAGATCCCCCAGGCCCCTACACCTCGCCTCTCCCCGAACAATCCGGGAGGACCTACATATACAGATAGAATGTAGGTACGAACGTGATCCCGTGGAACCCTATTCTCCAGCTTTGGCCTTCCCCTATCGCCCCATAGGTTTCGGAGCAGAAGACTCAATTTGCCCCATTCCAGGCGCTCAGTTCCCGGGTCGGGCGGCAGGGATGCGGAGGTGGTTGTGGTTGTGGTTGGGTTGGTGGTAGGTACCAAGGTTAATAATGATGGGGATGGGCCACATTCGGTAATCTGTCACGCGAGCTCTTATCGTGGGTCTGTAGACAAGAAAATATGATTTGAAAATGCAGCAGCACACCACGCGAAGCCCTTTCTTTAGTTTGAGGCTTGATTTCCACATATCCTGCTTTTTCTGCTGAGTAGACAAAAATGGCCACGCTGCAAGGGTCCCCGGAATCCGGGGAGGGGAGGGTTCTCTCCCACGAGTGAGGTTCCATGACTGCAGCCAAGGTGACTGACTAAGCAAGCCACCCTCCGGTTCAGGGCTAGACACCTTTTCTTTGTGACGGTCTTTTTGGGGGACCGCGCTAAGACCCGGTCAACGCACACAACTGAAGCTTCCATCCGCACACAATCAAAGGTCCACGATTGCCATCCAAGAACTTTTTCCAACCTCCCGCCGCCGACAATTCCACGCCCATCGCAAACGACCAAATAAAACACCAAAAAAAAACACCCTCCCGTCAATCCTTTATCCTAAATAGTGAGTAGCCTGAAAAAAAATGCCACAAAATAAATGAATCCCTGATGGATTCTGGCGAGAATTCTCGATAAATCGCTGAAGCTCTCCCAAACCCCATCAACTCAAACCCCCACCAACCCGCCAAAAACACAAAGCCAAGAAATACAAAAACCAGACAAACTAACAAACATCCCCACCACAGATCCGCCCATCATGCCAGGTGTTTCCGTCCGCGATGTCGATGCCCAAAAGTTCATCGAGTCCTACGCCGCCTTCCTCAAGCGTCAAGGCAAGCTGGCCATCCCCGGCTGGGTCGACACCGTAAAGACCGGGCACTTCAAGGAGCTCCCCCCCCAGTCCCCCGACTGGTTCTACGTCCGCGCCGCCGCCGTCGCGCGCCACGTCTACCTGCGCAAGTCCGTCGGTGTCGGCCGTCTCCGCAAGGTCCACGGTGGCCAGAAGAACCGCGGCTCGCGCCCCTCCCACCATGTCGATGCCTCCGGCTCCGTCGACCGCAAGGTGCTCCAGGCCCTCGAGAAGATCGGCGTGGTCGAGCTTAACCCCAAGGGTGGGCGCAGGATCTCACAGACTGGCCAGCGTGATTTGGACCGTAAGTGGCTCTCCTTTCCGTGGAGGCTGTGTTTTTTTGCTCCCGTCCCCCCTCTAGCCGCTGGGAATATGAGCGGTGTTGGACGAGGGGCTGGTGTCGGGGTTGTGCTAATGTTTGTTGTTTCCGGTGGACAGGTATTGCTCAGACTACCATTGAGGCCGAGGAGGAGGAGGAGGAAGAGGAGTAAATGGGCGGGGTCTTTTTCTAGCACGGATTACAATCAAATAAAAGTTTTTTTTGTGCCGGTTCGCTTCTTCTTTTCTCTTCTTTTTTTTTTAAACTACATAACTTTTTTCAAATGGCGCATCTGGGGATACCAGGGGAAATTTCATTGGGTGTTAACATTGTCCTCCGAATTCTTCCCCCCACCGTTTCGACCTAGAAAAGGGTGATATTAGATTGATGGTAATCATGAATTTGAATGGAATTGAGAGAGCCACAATCACATGCGCCTGTGTTTGCACTTTTGTGACTTAAAAGTGACGTAGAATAGCGTTTTCTCACTCGTGCCGTCGTTTTCGATAAAGGCAGTAATCCCGTAGCCCATTAATCAGACGATTCGGCTCCCCGTAGCCCAAAACCCCACATTCTTGTGATCCAGTCACCTGACCCCACTTCAACCCTTACCCTGACCTACCGCAAAAACCTTCAAAGTACTACCAATCACAACCTCACCTCCACTCACCATATATATATAAAAACCCACCACAGACCATGGCCACCCTGCGCACGCCGCTGCTCCGCCTGTCCCTCCCCCGCGGCCCCGCCGCCGCCCCGCGTATCTTCCACCGCCTCAACAGCAGCGACACCCCCCCACCCCACCACCCACCACCCCGCAGCCCCGCACACTCGAGGGCTTCCTCGGCGGCGACAGCAGCGCCCTCAGCCGCACGCGCATCCAGCGCGCCACGGCCGCCGCTGAGACCCCCGAGTTCCCCAGCTTCACGGGCAGCGACTCGTTCCTCGGCAGCGGCACAGGCATCGAGGATAACCTGCACCACCTCAATGTATACGCCACAAAGCACAACACGCACATCACGTTCACGAAGCCCAACAAGGACGTGATCCTGACGCTGTCGTGCGGGAATGTCGGCTTCAAGAAGGCGAACCGCGGCACGTTCGAGGCCGCGTACCAGCTCGCCAGTGTCATGTTTAGTCGCATGGAGGAGCGTGGGCTGCGCCCGAAGCACCTCGAGGTGGTGTATAGAGACTTTGGGCCGGGGAGGGATGCGTTCACGAAGGTGCTGTTGGGGAAGGAGGGGAAGAGTATTAGGGAGAGTGTGGTGAGGGTGACGGATGCGTCGAGGTTGAAGTTTGGAGGGACGAGGAGTAGGGCGATTAGACGGTTGTAGCTGGGGGATTTGGGGATTTGGGGATTTGGGGATTTGGGGGGGAGGGATGGGGAATTGGGGGTGTACAGTTCTTTGCCTGTATCATATTTTCTAGTTTGGGGAGCTTAGAGGGGCACTAATTATAAGCATTGCTGTGTCTAGCGGTTTGGGTGTTCAATTGTCGTAGTCTGTGATGTTTCCCTGTATCTGTCTAGCTGTAGCAATTGAAAAGCCGTGGAATGCCATTGCCTGTCCAAACCACTCTCCCAACACAGCAATTGAGTTGAGTTACTCTCTGACTTACGTATGTAGTTGTCTGCCGTGGCCATCCCTCCACACATGACCATCCGTGTCCAGCCGCACTACCGCTCACTCGCCCGAGTGACAGGGCATGCACCGCACCGCGCACCCTCCAGCACCACCCACCTACCTGCCAACGACCAGCACCCCCAGATCCCCCACCATCACCACCACCACCACCACCACCACCACCACCTACCTGCCAACGACCAGCACCCCCAGATCACCACCATCACCCCCACCACCACCACCACCACCACCACCACCTACCTGCCAACGACCAGCACCCCCAGATCCCCCACCATCACCACCACCACCACCACCACCACCACCACCTACCTGCCAACGACCAGCACCCCCAGATCCCCCACCATCACCCCCAGATCCCCCACCATCACCACCACCACCACCACCACCACCACCACCTACCTGCCAACGACCAGCACCCCCAGATCACCACCATCACCCCCACCACCACCACCACCACCACCACCACCTACCTGCCAACGACCAGCACCCCCAGATCACCACCACCACCAACCCTTCCTTCCCTCCACCGCCACCCTTTCCACTCCACAGATCTCGCACTCGCCTCAATCCCAGTTACCCGGCCCACTCCCCGCACTCATGATCCTCTGTCTGACTGTCTCACCTTGATAACGATAAGGCAGCGCAGGCCCAGCGCACATAAAACTCTAGATTGATCTGCCAAACCACCACAGCCCAATTGCAAACGCTTGCAGCAACACCATGGCCTTCCCCCCACAGCACATCCCGCACAGCAGCCGCCATGGTCCACCCTGCCCATGGATCCCGATCCCCGACCAGCGCATAATCTGCATCGAGCACCCGGCCATCATCCAGAACATCGACAAAGGGATCGCGACCCTCGGCGGCGAAAAGGCGCTCGTCAAGGTACCGTCCCTCCCTCCCTCCCTCCTGCCCCCTCTCCCTCCGATAAAACTAACAGAGAGTGTTAATAATCCACAGCTCGCATCGACAAACGGAAACTCGGGCCTGATGCTGCGCTTCCGCCCAGACGACCCCATGCAGCCGCCGATCCAGTCGCGCACGGTGCCGAGTAACAGCGTGCTCGTCAAGATCACGGTCCCGCGGCGGCGGCGCAAGAAGCGGCGGGATGCGGAGGGGCGGGCGGTGGTGGATCCACGCCCGGTCGAGGAGCTGCCGCTGCTGGAGAAGCTGCGGAAGTCGAATGGGAAGTACAAGGTTGAGACGGTGGGCATGATTGAGCGCACGGTGCGGTTTCGAGGTATATATATCCGCTTCCTGTGTCTGTGTGTGTGTGTGTGTGTGTGTGTGGAGAAGAGAAGGCCGACTGACCGGGACTGCAGATATGGCGAATTACCAATTCAACACCTCGCGCTCACCCTTCGTCGCAAAGATCAAGTCCACGGTCCTCGACTGCTCCTACCCCTCCCTACAGCAGTTCGCCCTCTCCCCCGGCAAAGGCCACCAACCCATCCTCGAGATCCTCCCCCCACCCTCCTTCTCCAACACCGTCATGCAGCACACCTACTACTACCGCCAAAACCCGGCCATCAAGAAAGCCCTCATCGCCGGCAAGCCCGCGCTCCTCAACCTGCAAGCCGCGCCCAAAACCCTCACTCCCATGGTACACATCAGCAGCCCCAACCTGCCCTCCAAACCGCTCGACATCCGCCCCTACGAGACGCTCGACGCGGCCGGCAAGAAGTGCGTCGACCACCTGCGCGCGCTCTTCGCCCAGCGGCCCATCTGGACACGCCGCGCCCTCTTCAACCACTTTCCCAAGAACCTGCAGAGCCTGGTCCGCTTCTCCATGGTGCACGTCGCATACATGTGGCGCGCCGGGCCCTGGCGCGACACATGCGTCATCTACGGGCTCGACCCGCGGTCGAGCCCAGAGTACAGAAAGTACCAGAGCGTGTTCTTCCAGGTCGAGACGGAGAAGAGCCAGAAGGGCAAAGACGACGCGCGCAAGCGCAACAGCCACATCTTTGACGGGAAGCAGCTCGTGCGCGACGGGCGCTGCTTCCAGCTGTGCGATGTGACGGACCCGCTGCTGTGCAGTCTGATCGAGACGGGGAAGGTGCGGCGCGTGTGCGATATGGGCGATGGGTGGTATCGCGCGAGCACGATGGCGAAGATTAAGGCGATCATGAGGGGGAAGATTCGGAGTTTGGCGGAGGGGACGGTGCCGGCGGATAGTGAGTTTGTGGATGTGCTGGAGCAGGAGAGCGAGAGTGAGAGTGAGGAGAAGGAGAGGAAGGAGCGGGAGGTGGCGGAGCGCGCGGCGAGGAAGATGAGGAGGCTGGGGAGGGAGGCGGCGGCGGAGGCGGCGGAGGCGGAGGTGGAGGCGGAGGAGGCGGAGGCGGTGGAGGAGGCGGCGGATAATGATGGCGAGTGGGAGGAGGAGCTGACGGAGGAGCAGAGAGTCGATGGGAGGGTAGAGGAGCTGATGATGGAGCTGTTGAAGCAGGGCGGTGAGCATGCGGGGTATGAGGGGTATCTGGAGGATGTTGGGGAGGAGGGTGACTTTGATGTGCTGGAGGGTGAGGAGGATGAAGATTAATTAACTGGTTAGCTTTTTTTTGTATATAATTGTAGTTAGCAGTCGATTGATCATTGACACTGGGAATAGGTAATAATGCGAGTGCTATGCCATGATCGAATAGAATTATTTCGAACCACATGTTGGGGAAGCTTCTCCAATAATAATAGTTCTCATGTAAATAACAAACAACATCAATATAATTGCTATTTTGCCAGTGGAGATCCATCTGGCTTGGATAAACCGGATTCCCTGATCACGGGTTGGTCAATTACATATATATTACCGGGCCCGGGAAACAAGATGATCACGCAACCTGCACCAACAACGCAAAAAAAACTTCGCGGCAGAAATATTTCAACCTTCTAGAGGGTAGGCATACATACATGTATGAGACAAGAATATAATCGCAATATGTCATACTGCAATATTGGTGTAATTTCCTTCGGCCGCCGGCGTTTTTTTTTTTTTTTTTTTTATTTTTTTAATTCATACTCGCATGCAACCTTTCAGTTATGGCGGAGCACTCAATCTACAGTACAAGTACAGGGTTTCACCCTTTATGCCTACTAGTCGCTCCTTTCAGCAGGATGTGGAATACCCCAACCGGCTCAAGGCCAGCACTCATACCTAGCCACACTCCATCACCAGTCCACATGCCCCATTTGGGCGCCGGGTACATGGAAAACTCTCCCCAGGAGCAGAAACCACATGCCAAGCCAGGAAAAGAACCCACGAATCTCAGCGCCGCCAAAAGGCCCGTCCAACTGGCAGTCGACTATGCCAAGCCAGGCATTTAAAGTGTGCGACGGACTGAAGTGGACTGACAAGGACTACAGTCGACTACAGTCCTGTAGGAGGATCAGTCCGTCCAAAAAGTGCATGACTACCCAAAAGGGTTTTGTTAGTTGTTTGTTATGATAATATTACGGTGATTGAATTAATCTCAATCCTTCAGCAGTGTGAGAAGCACAAGACAAGACCTTTTTACTATTATCCAACAGTGGTGATACATATTGTCTACGAGCTCCAGGCTGAGAGCTACCCCAACCTAGTAAGAAAGCGACCTAGGGGACACCCCTGAGAGCCCTGCTGTAGTAGTCATAATGCAGTAGTTATCATAATGCAATCCATCATCCGTCCACAGTTGTCTGTAGTCGACTATAGTAGGACGGCGGACTCCCAGTCTTTGTCAATCAGTCTCGTCCGGCCTAGGACCGGACCGTTGAGCCCACGACTTGGGATATATACTGTATCTTCCATGTATTTTGGCTTGGCGCTATCACGTTTAACGGAGCCCACGCGCTGAGATACGGATAAATATAGTGCTGGTCTCTGTGCTCTACTATATCTATCCGTTTATACTACGGCCCGAGTATATTAAATTAGGCACGACTTCCTAACTAACAGTTTGAGAACGGATATAGCGGTGGACCCGGCGCTGTAGTTTCCAAATGCAATATAGGAGGTCCTATCTTTATAATTTAATTGCTTTTGAGGTCAGGAAGCGGACATTAAAGGATAGGGAAATACATGTACATATAGTACTTATTCAGCCTCAGCATAGATAAATGCATACTTTCATATTGCAGAACTCCCGGAGTATGAATGCATGGTAGGCCCAGCCCCAGCTACTACTGATGCTGACTTGATAAGAGTACAACTCCCATAGAACTATGGGTATACCGATCTCTATCTCGGCATAACTGGCGGTATATGGATTCCCAACTTCATCGACACAAATGACAAAGTTGATATATATATAAGAGTGCTGCTTCTTAAAATGCCGAGTGTTTGAAATGATACCGTGCCTAGGGGTTTTAGATATAGTCGTATGTTGGGTTAGTTATTTGATTCTATCATGTCCAATGGCGTCTCTGCCACGGTAGTCCGACGGTCTGTAGTCTGGACCAGCCCACAAGACCCAATGAAATCTTCTAAACCTTTATAATAAGATTTTTTCAATCCCAGGATCAAGATGTCGCGAAAATCATTTGTATATTGTCCTCTACTCCATGGGTAGTCCTGGACCAAGCTCTATGAAATCTCGCTGGGTGGGGCTTGGTATCAGCTTTCATGAGCTGGCTGAGCTGACCTTTTCGGGTGCCATTGGAACCTCTCAACCTCTGAAATTATATCGTAATGTTAATCAATTTATCTCCAGGTTGTGCAATCTTGAATCTTTGCTGTGCGTGTAGGGAGTTGGAGGGGTATGCTGGCGTTAGGCAGGCGGGGCACCGCCCATACTATCACCCCCATCCTCGAGAGCTCTTGAGATGATTAGAAAGCATGCAACGGTTTAGTATGACTATCTGGCAACAGAACTCGAGCAAGCTCTTTGAATATATACACCCTTATGTTAGGGTTAGGGCTGCTCGGCGAAGCTAGCCCATCGGGTGACAAAATCAGACGACAACAGAAAAAAATCCGCCCCTCTACCGGATTGTATCCCGTCGTCGGCCACCCCCCACCATTAACGCCCCCCCCGCATAATGCGCGACATCAACCCGTAACGATTTCGCGTACACGATGATGACGGACCACGATGAGAGCTCCATTGCACGCCATAGCGCCCTCCCAGAGCGCCCTCCGTTATTTACGTCAAATCCTGTTCCCCAGGCCCTACGACTACCGCCCCACCATGGCGGCCAATTGTGCTCGAGTCCATCATCATCACCCCTGGGGAGGAAGGGGGCTCTTCAGACAGCAACGAGGCTTTCACGGTGGGGCATTGGGGGCTGTGGGAGAAGCGAGAGGACCAGAGAATACCGTGGTGATTCCTCACCAGTATCCACCGGTGCCTCCGGCTGAGCGGGTTCTTCTGCGGGATTCGGCATCTGCACCGAACCAGACAAAACTGTGGAATGCGAGGTGGAAGAAGACGAGGTGGAAGAAGGCGAGGATCAAATTTAGGAGAAAGAAGAAAATATACAGTCCTACGGCATGGGCCTTCGACAGCTCTCGGCTCATCAACCAGAAGCGATTGAACGAGGTTGTGAACAAATGGATTGATGCAAAGGAGAAGCGCGCGGATGAGAAAGATGTACAAAAACTGGGGATAACTTTGATGAAGGCCTTCAATCGGAACCGACGATCACGAGGGACACCCCATATATTCAATCTAATGGCTGCCACCGACCCGAAATCGATCGATACCGCTTGTCTGAACCTCTGCATGGAGGCGTACCTGTTAAATAATCGACCGAGCAAGTTAATTGAGGTATATAGGAAATACCAAGGATCTGTCAAACCCAACTATGTGACGATTAACATCATCCTAAGAAACTTTATTGCCATGGGGCAATTGAGCGAAGCGGAGAATTTATTGAAGGTTGTTATGGAATTGCGTGGACCTGTTACGCGCCATTCTTTTCAGTTACTGATGTACGGGGTGAGGGCAATCACCGATAGTTTGCCGGAGATGACGAGGGTATTTGAGTGGATGAAAACTACCCACCTAAGCCCACACTCCCCAATCTATAATACCATGATCAAGACGGCATTGGATTGCAGCCAGTACGACCTTGCAAAAAAATACGCGGACGAGATGGTAGAAAAGGGGCTGGGATACAATCTCGAAACCTTTGTTCTGTTTCTCAGCACACAATCTAAGGCCGGAGACTGGGATGCCGTTGCGAAAACGATGCAGCGGATGAAGGACTATAATATCAAGCTGACGGTTAAGGCCTTCAACACCCTTTTACACTCATATGCCCGTGCGGCCGATTTGCCTTTGGTTGAGCGTTTCTTCGAATCAATGCTATCCTTCGACATAGTCCCAGACCGGTATTCATACAACATCTTGATTCATGCCTCCTGCCGCGCCAAAGATGAAGAAGCCAAACATCGATGGTTAAAGCGTATGAGATCAGCCGGGCACCTCCCAGATGTAGTTACCTTCAATATCCTATTTCATGAGCTCCGAAAAACCAAAACTCAACCATATGTTCTCCGCCGTATCTATAACGCCGTCCTCGACATAAACCCAGATCTTGTCAACACCATGACCAAAATGATGCTCCTTGACTCCATGTTCAAAGATTCCCTCGCCTACGAGCGCCGAGCAAACCTCCGTCGTACGTCTCCACGGTTAGATGACGACATCTTCTTGCCAGAAATAAAGGAAATGGAGTCAGCAACTAACGCAGGCCGCCCACATGATGCAATCTGTATCTTCACCGACATATTAGCCCAAGGCTTAAAACCCACAGAATTCCTCACTACTTCCGCCGTTCGTGCCGCTTTTCGACTTCCACCACCCGAACACGATAACGTCTCCCGCCTTCTATACATCGCTCATAAGCGCGGTGCCCGTATCAATGATATTGTACTAAGCATACTGTCATCAGAGAGTTTCCATTCCTCCTCGCCCTCCTCCTCACCAGAACAATTGAATACCGTCTTGCAGCAACTCCATGCCTCCTACAGTTTCATGAGCTCACATTGTCTACCAATCAATCACTATATCTTTGTCAAGACTGCATGGAAACTTGCGACATCCGGTGACCCCCACGGCGCTATATTTCTGATGAATAAAATTAGTACCTCGCAATGGGGCTCAAAGTGGAATGTTGTAGGACTGACAACATTACTGCATGCATACACCCTGATCAGAGATCTCAAGGGAATGAGATGGGTTGTGGAAACGATGGAGGCAGAGCAGGAAATGCCCGATAGGCTATTCATGCGATATCTCCGGCGAGCCAAAGAGGTTTCCGAAAGTCAAGAAGACGAAGCCTTCATATCGTGGCTTGTTGTGCGATGTGTAAAGCATCGGGAGGCGCTGAAGGAGCGCGAGGCAGACGACAAGGCACGGGAGATTCTGCAGTTCTTTGAAGGACTAGAGGGGAAGCCGAAGATCGTATTGAAGAAGAGAGATACGCAGGGGGGAGGGCGTCGTCAATACTAGCGAAAAACATTTGATTGGTTGCTGTACTGCTTTTATTTGATGTTTATATCTATCTGTTCATAACTAGCTGGGGTTGGGGGGGATTGTCTTCATGGGTTTTTTTTTCCTCACTGTTTTTGTTTGATTTATATATGTTGTACATTGTAGTGGTATTTGTCCTGTGCACGAGTAGTGAATAGTGTGCATGTATGTAAATAGGGCATATTGGATGAGCGGAGTATATCATTTTCTTTTGCATGTATATACCGGGTTAGATTGGTGGGTAAAGGAGCATTATAGATATAAGGCCGGCCGGAGCTGGGGTTTTAAATTTCAATTGCTCTTGTATAAATAAAATAGGTTGGGGGTTGAAAGTAAATCTCCTATCTTATTGTCAAGTTAGTGTTTCACGGTTGATCACTCGCTGATATTGTTATGAACTTGTGAGATGATTGGCTGTGAGTAATACTACTAGATCTACATGTTTTTTTGTTTTTTGTTTTTTAATTCATTAATTGCATGCAACCTTACAGTTATGGCAATATCCCCTGAACTACCCGATCTCCTCCACCATCTCTCGCGTTTGCCTGACATAGGAAATATATGAAAAGTAGAAAGTAGAAAGTCCTGAACTATTCCTCGTCTCTGGCGTCTTTCAATGTCCCCCACCCGTATCCCAGTTCTCTTCTTTCCTCTTCCGCGCTATCATCCTGTCCGCTCCTCTCATGTCTCCATTAGATCTACATATACATGCAGTTCAAATTCAACAACTAAGGGCCAGATCTGAAGAATGGGGCCCAAGAACATGTAGATACATATACTTGCTTCAAACCACACCTATGTAGACACATACGTGATGCATTTCATGATTAACCAAAGCAAAATGTCCAACTCCACATACAATTTGATTCAACGTGAGGATGGGTACTGATCAATACAGATTGGGTGGTTGGAGGTAAGATGATATAAAGAAGGGCTATCAAGGACGCTATAATAGAATAAAGTATGAATACGGTTAACAGCATGCAGTCTCGCTCTCATTTCCACCTCTATTGACCATTATTCTCATAGGGATTAGCCACTATTTTGTGATAATACTTTGGAGAAGGTTATTACGGACCCAATAGTGATATTATCATACCCGAACAAGAAGTGGCCAGAAAATGCGCCAAGCAGCATACAAATAATAAAATAACCTATATATCAAAATCGTTATATTAGCCATAGATTTGTATTGAGAGGTGCTGGTATCAGTACCGTTATAATACATAGCCAATAACATTATCTACCAATATAATATTAGCACGTTACTCTGAATGATGTTAATTAATTGGAAGGGGTGCAAAATACAAAGTAGCTATATCATCAGTCAGTAAAGGAAAGTGGTAGTAGTAGGAATGAGGATTCCGACTCACGCAAGACCGAATTGAAGCATATAAATCCCCGCCCTAATTGCCTGCTGAAATATTGTTGGCCTATAACTCAGTGGCGTAATGCAACCCAACCCTCCCTCCGATGGTATACTCGATATCTTAGAGGTTCCTGAGCGGACAATGTAGCGGTCATATTCGCGCTGAGCGCGACGGAGAAATTCTAGGAGTAATACAAGGAGGAAAACCTAGAGTGGTGGTCATGGACTGTGTTAGTGATAAGTAAATCCCGATCCCCTTTATTAACCTTTACTCACACCGATGCAGGAGCCGGCAAACATGGCAGTACTTCTAACGTGCCACGAACGGGAAATGAAGCAGGAATCAATTGTGTACCAGTTCCAAAGCATCTGGAGAGGCCTTGGTTAGTTGTGTTTACGAGTTACCGGGGGGTATATCATACGGATATCTTGCAAGTTGCTGGTGTGGGTGTTGAGGTTGAATTTGAGCTCATAGAGTGAGTACTCATGGTGCTGTGGTCCATTGTGACAGCTTAGGGAGTAAGAAGTATATGGGATCGGGGAAGATCGACGGTGATGTTCCGAGAGATGCGTTAAAGTATATAGTATACAGAAGGGCCAGGAAGTTGGGGTATTTATAGTCTTTATCCTGAGCTATGTATGCCACACCAGTGAAGTTTGGATACTGAGCTGAGCTAGATCTTGATGAGAAGGTTTTTATTTATGCATAGTTTTTTGCATTCTAGCGGCTTTAATTATTATGGGAATATGTGACCTATGCCTCTCATATATGTTTCCGGTAATCACAACATGTTAGGCCCATGGCGACACCCTAATAGTCAGTGATCTAGATGCAAACTTGTTAGAACATAGCCAGAAGAGGAATCACAAACTGCGACCTCACAGCGAAAAGAGTTTCACGAAGTGGGAGTTAGGTCCAGTAGAGAGAGAAAAGACCAAGTACTTGCCTTCCAAATGATATCCGGCCCCGAAAATCTACACATATTCAGAATTCAGATATGGTACGCACACTCTTAAAGGTGACACGGCGGTATCTGGAAGTGGAACAATCGTGGCTGCAAGATGAACTCCAAGGCCAATGAGAGGGCTTATTCCTAGCCACTTTGCTGCATTCCTGCCGCAATTCACTTTTGAGGAGGTATAAATGGGTATAATACTGTTCCACTTTGCTCAGTCTTGGCGCCTTTTACATACAAAAATCCGCAACTTCAAACTCTTATAACTTTTTAACTAAAGTAGATATCAAAAATCTGGAAGTAAAAGCTAAAGTTCATCACTAGTACTACACTTTTTATTTACCGATTTTTTTAAATCTCTTTTTTGGCAAAGTTATAAGCCTTTGACTTTTCGCCCGATTTTTGTCACCTTTAGGAGTGGGCGCACCATATATACATATATACGTATCTATTTTAAACTGGTTGCCACTAAATCTCCCGGCCTATCTTGACTTGAATGATATGATTCGTATTTACATATCCCCAAGACTCGAGACATTTTTCTTTGCGATTGTGACCCTACGAAAATAACTTGCGCAAATATTTGCTCACGTACGCGTTAGGACTTTAGAAAAAGAAAAAAAATGAGGTGGTTTTAGTACATAGAGTAGGGTAGTTGCATGCAGATGGGCCGGTTTCTTGGATTAGAAGCTAGCCAACCGTCCTGTTGAGAAGTTCTTGGCAAAGAAGACCTCCTGGCCGCTGAGATATGTATACATTAAGTGTTCATTCCCATATGCATTGCACTGACTGTGGGAGATTTATACACGTGTACTACATGTATACGTATCCACCAACCACTGCTGGATCAATAATCGCACCCTAAGACCTTTTGCGCATATTTTGTAGATATGAATATCATGTAACTATTGTCAATCAGCTGATCAGAGTTTCATATAATATTGATATAAGCTGCTCAATTTGGAGAGCGTGTGGATCATTAATTAAGGAAACAATAGTTAACTCTTCAACACGTTTTACACCCACCTCAACGGCCTGGAATATCTGTAGCAAAGCAATTTTCGGGGCGGAGGTTAGTTCAAAACTCGAGCTACGTGGTCTCATCAGTTTCAGCTACATTTACAGTGCATTTGATTCTCCCGCACCCAATCATATAACCCCATCCAAGTTATGGCAATTTAACGTCGACAACCTTATATATATATAAGGTCGGCTGGTTATCCTATGACTATAGAAAGTGAAAAATCAAACTGTTTCCCCCAATCCCTTTTAGATATACTTTTTCAAAATGCGCTGATAGGAAATATCTAGGACTAAACATCAGGTTAGAGTTCGAAATATTCTGAAGCTCAGAAAGTGGGTCTTTACATGTAGTCTCATCAAATATCGTAATCTCATATCGCTGCTAATTAATGTAAATGAAATTAGATAGAACAATTCCTTATATTTGGCACATGAATGGAGTCACCGCCTCATGTCTCGTGCCCGCGGCCGTCCTTCTGATTTGTTAGCAATCGAGTGTGATTTCACCGCTTTTAATTCAAGCATCTAAGGGGGGTTTATACTCCATAATTTAGGAACTTAGGGCTCCTATACCATGATTTTTGATGAAAATGACTTGAAATCTTGGACACCGGTAGCATTAAGCGCTACTCCGCAAAAGGTCCATGATCTAAACCGCCGTTGCCCCCCAAAGGAGGCCTTCTAATAGACAATCACATGTATTTTCAGCTTTCAGTGCTTTCAAAAATGCGTCCAGAACTGGTATACAAAATAAATGATGAGAGTCTTCCCATACTGCAACGGGGCTTTTTGTCAAGTTCAACTTTGTTTAACTTGCGGGCTGCCAGGTTATGTAACACTGCAAATAGTTGAAATCCAGATTCCATGGTATCCGAGTCTTCAAGAGTAGCCTTATGGTATGGAAGCCCTCCACCTATAAATTAGGCCATTTATAATTACATGTAGATAAGGTTTGCGCGCGTCGTAAAGTTTACCAATCATAGGCCATCACTCTCACATAGCTGTATGGGTTAGGGTTTTGTTGCTATGTACTCGGGTGTGCACCAAAGTGATCAGAACTCAACGGAGATTGGTTAAGGATATGTGGGTGCAACAGGCTGGAGCCAATAAGATCTGCCAAGAATTTATATCTTGAATGGGGGAAAAGGTCATCAGAACTATTGCCAAATCCCCATCAAAAAATCCATAAAATATATAAAATATTTTATTTATCAGCACCTACTCTATATTGTATTTGGACACACATTTGTCTATGTAGAGTTAAATTTCAGCAGATATCAATAAAACTGAGGGCAAAATTTGGTCTCTGGAGTTCCTTGGGGCATATGGTTGATATAAGCCCCGGGTGGGCCAACTTACCCTTACACCTGAGTACATAATCTCTGCCAAGCCCAATGCAGAAAGGTCCCCGCGAGCTCCAAGTTGCTTGAACTTCAACAACCACAGACTATCCTGGATTGTCAACCATCCATCATCATTCATCCATCACCATCATCGAGCTCTTCCCCATACTCTCCTTGAGCTACATACATACCGGTGCTAGCTCCTCACATCACCTACAATGAATCACCTTCCCGAAGTCTGGGGTAGAGTACGCTTATCCCTCACCATTTCCGCCGCAACACCCTAACTGACATATCCAACCTCTCAAGCCCAGAAACGATGTCTACGGTGCCTATGATCACTCCTATCTGCAAGGCTCTCATCCGATGCAGCACACTCAACAGCCGATCGTCACCGGTACTAGTGTAATCGCACTCAAGTTCAATGGCGGGGTCGTAATCGCTGCTGATAATCTCGGTATTCCTGACTCCCATCTAGTTATCAGCTATGCCTCCCCCATGCTAATCTGCCTCGTTTGTTAGCTTCCTATGGCTCCCTCGCGCGTTTCACCGACGTTGAGCGTCTGAAGCAGGTCGGGACACATACAGTCGTTGGTGCCGGCGGTGACATATCGGACATGCAGCACCTGTACGAGAAGCTTTTAGACTCGCTGATCATCAAGGAGGAGTACCAGAACGATGGACACAGCCTTCGTGCGAGCCACATATACAGGTACCTGAGTCGGGTATTGTACCATCGCCGTTGCAAATTTGATCCTCTCTGGAACACGATCCTTGTGGCGGGGTGGGATGATGGGAAACCGTGAGTTTACCCCGCGCTATTTGAAGTGTAGAAGGTATTTTTTTTAGTTAACTGTGGTTAGGTTCCTTGCATCTGCTGATCTTCTCGGCACTACCTTCTCTTCTCCTGCGCTTGCTACCGGGTTTGGTGCGCATCTTGCGGTTCCGCTTCTTCGCCGTGTATGCCCCGACGAAAATGCTGTTAAGAGCCTCACGAAGGAGAAGGCGATCGAAACTATTGAGGAGTGCATGAAGGTATTGTTCTACCGTGATGCCAGGTCATTGAACAAATATTCGATGGCTGTCATCACCGGAGAGGGCGTGGAACAGGTTCCTTTGAGCGGTGAAGGGAAGGAGAAGGTACATGTCGAGTGGAAGAAGGATATCACTTTGGAGAACCAGAGCTGGAAGTTCGCCGAGGGCATCAGGGGCTACGGAGCGCAGACCGTTTAGATGATAAACGATACTGCATGATTTGATTTACCAGATTCCCTATCAATAAATCAAGCGCTTGTTGAGGGGCTCATTATGACATTCCACTCTATTGTGAGTTTTATCATCGGCGTTGGTGAATTTTGTGAATTTCCTTGAGTTACCCAATTATTGGGTAGAAGCAGTATACCTTGATACATCTTGGCTGGCCATTGGTCCACTAGATAGGAAGGAATCTAGTAAAATTCAGGTTCAAGGGGATGATCACGTGAATCGAGCCTACTATGAAGCTTTACCAAAACTAAAGAGCTCTTAAAGAACTGGGGAATGGGCCTAAGACTAAAGATCATGTTCATTGTAAATCGTTGGATGTGTTGTCGGCATTTAATTTAGTGCCTTAAGCTGTGTAGCGCTCTTGTAATCGAGGGTTGCCCGGTTTTTTTTTTAACCAATTCCCATCACAAATGTTGAAGCGGATAATAGATAATAAACTCTTAAGTGCATGTCGAGGTCTCCAAGCCACTTGCCTGGTTCCGAAGGATGCTAAATAGGTATATAGTTGACCTACTCCCAGGACAAATATTCAGCCACTGCCTCTAAATACAACGATATGTTAGGTTGGTTGGGTTAATGTATTCGTTGGAGTGTGTGGTTCTAGTATTCGAGAGCTTGTAGTGATGATCCAGGACCCCTTGAGGTTTATGTAATAGCAGTTCGGGAGAATGTTTATCCGTTTTACGAATAGCCAGAACCCATCTTTCTAATTTCTTTGTCTACATCTGCCATAGAGATGTTTGGTAAAATAAGATGTGAAGCTTGACGTCTCAGTAACATGCAAGCAGGCACGTGTATATGCCTGGCTGAACAGTGGCATCTTCGAATAGTGCCTGTTCGCATCTATTGCATTATCAAGGATCGTCATCGAGACCGCTCTCAAACAGCAGCAGCTCAGGGTGCTCAGCACAATGTCATAGAAAGCTCTGGTCCAATGTCCCCAACCATCTCGGCGTAATTCTAATCGATGAGGGAATTAGTCTTGTCGATTGTTCACGATACCCTCAAGTCCTCATTTGCGGTTCGTCCCCCCCCCCCCCCCCGCTTTCCTAATAAGGTGCTAGCCTTACGGTATGCACGTACCCCCACTTCAGCATAGCTTCCTTAAAAAAGAAAAAATAGATCGAGCGAGATGAGCAATGGGATGGAATAAAAGAAACTCGTCGTCTTCGAGCTCTATAATATATCTACTCTAAACGGGTACAAAACCGTAGAAGTACGTGGGAGCACAACGCCGCGGGAATCCCGGAGAATCGCCCATCGTATGTACATGCACCTACAATTGCATGATAAAGAGGAGAAGAATGTTGTTCCTTTCTGCCTGATATATCAGAGGCCGGTCCAAAACCTCAAGCAATGCAAATGATCAGCTTGACCGGCTGCCCCGCGAAGCTACTTACCCGGACCTCGTCTCTCGGTGAAACAAAGAATTCCGCAACGTTCGATGCCGAGAGCCCGCCTGGTGTGGAATTGTTTGCTGGTGACTAGATCTAAAATCAGGCTAAATTCCCTGTCCGCCTCCGGCGCCAAACCTCCGAGGAATTGCGGAAAAGTAAAAATAATTGACAAACTCGTTATCGATATCCCCGAGTACCGGTTTTTTTTTTTTTTTTTTTTGTAGAGGCGGCGGCTGCGGGCAAAGAAGGAAAAGGGTATTACGTAGTTGGGCATACGTTATGAAAGAATTTTTTGTTTTGTTTGCTTATGGTTGGGTGTCAGACGTTCACGATATTTTTTAGTTCACAACACAGGCAAAACCATGACGAAACATGGGTGTGGCTGCTTGTTCGAGAAGGCGGCGAGGAAGAAAGCAGGGAAAGGAAACCTGCCTGCCCATGGTGATCAATTAATTCTCCTCCCCGGAAGGGTTTGCTTTCTAGAGCAGTAGAGCATAAGGTAGTATTGAAGCTAGGTACATCATGGAGGCACATAACCTGTAGCCTGTAGGTGAAGAGTAAAAGGTTAACCCCTCACTGCAAGTAAAGTAATACCCGCCCCACCATGAGCTCCCCCACCTCAACTAAGTTTGGGTTGGTAAATTTCGCTGCTCCGCCACGACCAAAACCCAGAACCTAGCGACAGCGGCATCTACGTAAAAAGCATTGCCCATCCCCCTCTCTCCTCTTCTCCTTTCTACTTTCCATCTCACCAGCTTTCTCCGACATCGTCATCATTATTTGCTATTCATTTTCTATTTGACACCTTCACAATTCAGAATATATCACATAATGACTTCCGCTCTCGATCAGCTTAAGGCGGCCGGCACTGTATGTTAAATTCTAAACCTTATTGCGTTGGAACCTACATGGCTAACCGCAAGTTTTTCCTTAGACTGTCGTTTGCGATTCTGGTATGCCAATGATATTGAGACTATCGTCGTTATAGTATTGATACTAACCAATTGCTCAAGGTGACTTCGCCAGCATTGCTAAGTACAAGCCTCAAGATGTAAGTTTCCAGCATAGATATACTCTCAAGCCTGCTCATATCCTAATACTCGAATTGATAGGCTACTACCAACCCCTCTCTCATTCTTGCCGCCGCAAAGAAGCCTGAATACTCCAAACTGATCGATGCCGCCGTCGAGTACGGTAAGGCCAAGGTACATACATAACCATAAACCCTGCTCTAACTCACTCTCATCTAACATACCCCTTAGGGCGACTCCCTCGACGAGAAGGTGGACGCCACCCTTGACCGTCTCTTGGTTGAGTTCGGCAAGGAGATCCTCGCCATTGTTCCCGGAAAGGTTTCCACTGAGGTTGATGCTCGCCTCTCATTCGACAAGCAGGCCTCCATCGATAAGGCCCTCCACATCATTGACCTGTACAAGTCAGTTGGTATCCCGAAGGAGCGTGTTCTCATTAAGCTCGCTTCAACCTGGGAGGGTATCCAGGCCGCCAGAGAACTCCAGAGCAAGCACGGCATCAACTGCAACTTGACTCTCATGTTCTCGCTTGTCCAGGCCATTGCTGCCGCTGAGGCTGGTGCTTTCCTGATCTCGCCCTTCGTTGGACGTATCTTGGACTGGCACAAGGCCGCTACTGGAAAGACTTACACTGCCGAGGAAGACCCTGGTGTCAAGTCTGTCCAGAGCATTTTCAACTACTACAAGAAGCACGGCTACAAGACCATTGGTTCGTATTGAGTGTCTTCTTTTTAAGTGATACAATTGTTCCAGTTGCTTATTTAGCGAATCAGTCATGGGTGCCTCTTTCCGTAACACCGGTGAGATCACTGAGCTCTGCGGATGCGACTACCTCACCATCTCCCCCGGCCTTCTTGAGGAGCTCTACAACAGCCAGGCAGCTGTGCCCAAGAAGCTCTCGGCAGAGGATGCCGTTAACCTCGACATCAAGAAGGAGTCTTACATTGATAACGAGCCTGAGTTCAGGTGGTTCTTGAACGAGGACCAGATGGCCACTGAGAAGCTGAGCCAAGGTATCAGGGCATTTGCCGGTGAGTAGGAATTCATCTACCTTTAATCGCCCCAGGATTGTGAATACTAATTGGTTACACAGCCGATGCCGTTACCTTGAGGAAAATCCTCGCCGAAAAGATCAACGCTTCATCGTAAGTTAGTTGATCTTGTTTGTACGAAAATATGATAGAAATAGGTCTTCCTGGTGAAGGGAATTTCGAAGGAACAAAAAAAAATTATAAAAATATATGCTTGTTCTTGATTTTTCGTCATTATCATTACTTGCTTTCGCTATGCGTTTTGCGTCTGCTTGCACCCATTGAATTTAGGCAAATGTAGTGGCTTTTGATTGATGATTTGATTGATGTTAATCTGCTTTGGAGTTTTTATATGCCATTCATCGGAATTGTCCGTCGTTATATTGCGCTCTTGACACTTTCATTTGGTGATTCGGTGCGGTTGTAGTAGCTTATTATAAATTTTACCCTTGATGCGTAACTATATGCGCGTTGAACATGAGAAGTTCTAATACGATGAAAACTACATGACTTATTTTTGCACCTAAGACTTTTCTGAGTGTGACGTCTGTCAATCATTGGCCCATTCCAGCAAGGGTCTATCGAGCCCCTTACTTGGGACCCCTAAACGGACGATTCCGTCGCGACGTCATCTGTCACGTATGTACAATTTAGATAAATTTCAACGTCGAAACCCTCAAGGAATCCAATAACTCACAATGCCGCCACCACCGCCTCCCCCTCCGCAACTCCACATGCCCTCGCCGACAACAGTGCACCGTCCCTCTCCGCCACCTCTTCTCACAACTCCACCCCCCCAGCCCTGGCCCCCTACCCAGCCCAGCAGCCAACCCGCTCGTCACCCCTCCCCCAACCCGCGCAGAAGCACTTCCCGCAAACGAAAGCCCTGGCGCAAGCTCCTCTGGGTCAAGCAAGACTACCCCGACAACTGGGTGGATCCTACCTTTCTCTCCCAGTTACAGCGAAACATCAATGTCCACCCTTACGACTTTTACTCTCTCGTCGCCGACTCCACGGTGATCGTGCAGCACCTCTCTTCTGTCGTCATCTTTGTCACGTCCTTCATCGCCATATCGGCGGAGCGTGTGTCCCCCGTTGCGGTTGCAGTTGCGTCCTCGGCGCTGACAGTCGCGGGATGGGCGATATGGGATATGGGCTACGAGAAGAGGGAGGCCGCGACGGATATGCGCCAGCTGGCTGGGCTGGGCGCGGCACCACACTCGAGAACCCCATCCGGGAATCTAGTTGGAGGTATGACGGGAGGACTCCATTCGCGCACGCCGTCCGGTAATGGTGCGTCAGGCGCGGCGGGGAGCTATTTCCCGCCATACCCGGCCAGCACCAGCGGCGAGAGCGGATCCCCGATCAAAAAGGCACCTCCAGAAGTGAGTCCTGAGGTCGACAAAGCACACATGAAACATGCGCAGCGGGCTCGACGACTCACAACTGCGAAATCGGCCGCCTTGATATATTGCAAGTTTACACATAGACCTCCATATATTCTAGATACTGACTCGAAATAGTTACGTTACTCGGCCTCTCCCCCATACTCCGCAGTTTGACAACCACTATAAGCGTCGACAGCATCTGGGCCATCGCGACATGGCTCTTCCTCGCAAACTGTCTCGGATTCGACTACGGGTCCGGTGTTGAAGTCAAATTCCCGGCATCATTACCCACTAATGCTGCTATTACGAGCTCTGTAGTGCTTGCATCGCGCCTTCCGGACACCACGCACGTCTTCTCTTTAATCCTATTCAGCATACAAGTATTTGGGCTGTTCCCCGTCTTCAGGCGGTATCTAAAGCATGTGAGCTGGAATCTCCACGTGCTATTGACAGTCGTGCTTGTGCTGGGCGCGGCGGGAGGGCTCGGTGCTGTTGTGGGGTGGGGATGGTCGGTCGTTTGGGTGTGTGGTGTTATTGGTGGAATGGGTGGGTGCGGATGGTGGCTGATTGGGCTGCAGAAGTATAAGAAGTATGGGTTTTATAGTTGCGCTTTAGATAAATTTCTACATGCTAACTTGTTGTGTGCGTTAGTGAAATCCATGGACCGTGGGATCCGGCGAGACCGGTTATCAGACGGCAATGGGAATAGTTATCTGGACTTATGCGTATGATTATGTTTACAATCCCTATTACTATAAAAGTGATTGGTTGTGTTTCTTCTCTAGCATTTTCTTTTTCTTTCTACTAGGTGTTGCTGGTGCTTTAACATTACATGGATCTAGCGTTGCCTATGCCGCTTTCCGATATCTAAGCTTTATGTATAATGACCTTTTGAGATGACATTCTTCTAAATACGATGAAACGTAGGTCTACCATGGAGATTGATGGATTATAAGATCTATGATTTCCAGGCAAAATTTGATAGGCACTATAACCATTTCGAATCCTGAATTATATATCAGTCTTTAAGGTGATGGTTTTTTCAAATGTTCTCCATAGAACACCAATAATCGCCATGATGTACCCCTCAGCTCAGACAAACCCTTAGTATTATTACATGAGTGACTGACGGGTTTCCGCCCGATGACATACCTCAGAAAATTGAACTAGGGGAAACACTAGAACCATGATTTTCCAGTTGGGACCCGGACGTGAGCCATGATTGGGTATTGGCAATGCCCGAGTGATTTTCTGTGATTAAACTCGCTTCTCATCGGCCTTGGAAGCACCTACTTATTCGCCCTATACCCATCTTTTCCTGATATATTTCGAATAGGTTAGGTCTATATAACCAAGATCCAGTTCGCCCCCAAAACACCAAGAAGCTATTGCTGGAATACTTATTCCTGTTCCTTACAGCTGACGCCAACTACGAAAGTCTTGACTTTTCCCGTAGTGGCTTATCCCGATAGCGGGAGCGGTCCAACAAACTCATCTTGGTATATCATTATTACTACAAATATTCATTGGGAACATGGCTTTTCTACCGGGGGCCGGTGAAGCTACCGTTGGAGCGATAAATTATGGGTTAGGGTTTGTCCTGTCTTAGATCTAAACTATGGCTGATCACTCGGAACTTTTTTTTTTTCGATAAAAAAAAACGTTTAAATCTAACCTCCAAAAAACTTTCCAAACAATTATATGTAACTCCTAATCTATTCTCCAGAAGGCTCGTTCAATCTCGCTGAAAGAGCATCCGGTGACCCAAAATTTGGAGACCCGTCAGAATTCCAGTTAACCGGTTGAGCCATTGTGTATCTATTCCCATCACACGCACCAGTTGAAACCGAAGTTGCGTGGTACACGTTCCAAATCTCCGCGTCATCGGGGCTAGTGAAAAATCTATCAATTGTGAAGTATTAGCCAAAAGGATCCCGTCCCAGATCTAAAGGCCAATATCTGGTTGAGCTTACCCGTTGTGGCCAGGCCCAAGGTTACCATTCGCACTGCTAAATACCGGTCCGCTTTTTGTCCACGAGCTCGATAGCAATGGGTCACCGCTACCGTTCCAAGTGAGAAGTCCCAATTGATAGCTAGTAGTCCAGCAGTACGAGGCCGAGAAGGTCAAGTAAGTCTTTCCACCATGGTAAAGCGCAGCTGGACCCTCGTTGACGGCACCTCCTACGGTCTCCCATGAGTTCGTGGGCTCTGAGAGCAGATATGGCGTTCCGATGGTATATGGGTTGCTCATTTCGGCAATGTACAAGCTCTGCAAGCTGTTTGGGCTGAAGCGGGACCAGACAAAGTAGTTCTGTGAGGTAGTGCGGAGGACGGTGCCATCGATGCCCCACTCAGAGCTGAGTTGGGACTTGTAGGTGTAAGTTCCGAGAATGTCCGTACCGCCTATAGTTAATTGATGTTAGAGATTGATGTGTATAAATAGGCCATCGATGAGGAACGAGTATTTAGGTTTTCCTTGTTTTTCCTGCTTTGTTTTCCTCAATAGGGGTAAGTGTTAGTTACCTTGCAATGCGTGTAAACGCTGGCCATCACAACACGTCTCAGTTCCAGCAGTATCTGTAGGGAATTGTTAAAGTGAAGAGAAATCGATAGGTATAGCTTTATAGTGTACATACAATAAATCCACCAAGTATTATCAATCCAGTGAACCTCTAAACCCGAAGCAGTTATTAGTAAATATCATAACTACATATGTAGTAATACTACAATAGAGGGTCGGGTCATAAGCTACTAACCAGGTGCCCAGAAATTGCCAGCCCGAGATGAGGTTGTGTCCGTCCAAACAACGGTTGGCGTCGCTGTCTTTAATCCTTCTAAAGTAGTCGCTCGAGTGATCTCGATATCGGTCCATGTTGTGGTCAAAAGATGGTAATAACCAGCAGTATATACCATAAAGGGATCACTGCCATTGGTTTCTTTGAGTGGATTTTTGAATGTTGCCCCGGTTGCAAGTTGAGCAACAAAGCTGAAAAGACATGATACCGCGAAGCCGCGAAGACCGGCAGAGAAAAGCATGTTGGGATATAGACAATTACAACTCAAATTGCCTGGCAAGAAATGGTGCTGGACTTGAAAGGAATGATTAGAGCTATAGAGCTTAATATATACTGATCCTTCTCTAAGGGACGATGATATGCATATACCGAATGCTCCAGTGTTTCCTCAGGAGTTATATCCCCCGAGTGAGCGCCGATATTTGCTGCATTCGGCTGGCTTGTTTGCTTGTTCGGCCTGTCCCTCATTGCACCGCACGTCTACTGTTGGTTTCACTTTTATATAGCATATGTTTTTGTCGTGCCACCTTGTCTACGCTAGATGTAGAAAGGAAATGGAATATTCGAATAGGGCTGGTTCGGTACATCTTTCTCGGAATGATCCGAGGTACTAACGCCACGTTACTCTGTAAAGCTTGCTTTCTATATTAGTGCAGGTATGTCCCAGTAACTTTTGAAACGCCAAACAATGGACTTGCTCAAATGAATAGATACAAGTACATGTACTTACTCTAAACCTGGCCCAGTCTCGGTATCACCTGGCGCGCGACTCACTACCGACCTTTGCACCACCCATCACTCGATCTTTATATCATCATCGTCATACAGATCTGTGTTATGTGAGATCAGGTACTTTACACCTGCGCGCGTACGTACAGGATGGGCACAATGTATCATTTAATGCAATTCGTTAACCCGGCAATAGCGGAAGAAATTCCCAGGATCACTCGGCAAAAGCTTTAGCGCATATCATTGGCTCTAGGAACCTCAATCCATCAAACGTATATTGACATGCGAACCTCAAAAAAACTTAAAAACTCCTTGGCAATGTTCAATATTTAAGGACTTGGTTATCATCGCATTCTCATGTATCATTTTTCGTCACAAATAGAGAAAAGAAAGGAGGTTGCATGCGGTAGAGCACATACAGGGTATATGCCTCATCTCAAAAATCCCATCTATCCGGTGGCCTCACCTAAACCAATCTATCCTGACCTTGAGTACAAAAATCCCTTTTGCCGGCTGGGAGTCGCGAAAATATATTATGAAGGTTCGTGGTTGACAAGATCGAGAGCAGTGTGCGAGATCTGCAGCCCTAATTCAAAGAAATGTGCTCTTCGAAGGATCGCTATGAATTGACGGTAGAAGAGATTTTTTACGCGACATAAGTGCCGGTACTGCAGCCTACGTAACTTGTGTCTTTCTTTTATTTAAGTTGGATTTTTGGAGGGAGTGTTCAATACTACATGTATGGAGACATACTTTTGGTAAACGCTCCAACTCGAGCATTCCGAACTTCCCATTATTTCATGGCGTCGTCAGCTCGTTTATTGAGAGCTCATAAATAGTCGTTTCAGTTTTCGCTTTTAGGCAGCTGGCAAGCTAAGGATTCAGCACCGGGCTTACCCCGGGCTGTATCGTTTAGAGGCCGAGGTTGGGGTCAAAAGAAGCGGAGAAGTGGGGAATCCTTGCAGGTACTATGTATCCGCACCTCATTGTGATATTCCGGACAAAACCTCCCGTCTCTTATTCGCGGCACAACGCTTATTGGTCAGAAAAACTGAATACCTAATATACGAATTCTCTCTTTCGTTCGGTTTGGAAATGATTTGCCCAAATATTGCTCATGTGCCTTCCCCAAAATCCTGTCCCTGGGAATTAATCGATGCCGGCCGGTCATCTGTAATCTGTAATCTGTCATTCTATGCAAGCACCCCGAGTTCTTCCTGAGTGTGTCTAGCATGCATCCTTTAGTGTCAGATCGAACGCTTGTGTTGCTCTGATGCCTTGCGTTTACTATACGTGAGAAATTTTTGAATAAGTATGCCCTCCATGATGCCTGACCTTCTCCAGCGCGGGCCTTCAATCAAAGTACCCCATGTGTTCGCTGCTGTTCGCCTATGGTCATCGCAGGCCCCGAGCAAATGACCTAGCCCGGTTTTCATAGGAAATCGCACGTACGCACCACTATCAACATCAACATGGACCACTGGTACTCGTACACTCTTTATGCTTCAAATCCACCAAGAGCATTTATTTATACGAAAAGTGAACAGTTACCTTCTACTAATGAGCTTGCTTCCTCGTTACATCGGGGCCCTGGAAGCCAGAGAAGCTCGGGCTCAAGCGATACAGACTCGAGACTTGGATCGTCGTCGCCGAGGTCGGAAAGGTTCCGGAGATTCACATTTTCTAGTAGGAGGATCAAGAAACAACTAAATAGACCTGAGGCTTCTTCTCTCGACAGCCCAAAGGATGTGGCGCAAGTATTCAAAGCAATAGCGTATTCCTCATACCGTAAGTCTTATGATCCAGGCAATCTCTCTGGAAATTTCCGTAAAGACAGTACTAATCTCAATTTATTACTACCCCTGTAGAACAACCAATTAGCAACTTCTCCCAAACTATTGACTCCCGAAACTCACAACGCCATGAATGGGAAGTCGGCCGGCAACCACGGAGACATAGTGATAGTTCCTTCAAAAGTACCCACACTTATACGCGAGAACAATTCCAAGCCCATGTAGTGCCACCACAAGAACTAGAGCAATGTCATTCCTCCCAGTCCTTAAAGAAGTCCCTGTTCTTACATACATCTTCCGATGGTAGGATCCTCTCCTCATGCATCTGTATCATCATGACTAATCTAGTAGAATAGCACTTACAAGTAATGTCGAGCCCGCTCCCCCCTACGAGTGGTGCGGAGAAGCCTCTTCTATACTAGCAGAGAAAACACCACTAGGAGAAAATAGATTTGGTCCTACTCCAAGACCTCTCAGCTCAGGATCGAGTACTCTTGGCGAGGTGGAACATATCCGTATGGAGAAAAGATTCCCATCTGGATTCTTAATCAATCCATTCCGTATAAAGCACAATCGATCAAGGAGTGATCAAGATGAGTTTGAATCGTGGGAAGATGCGGTGGATTGGTGGTATGAATACGGCGAAGACGAAAATATGTAGTGCCTTGATGGTTATGGCGTGAAAATGGAGTTTACACTTATACGCGCAACGCTTTGACGCTTTTCTTTGGTGTTGTCTGGGAGTTTTGGTATTTGAATATTGGGTTGGATGTGTTCTTTAGTTTTTTTTCCCATGGGACTATTATTTTTAACGACTGTATACATGTATCATATCATGACAAATATCAAAACACCATGTTTCTCGAATCCAATTCTAGAGTGCCACTAACATTAAAAAAAACTTCAAACTCCCAATTTCCTCCTCTGGTTCCTTTAGCTGGCTTCAAAATTCCATAGCCAGAGAAAATTAGGACTAATAACCGTGTAGGGCCGGGCTACAATTGGGAAAGACAATTGTAATATAATGGAGTTACCACGCTTCACTTGCAATTGATCTAATGATTAGACTTGAATAATTCATGGATAGCACTGCTGCTGGTTTTTGGTGCAGTAGTTTTCTAAACGAGCATTTTGCGTTTAACCATTGGTATACATGTAGTTAATGAGCCCTCAAGACGTATTTAAGGTCATTCGCAGGGATTGGAATCATGAGCAAGGCTACGGGTCCCTGATCACAGGTTAAATGTACCTACGTCTAACAACACCTAATGTATGACTTCCGGAACTTGTAAACCTGATCCACTATGTAGAAGAGAGAACAGAGAGATCAGTGGTTATGCCAAACACGCCAAAAATATTTTTGGTACGTTTTCTCGCTCCATTTCCGGTTTATTGGGCTTAAGAGCTTTACGATCTGGGCTATAAAATGTACTTAGCTTCGAAGACGTGCGCCGTATAAAACGTAAAAAAAGAAAAGAGGAAAGAAAGACAAAATTTTGTGTTGAACCCTATCCTGATTCTTGTACCACAACCTTGAGTGGTTAGGTAAACCGAATCATTTCCCATGATTCCCGCCAAGGCTCACTCCAGTAAAACACGTCCACCCTTGGGCGGCCCGTGCAACCTTTAACGACATCCCTCGAACAACAATCACTACAACTGCTATCCCACCAACAACCAACGAACCAAAGCCCCATACATCCCGCCAACACCTCAAAAACAACACCCCTACCTACCAGGAATACAAATGGCGTCTCGAGGCGGTGGCGGTGGTGGTGGTAGAAGGGTGCTCCTTCCCCCCATCAACTTCATCTTCAAGCTCTTGCAACAGCACTCGACTGTGCAGATTTGGCTCTACGAGCAGCTTGGCATTCGTATCGAGGGCAAGATTAGAGTATGTTTTTTTTTTTTTTTTGTCAATCGCTGCTCCTCGCGCTATCTTACACTCAGATTGCTAATGTCATGTTTAACTGTATAGGGCTTCGACGAATTCATGAATCTCGTAATCGACGACGCGGTTGAGGTCAAGATAGCAACAAAAGAGGAGGCGGAAAGTAGAAGGGAGCTCGGTATGTTTCCGTTGTGGGATTTTAGGAGGACACCTATACGAGACTTTCCTACTTGCAAGCTAACACAACTTCTAGGCCAAATACTTCTAAAAGGCGATAATGTATCATTGATACAAAGTTTACAGTAATCGGGGTAGTTAGTGGGCGAGATCGGGGTAAGAAAGCTGGGGGAGATAAAATCGGGTGCGTCGTAGATTGACAAAAGCTATGGATCAATCGAATAGAAGCTTCTAAGCTGGCGCATTCTATTTTAGGATATTTTCTGCGAATACTTTATTCTTTAAACTTTGATACATGACGAAAACAGATTATACAAGCATGGATCTCACCAAGAACCCAATATATATTCGATAATTTGCACATTCTGTGTACCGCGTGAATAGAAAAGTAGGTATCAAGAAATATAGCCAAATTGGCCACTTATTAAAAAAGCAAGGATATTTAGTTCAGTCAAAATCTATAAACCGAGCATGACTTTAGTGCATGGTGATTGATCATGAATATGCATTTTCATCTCGATATAGAAATTTACTTTACTCCAAGACCATCCCTTTTTCATACTTGGGCTCTATCGCCTTGGCATACCCCTTCCTCTCCCTCTCATGGCCCGCTGGGCTGCACCACGGGGCATCTTTGAAGGCGGATATCGTATTAGTAATCGGAACTTCAAGTAAGAATAATATTACTTACGGGAGGACCGCCTTGCGGCTGTTCTGATTCCTTATTCTTTACAGTTTCATCGACCGATAAGATCAAACAAGCTGCTTCAGTGGCAGCCTGAATAGCGTTGATCTTGACGGCAGTAGGCTCCCACACAAACTTCTCCAAGTTATTTGCGATGCCCTCGTTAACGATGTCAACCCCAGCCCAAGTCTCACCGTTATGGTGACGCATACGAAGTTTGTTCAAGATATCAGTGGCATCGAAGCCAGCGTTATCGCACAATTGTCGGGGAATGATTTCAAGCGCCTTTGCAAAAGCAGCGATAATGAGCTGCTGCTTACCGGCAATGGTGCGGGAGTACTCGCGGAGGTACTTGGAGATCTCCATCTCCAGGGCACCACCGCCAGCAACAATGTAGTCGTTTTTAACAGCCTTCTTAACAATCATAATAGCATCGTGGAGGGAACGTTCAACTTCAGCGATGAATTGCTCGGCACCACCACGAAGGACCAGAGTGCAAGTCTTGGCTGCAGGACAACCCTCGAAGAAATTAAAACGCTCACCACCAATTTGGCGTTCCTCAAAGCTTTCACAAGTTCCCAAATGTTTGTCGTGGATGTCTGAGCAGGTGGATTGGACACTGCCTCCGACGGCCTTGACAACGCGATCCATATCATCCGCAGTGACACGACCAGCACAGAAGATGTCTCTATCGGCGAAATACCTACACGACATTTAGTATTTTGCAAACATTGAGCCGTGACTACTACATACTGTGTGGCAAGATCTCCAATTGGCAGTTTTGAGAGAACGACCTTTGCCCCAGTATTCGCCAGCGCCTCGAGTTTTTGGAAAATGATTTGCCATTCGGCGTCTACTATAGCTTGGTATTCCTACAAGTCTCTATTAATATGTAAAAACTTATGAGAGATGGGTACTACTTACTGAAACCTGCTCTACTCGAACCTCGGCATTATCCTTTTCACTCTCTACGACTTGTATTAGTACAGTTATTCAATTTATATTGAAGATAGACCCACTCAGTTCCAACTCAACGTTTAAGCACACAATTTTAGGGTTCTTGAAGGACTTGGGTTGTTGTTCAAAACCGGCATAAGAGAACTAAGGGCTCAACTCAGTTAAAATTCCGAAATAATAGAGGGTTCCCATAAATGAGACTCGAAACGTACGGTTTTCTTGAAAGCCACACCATTGACAAATAGCGAGTCTTGCAAACCACCTCCGGGTACTTTCTTCATTCCGATAAGCCTTTCATTGAGCTCCTCTTGGTCCAATGACATGACCGCATCCACACACACTAGGATTAAATATTAGTACTTTATTACATCGCGATCGAAAAGCACAGCTCAACGTACTCTTAGCAAAGAAGGTAGAATTCCTCTTGATAAGCTTCGAGCTCATAGCGGTTGTTGCCAACTTCAGCAAAGTATCTCTCCTGTCCCCCTTTTCAATTCTAACCGCAATTTCCTTGATCTTGTTCTCGGCCAATCTAGCAGCAGTTCTATATCCCTTGATTATGACCTGTGAGCTAACCCCTTCCTCCACAAACTGCTTACTCTCCTTCAAAATCTCCCCAGCTAAGACGACAACCGAGGTAGTTCCATCGCCGACTTCGGCATCTTGGGAGCGAGCAATATCTGTCAATATCCGGGCGGCAGGATGTACAATATCCAGTAACTATAGAAGCATAGCTATGTCTTAACAAATCTGTGGTCTTAATGTAGTAAGTCTCGATAAGGTAGACATACCTTCATGACTGTAGCACCATCATTCGTAATGGTCTGTCGTCCGTTTGCATCTACGAGGAGTAAATCCCCACCATATGGTCCCAATGTAGACTTTATGGTATCCTGAACCGCCAGACATGCGTTGATGTTGGAGATGATTTGACCACGACCCTGGGAGGCATCGGTTCCTGCATAAGGACCACCGCCGAATCAGCTTTCTGGGCCTTTCCTTGCCCTAGGGCGGGTCAGGTTAAGAATCAGTATGAAGTAAAAGGGATTAAATACCCTCTTTCAGCACGATAATCGTGGGGGTTTGCCCATTAAATGCCATGACTGCGTATGAAGCAAATAGAGGTGGGGTTGGAAACGAAGGATCGAGGCAGAAGGAGAAAGAAAGAAGCTATCTATTATGATGGTTAGCAATCTACTTTAGGAAGCTTCAGCGAAGATAGATAGATTCAGTTACCTTTCGTGATTGATAGGTGACAATAAATTGGCGTTGTGGGGTTGAACTGTTGAGGTGGAGGGGTGTCGTGGATAACAGGAGCCGCGAACTTTTTTGAACTGTGGCGGTGGCTGATAAATATACTAAATGGCCCGTGCGCTGCCTCAATTATTCCATTTGTATGGACCAATGATTTGATGGGGTTATTTATTAGAAATTGGACTCATAGCTGGGATTTTTCTGTAAGCCTATTATCATTTAAACTCTAGGACGCTTCAACCTATGTACGTGAGTTAATCCTAGCTCATCACCCAACTCTATGATAGTACTATATTGGAAAAGATTTATTCCGTTATAAAGAAATTCCAGAGCCTGTTATTAAACTGGGCTACAAGAAATAATGAAGAAAATACTCATTATTTTTTCTTGGTGTAGTCATTCTCCTTTCATTTGTGCTCAATATACCCATATCCCGATGGGAAATGCTATTTACCATAGGGAGAAACGCCACCACACGCATGACAGAAATCACTTAATTGAAGGGTAATAAGTATCCTCCAAAGTAACAACGTCTTAGATAAGTGGAGAGAATATGATGGAAGGTATGTATATGTGATGTGGAAGAGGCAATCGAGGTTCAAAAGACAAGAATGTAGCTAGGTAATTAAAGTGTATGAATAGAACACAGACACCTCCTCATTTGTGTGCTCAACATTTTAGACGAGACTAAAATAATTCATCCAAATAACAGCGAGCAACAGTAGTAATTGTGGAATTTAAGTAAAAGCGAGGGTATTGTGAGAGGGGAGGTAAACGAAACCAATTCCAACTGCAAACAAGAAAACAAGAAAAACAGACCAGTATAATAAACACCACTAGATGCCATGGCTTATTTTCTCGCTCCCAACGAAAGTAGACCGAATTAAACACACAAAAAAAAGCAACCCACGACCAAGTCAACAAAAGAGTCAGGAAAATAAAATATTACAAAGACGAGGCACCACCACTATTAATACCTGCAATACTTCCAATACCTCCGGCACTGACTCCGCCCCTTGTTCCGCCGCCCCCGCCCCCAGCGCCCCTACCAGTACTCACATGGTTATTGCTTTCCTCCAGATAGGATTCAGTCTGCACCTGTTGGCTATGTCGTTGCGGCCTCAACGCTGGAGTTTGGGACGCGCTAGCAAGGGGTGTATTGTCACTCTGAGTTCCTTGTGAGTCCGTTGTGCTGGGCGGAGGTGGTGGAGGAGCCGTAGAGTTTGAATTGTTATGATGAGTATTACCCCCTCCCTTCTTTCCAGAATTTTTCCCAGAATTCTTCTTTCCTTTTTGCTTAGCTTTCTCAAGAAGCCGTCGTTTTTCCGCCATCTTTCGCCGTTCTTTACGATCTTTAATCTCATATTGTCGTATAAGTGCCTCCGGAGCTTCACCAAATATCATTTCGTACTCGCAAAATTCGCAGACCCAATTTTCCCCATTATTATTCCCACTTCCTCCCATTGCTTCCTGCCTGCGTCGTCGCTGTTGCTGAAAGGCATATTCACGTCTAGAATTTGGAGCTCGATTGCCAGGCTTCTTCTTTGTCTGTTGAGGTATAGGAGGATAGGCAGTGTGATTTGACATGGGGGATGTTTGTGTCCCAATTGTATGCATTGATTTTTGATATCCAGGACCAACAATAACCGTTTCTCTGACGGTAGATGCAGAGTTGTGGAGAGAAGATGTGGAAAACGCTAAGCTTGCAGAAACCGGTGATTCACAAACAAAAGTAAACTGAGTTTGTTTCGGCGGTGGTGGTAACCCAGCTAAACTACCGTTATCCTCAGCCCGACGCCTTGCTTTTGAGAGAGTCACAGGTTCATCCCCAGAATATTTCCCGCCAGTTGTCTTTTTAGCGAATGCATCAGTTGACGGTGAAGATGAATATCTCCGGCAATTCCTCCGTAAGGATGCGTGGTTCGCTGAAGAAATAGTAGATAACGGCGATCTCTGTGTAGAACCACTCGTTTTCCAACGGCTCCGAGGTGTAGGAGTTGGGGTAGGCGAAAATCCGGATGAAGACTGAGATCCGCCCCCGCCGGCCCCATTTCCTCCAACATTACATGTACCCCCGGAACCTGCAGGTGTTGGGATCTTCCGCTTCTTCTTATTATTGGTATTCTCGGACCACTCATAGGAATCTGTCGGACCAGCAGCACCCTCCGTTACACCAGAACCATCATTCCCGACACCACGAGAAACCGATGCATTAGAGTTATCCTCCTCATCCGACGAGTCCTGCAGGCTGTCCCCTATGTTATGATTGCCCGTACTGGAGCCAATAGATGTACCGGTACCACCTAGAGCAGTGTCTCCAGCGTAATTGTTGTATGGAAAGTAGAATAGTGGGGTAGTTGGTTGCTGCGAAGGACCGAACAGAGCAGCACTGGCATCCTCGGACAGTCGTAAACGAAGTCGACGTTTCGGGAGGGGCCTAATGGGGCGTCCGTGCACCAAACTGTAGCTACTATCTGCTGTTCCTCACAATCTTTTATTGAGTCCTGATTTCCTCATGCATTGAATATAGGACTGTTGTAGATGGTGATCTAGGGCAAAGAGTGGGGATACGTGTGTAGGGTTCCCAAGGATAGAGGGGATAGGGTGGGATGGGGAGATCCATACCCACAGCGGCAGACATCGTTGCTGGTAAAAAGGAGCTTCCCGGGAAGATTTAACTGGAGATGCCTCTGGATGGTGTGTTTTAGGTTGGTGGTGGGGGTAAATGGAGTAATCGTGGTCGAGCGTATGGGATTGTCAATATTATTGGAGGAAATCACTCTGCAGGTAATAAAAACAGTCAGGTAAGAGAACGGTGACAAAGGCCCAGGGACAATGGGAGTATATTTATGTATGGAAATTGCCCCACACATAGCACATGGCCCTCCTTTGACCACTCAAAGAAGCAACGAGGGGCACTTACCTTGCAGAATAGACCGAATATATCAGCACAGGAGATAGGCGATTCTAGGTACAGACACACAATAGTAGCTAAACCTTAGAAACCGATGGCGAGAACGATGATGGTATCTGGGCGAGATGTGGATGAGAGTGTGTAAGAGAGTGTGTGAGTGAGGTGGGACTTGCTGGTTGGAGTCCTTGCGCTGCATCTCGGCACTCACTGAAGGGGCTCGATAGGGCAAGCTGGTCCCACACCCCGTCCAATGGCTCTGCGTACCCGCCGATATCCAATGTCAACTTGCCCTGATCGTCACCTTATCTACCTTCCCCAAAGCTTGGGTTGCTTTGATTCATAATGATTGATGTCGTAAAGTCGTCTGTCTAAATCGATGGTCCTTCCAGGTATATATATACGCACGAAAAGACATCGCCCAATAAACGTCTAGACGCAAAACACCCTAATAACTCGATACTTTGTTTTACTTCCTAAGCAATTCTGTATATACATGTATGTACATGTACAATACATGTAGTTGTACATTATATGATGTCCCGATAAGTGCTTATCGATATCCCCGCGTCCGGTCAACTCTCTCCTCAAAGATGTAAATACTCTACTGCAAGCACAGATATAGGATACAGGCTCGTACTTAATCTCTTCTGACTCTCGGGAATCAGAACCGGCTAAACTGGCCGTTTCTCGCGGGTTATTATACGGCGAACAATGTACTCCTACCATCAAACTCTTTTGCTGATAGCAGTCACGATTTCCAACGGACAAAAGAAGCTGAGCGGCTCAAGACATTTAGACTGGAAAAGGATAGTTCCGCTGCTAGTGCCTGGGGCGTGGTGCGGGATACTACAGCCAATGGGGAAAGGTAAAGGCACAACATAACTCCAAGCTGCCCTCTAAAGTACAGGCGGCTCTATTCCACCATATTCTTCTACACGGAGTTCATAAATTTATAAGCATACATGTATGTACTCGCCCATTACAATTAAAATGCGACTTTGATACCCCGCACTTTAAATCCACCGCTCCGCAGAAACCAGAAACCATATAACAATAGTAGATAGGATATAAAACGTGACGAATAGGAGTTGGTGAAGTCTATCCAACGCAGTCTGCAGCTTGTGCATTACTGCAATCACGATCAGATGCTCCTGGACCAGGTATCAGATCGTAACGGTACTGGGTGCAATAGTACTTAAATGCACTCTGGGCCATAGCTTATTTTCGAAGCCTTGGGATGTTATCCGTGATGACTACTTACATACCTGTATGTAGCTTTTGCTAGGCTGTCCAGACTTTCTAGGAGATGCGACCCACATGGTTTCTGGGAGCATCTCTTCTTTCCACCACTTTTCTCCCACCGTATTAGCTGTCAAAGCAGGGTCATCTGAATGAATGGATTCAACATACACGACACTAGTACTATCTCTAGGACAACGAACGCTTTGTGCACTATGCATAGGATTTACTCACCATCCTGGAAGTCTGGAGACGAACTCTCTCATCTCTGATGCACGTCAGTTCCAGGGAGTGCTGAAGCTTATCCCATCTCTTTCGTAAGCGACTTGCACTTGTTTTGAATATGTACATGTTTGTTTTGCTGTGGCCTGTGTGGAGTACTTGATGTCGCACTTTGCTATTCTCATAACAGCGTCACCGCCAAGACTTTATGCACGCCGCATCGTGGTTCCAGCGTTTCCCGACAACATCTAAGGAGCCGCCTTCTCAGCAATAGATTCTCTTATAACGCATCCATCCAGGTCCCTTATTCTTCGTCCTCCTTTGATCTATACAAATAGTCTACTACCACTACTTCGGCAATTTCACCACCAAGTTGAATATGTGTTTATTTTTTACACTCTCGAGCCGATCCTGCGCCGGGAGAAAACAACGGTTGATGATGCGGCGATATTACTAACTAACCTTTCCTTTCCGTTTGCGTCCCGCACGCCAACATAGGATAGATAGTATGGTAACAATAACCATAAAGATGACGGTTAGCAGGGGAACTGTGAGTTTGTCTCTGGGAATATAAATGAAGATTTTATTTTACAAAATTGACATTCGATGCCTAGAGCGGGGGAGGGGGTAGTAAGCAGCGGGCAGCGGGCACAACAAGCGGTGCACACCACACAAGGAGCGTCACCTTGTCTTGATTGGCAGTGGCTGCAGGTAGCTCAAACCGGCTTAGCCTGTCCAGCACTTTTCCACTCCCACTTTGGCTCTCGGCCGCAGTTCTAGTCTAGTTCCTTTTTGTGTCCTATTATGGGAGTATTATGGCTGTCGGTCGTTTCCCGTCGCTCGCGCTGCTGAGGGAGAGAGAAGAGAAACTGAGTCTCTCACTTCCGTTACTAGGCTCGTCACTCAACGCACACACGCCCTTACCACCCGCTCTCCGCTTCCCACTGGTCCATCTTCCTGTCACTCACGCTCGCCCTCCCTTACATTTAGGCACGCACACACTCGCTCAGTTTCCTCAAGTGTTGCTCTTCCTACTCCTCCTCCATCCTCCCATGCACAAGCTGTTGTTTCTCCCCCTCCTCCTTCGCCGCTGTCGTCCTAGTCTCCTCTACCATTCTTAAGACGCTTCCTAACCTTTTCTCATCCCCTCCCCATTGCACTTAATCACCCTCTGGCTCGATTGTATCTGCTTCCTAACACCCCTCATCCCTCGGGTTTTCCTCCTCTGCCCGCACCCTCCTCCCCTCAATCCTTTATTCTTCTCTACCCCATCATTCTCCCTATCCTTTCCACGCTGCTCTCACCACGACTACTCCTTACCAAACATCGCAGCAGATCCATTATTCACCATGGTTTCTCCCCGCCGCTCTTCGCGAGCGCGCTCTACAGCAAATCCAGCGCCAGTGTCCCATTCTTCGTCCTCCTCGGGATCGTCTACATCCAATCGTGGCCGCCTCCAGAAGCATCTAGAGAACGAATCCCATCCCGAAATTGAAACCACCTACTCTCGACGTGGAGATCACCCAGAGCCCGCGTTTGAATCGCTTCCTGAAGCACCCACAGAAACGAACGGTAACGGTGATGAGGAAGTCGATGAGACTTCGCAAGAGGATGAGATCACCAGATGCATCTGTGGCCACCAGGAATACCAGGGCAGTGACGATGAACAAGCCGATTCTGCGGATGGTCTCTTCATCCAGTGTGATCAGTGCCATGTTTGGCAACACGGGTTCTGTGTAGGCATCACAGACCAGGCGTCCACCCCAGAAAATTACTATTGTGAAAGGTGTAAACCAGAATTGCATAAACTTGGACACAGTAAATCTGGGTGAGTTTCATTCTCCGACCCACTTCATTCATCTGGCTTGCCATGAGCTTAATTAGATGACCTGACGATCAAATTCTAACGTGTCTGTCTACCTCAGAATGCGGACCTCCCTTTATCTTCCCACACAATCTGAGCCTACTTCGCCAATCAATAGCAAGGAGCAATCTCACAAACGGCGGACTACTATGAACTCTCGTGATGCCGAATATGATGATGCCCTCCTGAAGAAGGTGCTCGAAGAGAGCAAACACGATAAAGCGTCCGGAAGTTCTACGCGAGGAACGAGCTCGAGAGGCCGCAAACGAGGCACCAGCGAGGGATCCGACGAGTGAGTTTTCGCTGCCACATCTAAACAATAATATTTCAAAGGCAGGACGGGATGGCTGATGCTGGGGTGGTAGACCAAAGCAAGATTCGAAACGAATGAGAACTTCCGATTCACCGGATTCGCCCACCAACGGACCCGTCTCTTCGGGAGATGAAAAGCACGGAAAGACGGCTGCTGCACCATGCTCGACTAAAAAATCACGCGGTGCGGCCGCCCGTAATTCCACCACTACTAGCTCTTCTGTGGCTGGAAAACGGACCTCCACTAGAAACAGAGGTGGAGAAAAGAATAAGGAAGTGAGAAAAGAAGGTATGTCTTGGTATCTCCTGATTCTTCTTCCTCCTATATCCCTTATACCTCTCCAACAAAGCAAGAATCATAGTCAAATGGCATATCTAACGGTTTGCTTTGTAAACAGATTCTGAGCACTCAGACGAATACCCGCCACCCCGTTCTAATAACCGTAATCTTCAAAAGCCCTCAACAGAAGAAGCGATCAATCCGCCGCCGCCTATCGAGGCCGTTCCAGACACCCCACAACAACCAGCTAAGCGTGGTGGACGTAACGGACAGACAAACGGTGGCACCTCTCGACGTCGTGGAGCCTATCGCCATCGCCAATCTGAGGACCCCAATGATGCCAGTATCACATCTCCTCATGTTATGACGAGAGATCATTCATCCACTGGGGGGGGACAGGCCCAGAAGGCGGACCCCAGCACTACCATCCTCGATAAGCCAACAAAGCCTAGAATACCTCAGGCCAGGATGAGCATAAACGAGATGAAGAGGCGAGTAAACGGAATCTCGGACTTCATCACACGTACACAAATTGAGATGGCCAACTCGAGGCAAAGCGATATCTATGCGTATCTATCTTGGATGGAGGAGAAAGGTACTCCTGTTAGCAATTTCAGCACACCGCAAGACACATCAAAGGCAGTCACACCAACCTCAGGCACCGCCCCTGATAGCAAGGATCTACCACAAATTCAAATAAATGGTAATAATGGAACAGTTAAGGTGCTCGAGAAAGCAACCGAGATGTTGGTTGGTGATATGCAGCCGGGTGCGTTAGAAATGATGGAAATGTTATCGAGTAAAATAAATCGATGGCAACAACACTATGGGGAAAAGATATGAATGTGTTTTTTTTCTGACGAATCTCTTTTCTAATTCCTTCTTGTATATGGGTTCCATGATATCGGTTGGTGTTTTTGCTTTCCCTCAAAAGATTAATTGTAGTCTTCCCACTTCATTCCTTTCCATTCCTTTCTTTTGTCTTTTGTTTTTGGGCGGCGACCTGGAATTGGGGGCCGGAGTACTTGTTTTATTTCTGGTGCTTTTATTGTTATTATTATCTCAAGGGATTGTGTTTTCTTCCATCGGTTCGGTGCCCATTGGAGTTTCTGTTTGTCCATGTTGCTTTACGCCATTCCCATATCTACAACGCCTGCTTTTATGTGATCCGAGAAAGAGTAGTGCCCCATAGTAAATGCTTGGGGCGAAGAATATATGCGTATCTTGAAACGGGCTGAACGACCAAAACATGACCTCTTTTTTCTTCCTTTTTTTTTCTGTATATTTATCAACTTTTTTTTTTTCTTCCTCTTTTTTCCTTCCTCGGAAAATCTCCGCCCCGAAGTGATAAATCTCTAGGATCTCGGCCCAAGTCCATGGATTCCTGGAACCGGAACTCCTTTTTCCTTCTTCTTTTGGCTGATTCTTTTTGTATTGACTCTTCCTAGTTTTTTTCTTATTTAGTAGGTGTGCAGGCAGATCGAAAATCTGTACAATCTTATGTTATGATTGACTCGGAATACACCTCAAAACAAAGGTACGCGGTGGTCCTTAGCATTCGGGAATGCGGGCCCGGAGCAAGTAGGGTTGATTAACATTTAGGCCATTAATAGACAGCGGACCAAAAGTTGCTCCCAAGTGAGGGGAAAATACATGGTGGGGTGGCATGATCTAGGATATCATGGGCCGTTGTAGGTACAGTACTTTACTTTAGAGTATATAGTAGAGTATCCGAATCGGAACTGTACCTTACACCACCTGTCTTCTCAGCTTCATTCCAGCTCTCTCGAAAAGGAAATGCACTTTATGCTGTACACACTCCACCTACCTCTCTTATCCTGCCCGCCTGCCTCGCCTGGCTCATGGCCGCTATGCAGCGATTGGTGGGCCATGGAGATGGGTGCTGTATTTTACCCCGCTCACTTTCCCTTCCCGAGACAACCACTTTCTTATTTGCATGTATGTATCGCGCATGGGGTGTGTGTTACTACATGCTTGGCTTCTTGGCGATATCCTATGACGTCAGGGGACCCGAGACTGGGTTTGTCACAACCAGCACGACACCTGTCATGTCAACCAAAGTCTTTTTTCTTTTCGGAATCCGGATGCAGGGATTGAGTGTGTGGATGAGGATGCGATGTCGGGGGGTGAGTGAGGGACCGTGATCTGCAGCGCAGTTTAAGGGCCAGAGGGTGATGGTCGCCAGCTTTAAAGATATTTGCTGATATTGATCGTTAAGAAAAGGGCGGTAGACAAATTAGCTAGGTAGCTTGGTGCCGGGCTGGGTCTTCCCCAGGTTTCCGTTTCGTTTTCGGGTCGAGCCGTGAAGCTTAGAGCTGGTGATGAAGTTAGGAAGGGCTGGGCAGGCACCCAATGCAACCAGTTCCAGGACGTATTTTGACTACTAGTTTGAGAGTTTTTAACGGACAGAGAGGATTATACGAGAATGTGTCAGATACCGAACGAGAAGACCAAGGTTAGTCTCAATCAATCCAATCATCATAAGTCACTAATCCACAAGCAATGATTGGGACTACTACGAACTTTAATATCATTTGACTGATGGTGGACTATTAAACGCTATATTCAATAACACTCACGGATACCAAGGGCTAGCAAACACAGAACAATAACGCCCAATATCACCAATATATGCAGCACCTAGGTTCAATCATTAGAGTAATACAGACTTCATAGAAGATTCTAGAACATTCCAAAAACGCACTATGTAGTTATTTACATCTGTGGGAAATACCAAATCGAATTTTCTAGCGATGATGAATATCTAATTCAATTTCAAGGAGGAGGATAACAGTAATGTCTCTAATACATCCTTTCAATTTGGTTCTATTTTCCTTGAGAGAACCTCAGGAGACCAGCCGGGCATACGGGTAAGGTCTACTGCAAACATGGCGTTTTGAAGTCCTTAGGACCAATACCCCAAATGCGTTATTTGTAATTACATGTACTTAACTACATATTTACCCACTACATATTTGCTCATTACATATATAAAGTACAACATGTATATCTAATGTCATCAAACTTTCAATATATATGTATACGCACACCGCTAACTTTACTATCAAGGTGCTCTGCGACTAACACTTGATGGCTTGATATATGTGTAACCCGTTTGGGTGAAATATAATTTCGTCATTGAGGCCATAAACATTTATAATTGTCAGCCACATTAGTCCCACAAGGGCTATTAGGGAATATATGAAATCTGTGAAGACTTTAAAACAAGACTACCGACGGCTGATTGGTGACAAAAAAGCCCTTGTAAGGCTCATGAGGTTTGGTGTGACAACGGCAAAGTAAGCTTTATCCCCACACAACCGACCGTGAGCAGAAAAATTAAGCTCCCGCTCAGACATTATTACTTGCATGGCTAGGAGTGACGCAAAACCGATCTTCAACACCCGTCGAGGTGTCGAGTGATATTTCCTGACCAAACACGCTAGTGCACAAAGTTTAGAAACCAAACATAATTCTCTCTAGCTATACGGCTATACTGATTGAAGTCAAAATTGAAGTTCAAGCTACAATTAAAGTCAAAGCTCCTCATCTCACTATTTACCCCCATTCCTACGAATACTCCACAGTTAGAACTTTTCGAACTTTCTGTTTCAACTAGATACGACGGGCTGCACCACCAGACTGACTGAGCCTTCTTGGGGCAAGAAAACTTGGAGAGTCAAGATAACAAAAATTAATTTCAAAGGCTTGATCCATCGTACCGTGCTGTCCCTACCTCTGAGCTTCATCAGGGGGGAAAAAAGGAAGAAGAAAAAGAAAAAGAAAAAGAAAGAAAAAGACCAAGTTCCTAAGCCAAGTTCCTAAGCCAAGAGGGTATAAGTAGACTGTAGCGTCTTTTGTCCGAAGGTAGCGATAAATGCAAGCAAAACGAATGACAGGGATAATTAATGTTGGGGAACTACAAAATGGGCAAACAAAAAGGGACATAACTAGAAAAGTAATCCAGCCAAGTGAGAAACCAAACCTTACACCACAAATATAAACAACACGACACGGCGAGAATGCATACATGTATGCATCTGAAAGGAGGAAAAGTGACCAAGATATAAAAATCAATTCCACTCCAGCCCAATGACACCCATACAAACAAAGACAAAAAAGACGACTCGTAAAAGTAAAAAAAAAAAAAAAAAGACCCATATCCTTTCATATAGAAAAATTCACCAATTGCACCTAGCCCGTTCTTTTGATACCAACGTTTTTTTTTTTTTTTGTTTCGTGCTTCGCCGTGATAACCAGGTTCGATGCGGGAATGCCGAAAATAAGATTGCCGTGTCCGGGTGATTCACACTAAGCCCAGGTAATCCCAGCGAAGCCGACTTTGAAGGAGAGAAAAAGAAGAAAAAAACGAAAGAAAAAGAAAAAAAAGAAAAAAACAGACCCAACCCCACAACCATGCCACATTTTGTACGTGCGATATTTTGCCCCCCAACCAACCCCAAATCCAATATACCCCATCTTTTGCGAACAACCCAAACCCCAATTGCTTGTACCCAGTAGAGTTCTTCCTCCCAGAAACTCTTGCTCTTCACCGGAAGGAAGATACAAAGGAAATAACAGGAAAAAAAAACAACCCCTTTTTAAATGCCTTCGCCATTTGATTGAAACCCCTCTGCCCACCTGTAGGTATCCATACCCCGACCCGAGAGAGGAAAAATAAATAAAAAAAACAATGAACAATTACAAGACTTAAAACACTCAACAAAAAGCAAGTTTAAACAGGTCCTCCCAAGACACAGCGCCCCGAAGTATCAAGAATAAACACCCCAAACAAAAGAGAACCCAACTATAAAACATAAAAAGATTTAACCCCAAACGCTAGCGACAGTTCCAAGGCTCTTGTTGCTAGGGCCCCAAACCTTGCTCCAGCCAAGTCCATCGGAACCTTGACCGTTGGGAGTGGAGTTATTAGAAGGCGCAGGCGAAGACCTCTCCTTTGAAATATTATTAAACGGGTCGCTCTCCTGTGCAAAGCCATAGCTCAAGGGTGAAGGCAAAGGTGTTGTTGACCTTTTGCTGTTCTGCACTGCAGGGTTCTGACCCTGTGTCGGGCGTGTCCCAATGGGAGCGACTCCTGATGAAGTCACGGGTGTTGAAGGTGCACGCTGTGCACGTGGTGGAGAGCCACCAGGAGACGAGGCGGAAGTCCGACTGGACTGTGCTTGAGCACCTGCATTCTCAAATAAGCTAAATGATGCAGACTTCGACGATGGCGAAGACGCACTGTTTGTGCGTGAACGCGTCGGCGAAGCGACGGCAGACTGCCCAGCATGCTGACCTTGCTCAGTGGCAGGAGTTTGAACTGGAGTAGTATCAATGTTGCCATTCTGTTGATTCCCAAAAGGGTCAAACGCGGACGAAGGAGACGGACCACGTGTACCACCAGCATTAGAACCCGGTGCCGAGGGGCCATTGGAGTGGATGTTAGAGCCTCGTGAGACAGTATTCTCATCCAAATGGCCATCCTCGGATGCATGGCCATCGGGGCCTCCAGCATAAAGAGCACGGTGCTGGCGAGCAATAAGATCACGTCGCTCGTCCTCGGTCATAGCGCTAGGACTCATGACACGATCCTTTCCGTAGGTGGAAATTTCGGCCAACAATGCTAAAGGGCCTTTATAAGTTGGGTCTCTCCCAAGATTTGGAGTGTTCGAAGACATACTCCTATTATACTGCTGCTCCTGATGATAGTTGCGCAGATCACGCTCCCTTTGAGCTGCCAACCTTCGCTTTGCCTGCATCATCTGTTCTGCCTCTGTTTGACGCGGCTGAAAGCGCTGAGTGGCGTAAAAGTTCTGGAGATTCGCAGCAGACTGAGAACGCATTACGTCAAAATCCTGAACAGAGTAGTGACGAGTCGGTAAAGCGTTTCCCATGCGCGTTTCTGAACCTACTGGATGATTAATTTCAGTCTCAAAAGGGCATGGAGAAACTATATCCAGAAATACTTACCATGTTCAGGGAAACCACGGGGGCTCAACACTGGCAAGGAATCACGGCGCTGAGGGGCAAACATCTTTCCACTCTTGACAAGATTATCAACAGCCCGGTCAACCTCTATATATGATGTTAATACTTTGTAATACAAAACCGAATTAATCCTGCTTATATAACCGCTTACCATCAATCTGGGCGCCAAATGCAGCGGGGTCTTCAGGCTTCATTTGAGCTGTGTACCGTGCGGTCAGATCGGAAGGATCCGAGGCATGAGAGCGTGGAAAATGCGTCTGAACAGGAGTCGTACCAGCCCGGCCTTCCCAGTTGGGGCGAGAGCTTTGCCAGGTTGACGCCTGGGTTTGGGCTTGATTTTCGTAGTATGACATGATTGAATCTGCAAGATATGAAGCGAGGGGAGTTGTATCAACAAGACGGACAGCGGTTGCTAGGGCGAAAAAAAAGGCCTAGATGGTTATTCCACACTGTAGTCGAAAGAGGGATGGGGGTTGGGTTGGGTCCTGTCTAAATGGTGGCGAAGTGGATTAGTTAGAGGCCAATAAATAGTGTGAAGGGTTTTCTTGATTTTTGACTGGCCAATAGCATTGTGAGGAATCGAGGGATAAGAGGATGAACAGCGGAGATAGAAGCAGGGCTTTTTTTTTCGGTACATAAAAAGTGCAGCTAAAATGGGGTACAACAACGTATGCAAGACAACGGCAACAGCTGAGGGAAAATTGACATACCACTAGCACAGCGGGTGAATAGTAGATACAAAAGGAGTTGTCCACAGGATTCCACTGGAGTATGTTGAGGAGGAGGAGCAGGAGGGAGAGAGGAGTAGAAGAGTGAGAAGAAGGAGAAGAAGGAGTTCTTGTGTCGAAGAAGCAAAGAGGGGGATATGAGAGGTTGGGTGTGGAAGTCCTCGGGGTTGGGGGTTAGCCTTTTGGGGTTAAACTGGTGATGACGGGGTTGTGCGGGAAAAGGGAAAGGGAAAGGGCCCGTGTGCAGAAGCCAGCAAAGGAGGGAAAGAGGGAAGAGAGGGAAGAGAGGAAGAAAAAATAGAAAGAAAGGGAAGGGAAAATGTATATAAATATCCCTAGTATTTAGAAAGAGGATAAATACTGTTCAACTGGAAAATTTGAGACCTCTCGTTCCCTCAGCGCCGACTCCACAAACGCCGAAAGAAGATATCCCGGCAACCACGACAGGCAACAGTTTGGACAGAAAGGGACCGCAAGTAAGGAGGCCAAGTCTGGTCGAGCGATGTGCGGGATGGGGGGAAGATATCGCTCCACGCTTCCCAGTCTTCCAGTCCAGCGTTGGGGCCGCTGCAGTGCCAGTCTGCCCATTGGCTACCTGTGGAGTAGAGAGCATATGCTGTGACCGACCCTTACTCGCTGCTGGATTGGGCAGGTTCGGTGGTGGTTCTTCACTTCCTCACTTTCTTGGTGTAATGTGCATCGTTTGGTAGTCACCCTTTTCCTCGTGTCTTTCTCAAGGTTCTGCAGCTGCGAACGTGTCCTGTCCATGACTTGAAACCCCAAATAATGATATTCTCCTTTCAAGCTGCGATGTGTAACAGGACATTATTTTTGCAAGGTCGAAAATCAATTGCATAAAGCGGCCTCTAGGGTTTGATTCCGCCGTACCCTGGTGGCTCCGAAAACCCAAACTGGTCTGCAGTTAAGACTTTTTGATACTGCGGCGTACACAAGTAGACCACCACGAGGAACGTCTGTATGGAATGTTCTAAAACAAAACACCAGGAAACATAAAAACAGACGAAAAATCCCCACACCGAGCGAAGGTCCATAATGCCCTTTTCGGAACACCCACCACATCACGGCCTAAAATGGATGACCTTTGCGTCTTATTGCGTTTAAGAGCTCCATTGGCATGGGCCCAATAACTTGTATGACATCCTCTACAGTACTTATCGGCGCATGTCTGGAACACCACCGAAGTTGTGTACATGCCTCAACTGGAAATACAGTATCTATGCTCTATCTAGAATACCTCCCAGGGCTTAAGCCTAGGCCATGGATCACAGTCTCTACATACTGCCTTAAGCCCATAGGACAGTGAGAAAAAGCAAAAAATAGAAGATAAATCACACAATATGTACCTACTGTACTCGTAGATTCATGACGCCCCCGAACACGACTGCTATTGCATACCATACAAAAAAGCGCCAAATCCACCTTTTTGTATTTCATGCAATATTGGTCGTGTTCGGAAACGCTATGAAGCTACGAGTACTCTAGAGTACTACATGTATCTACACTCTTAGCTTGGTATCTAAAGCTCTTCAGGTTTTGGGATAGATATTTTGAGAACACCTGCTTTTATCAAACTGGTCGAAGAAGTGCCATGGTAAAACGAAGAGATTCCGTATTTTTTACAAAGGCGTGTGCATTTCCCACTGATCTCTTCCGTGTACGAGGACGATCCTGTCTATCTTTCGCTTCGACGCCCTTTCCAGAATAATAACCCCGTGATGCACCCTGCGCAACTGATTACGGCATCCAACACTTTGCGCCCCAATTATCAAACGGTAGGGAGATCAACGTCCGATTTCAACCGCCACCAGCAAAGAACACTGGATGGAAGGTCTCTATCTTCAAAGATGAAAAATAAAATTTAAAAGTGGCCACAAAGTCAAAGCCGCCGATCCCTTTTGTGGCTCTTGAAATCTCAGTGACGCCATAGCCATTCAAGGAATTCCTTCGAGAGGAAAAAAAAAAAAAAAGGGTGTGCGGTGAAAGCCTATGTTTACGCATCGTCACATCTCACACGGGCTCCCATCCGGCACGTTCGCCTTCAGGATCAGTCGATCTTCTTTTTCTACTCTCCACGCTCTGGAAAGCATTGCTTTCCGGGGGCACCCAGTTTACTCATCCCCGCTCACTGGTCCCCGGAATAGTCCTCGCTCGGGATATCGGGAAAGACAGAATTCCCGTCGACTCCTTGCAACCGAGACCACAAAATACATGTACATAGATAATCATAGGTACCTGCCTGTATTTGCGCTTGCCAGCGATATGTAAAGTAGACACGGGCGCGGGATGTAGCATGCCCCAGTAGCGTATAATTTGTGGTCAATTTATCATGTCGAAGAAGTCACACTGCACCATAAACATCATCATCACCAACAGCGCACACAGCTCCTGGACAATTTCCGACACTGTTTTTATCATCTGCATGCCCCATGGTCAAATAAAAACTATTGCGCGCCTATGAGCATGAATGTAAAAACGGATAGACTCTATGAAAAAAGTCGGGGAGTGGTGCTTTCTTTCGGACCGCACGGGTCCTTCGACAGGTGGGCCGACAAGCAGCATTTCCCGGCCCTCCTGATATTCCAACAGGAGCAGCGCCAAACATCTTGGTGGAGAACAGCGCAAAAAAAAACTGGGCGGGCAGGATGGAGGCTGAAAACCCCTGAAACAGAAGAAGGTAGCTTGTTGGCTGCCTCTGCGTGCGGGACTCGGAAGACAACAAAGTTGGCCCGACAAGGCCAAAGGAAATAGCAAACTTGCCAGAGCCTCATCTATTTACGCAATTCTACTTGAATGAGACGTATCCAGATATTTAACCACCCAACGCAGAGAGTCTACACTATAGGCGCTTAGAAGAATAAATGGACTTGAGTAGCTCCAGGTAAGTATGGTCCCCCAGCCTTAAAGGTAACATGAGAAAAATGCCAAGTCTCTGATAACTTTTCAACCACGATTGATATTAAAAATCCGTAATAATAGAACTCTTCTTCATCACGGTATCCAGCCTTCTATCATTACGGATTTTTAATATCAATCGTGGTTGAAAAGTTATCAGAGACTTGGCATTTTTCTCATGTTACCTTTAAGGCTGGGGGAACCATACTCCGTCTAATTGAAGTTTTCGCTCAATTAGGCATCCTCACGTGGTATCGCACAACCGGTCTTGGCAGAAATATCGCATTTTATGGTTGCACACGCTAGGGTTAGGGCTGGTGCTTGATAAGATGTTAAAAATTGATTTGCGGGCAAGGGTAATTAATGGTGCCTACATATTCAGGCGGCGTTAACAAGTCTCATATCTCCCTCGATCTTGGGCTTAAGATAAAACTATTGGGGCCGGTGGCGCAGACGCTTACACGCACTTCGATATTGAAGTGGAGAACTATAGCTACAGTTGTAGACTTTATTAAAACTATTAATTATAACCTGGAGCACCACCTTCCGCGTAAGCAGAGTGGGGGAGAGGTATTATATGGACTGACTTATTAAATTTCAAGCTTGGTAAAGAGTCATATATTTCTAAAATTCTAGCGAGTGATAAACTATGAATGTTCGGCCAGACTTCGAGTGATTTCCTATGCTTAAACAGTTTTCGAAGATTGATTTTATTGACTGGTTTTAGTTCTATAGGTACATAATACGATTCTTATTTACGTTTTTCCCTGATTTCTGCTATCTTGTCAAAAAAAAAAAAAAAAAACCACATTCGCAACAAGCTTTTATTCAGTCCTCTTCTAAAGACAATTCCCCTGAAGCCTAACTTAACCCAGATCAAGACCGATTATTATTTAAATAGCTTTGGCAATTCCCTCGCCGCCTCTGAAATCTTTGGAGAATAGTGTTTTCTCAGTAAAACCGTTTCCCAAATCGTCGCAGCATATGGATTACTAATCTCCGGTTCGTCGATATCCATTTTATACGTTCCATCACCGACCCTCTCATCCGTCGAGAACAGCCCATGAAGTCTGCGTTGATGCTTCCTCGCCATCTTGTTCAGCATTCCTAGTGTTGCTAATGTCGATTTTTCTGGCATATTTAAACTCGATGTCATTAGCCGCTTTGTGAACGCTGCGATACGTATCGGTGTGTTTGACTTGTTTGCGTTTTGTTGGAAGAAGATTGTGTTGAGGGCGCGGATCAGCATCTCGATCTCGGTAGCTACGTTGATTCGTTTCGAGGGCGGGGCGGCATCATTCGGATCGGGGAGACGCAAAGACTTTGTGGAGAGTTCGAGATCGGGGGACATGGAGAGAGGTAGTAATGTGGCATAGAGATGTGTTGTGAAAAAGGTTAGATCAATGCTCATTCCTTCGCCTATGTGCGAGTTAGTAATCTCTACCCGATGGGATGTGGTTGATAGAAAAGCACACCTTGACCGGATAACAGGGCAAATGCTGTTATGACACAGAGAAGCGCTTCCCGGGTGGCGTTGCGCTGTGTTGAGGTTTCGATATCGTCATCCTCTTCCTCGTCTTCCAATGCTGCTCCAATGAGCTCCTTCAAGGCCACAAGGAGATCCCCGAAAAAGTCCAAGTTTATTAAATGTGCGTACCTGCATATCTAGTTGTTAGCCCTGGTAGCCCGTTATCAAAGGGATGGAAATGTCTCACTTTGCTAATCCTTCTAATGTCGCACCCATAAGTCCCGGCGGCCTTTCTTTCAAGATTCTGAAGTAAGTTCCAAAGACCAACTTCAAAGTCTCAGACTGTCGTTCTTCTCTCTCCTCGTGCGAGACTGTTGCGTCTGCCTCGTCCATCTCCTTCTCCGAAATCTTCCTCTCCTTCTCTGATTTTCTGGCCTTCTTAGTCCTGAATTGGCGATCCTTCTTCTTGCGTTTTCTTGGATTTTCAACTGTTTCTAGAGAAGCCTTTACGTCGAGCTCTGAGAGCAAACGAAGCGATAGGAAGGTATTTAGTACGGACTCGTCAACCATGAAACCTTTGGCCTTGAGCATCTTTGCAAGCAGTTGGACTGCCTCAAAGGAAGCTGCGCCATCGTCATCATTACGAAAAAGATCCTCCAGCGTTGTACGGCACTTGACAAATACCTCATCCAAGGTCTTGACGCTGACACGCTCAACAATGATCTTGAGAAGTTGGCTGCGGAAGTTGAAATGTGGGACCGTGGAGATAAGCCCGCAGGCGCAGTTCACAGCGATCTTTCCGACAGCAACAACATTGGGTGAATGGTTGTTTCTGGAAGCTATTTTTGTTTAGTAATTAATTCCGAGAGGCTCCAAGGAGAAGGAAATCTATACCTCTGGACAGGTCCGCCAGGTTTTCAACATATGCCTGATAATTTGCGACTAGGGACTGTTCAAAGCCTCTGAGCTTCTTTACCTCTTTTGTAACCTTTGACTTCTGCTCCTCTTCCGTCAGGGGTCTTATCCGATACCCAGGTATGATATCCTTATATATAGCCAACTGTGTCGCCAACGCCAGCTTCTGTATCGTAGCATTCTTATCCTCCGATATTTCGCGTAGCCTCTTGAGTAGCCCAACCTAAACCACAGATTTGATGAGCGAGATGTCCGAGCAAATTTCTTCTTCTTCTTCTTCTCATAAAACAACGTACATTCTCCTCTGGATCCTCATTCAGAAGAATTGCGGCATTTGAAAGCTCCTCCTTCGCATTTATCACCCTTTGGCGCTCCGAAACTTTCGGGCGGACTTCCAATTCCTTCACCACAGGTTGGATTGTTTTTTCCTCTTCAACTCCCGCCCATTCTTCTTTGTCCTCTTCCTCGCTATCGTCTGTCCTTTCTGGAAGCACAGATTGCAGCACTGCTCCACCGGGAGTCTTGATCGGAAGTCGGGTGCTTTCCTTCTCGGCTTTCCGTTTCTTGAGCGCTCGCGGTCGGCGCTCGTAGTCTTGTTCGAGGTCCCATTGCGCCGCTGCGGCAAACTGGTGCGCATTCTCAGTGGAGGAGCCGAACGACTTCTTTTTGGCCATTGCGTGTAGTCTGGGGTGATTTTTTTAATCTGGGGGTTGTGGTGGGTTGTCTAAGCTTTTTTTTTTCTGCGGTTGACAGAGCCGCTATGCAGCTAAATCAGGTGATCACGTGGTGGCTGTATTGGGAGGGATACCCACACTAGTAATATTTTATTACTGTTTAGGGTTGAAATCTTGCTATCTTGATCATTGATGTATTTGATTATGCGCGTTTCACAAAATGACGAATTTGATGATATATATATTGTTCCGATGACTTTGTTACTAACTTAACTGAGTAGGTTTTTCAGATTCCTGAACACAAATCTAGATAAAAGATAGCGTGAATCATAAAGTGCGATTGAATTAGATTTAGTCGATCGGGATTGTTTTTCCCTCAGATTTTAGCAGAATCAGTTTTAATTGGTGTTTACTTTATCACAATCTCCTGAAGCTTAGCGCTGGTAATAGAGGGGCTGATACACGTTTCTCTAGCCACTAAAAATATACTCTAATAAATTCTTTAGGAGCTCAATTAATGGCGCCTATAATTGATCATTAGGTTTCTAGTGAACGGGAGGACCTCCCTGAGAAGGTACATGTATGTACTAATTTACCTAGGGGCATGAAGATATGTTTTGAATGTCATAGCAATCATGCGTGTGGTTGTGGAGAGATCTCAACCGCTCGTGTTTGAGAACCGGAAGAGAAATGGCTATTCTCTCTGGACTTGTAGGCCTTATAGCGATACTGATCGCAGATATAGGACTACAATTTCGCACATTTGATTTTTATATCGATATTAGAGGAATGAAGTGAATTGGAGTTACCAGCCATCTTTGTAGGAGTGTGATAGCTAGCACATAGGTCAATTATACTAGGATGGTTTACCAGTATTAGAAGGGGTATCCGGGCCGCAAAGAGGACCAGGACCAGGTATATTGGGCGGAGAAAGGTGGATGGATATCACCCAAGCCAGGACTCGTCATTATAGTACGAAACAACGGGGTAATATACGAAATCATTATCCGCAACACCATCACGGAGGTGAATGGGAAGCTTGAGATTAGAGGGGATATAGTACTAGTTCAGTACCGTTACCGTTACCGTACCCCCTTTTTCGTGGTGTATGTAGGTACGCAAGTCATTATTGGTGCAAACGTTCCACTGATAAGTAATCACGAGCTGAATTCATTGCCATTGGGCTCTCGAAATTGCCAAGGCTTCTTACAGCACCTGATAGCGAGTGCCAATTTCGGATATGGGCGCTTTGATCTTCAATATTTATATGACAGGTTCATGGTAGTATTAGAGTGTTTCCAGGGTTAGGGTACTTCGACGAAATTGATAATTCATGTAGTCTCAGCTCCTTAGCAAACAAGGCAGAAGAAACATTCCCAGCAATTACGAAGATACATATGAGTATGTGCTTTGTAGTTCTTGGACGTAAATCACCGTTTTCGCGTCAAAACACACCAAGATTGGCCAAAATACCTCCTACACCTTCAACTCCCACCCAAACACCGTGAAACTTTCAGAATAAGAAGATACACTATAGAAGAGCATAAATTTTGAGCTATAGCTCTCCCTATTAAATATGTGGGAGGTTATGCGGCTTTGAGTTTGCAAATTTTGGGATTCGGCCGAATTTTGCCAAGGCCCATACAAATTCGAGATCTTGGCACACTTTTGGGGGGACCGATACTACCTATCCATGGCCCGTTTGCAATTGGCAACGGGGTCGACTTGTCGGATTTTGGTGGGGAGCGACTTATTCGCGTATTCTGGACCTTTTAAAAAGTTTTGGCTGTTTGGCAACACATTTTGTCCAGTAGATTTGTCACCCAAAGTCAACAAATCGACCGCAATAAAAAAGCAGCTCCGAGCCTGCTTTTTGTTTCCGTTGCAACGATTCGGTCAACTTAATTTAAACTACCAAACAGTAGGTTTTTCTAGAGTGCGACTTATCCTCTCCACATAAGTGACCCTTTGGATAAGTCTGTTGCAACGACTTAAACTATCAGATGATTATTCTAAATGCCAAATTATACCGATTGGTACGTCAAGTTATATCTTGCTTCGCAACGGTGATTTACGTCCAGGCGGTGTACAATTCAACACAGGTATTCTGAAAATATTATCGAGGTACATAATCGGTACCTATTTAGACGCTACAGCGTAATTCCAAATATCTTCGCCTTCAGCGGTTTGTTCTATATACATTTTATATACATACCAGCTCTGCAGGCCGTGCATCATGATCACAGGATATCACTCGTGGCACTATTTATTTAGAAATTTTCAGCCCGGAACCCGTTCAACTACCGTGAAAGTTGAGATCTATAATAACGGTGTGTGACTATATATGCTATTCTGGTGGAGCACCGGATTAGTGATGTTTCACCGAATGCTGGGGCTTCGTTCTCTAAGCAACGCCGTGCAGGATACTAAATACACCGCATGCCGCATCAGCTTCCCTTTGATTAAACCCGTGTTTGTCCTGCGGGCGTTTCTGCAAAGGAAAAAAAAAAAAAAAAACATAAACCCCGGCGTATGTATCGTGGACGTCATATTGCACTAAATGTAATGTAGGTTCCGAGTTTTGGGGACCTGCCAGTCCTTGGGCGTGTGATACAGTAAGAGGTAAAATTATTGTAGAAACAGGGGTCTAAAAACAGGGTTTCTGTGGCTGGGCAAGCCAATAGGACTCCTCCCATATTTCTACAATAATCTTACCGCAAGCTGTAGGAGTGGTGGTGCAGATCACTCACGGCAACGGAGGCGCCACCCCCAGATGCTAAGACATTTAGCGAGCCATGTCGACGACCTCTTTGAGATTGTCGAGATCTGGAATCAAAGACAAAATCGGTTTCGGAGATGTGATGCATTTGAGTACAGAAAAGATAAGAATAAACTAAAGAGAGAACTCCGGCTCCGATAATGTTACTACCCGGACGCACAAATAGTTATTTACAGTTTTCTTAGGAAATCCGTCAATCATTAATAGATACTCGTAGATTTCGTGCAAGTTAATCAATCTGTAGCACTAGAAAAATGTAAGATCATTTCACAGGTTAATAGATTTTCTCAAGCTGATGTGAAGCCTTTCCCGCCCTCCCAAACTCATCGTTGACAACCCCCTCCTCCAAATCTGCATTATTCAAAGGTATGTAACCATCCTCAGTCTTCCACAATGACATCGCATAGTGTCTCACCATTATGGCGAAAAACATCTGCACCAGCGTTGAGGTGAAGAGCCCGATCCACCCAACCATGATAGAAATTTGCATCATCTCCGAACAGCCCCATGCTTCCGATTTAGGAACTGAAGGCCCAAGTCCGACCCCATCTACTCCTGCAGCTTCGACAATATCGCTGATATGGTTGAAAGTGGTTGTGTGGAAAGTTCCGTGGGGTAATGTTAAAGAGAGTAGTCCTGAGCTAGGAGATTCTGCATCGCAGAGGTGGTCGCGGAAAGTCGAAAATATAAAAAGCAGGACAAAACGCGAAAATACTGAAACAACGGTGTCTAAAATAAAAAAATTTGCGAATATTGATAATGTGTAGGCGTGTTGCTGCAAGGGTTAGTGAAATGGCGGGAGGGAAGGAAGACACATGTTTGCACTTACTTTTATGGAGCCATATACACCCAATCCGCTAATGAATGCAGCAAAATATGTATACAATGCGAGGCTATCCGAACTTCGATAGGTGGTATCACTCGATAATTTGTGAAAAAGGCAAGCCGAAAGCCCATTTGAAACTAACGCCAGAACGCTAACAGCAATAGTAAATCCGCTATGAAGTTATTAGCATATTAATATTCCACTTTTTATTAAGGCAAGGATAGAAGGGTGCTGTCGGGTGCACGTACCGAAGTCGTTTCAATATCATCCTGGTCAGATCGCAATTAAATAGACGGCCGTTAATAAATTCTCCGGTTCCGAGAAATGAAATATAATGTTTCCCCAATTCAATCCCGCAACAAAAAATAGAGACAGTGTCGTATGTACTAAAAACCTCTACCCGCCAAAAAAAAAAGAGAAAAAAAGAAAAAAAGAAGAAAAGCTTAATCGAGTCTAATGAGGATTAGCGTCAATGATGTCGATGTGCTCGCCGTGTCCGTGGTGGTGGTGATGATGATGATGGCTGTGCTCGCTCTCAGGCTCTGCTTCGACAACCTCTATTTCCTCGGCCTCGTAGTCTGAATGGTCCGACGGATGTCTTGCCGCCGTTTCCTACACTCTCATCAGCCTGATTCATATACAAATGTGGGAATATACCCGGATATCTAAAGAAAAGGAATGGAATATCTGTACACTTACAGTTGTTAAGCCAACTACCCTTCCACGAGGTGCTTTTTCGACGTCCTCGCTACTACTACCACTGTCGCTGCTGCCAGTGTAGCTGTCTGAAGAATCCGTTGGCGATTTACTCCGTCGACCACCAAGGAAGATGCTCGGTTTATAACAGTAGAAGCAAGTACAAATGACGACAGCGCAGAGTATTATAGTAGCAAAGAAGATAGCGAGGAAGAGAGAAGTTTGAGCTTTTGTCATCCCCATCCTGAGAGAGTGCGGCGGCGGACCGTGTGGTTATGATGTAGCGATTTTTTAGCCTGGCTCAGATTGACGTATTCCGGATGATCCGATCAAGCATTTCTCAGCAGCAACAACGCTGCAGTTTCACTTTCGGTAATCGCAAGGTCGTGGAATCCGGAAACGATTGGTCCGCGGAGGGGAAGGCCGGGGTCCTGCGACCAATAAAATCTGGCTGGCAACGGTTTGGAGTAACAGAGGACTGCTCGCTCGAGGAACTGACTGTTTGTAAATGCAGCTATTGACAGAAATGAGTATTTGTAATCGACCGGTATCGCATGTGCAGTAAATCAAAGCCGAGTGGATGGGATGGAATCTCTGTGACCGTGGGATTCTTACTGAGGAACCTGAGGGCGAGCAAAATCTAAGCTAGGAGGAAGGATCTAAGAGCAAGGAGAACTGACGGGCATGAGAAGAGTTTTGTAGGATCAGACACGTCGACCTCCGTTCATCCTTCCACAAAATGTTCGAGGGAAAAAAAATAAGAGGCGGAGGTTCAGGGTTTGATTCTCGGCCGCCCGTACAACTCTCATTGGGCGTAAGCGCCTGTCTGCGAAATCCCGTGGCCGGCCAACCTCCCTTCAATTGCATCTTTTAAACGATATGTGATAAGTTAGTATGTGGTGTAGACTGTCGGTCGAGTACCTGGCACAGTACTCTATGTACGAGTAGTCATGTCTCCCTCCATGTTGTTACACAACCTGCACAACCCCATGTCGTAGGTCCATGCTGAGGGCACAGTGAGGGGATCGCTAAGAGGCCTCTCTTGTTTGGCGTCTTTCCTTCCATGAGATAATCGTAATAGTATCCTTTACATTGGTTCGCTACATGCAGTCCTTAAACCTCATAACCTCATTTTTATCCGGCTGGGTAAATTTGGCTGTTTCCTCCGTTTCCCAAACTCCATGGGATTTCACCCGTCATTGAGAGATCTCACCACGGCAGTTTCGGGCCCCACGCTTTCTTAAGATGGTCTTCTTGTCAGCGGGAGTGCACTTCTCAGCTTCCGGATTCTAAAATATCATGGGAGAGCCACTCAGCTATTCTTATTTACATGGCTTATGGGTACCAGCCCTGATTCGTTTTCTTAGCTTCTCGGGTACTATTCTTTATGAATATAATTATAGTCCTTCTGGAAACAACCATAAAGAGATGGAAGGTTCTGTCGAGGCCCAATGTACGTGCTTCTGAACCGTGAGGAACACCGCATCAAAAGCCGGGATTTCTCATGAAGTTGGTTTTTTTCCAGGTCACTTGATGTATGAGAGGTATCTGCAAACGGTAGTCAAGAGAGAGCAAATAAGAAGGCCATTTACTCCTGGCCTTGTAGAACTGCATCTCGCCCTGAATGGTAATTAACAGAACTCTAATCTGTAGGCATAAGTTGAACCTAGCTGAGAATCAGCTGGTCGAGTGTTTCTTCATCAATCAGCCAGAATATTTCAAGAGAAATACTCACAGTAGGCGTCAGACAGAATACAGCATCTAGACGCTATTAAGTTGTGGCTTTGGGTCTGGTTTTGTCTTCTGTGCACCTATTTCGGAATGCCTCACACACACTTCTCCACTTTTTTTTTTTTACTCTTTCTGCATAGTAACCACCAGGCCCTGCGTTCGACAGTCATTTGTTTTCGGAGTGTGCCTGACTGCAGGCCGGGGTGCAGCGATGCTCGGGAAAGTTGTCAACCTCAACCCATTAACCCGCCAGGGCCAGATACATGTACCTATGGCCAGTGCCCGGGGATACGGAATCTTTTTTCGTATTTTGATTCGTGTCTCCCTTGGTTCTATCTTTCCTTCGATTTTAATTATTTCATTGGTTGTCTTGGTTTTTTCCCTATTGTGTGCATGCACGATCCTACTTCGGTCGGCTGTGACGTAAATGATCAAGTTATATTTCGAGTAAGTAGATATCGAAAGGACTTTTATATTTCTTCTAGCATGCGGTGAACTTTCCTCCTAACTCCTGTAATTAACAAGGAAAGAGAGCACAGAGGGCGTTTATGACCTAGGCATCCTGGTGGGCATTGTGGAAAGTGGGGACAAGAAAAGGGGGAATAAAATAAATCAAGGTCGAAAGTAAATTCCTAGGGAAAAAGAAAAAGGGACAAGTCGCAGGAACAGCAGGAACAGCAGGAACAGCAGAAATAACAGCAGGGTCAGGAACAGGAACACCGCAGAGGCTGTCAGACATCGATTTGCCAGCTACGTGTAGATATGTAGCTGATCCTGAATTCTTACTGTTCTGACAAAGATAGAAATATGTATAATATGTACATGTAGTATTAGATACATGTAGTTGAACAACGATTCTACATAGCACAGACAGCTCTCTGCTGCCTTTGCTTCTCTGCTGTCGGTGCACACCGTGCTACTTCGTTCAAGCGTTCAAGCAACTTCGCGCTCTCTACTAACAACCTCTACTCACACACACCCTCCCTCGCCCTTAGTTCCCACACCGTTCTCTAGGTCGCCCTACGTTCCTCCCAAACAAACCCTCTCCGTCACTTAGGAGTTAGCCTGCAATCCGTTGCTCACCACACCAACGCTACCCTTTTGTCCCTCCTCTCCCTCTCTTGCGCCCTATATCCTTCTACCTTCTCCTCCGTCCTCCTCCTACTGCCCTCCCTCTCCTTCTTTACCCCCTGCCTTTACCTCCATCACACTTCTCCTATTACGGTACCCCGTTTTAACTACATCAACTGTTTTTTGAAGCTCTGGAATTTGTAGTCCCTTTCTGTTTCTACTGGAACTTTCTGGGTGCCCCTCCTCGCCCCTTCCGATCTCAATACGCCTACACCTTTGCCCCTCCTCGGCATTGATACAAGATACCTTGTCAAATCCCAGATTTTCGGTCCCTCTTCGCTGGCCGAATCCCCCTCTTTTTACTCTTGCTTCTCCTACTGAAGCTGGGCGTGGGACCTTTGCTCCGTGATATCGTATTCAACCGTTCCTACGCCACCGTCCAATCTTCACTGCTGGCCTTAACACTATTCTGAAGGGCTTATTGACTCTCTGTCCTCAAGGCAGTGCCCATACTAAGCCCTTACAACTCAAACCCCTTCAACTCCCTGAAGTTTTATGACGTTGAACGTTGGAACGGGTGCTCCCCCGTCTCTTCATCAGCAGCAGACACACTCTCCTCAGATTCTTGAACCAAGCAGTCCCTTGAGACGGTATACAGTTGGCTCACCCAAATCTTCAACTCTCAAGCCTGTTGCTTCGCCCGCTCCAACATTTCCCCCACAACAATTTCTTCCCTTGCTGTCACCACATCAAGAGCTCACAATCCAGCCCCGTAGCTTCTCGACAGAACAATCTCAACAGACTAGAGTCAATTCTCAATCTCGCAAAGTTTACCCTCCCGCTCGACGACGGCAAAATTCAAAGTCACCAGAGCGAAATCGAGGAACTGGGGGGACGGTACAAGGGAATGGGCGAAGGAGTTACCACAATCAAACAGCTGGTTCAAAACATAGCACACCGGCCATGCAAGGAAGGAGGAATGAAGGAGGACAGTCGATAGCAATTCAGAGGCCTTCATTGAAGTACAATCGATCAAATTCATCGGTTCAATCAAGCTCGTTGCCATCAACGCCCAATCATAACCCCCGCCAGTCGAACGGGCTTTCTCGAAGCCCTTCGCCATCATGCCCTCTTGATTCCCCAAGATCAGCACTATCAGAACCCGTCACAGTAACCCCATATAAACCGCCAGTTAGCGGATGTATATATGAGACTGCATTGGTCAACGCACGTAGGCGGATGCCTTATGCTCTTGGCAATGATAAAATCGCTCCTGCGAGGCCAAAGCTGGAAAAGTTGGCTCCTGAGCAGGAGGCTAAGCTAACAAAGGATATGCTTGATTTATTTGAAGTACTAAAACCAGATAGTGGGAGCAATGAGAGACGGAGGCGATTTTTGGTCAAGCTTGAAAGGCTTCTGAATGATGAATGGCCAGGCCATGACATAAAAGTGCACGCTTTTGGCTCAACAGAAAATCATCTCTGCATGAGCGACTCCGACGGTACCGAGCACATTTATACGCCTTATGTAAGAATATCTTGCTGACATCGTACAGTGGATGTGTGTATAACAACAACGTGGAAAGAATTCAACCACGTCTGTAGGCTGGCGAGAACACTTGCTAAACGTTTGTACTCATATGATCGAGACTAGTATTATTGTGTCTAACGATCCTGGTAGATGGCATGGAAAGAGTTGTTTGTGTTCCTGGAGCAAAAGTTCCTATCGTAAAGGTATGGGATCCAGAATACGAAGTTGCCTGCGACATGAATATCAACAACACACTTGCCCTGGACAATACCAAGATGATTAAGACCTATGTTGAAATCGATGATCGAGTTCGCCCCCTGGCAATGATTATCAAACATTGGACAAAACAAAGATCGTTGAACGATGCTGGTAAGCGGATTTTTATTGAATCAAGGATAGGCTTCGGAAATTAACATGTCATATTAGCTGGCGGTGGAACATTAAGTTCATACACGTGGATTTGCATGATCTTAAACTTTCTCCAGACTAGAGACCCGCCTATTCTCCCTTCATTGCATCAAAGGCCTCATAAGAAAAGGCCGCCTATAAGTGGAGTCGACATCTCATTTGATGATGATATCGAAACGTTGAGGGGGTTTGGCATGAACAATAAGGAAACCCTTGGCGAATTGATTTTTGCTTTTTTCAAGAAGTACGGGTATGACTTGGATTATGATACCAGTGTGATATCAGTAAGGCATGGGAGACTTTTGACAAAGGAAGAAAAAGAGTGGCAATTCAAGCAAAATAACCGACTCTGCGTTGAGGAACCATTCAACACCTCTCGGAATCTTGGAAACACCGCAGACGATTACTCATGGAGAGGTTTACATCAAGAATTTAGAAAAGTTTACCAGATTTTAGCAGAGAAAGCTGATCTAGCCGCCTGCTTGGAACTCTTTGTATTCCCACCCGAGGAACCACATCTCCCGTTACCGTCACATCCGCCCCAACATCGTCCTATATCTATCGCTCGAAGTAACTCGAGCCATGTAAAGCGACGTGAGTTTAATGGAAATAATGGAAGGGGCCGAGGACCGCAATGGTATAACAGTAACAATAACCACAACAGCCACAACAACCACAATAACCACAACAATCACAATAGTCACAATCATAACAGCCATGGCAACCACAATAGGCCAAATCAAAATAAAAGGGCTTCTAATGGGACTTATGGCGCCCAGTTATCTCAGCAATATCTCCCGCAAGATATTTTTGGATACATCCATACACCACAAGACCAAATCCTTGCTTTACAAGCCCAGTTTCACCAAGCTCACGTACGTGCCCAGGCGATTGCTCAAGCACAGGCTGTTCAGCAGGCACAAGTCCACGCTCAGACGTACGGTCAGCAGTCACAGTCATCCGCAGCTTCCATTAATTCATTGGGCTCTGCGCAAAATCACCAAGACGCTCTTGCCTTACATCCGCTGGCATCCTATGCGTATTTTGCCCAGCTCTGGGGAATGAATCTCTACTATCCTGGCCCTTTACATTCCGAAGGCACATCAACGCCAACATCCCCGCATATTGCAAACGATACCAGGAGTGGGCATGGTCGAGGAAGGCGTCAAAATGGGTATAGTGCGGGCCCAAGATCGCAATCACAACCGCCTCCTGATATGTACCCAAACCCAGGTTACGGAAATGGAACATCTACAGTTGGAGCGCCTGGATCGGAGGATGAAGATTTTGCCGATCATTCCTCAAACGGGAATCCCGTAACACCTCCAGCAGAGGAACAAGATGAGTATGTGGGTTACTATGACATTGGCGGTTCACTACAACATGTACCTGCTGTTGTGGACTCAGTTGAGGAGGAGGAGGAGGAACCTTTTCTAGAACAAAAGAGCTTAGTAGACCGGCAAAAGCGTTTATCGCAGGAGAAACTACCAACTCCGCTATTAGGAACGTCACGAGATGCATCGGGTGCTCTTCGTTTGGAAAATGCCTCTCCTTCTCGTGATTGTTTCAATGACCATCGTGGTCCTGTGATCGTCAATGGGTCAATTCCAGTGTCATCCTCGACCTACACAGATACTCCTTTCTCAAATCTCTCGCCTTCATCGGAGACTCTTTATTCCTACGATGGATCATCTCCAAGTATAGAATGCCATGGATCAGATGGAACATCGGATGTAGCAGCCACGGAATTAAAAGAAATTTCTGGACACACTCAATTATATGCCCAGAAGCTGTTGGAGGTACATACACAAGCGGCTGGTGGTCGCCCTGAGAATGATCTGACAGCTTCCAATATGGTGCAACAACATATTGACACCTCAATATCCGACCCCAGTATTCTATCATCGCCAAAAGCGGAATCTCGCCCTTTACAGTTGATTTCGGATGATGAAACAACTGAGCCTAGCAATTCCACACGATTATCTCCCAATCTTCGACAGCGTGCAGCTACTCAACAATTACTTTGGAGTAACACTAGAGTCCCAGTAATAGATACCTTGAAGCCTAAGGGTTGCGGTTTACCCCAAGAGGAACTTGATGTACCACCTACACCTGTACCTGATGTCTTGGCGCCTTCACCGATACCTAAAAAGGACGACAAGAATGACGTTCCTACAAAACAGCAGCATAAAAATGGGCGCAGTCGTAAGCCAGTCCGATCTACCAATAGTTCGGAAAAACCTCCAACTCCTACCGAAAAATCGACTGCAAAAAATGGAGCTGGTTCGAAGCAAAGGAATGGAACAGCAAGTAATGGCACTAAAGCAAATGCCGGCCCAAGGTCTGGCACAAAGAATGGCTCATGGGAAAGGATAGGAAATACCGGCAAGGGAAGAAAGCCAGTGGTTCAGAAAACAGTAGATTCCGTCCCATTAAATGAAATCGAACGAAAGGGTGGCTGAGCCGATGCCATTTCGGTTGCTCTTATTTCCTTTCGGAAGTGCGGTGTGTATAATGAACTTGTGAATACTTACGACAAAAGAAGGGATGAATCTGGCGCAGGAGAGGGATAGGCCATTTTTGTTTTTGTTTTCAGTTTTTTTTGACCCTTGTGATCAATTTTCTCCTTTTTTCTTTCCTTTATTTTCTATACCTGGGATTCACGGTGGCGGGGTTTTATCAGAATGCTTGTGTTCTTTCTTTTTATTTCATTTTAAAACCACTAGTGTTTGTGTGTCTATGTGCGTGTTTTCTTGGTGTAACCTTTTCTTTTCCTCTCTTTACTCATTAATACGGAAATGGAGCGATTCACGGTAAAACGGCATTTTCCTTTTATCCCCCTTTATTACTCGTCCTCTTTCCTCAATTAGATTTATCATCTGTCTCTCATGGCTGTCATCTTGTCGGTTTACGTCCCTATTTATGTTTGCACTTTCTATATGGCCTTGTGGAAGCCCGGGATCGGGGGGGGGGCTCTGGGGGGTAAGTAGCATCATCTAGGGATTAATGGGCTAGCAACATTTGGCCATTGTACCAATAAACGCGCGGGAAAATGGAGGTAGCCATGCAAGCATTTAATAACGCGGAAGGACTGGATGATGCAAGACTACTGGTGGAGAAATGTTGAACTTCTGGCAAGACTTTCTCTCCTCTGTTTTTACCTCATTATCTACCTATTTTCTTTGTCAAATACTTTCCCCTCTAATACGGGTGAGCTACAGGTTTGAATGGAGGATAGGAAGATGTCCTATGATGTTTCCAAGACCTGAGTACTATACAAATTCTTTTTCTCTCTCTTTTTTCTCTCTCTTTTTCTTCTTGATTAACGTAGCGGAACGTGTTTCCACAATCGGGGAGGAATGGAGAAATGAGGTTGCTGGTTATGGCTGGTGGTAGGGGAGCATTGCTTATGGGTGTCCTTTTTTGCTTCCTGCTTTTTGATGGTATTTTCTTTTTCTTTTGTGTGGTCATTGTGGGTAAGGTTCGGTGTGCGGTTTTGTTTGATTTGCGGATTTGGGATGTAGAGGTGGATTTAAAGCCTACCATCATCTTTCGAGGTTCTATTTCGGTTTTTTTTTTTTTTTTTTTGATCACCTTTATACTACCCTTCATCCTCCTTCGCCATGGCTTTATTTATACTCGCTAGGTAACAGTTTTGATATGGTAACTGGCTATTGGTCTATCGCTTTCTTCCTTTCTTTATATACTCTTTATGCATATTCTCGTACGTTTATCCCTGCAGCTGGTGCTAAGGATTATAAAAAGCATTTGAGGGTTATTTTCCATTTCTCCTTTAGCTCTGTAAGGTTACGGCTTTTGTTTATCGTTGTTCGCCCTATCATTCCCCCTTTCATTGTACTGTATTATCATTGGGCGGCATTGGTTAGCGCAGCCTCCATTTTCTTTCCCTGTTGAATTTCCGCCTGGGTTGTTTTTATGTTTCTGGAAGTGGTTTTGATTGGTATAGATAGGTAAATGAGTATTTCTTTGAGTGAAGTCGAGCCTTAATTTAATTTCTTTGTGTGGTCTAGTGTCTACATGTATTCGCTACATGTGGTTACATGTACTTAGCATGTGTGATCCGGTAGAGGAGCTTCCCACGTAACACTTACATCTAATAAGTATATAATTATAACCTGCATATGCAATGTGCTTTTATAGTCTTCTGATTGGCTCATTGAGAGAGGTTTTGTTTCACTTGAAACATGTTGTGTTGGATATTAACATAGGGTATTAATTGTACTGAGTGGTGTTAGGTTAACATGTTTTCTACTGGTTCTGGGAATCGATTAGTAGTTCGATTTTAGTGACTTGGTGGCTATTAAAGAGATATACTTGCAGCTTGAACTGCTGATATATGGGGGATATCAGAAAAGGCAAATATCGACCAGAGCAGATCTAGATATAGTGATGGACTTTGCCTGCCAGGAGGGGTCGAGGGCCACGCAGCGGCCTGAGAGCCCCGACCGACAGGCAAATAGAGAAAATAAGCCGCAAAGCGGCTTGCCTGTATATTGGACTGATTGATACACATATAGTACCGGCCGAAGGCTGGAAACTACTTGTTGGATTATATACATGTGGAAGATCTGCAATTACAGATATAAACAGAATGGAATTTCTGTCTTATACTAAACATAGCCTCTCGAATCCCACTGGAAGTCTCGAGCTTTAAGAAAGAGGTTTCTAATGGTCTATATGTAGTTTAGAATATAGGTACGTGGTGTATGTATTATGTATTCCAAGCGTTTCATCAAAACCTTTGTGTGTTTCGGTGGATAACGATGCTTTATGTCTAAGAATTATAATGTATGTATGTAAGTAAGGAGTAGGCAAGCTGGGTTGGTCCAGGGACCAGGGGTGGGCAATTGTAATATAATGCTCAGTCATGAATGTTTTCGATAGGATTCATTGAAGAGTGTTTATGGTTTGTCGGGCTGGTACTTTAATCCAGATAGACTAATCCGTTTATCCCTTAAGCTGTTACTTAAATGCTGCCAACATGAGACATGGTGCCGGGCGAGCCTCGCACGAAAGCCAGATTCGAGACATAATACTTGGTAAAATTGGCAGCTTTAATAAATAAGGGACAGTACATACATATACGTCGCTGCCAAATGTTGAAACGTCCATGGTCAGTTTTGGAGCAATTTCGAAAAATACCAAATCGTAGATTGTTTGACTAGCTTGAGGACCAGAATGAAGAGCACCTCTTGATCAGCGTTAGACGGAGTATATTTAGTTATTAGTTTAGTTGTATGTTGTGGAAGGTGAATGGGATGTAGGTACTGTAATTACACATAGGAACACTGGGGGTACTTATGATTATTGACACATTAAAAGAAAAGCTAGTGTACAGAGGCGTGGACTGATGTCCGTTCGCAACACAACTATATGTATGTAACCTTATAGCTGTTTTCATCTTTTCTGCCGACTCCGGATCGCATACACATTAAGTGACGGCCCATTTAGGCAATGCTTATCACTACAGTGGAGTCCCGATAGTAGCATTCTCGATAGTAGCATATCCTCAATAGTAGAATATAGTTGGACGATCCCAAACGAGTCGGTATGGGCAAAGTTGTTCTCGGTACAAGCACATCCCCGATAGTGGCACATGAAAATCCGTTCCCGACCATATGCTACTACCGAGACTCCACTGTAGTAACAGCTAGATCACATACACCCATACCTAAGAGAGTGGTTACGGTTTCCTAACTCGGGAATTACCTTACGTGTGTGTAATCCAGTGCAGACAGACAATGCGAAAACTGCTGTAAAGCCTTTCTATAGAGACTCTTATATTGGACGCCTCAGCTAGGAGTTCCTGCGATCGACTATATATACATGTAGGTAACTAAAGTTTGACATTGTTTACGAAGAGATCCGAACGCACAGACTCAACCATATATTATGTAATAGAATTTTAAGGTATCTTGTGTTTTACATGACGGGAGTACATAAATGTATACATGGACGAGCTAAGACGGACTCGATAGTAAGAGGGTATCTCCGTAGTCCTGTAATCTTTCGAGTGATATGCTATGATTAAATAAGTCCTAGCCGTAAGAGATAACTAATCTAGGAAGGTAATAGGGCTTTGGTATTATTATTATATTTCTAGATAATAAAACCTACTCGGATAAACGAGAAAGGACTCTGGGTCTTCTTATACCGTTACAGAGCTTACGGGGGTGACTTCATACTAGCTGAGTGATCTTTCATAACTAGACCGTGTGCACCTGTGTCGAGCATGTACCTGTGCCGAGCACCTTATAATAAAGGCAGCATTTTAGCCACCATTTGGAGCGGATCCCTAGAGATCAGATAAGATGCTCGGCACAGGTACATTCTCGGCACAGGTGCACACGGTCTAAGTGACTACACACATCTGCAGCCGGCCGGCCACCCCCCCACCCACAGCTAGCGTCAGACTTAACCACACGCACATTATATGCACATACATGTATATACATGTACATGTATGTAATCGACTCCTTATCTATCCCGAAGCTCAATCGGATTTCAGATGGGCCAAATAACAGAACCCTTTCTATCTTATGAAGCTATGTAGTCCGGGTTGAGAACATTTGCTATTAAGTACGGGCAAAGTTCTCCAAGCAGTATGTCAATCTATGTGTAGGTACAGCCACTCTGCAAAAGTGTTCGTGATTCCGATTTCGGAGTGAGATATTTCTCCATATGCAACCGCGGCGGACCATCCAGAACCCCCCAAGAGAAGACTTTCCCAACCAATGGCGCCCAAATTAATGAAGAATAAGATCAGTGACCTATCTCTGCTTTTATATATAATCACAAACTATATTATATATTTTTCGTTGTTTTGAATCTCAACTTTAATTTGCCATAACTGTAAGGTTGGATGCAATTAATGAATTAAACAAAAAAAAAAAAATCTCAACTTTAATAACATTAGTATTACGGGTGCGCCACACTGCGCACTGACATTAAAACCATATCACGAACACTTTTGCTGAGTGGCTGTACATATATGCAGCTTCATGTACTCGCGACCAGCAACAAGAACCCGAATATGCAGCTGCAAGTCTTTGGTGTATTTTTGACTTCTACTCCAATAGAAATTGCAGATTAGGACGTGCATTTTCGGGTCCTTGTTGCTGGTCGCGAGTATATGCGTAGTCCTTTCTACTCAGTACATGTACATGCCATATATATAGAGACTCTTTTGTTCTCGTATATATATATAATGTGGCATTCCCAGCTTATATCTTCTTCATGGTGCACCGGCGGTAATAATAAAGAATACTACATGTACATCTATATTCCCTACTTAACTCTGCTCGTTGGGTGGAGTGTGTCTAGCTAGACATGATCTGTGGGACTTAATTCTCCAACCTTACTTCATTTAGTTTATGCATAAGTCACGTTATCCTAAAGCACAAGTGATGAGCCCTGTGCCTGGGCACGGGCCACATGCACGGTCGGCTTTCGGCTGCGTCTCAGGTCAGAGCCGCATACAGCGTGAGGTAAAATTATTGTAGAAGTATGGGAAGAGCCCTATTGGCTTGCCCAGCCATAGAAACCCTGTTTTTAGACCCCTGTTTCTACAATAATTTTCTCTCTCGCTGTACAAGCGAACAAGCGACGTCGTGTATTTTTGCTACGTAAACGTTTCGCGAATACCTTCTACTTCCTCTCGCCCGGCCTTCCCAACATGGTAGTTAGATTGTACATTTCGATCCAGGTTTCGAATATCGAAACGCCAAAAATCACGACAAAGGCCGCCGCAAGTTCATGATATTCAGGAAAGCATCCTTCTGGGTGTACAGATTCTGGTAGAATTAATGCGAGAGTGGATTTTCCGTGACCTAATAGTCCCATTGGCCCTTAAAAGAGTTTTTGCAGTGAGAGCAGACAAAGAAACCCACTCTTATTGCGAATAATTTTACCATAATCTGTAGATGTTAAATTCAAGGTCATTGGCCTTTTTACCATTGGCTCTGTCTAAAATAAGATCCCTCTCTCAATTCTCGCTTCCCCAACTTTCGGTGGTTTACGGGAGCCTAGGTTGCTGGATAGGGCTTGCCTCACAATATTTTGCCGATTCTAGGTCTAGCGTTGTGGCTTTATCTTCGCTTCTTTTTCCCAATATGTCACTAGTTAGTTCATCTTTTCGAATGTATGTACCTAGGAGGTTAGAATTTTAAGGAGCCAGATAGATATCCCAGATAAAAAAAGGCATCATAGTATCCTTTCTTTGACTTTTTCACATTGCACCACTTGATTGATTTCTCACCTCTGATCGGGGAAATTCCACACCTATATACCCCACACCAGAAACTGGATTCGGGATTTATTTCATTTTACGTTTGATGATTTCGCGGAGAAGCTGTCCGTTATTTAGTTATCTGCAGATCTGACATCATCGTCGGCCTTTTGAAAAGTTAATATCTGCTACTAACTACCCGAACCCGAAGACTCCTCAGCTCTGAAGAGTATAAATATAACAAAGAATTGCTACAGATAGCTATTGGAAACTTTCTGGTCTCATAGCAGGAAAGAAGAATAAAACTGCATTCTATTAAGCCAGGCCTCAGAAAGAAACAATATTAAGACGAATGCCTCGACAAGAATCTATTCCTGTCGCAGCCAATGTGCTCGGGACTATAGGCACCATCTTATGGTGTATCCAGCTCGTCCCTCAGATATGGAGAAACTATCGGTCGAAATCCACCGAAGGCCTTCCCGCATTAATGATGTTCATTTGGGCAACCTGTAAGTTTTCCCTTGGAATACATCTCATCATAAGCTATCTATTAAGGATTAAAAAAATCTATAGCAGGAGTACCCTTCGGAACTTACGCAATTGTACAAAACCTCAACATCCCTATACAGGTACAAGCCCAGGTTTTTGCCTCTCTATCCCTCATTTCATGGGCACAATGCCTCTGCTATGCCCATGGATGGAGAGCCTGGACTGCTTCTCTACTGGCCTTGGGGACGGGCATCGTATATGGTGGCGCTGAGGCTGGTTTGATACTTACCCTCAAACCATTATACGAGAAGGGGATTGAGTGGCCCATGTTGATTGTTGGGGTTATTGCTTCTATCCTTCTTGCGGCGGGCTTGGTACCGCCGTATTTCGAGATCTGGAAAAGGCATGGGAGGGTTGTTGGAATCGGTATGTGAATTATATTCTTCGGGTGATGTTGGGGTGATGTGCTAATGTGAGGATGGGGGGGGTAGATTTCATATTTCTTTCTATTGATTGGGCAGGAGCGTTTTTTTCGCTTATGAGTTTGGTGGCACAGACTACGTTTGACTATATGGGGGGAGTTCTTTATCTGGTGTGCTTGCTACTCGAGACTGGGATATTTTTCTCGCACTGGATCTGGCTATTCCGCACTAGGAAGCAAAGAGCGGCGGAGAGGGTGGCAGAAAAGGAAGGAGAGGATGCGGGAGTGAGCGATTCGGTCGAAGAGAAGGAGATGCAATCAAGTAGGAATAGTGTCAAAGAGGACATAGGAAGTAAGGTTTAATCATGAGAGTTGCAATTTTGGGCACTGTTTAAGGTTTTTGATTTTCATGGTAGTGATGTTATATAATGGTCTTGGGTGGAGGAGGTATTTTGATTATTTTGAAATTTCGGGGCGTATAGAGTTACTTGAAAAACGCTCTAGAGGATAGGACATAACACTGTTCTAGGAATGAATGACCAACATTTTGATGAGTTGCGACTGGTAGCACGTGAATCACTTGATATCACTCGCATCGAAATCAACATCTCAGATAAGAATTGATTTTTTTTTTTTTGTTTAATTCATTAATTGCATGCAACTTTACAGTTATGGCAATGCCCCTGAACTGCCCTTTCTCTTCCGCCTCACGTATTTCTGAAGATAAGAATTGATTGATTGATTGATAATTCATTAGTTGTATGCTCTCAGACAAGGGACAAAACGAGAAGAGCGAAGTACGTAGAAATATGCCATTAAGTAATACGGGACATACCGAACCGATAAGTTGATTTGAATCGACTGGTAATTATCCCATTCCCCGCAAGAGTTGTACAACTTAATACCTTAGTGCTATTATAATACATGTGCAACATACAAGTACCGCTGAATCAATGATGAAATGGTTTAACATAGTATTGTAACTGCGTGATTTTGGTAGAAGATTTGACAGAGTTAGGAACTTGGACGGAAACTCAATGTTTAGAAAGCTCACCGGACTTTCCTCCTTAATCAAAAAGCTAAAACTTCTCTAGCAATAGCAATGCCTCGTCGGCCTTTTTTAGGATAGTCAAGCCGGATTCGAGAAGCAATACCAAAAGGATAGGTGTGCATTCATTGGCCGCATAGAGCGCCCCCCCCAAAAAAAAAAAAAAAAAACTTTGGCATTATGTGACCCTGTCCCCAACACAATGCTTCTGGACGACCATCTCGATCGTAAGAAGAGCGTAGCACAAATTGGTTGCCTGATCGGACACAAAAAGGTTTCGGCTACTATGATGCTTTCTGGGATTTGAGGATGGAGGAAAATTATAAAAAGGTATTTGCTAGAATTGAGTCTTATAGTAGATGGGTATTGACGCCTGCCATATCTTATTTTGTGGAGTTCTAAGTAGAAAATTTGATGTTAATTATTGCTAGGCCCAGGTACATATCGCATGTCATTTAACTACACCACAACTTTATAATCAATCCCTTTTAATATCCATAGACAAACAGCGGAAACACACCACGCTGTGATACCTGTATAAAGAAAGAAATATTCTAAAGTACAGTGGAATTTATGCCTTAAGAAAAGGATATAATAAAGAAAAAAAAACAGAAAAAACAAGGAGTCTAGCAGAGGTAAGAGCAAGAGGTAAAACAAGGATCTATGCTTTCTATCGCGTCAACATGTGTTCTCTTCCGGGGCCAACCCCAATATTCCCTACTGGAACACCAACAAACTTCTCAATGAAGTCAACGTAGTTCTTCGCTTCATTTGGAAGTTCATCCCAGGAGGCAAGCTTGGTTGTTGGTGATGACCATCCAGGGAAGGTTTTGTAGATGGGCTCGCATTTTTCGAGGACCGTAAGGTCAGCTGTGTATGTGTTAGATTATCATATGTTGCTAGAGGGTGAGGATAAATCTACCAGGGAAGGACTCAAGCTCTTGGCCTTCAAACTTGTAACCAATGGCGATCTTGATCTCAGAAAGACCATCAAGAATATCAAGTTTGGTCAGGTTAAGGGAGGTATAGTGGTTTACAGCAGTGGAGTACTTGACGATCACAAGATCGAGCCATCCACAACGGCGCTTACGGCCTGTAGTGACACCGACTTCCTTTCCAATATTCTGGAGGTGCTCGCCAATTTCCTGTGAATGCTGTGAGTAAATGGTGTTTTTACAGGCCACATGTGTAAACCTACATTTAATTGTTCAGTAGGGAATGGACCACCCCCAACACGGGTGGTGTAGGCCTTGACAACGCCAATGATGTTCTTGATCTTGAAGGGTGAGATAGCCAGTCCAGTGATGACACCACCAATCCCAGTGTTGGAGCTGGTGACATAAGGATATGTGCCGTAGTCGATATCCAACATAAGGGCATTTGCGCCCTCAACCAAAATTCTCTTATTGGTGTCAAAAGCCTTCTGCATGAAGAGAACCGCATCAATGACGTACGGCCTCAGTGTTTCATAGTAGACCTTGTATTGCGCCAATTCCTCCTCAACATCGTAGACCAATAAATCTCCATGAAGCTTCTTGAATGACCTTGCAAGACCTCTCAACTTCTTCTCAAATGTCTCCCAATGGAAGAGCTCGTAGACCCGAATGCCGCTACGGGCAGCCTTTGTAGAGTAGGTTGGGCCGATACCCTTCCTGGTGGTACCAACTTGTGAGGAGCCAAGGGCACTCTCCTCAAGCCCGTCAACTTTTTGATGAAGATCGAAAACAAGATGGGCGCGATCGGAGATGAAAATACGATCAGTGGTGTCGAGCCCTTTCTTTTGGATGTTCTCGAGCTCGTAGAAGAAGGATGGAACATGAACAACGACACCAGAGCCGATGAGATTGAGACAATTAGGATTCACAAGACCTGAAGTGGTAGGGAGGTATTAGTAGTGGGACATGACAAGGCTTTGCATTAGCACAAAGTAGGGGTCTCCTTATTCAATTTGCAATTGTAGCAATATTGATAGATAAACAATTTTTTTTACACCGGAATGAGTCATAACTAACCTGAGGGCAGAAGGTGAAAATCGTAAGTAATTCCCTTCACCACAATTGTATGTCCAGCATTGTTTCCTCCTGCACTCCTTGCGCACACATCTGCCTCGCTGCAGAGGATATCAACAAGTTTTCCCTTCCCCTCATCACCGAACTGGCTGCCCAAAACTACGGTAGCCATGGTTTGGGCAGGTTGTGTATTTTTCCTTTCGTATGGTCGCCTAGCTGGGTCGTCGGGAAAGAAACAGTCAACCAGCGAAGATGGCACGGTTAAGTAAAAATCAAAACGAGGCTCACCGCTTGGCGGGGTGAGGGGTGAAAAGAAAAGTGGGGTCTCTTTTGATGCAGGCTGGAAAGAAAAAAAATGGAGTAAAGCTTGGCGGTGGGGCACGCAATCGTTGCAAATTCGACCACGATCATTTCTTGGTGTTAATTGTCACTATCTACAACATACCTACATGTATGTCACTTGTAAAATTGACTTGGATACCCTACCACGGCCCGAAAAACTACCGCGGGAAAGATAGTTCTACATCAGTGTTAATAATGACAGTAAATTCACATGTGCGTACATACATGTATATAATACATACATGTATGTATACAGTACTAGCATGTTCTAATGTTTAACATTAGAGCGTATTTGACAACTGTCGATTTCGACAATTGACTGTTCGGCTTTGACAGTTGCGGGTCGCAAAATTGACATTATACTTCACGGACTCTCAAATTACTTACTAGATCTCGACCATTATCAGTGGTGACGAGATCGAGACACAAGGCCTTTTGCGCATTGATAGAGTCCAGCTCCAAGTTCCGGTACCATGTGCCGATACCCTCATCAATCAAAATTGACGGTTCGGCAAACTGCTATTGCAGCCGGCGAACTGTCAATTGTCGGAATCGACAGTTGTCAAACACGCTTTATTATAACTATATATAATTAGATAAAATTTCATTCCAGGTTGTTGCCGGACTCCGCCGAGTAGCGCCTGATTATTAGACTTAAGGTCCTGGATCAACCTACTTTCCTTGCCTGGTGAGATTTAAGAAAAGACAGCTCTATAATTTGATAAAAAGAATATATGGAAACAACCCTATATCAATTAAACTGTAATACTTATTACTACCTACATTAATCTCACTCCAGCCTGCTTGCTCTTTTTCGCAGCCGACTGGACTGCCGTCGCTGAAGTGCTATTAAGGCTTGAAGCTGCTTCCCTCTTTTTCTCGTCTTCAATTTTCTTGAGCCTCTTCTCGGTTTTTGCTTTTCCAGAGCCCTTACCATGGAATTGATGCGATAGATGTTTGAATGCCTGTGTTTGTCAGTTATGTAATGATGAAATATAAATTACAAAGAAACTAGGTGGATAAAGCATACCTCTTTCTGAGTCATGTCTCGCCCAAACTCGTCCTTATAGCTTAAGTTAACATCCGGTTTATACTCCTTAAACCTTTGCGCCATTTCCCTTGCTTCCTGTAGATCCCTCTGTCTATTCTCCCACCTAGCATGCTCCTCCCTCTCTCTGGCAGACATGCGATCAAACTTCCCGCTTTGTCTATCACGGAGTCTTTGCTGCTTAGCCTTCTCTTCTGCTTCAAGTTCACGTATCTTCTTTTCGATGCGGAACTTTTCACGATCACGGAGGAGATTGATTTTGTTATCCGCCTCCTCGTCCCGTTTAAGTAGACCGCGTTGATTGAGCATGGCTAGTGTTGCACCCACGCCACGAGAGATGGTCATCTCCTCGTCCAGACCAGTACTTGAGATCTCCGGCGGTGCTGGGGCAATTAAACCTAGATCTTTTTGATCCTCCTCTCCATCTTCCATCTTGATATCTCCATCATGCCCTTCAGGCTCTGGAGAATTTTCCATAGCACTAGCTGCAGGAGTAGTAAGAGGGGCAGATCTGGATTTCCTCCGTTCCGGAATAACAGGCGCCCTGAGTGCCGCCACAAACTCAGTCGTCTCATCAATGACGAGACCAACCCCATCATCGTCTTCACCTTTCATTTGAGTATCTTCTATATTACTCTCTTCACGTAGTTGACGTGCTAAATCGTCGGGTTTTAAAATCTTACGTTTCTTCAATACCATTTTACGTTGCATAGCAAGTGAACTTTGTAGATCGTCATCGTCGATGAAGGAAACGTCTTCATAAGTTCTCTTCGGTTTGTGGTTTGGTTTGTTATCAACCTCCATAGTTTCCCCATCCGCCTCTGATTCCTCCTCTTTAATTGTTGGTGGGGGTGCAAGTGAATCCTCAACATCGCCGGACTTCTTTCTTGTGCTCTTCTTCTTCTTTGGTTTCCTGATCTTTATGGTAGCTGGGTCCGCATAATCCGGCATAATCTCTGGTTCTACATCAACCCCTCACAATTAGCTGTGTTTCGTATCCAAGAATGTGGGCGCACATATACTCACTCGGTATATCTAAGGTAATTGGTTTTGCCTTGAGTTTCTCAGCAATTTCTTTCCGGTGAACGTCGGACAAGTCTTCGGTATTCCCACTGCCATCTAGCACAAACCTCTTCTTCTTCTTGCCGTCTATCTCCTCGTCATATTGGGCAAGTATAGATGTTTCTCCATTAGCAGCTTCATGGGGATTATAAACCGGTTTTTTCTTTTTGAGCTCCAGCCGCTCCTTGAGGCGCTCGCGTTCCGCGAGCGTCGTAGAAATAAGCTCGTCTCCGTCCTCCTCTAGCCACCCACCAAACAATCAGTCCAATTCTTATTTGAGTTATAACGATATATACTCACCTTCATCCCCGATTGTTGAATCCTTTAATGTTAACACCATTCCCTCCTCTCCAATTACAAGTTCCTCCAAATCATGCCCCACCCTCACACCCTTCAAATCCTCCGCTGTATAGTCCTTAGTCTCCCTCGCTAACCTCTCTAGTTCTTCCTCCTTTTCTTTCGCCATCTTCTCTGCTAGCTTCTTTTGACGCTTCTTCATCTTCCGTACCCACGTTGTCGTGTCCTCCTCATTCTCGTCCGCCTCCCCAAGTCCCTTGCCTTCCAGCACGACAAATCGCTTCGCTGCATCGCGTGCCTTTTTGATGCCTTCAGCACGTGCACGGCGTGCAGAGTCGGCTTCAAGGACGGACTGGTGGGTTTTCCAGTTGTCGATAGCACGACGATCTTGAGACTCGGTCGAGTTGTCGAAAATGGGAGTGGTATCTGTGGCACTGGCAGTGGTGTTTGTAGAAGGAGGGTCAGCTTTGAGAGGCTTGAGACCGAGTGATATTCGGAGCTTATTAGTTTCCTCGAGTGATAGTGATTCTTCCATTTTAGAGGATCAGTGAGGGGGACTTGAGCCTTGAGGAGCGGAGTTTGATAATCGCGAATCCGAATCGCGAATCGTAAATCTAGATCCTAGGCCCCGGAGAGACTTGGCGCCAAGTAATACTCGCACGTTAATTACTGTAAGTACATGTAGTCGGATATCGACATTTTAATTAACGACTGAGTGCTTACGAGCTAAAACTCATATGCCATTAAGGACTTCAACATTCTCATTAAGGTTTAATTTGGATGAAACAAAATCTCAGAATCAACCACTTAAAACACGGGTGTATCGTGCATATACATGTATGTTTATATTTATATGTTAGATTCTGATGCCTTGGATTGCACTTGTATACGCAGCTCTCCAACCTGGTATCCCTTCCATGGATGAAACTTGTCAAATTCGCGACCTGGACCGTGCACCACTTAGTAGGGGAATTGTGTTGCCATTTACGGTTGATAACAACAACAGAACCAATTAAGAATTAGCAAAAGTTACCACACAAGGCTAATGATAGCTGAAAGAGGGAAGTCGCGAATTTGACAAGTTTCATCTGTGGAAGGGATACCCTCAGGGCCAGATAAAAGTACCAGACAATGCAGGTTTTTGGTTCATCAATGGGTACGCCTAGGCGTGAGCTGCTGAAAAAAAAAAAGAAGAAAAAAAGCCCAGAGACAAAACATGCATTCTACGACATGTCTTGCTGATATCGACATGTAGGTATATGTGTATATAAGCGCAGTATGATATCGATGGAATTATTTGGCTGGGCACAAGACAGATGCTAAAGTACATGTATGTATTTCGGTAATTACATGTATACATAAATACAGTCCAAAAATAAATTTAAATTCCGGAGTTCTTGGAGATCCTTCTCCAATGTTCTAATGAATTCCTGTAAGAGGTGAAGACTTTTATCCAAGGGTACGGATCTCATTGGGATATGGAACGGATCCAACAATGTGCATACCGATAACGTCGAGGGTGACCCTAGAATATTTATGTATATGGTTAGTTCTCTGTGGAAATTAAATGTAGCCTTCCGCTGTCTTGAATTACTTGACTTCATCGACTTCTTCTTGCAACTGAGGAAAGCGTCGACATATGTCCCAGTACTGAGGGCATCCCCTGAAAGTGTTTACTTTGGGTGTCAAGGGGATCAATTACAAATGTTTATATATCTCGGGGTGGTGGGTTGACTACATCATGAATGTATACATTGTATCTCGGTCATTCAATTTTGTCTTGGCTACATGTAATTGGCCAGCTATTGCAATGCTGAGTGATATGCTATGTCCCAGGTTGTATTTTATGAATGATCCACATATATAGAAGTTACATACATGTAGTCAACTGCCTATAGCTTACGAGCAGCAGGCTGCTCATTGTAGGGAGTAAAGGCCTAAGATCAACAAAATCAATCAAGAACTTATCAGACAGGGTTTTCGGCTATAAGTATTTGAGAGTACATGTATCAATGCCTTTCGATTTGAATCAAGGAGGGCGCAATCCCTTCAAACATGTACAAATAAGTACTTACATACATGTACACAAATAGAAAGGGACAAATAAATGAAGAAATAAGCGCGCCGAACCCTATCTAAATATTTGAATAGACCCACCACCACAAGTAACAGCCCAAACCCTAAATCCATTCGCTCATACATGCAACTACAAGTAACTATCAAAGAGAATAGAAATATGAGGAAAAGTAAAAAATAAAAAATAAAAAGCAAAAAATGGATTACCAGTAGAAAATATTAAAATCAATTGACTCAAGGTTGGATAATAATCTCATACCCTAGCAGTACCTCTGTGCTTGCGCCTTCCCACCCCCTATTACCCGCAGTTGAGATCATGTATTGGCAGGTCGTATCGACATCTACATAGATGTTATAATTTGAGACTCCAGAGTGAAAGAAGGGCTTAGATTTTATGATATAAGACTTACATATTGATGATATAACACCTCCATGGTGTCCCGGAATAATTAAGAATGGGACGGTCGACTTTGTCCCTTGATCGCTCAGATCATATAAGCGTAGATTATCAAACGACGCGCTAATTTTCAGATCAATTACTACTCAAGTAGGGTTCTTGATGGCAAATACTAACCAGATCAGGTGCCTGCCATTGGGCATTGCGGCCAATGCGGAAACTGGCCCACTCCCCATAGGGAATCTCATTGTTCTTACAGGCTCTCCAACCCCTTTATGAACGTTGAATTCCTCTACTGTACCATTTCGTCTCCCAACATAGACAAAGTTACCATCCGTGCTCCAGCATGCATCCATACACCAAGGCGGAACTCCTTTTGACGGAGTGCTTGTTGCGACAGGCGTGTGCTGCCGGCGGTCCCAAATCCTGAATGTTCCATCCATAGATGATACTAGAAACACATTTTGGTCCGTCGTGGAGGCTGAAGATGATGCTGCTGTAGGAATATGATTGGTAGAAGAAACATCGTGATGATGCACGCCGTTGGTACCATTGGAACCCCCACTATTTTTTGTTCCACCTGAACCGCTGTCACCCATAGTGATGTCCCCGTCATCATCGCCTTTTTGACTTCCACCCCCGTTTTGAGAAAGCTTTGTATCACTATTAAGCCCGGATCCACTGGCAATGGCTTGGCTCATCTCATCTACCTCACCACCCCCCATACCCATATCATCATCATCATCGCCGAATAAACTCCCATAACTCCTCGTGCTCTCTGCCGGGCTTCCTGGCGCATCCTCGTCACCATCGTCTTTACTTGCTCCATTAAGCCCATTGGGAAGACCGCCATCTCCCCTTCGTCCCCCAGATGCTCCATTTATTAGGCTGTCTTTTTTGATCTCTTGCCAATTATCTGAATTTGGTCTAAAAGCAATACTTGAAACTTGACCTGCATTGGAAAGAAAATCCCGTGTTGTTTGCCCGGTGTTTAAGTCCCAATCGTAGACATTCCTATCCCAACTCCCGGATAAAAGGGACCTTTCGTCTGAAGAAAGCGTGAGTACACTAACTGCCGAAGTGTGTTTTCGTAGCGTAGTGATAATCTTTCCTTCATCATGGCGTACTGATTGAAGATTGATACCACCACTCTATATAGGCAACGGTAAGTACGGTTCATGCTATAATTGAAGGCTTTAAATACCTCTAAACCGCTCAACAGCCATAGACTTTGGTTTTGAACTGCCAAGCTGTATACGGGACTTAGCTTTAGATCATCCGTTGTTTCCGGGATATACAGATGTTCAGATTTGACTACATAGGTGTCAGTTCATAGTAGAGTTTCATTAAATAAGGTAGACGAACCAACTGGTTCTTCGTTCTCCCAGTATGATAGCAAGATGCCAGCCTGTCAATAGTAATACCGCGTTAAATATTGCCTACAATGTTGCATGTTTCAAGAGGACTTACCCTGGTGACGCTATCAACAAACGGATGCCGTTGAGCAACAGTCAAGGGAACCCTCCCATTGATGCTTCCAAACCAATCGAAGCGCCTTATATAACCGTCGCTTCCTCCTGTAAATATCCACCGCATGCAAGGTGTTGCGCAAAAAGCGTTTATGCTTGTAGATTGGGGGGCTGCTACATAAGGTACAATATCATATGTGGAAGCTGTTCCAGCACCTTCTCTCAGCTTTGGGCGTGGTCGGACATCCTTCGGCTCTTTTGAACTTGATCGTGAGCGATGAGGTCCCGGCGGGTGCTGCGAATCTAGTATAAAGGTTAGTCGAAAGATATATGGAACGTGATAGGGATGGCCGAGAGTTTACCGTCGCCGTCACCGTCTCCATCACCTTCCTCATCGCCCTCGTTCTGATCATCCCCATCAGGGTCAGCGTCCCCATCCACATCGTCATCATCATCAGAATTGTGATCGGATTCGTCTTCGTTTTCCTGGTCGTGGTCATCCATGTGGTCGTCCTGCTCATTGTCCGAAGATCCGGCGTTGGAAGCTAGAACGAATCGTTGGTTCAGTATTGGTCCCCAAAGCTACTGGCGATATGCCTATAAGGTTCTACGGATCAAAGAGACAAAGAGATATATGGGGCTTGATAGAAAGGCTTCAGTTACCATTATCATTATGGTTTCGTTCATCATCTGAATCCATCTCGCCGCGCATTCTAGTTCCCTACTTGCTTGATCCAATCGCGTCTTTTTTTCTTCTGGGTGCTGTTACCCGATAGAATTTCGAGGTTTGCGATAAGCGTGTAAGGGCTCCCAGTGAGTATTTAGTGAAAAAACAATGTGATAATCTACATGCCCATTCGCATTCACGGTGTGGTTATCTGTAGGTATTCGACCGTATTCCCTAAGTTAACGCGATCCAAATCCCTTGCCCTAATTGATACATTCTGCCAAGAATCTGTATGCGGTACTCTAGCTCAGTACATTTACCCCCACATGCATGTTCATTCGATAAGCACTACCAAAACATACCTTTGCGTATCTAGGCAGGGGAAGTCCTAGCCGGGCCCACTCTTCTAGTAGGGACAACTGACTCAACTTATGGGCATAAAAACAGTGACAATTGATACCCTTGCAGGGAAGTGACCTTCTACTCCAGATTGGTACAGCTTGTACGGAGTCCAATAAATAGCCTAAGTACATGTATCCTAAAAGGAATCGAGTACAACATGTAGCTATATCAACTCTACCTGTAGACTACATTCCCTCTTACCTAGAATATCACAGTTATGAAAGAAGCTGCAGCTAATGCGTGATGAAGGGCCACTACCACGGCAATTGCCGAGATTCTACGAGCCGCATTCTGAACTTTTATAGATCTACTCCATATGCATCTTCATCCGACGTATTCTGGAGAGTCGGTTTTGGTGAATTCAAAGGGTATGTAATGAACCTTGTGAATATGCAATTAGGCCTACTACATGCCTTGGTTATTGCACTGGAGGCCTGAAAAAATGCCAAGACACCCCACTTACCCTCGAAATTATGAACGACTACATGTACATACATCTTATTTTTGCTGGATGCCTGGAAGCCTTAATGATCCACCAAGTTATTCTATCACATCCTTACTTTATTCATGATTTGACATATCTACTGCACCCTACCTCCCGACTGCACAAACAATCGTTTCTTTAACCTCTCCTCCTTACTCTTTCCTCTCATCTTGACTCACCAATACATACTGTACTCAATATGCCTACCATCACCAGTACTAGCAGCAGCAGCAGCAGGAATGGCGCAAATGGAGGTAGCCGGAAAGACCAACGAAAAAAAAACCGCGAATCCAAGCTTACAAAGGGCAAATCTGCAGTTCCAAACGAAGATGGCCCAGAAGAAACCGCCAACCAAGCTTCTATTGGGGCTCCTGAGGAGGTTGGGGATATAAAAGACAAGCTTGGTGAAAGTAGTACTCAACAGGATGTCCGGGATTCCGAGAATAGTAGTGAAGAATTATCACTAAAAATCTACGATGGAGACAATTGGGGACCAGATTCTCCCTCTACGGGTAAGGGCAAGATTCTTAAGAGGGGAAAAAGGAGACAAGAAAATCATGATCTTCCACCGCTTCAGATTGCCGGGATAGTCGCGCCGAGCAGGGAAAAAATCTTAAGAGATAGGGAATCTTCCATTACCCAAGAAGAGTTACACACGGATATCTCTGAGAGGATACATAGAGGAGGGAGGGGGGGAGGGGGAGAAATAACTAATCCGGGAGTACAGAGGAACGAAAAAGTGGCCCGGTAATAACTATCTCGATACATCACTTGAGACTCATCTGACTTAACTCTAAATTTTCTGCCTATAGTTTCGAGAGAGAAAGTACAGACCACTTCGAAGCAGCATGGCGTAAACGCCCGGACGTACCGACAACCGAGGAATTGCTGAGCGAAGTCGTAGATCTTCCAACAAATTGCATTGACGGCGCTTTTGACAGTGTCGATGATTACCTTGAAACACACTACGAACTTCTGAGGGAGGATGCGTTTGCATGCCTTAGAGATGCCGTTTTACTTATGAAGAGTGATCCAAATACCGGGGATACACATGATGTCTCCATTTACGAGGATGTGAGTTCATCTGTTTTACGGGTGTAGCTTCATTTTACACTCAATGCTAAAGCCTGTGTGTTATTTCTAGGTTCGTGTACTTGGCCTAACATTCTCAAAAATGGGAATTGCCACTAAGGTATCATTTTCTACCAATCGTTCAGGAAAAAATATTCCTTGGGCGCACTCAAAGCGACTGCTTCCTGGTACACTCGTATGCCTCTCGCCCGATAACTTCCAAACAGTCAAAGTGGCTACTGTTGCAGCCAGACCTTTGTGCGGGCTTGAAATGAACCCCCCTGAAGTTGATCTACTTTTCAACGAAACCGAACTTGAGATTGATACAGAAAAAGTCTTTCTCATGGTGGAATCACGCAATGGATATTATGAAGCATATAAGTGGACTCTCAGGGCGCTGCAGAGGATGACAGAGCATAAGTAATTTTACTACTATCTTTGCTCTAAAGTCACTATTCCTATTACTATTACTGATATCGATTCTTGGCAGTTTTCCCTTACACGAACATATATGCTTCCTTAACAAAAACATTCCACCGCCGCGTTATGTCACGCAAAAACCATTTCTCAATCTCGCCCCGATATTTCCAGATATACCGGATAAGGAACCTTTGGAAGATGTTGATATCATCAAGGCGTGGCCTCAAGATCCCTTGACCGCCATGGACAGCACACAGATGAGGGCTTTACATTCAATTTTAACCAGGCGTGTTTCGATTGTCCAAGGACCCCCAGGTACAGGGAAAACATACGTTAGTGTCCGGGCGTTAAAGCTTTTGCTGCACAATATGGACGCAGTGGACCCGCCTATCATTGTGGCATGTCAAACAAATCACGCTCTAGGTAATCCTTAGACCCCCCCCCCCCCCCCCGCGGGAGCTTCCTCCTTACTACGGCTCAGTTTAGCTTCTAATTAATTCTAATATAGATCAACTTCTAAATCACATCCTTGAATTTGAAGACGAAGTCGTGCGTATGGGAGGTCGCACACAGGACAAAGACAAAATCAAAGATCATACGATATTTGAATTGAGAAAGAAATCAAATGTCAAAATACAGGGCTCCCAACATGGCCATGCAACAGCGAATTTAAAGAGAATTCGGGACAAGATGATGAAGCTTTTCGAATCTCTCAAACAGGAGGTTCTGACGGTAGATGACTTATACGACAATCGCCTCATCACTCCAGCTCAAGCCAAAAGCTTCAATGAGCGTTCGGCAGGTTGGATAGTACCTGAAGAAACCAATGAAAAGGGGGGTATCATTGGCCAATGGCTTGGTGAGTACCTTAAAGAAATTCAGGTTCAGGAAGTTATCTGCAATGGAGATGAGGAAGGCGATATCGAAGAGGAGAAAAGGAAGGAACTTGAAGAAGATTTCCTTCTTTCGGGGCCTAGCGCAAATGGCGATAAAATAGATGATAGGCTCAAGGGGGATTGGTTTGCGATGGGTCGTCAATACACCGTCGAAAACCCAGCCGGTGTTACAATGGCAGAAATTCAGCAAGCCAGACGTGTACAAAATGTTTGGGATCTTGAAGGCTATATGAGAGCAGCCCTATACCATCACCTCAGGACGGAGTTCATAAATAAGATTTGGAATGAAGTCATAAATCTCAACAAGGATTACCAGCGCTATTGTCAAATGTTGAAGATATCAAGGTTGGAAACTGACGCTCACATAGTTTCTAAGGCTAAACTCATTGGAATGACAACAACTGGATTGGCTAAATATAGAAGTATCATTGCAGCTATAGGCCCGAAAATCGTGTTGATTGAAGAAGCAGCAGAGGCCTTGGAAGGACCCGTGGTGGTCGCATGCATGCCGAGCGTTGAGCACCTGATCCTAGTGGGAGATCACAAACAGCTTAGGGGCCATTGCTCTGATATGAACCTCTCCGATGATCCCTACTATTTAGATATCTCAATGTTTGAACGTTTGGTAACGAACGAAGTACCATACGTGACATTAAGAACACAGAGACGTGGGTTTCCTTACAGCCAGAGATAATAAAGAGGGGTGCTAATTAATTCGGAAAGGCATGAGGCCGGAGATTCGTGAAATCCTGAAACCAATTTGTACGAAAAACACTCCATATCAACCTGTTTCTTAAATTTACTAACTGGCCGATATATAGATGAGGATACACTCGTGGATGATAAGAGTGTTCTAGGCCGAGAATCAGTCCAGGGAATGGGCGATGTGAATGTAAGGATCTATCTTCTAAAAGACGTCCCTGTACTTATTTTGTATCCAGGTCTATTGGTATACACATTTCTACGCAGAAAGTGTTGATGAGGTCCATTCACGCGTGAACGAGAATGAGGCCGTAATGATAGTTTGTTTCGCAGAATACCTTGCGTTGAACGAATTAAGCCCCGATGAGATAACTATCCTCACATTTTACGCCGGGCAGAGATCTATGATTCTCAAAACGTTGAGGGAAAATAAAAATCTTGCCGGGGCGAATATCAAGGTCAGAACCGTAGATAGTTACCAGGGAGAGGAGAATACAGTAATTCTTCTGAGCTTGGTGAGGAGTAATGATTATGACCAAATTGGATTTTTAGATGTATTATTAATCCCCTTCTCTAGTCAGTTGTACGAATGGCTGACACTGTTTAGGTTGAAAATCGTGTTTGCGTCGCCCTATCACGTGCTAAGAGAGGTCTCTACATATTTGGAAATGCTTCAATAATCACACAGGCCAGTAAATTGTGGTGGGAAGTCGGAAATATTCTCAATGCAGCGCCATCAAGACTTGGAATTTCCCTTCCCTTGACGTGTCAGAAACATAAAGTCAGGATAGCGATAGAAGGTATGACTTATCCTTAGTGCAATTGTTTATCATTAGTCTAACAATTTACGGGAATTTAGATCCTAAGGACTGGGTCGACATCAACGGAGGCTGTCGTAAATGGTGCAAGGAAATATTGCCGTGTAATCACGCCTGCATCTTGAGATGCCATCCGTGAGTATAGGACTTCAGCAAATCCAAGCCGTACTAACCAAAGATTAGGTTTTCGCACGATAACGTACGGTGTAGTTTCCCATGTGCAAAGATTCTTTCATGTAACCATCAGTGCGGTAATATTTGTTCGAAAGAGTGCATTTGTACAAAATGTGGCAAAGAATCAGAGAAGCCACGGCCACCACCGCCGGGTCGTTCTAGCAATCTAGTCACTGCTCCTAACCAACGGCCCCCTACTCCTCCTGTTGCCGCTATTGAAAACCGCACAACAGAAAGGCCTCCTATACATACTGCGAGTGTCGATAGGCCGCAAGCCGCTCCACCTAGGCTTGTCGATGTTGATGATGAATGGGCGGCTGCGCTACCAACAAATCGGGCACAAACAGTAAAAACAGAGGATAATTTCCCAGAAATTCCTAGCAGGGCTATGCCTTTTGCGTATCCTAAGGGTAATAATAATAACCCTCGGGCCCAGAACGAATATCCCCAGAAAATCTATCAAGAAGGTCGACCAGGGGAGGACTACCCCCAGGGCAACTACGATTATCCTCAGGATAACCATTCTTTCCAGAACCGGGCTCCACCCCCGCAGAGCCGTCCTCCGCCCCCACAGAACCGCCCTCCACCCCCGCAGAGCCGACCTCTACCAACCCTCAACACCGTCCGCCACCCTCTCAGAACCGCCCTCGAGAAAACTACCAACAGGAAGGCTACCCACAGGACAGCTACCAGGATGACTACATACGGGACGATTACCAGCGAGAAAATCCTTCACTGGATAACCGCCTAGTTGTCCGTCCTCGAAACACCCATCCTCCAAACTACCCTAACAACTTTCCCCATGGCCAGGGCAACTATCAGGACGATATCATTAATCATCATCAAGGCAATTACGACGACGTTGATTACAACGGAGGCAACGGGTATCCCAACCGCGGGGGTCCTGCGGCGGCAACTCGCGGCGCGGCTTATGGCTCTGGTCGCCGTCAGGTCAGAGAGACATGGGTAGAGGACGAACGAAATTCGCATTTCGTAGAAAGGGAAAGTGGGATGCAGAGAGGAACATACGGCCATTGGGAAAACAGAGAATACCCAACGCAAGAGCGCAGAGCTCCGGAAGAATGGCCGTCTCTAAGAGGGCCAATGAATTCGCACAGAGGCTTTGAACCAGTACACCCTAGGGGTAATAATAATAATAATGTGTGGCACAAGAATAACCCACATCACGGGCCATCTACTAGAGGGGGCGGCGGATCGAGGGGAGGGCGTGCCTCATATACCGCTTATCGCTAGCTGTAGCTAGCTGGTAGTGTCCCCTCCGTTTTTTTTCTTTCTCTTTCTTTTTTTGTTTGTTAAAGCTCAACTACATGGTTAAAGTGCTGTATTTGTGCTTAAAAAATCTGTTCTCCTTTTTTTCCTTTTTTTCAATTTTACAAAAGTTTACTAGCTGTTATACATGGTTAGCGTTTTGGGGCGTACAAGGTCGGGGGGTTGGGGTTGGGGTGGTGGGTAGGGTTGGGCGGGTTTTTGTTTTTTTCTTTCTTGTAAACATTTTTCTTTTATTTAGGTATCTTCAACCAGTATCAATAGAGACACCATTCTTAGATGCGAGTCTTGCAACCTTTAAAACCCCAAGCGGTGGCTAGAAAGGGGGGGAAGGACCGGAAGTTAGGTAGCTTATCACCGAGTGATGGCCTATGATCGCCGCTCCTACCCACCAGTTCTGGGTCTGCCAACGGGGTGGCGCGATGGCTGATTCGTTATTATAGAAACCGGGGAGCTTTCTTTCTTTGATGTTGTCCCGGCGTTGCTGTATGCCGGATCTGCGGGAAAAGGTACAGCCCGCCGCACTGGCGTGTCGAGTGAGAATCTGTGACGCACGCTTCCCGGATCGCGCTGGCTAAAGCGGGTACATGGGATTCTCGGGGTAGATAGCTGCGCTGCTGGAAGCGAGGATTCTTGTGGACTGGGTTATATATACTCTGGGCGTTACTTATGAGATACGGAAGGCAAGGCGCGGTCGGCATGCCTAAGGCCAGGAACAATACCCCCAAGCTATGCGCCCACACCACAACCAGACCCAACTTCGCATAGATAGGGGGTTAATAAGGCTTGAACGGACGGATATGGATTCTAGACTATTACTGTGCTCTACATAGAAAAACTCTGGGAGTGTTAGCTGGGATCATGAGGGATCACTCGCTCTGCCGCGGTAGGCGGGGCGGAGTTTCTTTAGCATTTACTTGGTGTTTTTTGGCTCATTTGTGGGGTTTAGTGTGAGGCATGATTACAATCGATCAGGTTTTTCGCCTCTAATCGAGTCAACTCACCCTCCCAGACCCATCAAATCATACTCATGATTGATTGATGGTATAAACTCATACCTATTCGATTATTCTGATTGATTACAGTATTATATCTTCGGCCTTCAAGACAGAATTTCTTACCAAAATTGACCTTCGTCAGGTTTATGAGAGGGGAAATGATTATTTGCCGGTCATATTTCATAGTTTGACTGTCTCTTTGGACTTATATGATTTAATCGATTTATTGCAAAAGACTAATCGTGATTATGATTCGAAATGTCACCCCTAATCGAGTCTAATCAAATCAAATACTCGATTTTTGTACTCGATTGTAGTTAACTCATGCCGCACACTAGTGGGGTTTATGTACCCGGGTTGGTGTGGCCGGATGAGTGTCGGGACTCGGCGGGTTACGCTTGGTCCAGTGTTGGTGTTCGCCTGGCTGCACGGGGTCTGCTGGAAGGATAGATGTAGCTAGGAGGGTTAAAGGCAGGTGTTAATTTGATATGATATTCATAATAAGGCCCTGAATGGCGAGAAGTCTATAACTCACAAGTATCATGCCAATAAGTGATCCAATCACAAATTATCACTCGATCTATTCTAGCTACATAAAAAGCTCAACCAAGGGGGGAAAAAAAGGAAGACGGAAGAAGAAAAAACGAGAAAAGCCACCCAAACCCCACTCCACCCCCTACCCCGATCCCGCCAACCTCCTAATCCGCTCCTCGGCGGCCCTCGCCCTCCTCTCCCTCTCCAACCTCACCCTCGCCTCCTTCGTCAGCCCCGCCTCCTGCTCCTCCCTCCTCCCCATCCCCATCTGCACCGTCGACCCCAAATTCCTCCCCCCCTCCCCGGCAACCTCCGACTCTCCGCGGCCTTCCTTTCCGCCTCCTCCGCCAGCCTCGCAACCTCCCTCTCCCGCCGCCTACGCTCCTCCGCCTCACCGCCCTCCCGCTCGCGCTGCCCCCGCTCTTCAGCCTCAGCCTTCGATAGCGCAGCGGGCACGCCGGCAGCCTCCCAGTCCCAGGCGGCCTCGCCGAGGTCGTGCCGTGCGACGCGGAAGGCGTCGCGCGTGGGCCGGTCGCCGGAGAGCTCGAAGGCGGGGCGCGGCTGCGCGGGGGTTGTGAGCGTTGGGTCTGCGCGCGCTTTTGTGAGCAGGGCTGTGACGATGGCGGGGGAGGAGGAGGACGCGGCGAGGTGCAGGAGCGTGGGGGAGTGGTGGTTGGGGGGCGTAAAGGTGTAGTTTGGTGAGAGGGAGTGCGTGGTGAGGTAGGTGAGGAGTGCGGGGACTTTGGAGCGCCGGATGAGGGCGCTGAGTTGGGTGCTGTGGAGGTGGGCGGTTTCTTCGGCGGGGGTGAGGCGGGTGGGTTTTGGCTTGGTGGGTGCGGGGGTGGTGGTGCTGGTGGTGGAGGTGGTGAGGGCGGAGAGGGATGTGGTGGTCAGCGTGGAGGTCTTCATCCGTGTGAGCTCGACAAAGCAGCGCATCAGCTCCGACTGCGTCGCGCGGCGGGTACTGAACGGGAAGCCGCGGATCCGTGGATCATTACTCCTCAGCGGCGCGCCCTCCCCAAACAGCGTACGCCGATTCGAGTTGCCCACCGCACGCACAAACAGCAAGTCCGCACTATCCAGCCACTCCTTCCACCCCGCCAGCAGCTCGTGGATCTCCGCCGTCAGCGCAACCTCATTGTATCGCCGCAACGAGCTACCGGCAGAGTGCGCAGCGCCCTTGGCGGCGTCGCTCGCGGATTGTGCACCACCTTGCTTGCGCCGCGTGGTGTAGCGGTGGAAGGTCTTGTGCGCGAGGATGGCGGCGGACCGCTCGCCGCCGGTCTTGGCGACTTTGGGAGCGAGGGAGACGACCATGGCGGCGAAGTGGCCGCCGCCGATCATGCACATGAAGATGTGTGGTTCTTTGCCCTTGGGCTGCGCGGAGAGCTGCTTCGTGCGCAGGGCGTCGAGCCAGGATGCGTCTGACTGCTCGGGCTTGGTGAAGAGCGCGCGGTACACGCCGAGTGATGTCTCTGCGGGGAGGAGCGGCGAGTTGAACCATATTATGGGGGCTTTGCCGGCGCCCTGTTTCCAGCCGGCGGCGACGGCGGTGGTGGTGGGCTCGTCGTCCGGGTTGGCGAGGACGGCGTTGCGCTTTAGGAGCGCGGAGAGCTGGTCGGTGGGGCCGCTTTCGCCGTCGTCGTCGGAGCTGCTGTCGGAGCCGGAGATGCTCTCGTTGAGGCCCTCGAGGAGGTCGTCGAACTCGGCTTCGGTGACAGGCGGTTGGCCGCGGACTTTGCGCTTTAGGTTGAAGTTGTGGATGTCGGAGCGGGCGTGGGCGCGCTGCTCGGCGACGGTCTTGTTGGTGATCTTGCAGAGGGCGCAGGAGGTTGAGGAGGCGGTGTCGGCATCTTGCGGCGCTGGGGTGGTGGTTGTGGTGGGCTGGGTTTCCTCAGGCGTGGCCGGCTGGTCGGTCCGTAGCGTGAGGGTTTCGAGGAGCTCTGGAGGGATGTCGTAGACTGTGGATTGTTAGATGTGTAGATGCTTGGGGGGGGGGGGTAGCTAGTGAGTACAAACCGTACACTGGACGCTTGAGGAGATCCTCTTCTTCTTTGACCATTGTGGGTTTGCGTATGGGTTTGTTAGTATAAAGAGATGGCTGTTTTGCAGTCGTAGTGAAGTCTCTGCAAACTGCAGTCCCCAGAGATGTTGTTCTTCAGATCAAAACTCCGTGATGGTGGGGCTTCCTGTATATCGATAAAGAGATGAGCGAGTCCCTGTCAGTCTTCAGGCTTCCCTTCAACCCACAAATGACGCAGAGGTGTCCTCGCCAAGAGTTTTGCAGCTGAGTCATGCATCAAGCAACACCGCATTCCTCGGCACTAGGCCGCGGCGGGTTAGTGCGCATGGCGGGAAAGACACCCTGGGGAGAGCTCTTGAAGCCACGATGCTGCAACAGGAAGCCCCCAGAGAGGAAGAAAGAGAGAGATATAAAGAGATAGGGCGGAGAGGAATGTGTTCATACATGTCAGAGAAGGAGGTGCCTGCCCCTCTCTCTCCCACGGCCATATCTCGAGGGAGCTGCTGCATCTGCCCAAGCCCTTGTCCCATGTATGTATGTAGAGCAGAGTCATGGCATGCTGCCGAACCATCGCAGTCTGAGGCTCAATTAGACATCTCCTTGGACATGCCTGTATCTAGATCTAGAGTACTCTATTCTGCTGCAATGTACCATCATGTCCCGAGTAGAGTACATGTACCTACCTACTCCATCTGTTCTACTCGACCTGTGCTCCTCTGCTCATAGACCTCCGGGTCCCCAATTAAACTTCCCCTATCCCCTTGGAGCAGAGCAGCGAAGACTCGCAGAGAGCATGTAGCCTAAAACAAAGTGCGTCCCAGAAAATGTAGGTATGTAGGTAATAAAACCCCAAATAATAAACCCCGGTAAGAGACATCCCAAAATTTCCCACGGCAGCTCTCTACCGGTGCCCTTACCACACCCCCCAAGACGAAATGGCGCATCGGCCCAGACGTTTTTTCTGAAGCACGACTACGAGGCTGAGACCATTTTTTCCTTTGCTTGCAGCAGGCACATATGCAGACTTGACCAGGGTGGTTTTTTTAGACTTCTTCTACCCATCATTCCCACCCCCCCGGCTCCCCCCCCCCCCCCCCCACACACACACCACACACACCACACATCTCCACCACCACCACAAACCACACTCCTCACTCGCTATGTATATGTAGACAGTAGCTACTACTACCACCACCACCACCACTACTTCTACAACCACAAACCATATATTATCACCAGAAACAGAAACAATTAGACGCATCTACAGACAAACGCATATGAACAATCCTCGGAAGAATCAACAGCAGAAGAAACAGCCATAATGACGACGACAATTCACCGCCAGATTGGGCGTATGGGCAAGAGGTCCGCCGACGATGTATGGCCATCACCATCATTACCTCCACAGAGCTGATCCCCCCAAGATGTGAATTAGCAGTAACTGACGAATCTCCCCAGGCCAGCGTAGCAATGATCATCAAGGAAGTCCACGACGCCGAGACTCTCCTGTCAAAAGTGCCCCCTCACCCCCCTTCCGCGGGCCCCGCATTACAGCACAGCTAACATCCCCCACAGCTCCTAGAGCACACAAAAGCCTGGCGTGATGCCTGGTCGTCAATCCTCGTCACTCAAGTTAACCTCACAGACTCTTTCCACGATGTCTACAAGACGATCCCCATGCCCGGGGACTCGAAGATCGAGGTTCTTGAAACGCCGACAGACACGCTGAGACGTGTTGCGACGCTGCATGCCGCACAGAATGATCTCAAAGCGGACATGCTGGACGAGATTGAGAAGGTGGATCGGTTGCTTGTTGAGAGATTGGGAGAGGCCAAGGTACGTTGCTAGTGTTACTCGGGGTTGGGAATTGCTAGCTGACAGGCGTGTTCGTACATAGGCGGCGCTGAAACCGGTCAAGAAGGCAATTGAGAAGAGAGAAAACAAAAAGCTGGACTATGAGCGCTTTAATAAGCAAGTTGAAAACTCGCGCGCAAAGAAGAACAAGTCGGACAGGTGAGAGAACCACTGTCGCGCGCTTGGTGGGACGGGAGCACATTGCTAATACCTTTATAGGGAATATTCGGTCCTATCGAAGGCAGAGATGGATGCCGAGCGGTCCAAGAACGTACGCAAAACTACCACAGCCAGTTATCTAGCTACAGGCTAACATATAATCACAGGCCTACGACAATGCCGACGAGCACATCAAATCCTTTGTGCCCCCACTACTTGCCAAGATTCTCGAATTTGTCCCATGCATCGTCGAGTTCATCGTGATGTCCCAGTATACCCTGCTCCAGAACACCTACAGCGCAATCTACGAGTACGCCAACGACTACGGCTACACTGACCCCGAAGGCGCCGTCGTAATCTCAGAATGGGAGTCCCAATTCCTACCCATCCAGCAGCACCTTGAATCCGAGATCACCTTTATCGCCCGCGGCAAAGCCATCACCATGCCCATGAACGTCATCGTCCAAGAAAAGAGCATCATCCCTCGCCTGGGCCGCTCAAACAAAGCTCCCCCGCCCCCACCCCCGTCACACCCGCCCGGCGGCGCCCCAAGCTACCAGGAGAAATCACCAATCATGAACCGCTTCCAATCAAAGTTCACCAAGGAGGAAGCACCACCCCCGCCCCCGCCGGTGAGTAGCAGACCTAGCATCCGCTCCCGCCCCTCCAACTCCAACCTCTCCGCGCACTCACGCGACGAGTCCCCACCCCCGCCACTACCGGGCCCACGGCCCGGGACAGCAAACCCGCAGGGCAGCTCCGGCGGCTACAAGGGCGTCGTCAGGAGCCGGTCCTACGGCGGTAACACGCCCCTTGCGGCAGTGGCACAACGGCACGCAGCCGACCCGCCGCAAAACAACTACCTCTCACCCAAGATCCCCGCGGAGATGCCGCGGCGCAAGAGCGACTCGACCGGGGGCGAGTTCCAGGGCGGCGGGAGCGTGCAGGAGCGGCTGGCCACGATCCGCGCGGGCCAGAACAGTTTGGCAAGGGTGGAGAAGGTGGTTGGGAATGGCGGTGGCGGCGGCGGCGGGGCGCCGCGGCCGCCGGTGTCGAGGCACCCGACGGGCGCGAGTATGGCGAGCGTGTCGAGCTATCGGAGTGCTGCGAGTGATTTGAGTAGTATTGCGAGTAAGAAGAAGCCGCCGCCACCGCCGCCGAAGAAGAAGAAGATTGGGTTGGGGCAGACGTGGGCGAGGGCGTTGTATGATTTTGATGGGCAGGATAGTGGGGATTTGAGTTTTAGGGAGGGGGAGAGGATCTTGGTGGTTAGGAAGACGGAGAGTGTTGATGGTGAGTTTTTCGGAATCTGTGTTTTTTTCTGTTGTGTGGTTTTGGGGTTGTGGCTAATAGATGATTGTAGATTGGTGGGAGGGTGAGCTTAATGGCCGGAAGGGACAGTTCCCGGCTAATTATACGGAGATTGTTTAATTAACCCCCACAAAACCAACGAGCTGGCTGAGACCTTTTTCTTCTTCTTGTTTTTTTCGTTTTATGTCTTTTTAAGGGGATAGCCAAGTTAGGGGTAATCCGGGGCATTACACGGGATTTTCCTTTATCATTATTATTGTTTTTGTTTTTTTAACTTTATTTATTGCTTTTCTCTTCTTCTGTGCGCGTGTCTGTTTCTCTTTCAGAAATACCTCCCTCCCTCCCTCCCCTTCACCTTCGAGGGAGTATATTGTAGGTGTTTTTTTATTTTAGCTTATTTTTGTATCGTTGTATTGCTGCTGCATGGGGATTGGGGTTGGGTCGGATTAAGCTCAGAGATATTACCTATCTTAAGGGCTGCGCTGTCTGTGGAGAGTATAGTAACATGGGGTGGGACTGGGACTGGTTAGTAGGGGTGGGATAGGGATAGGGATAGGGATAGGGAGAGAAAAATGGAAGAGAGAATGTTTAATCTACAATGTGTGTCTCTGGCTTTGCAATTTGGCTTTTATGGGGCTGGGAGGTGTGTGGGTGATGTGATGTGATGTGATGTGATGTGATACCTACATGTACTGGTACTGATAGTTACCGCGGGGGAGGAGGAGGGGTCAATGATCACGACGGGTTGGGTTGGGCAGCTCATGTAGGCAGAGTACCAACCACAGTGGAGTCCCGATAATAGCATTCTCGATAATAGCATATCCTCGACAGTAGCATACTAGTATAGTTGGGCAATCCTAAACGAGTCGGTATGGGCAAAGTTGTTCTCGATACAAGCATATCCCCGATAGTGGCACACGAAAATCCGTTCCCGACCATATACTACTATCGAGACCACACTGTACATACATGTATGTAGTACATCCCGTTCTTAGCTATCCCGCCCCGCCCCGCCCCGCCCCAAGGTTAAAGACACTAACAGACCTAGATTTTATACGTGAGACCTCGCCAGTTTGGCAATTAATTGGGTGCTTTGTAGTGGTACTGTGGTGATGCTGGACTACATGTAAGTACATGTATACAATGTACTCGCATTGCCGGATTGAAGCCGCTCACGAAGTACATACAAAAGAAAGGGTGGATAATTATGAAATTACTACCGCTGTCTTTAGCAATGGGATGGCACTGCTGTATACTTTGAGATAAAGTGGCATATTCTCACAATACCGTACTGATCTGTCTGATGCGGTGTCGGTTTTTCCTTCCCAATTTCTGATGCTGTAGAGTAGCTACGTAGATAGAGTACGTACGAGAAGAACGGGGTGAAAATGATCACTGGTAGTGTATGACTACGGAATTTGGCGAATAATACGGAATTAAACAACTACTCGCGTACAGAAGAAAGAATTATAAAAATGCACTTGCTTAGTTTATATTGGCAGAGCGGTGCCGCTCCACAGAAATGAGATTTGTAAGATAAGTTATGGTTGATCGCTGGCGGGCATGCTAATAATACTGCTATAGTACTGCGCTGCGCATGCGGGCATGGAGGGGGTGGTTTATTGCTTAGAGGTTGCGGTAAATATCAGGTTTTCTCGTTCTAGGGGGTAGGGCTACGTGCGGTGGAGTCATTATGATCAATGCTTCGAAAGGATACATAGATTGTGGGTGGCCAGCTTGCAATTGATAAAAAACCATGGAATCACAACGAACCTACCAAGATGCATTTCCATTAACCACATAGCTAACAAGGTCTCCCGAGTGATTCTCCATGAAGCCAGCTGCGGCTGCGGCTGCGGCTCCATATACTTACCTTTTTTTTCCCCCTAACCACAAACATACACATCCAGGCATCAGCCGTGCTTGGCGCCTCGTTGGTTTCAGGATCGACCTTTGGGGGAGGGGGCTTGGTAAAGGTGCAACGTTGGTTGATCCTCCCACCTCACTCTCTTGTCTTGTCTTGCCAGCCAGCCAGCCAGCCAGCCAGCCTACTTTCTCTGCTCAATTCCCTTCCTTTTCTTTCCACCTCACACTCACAGTTTCGATATCTTCTCTCCCTCCTCCTCCTGCTCCTCATCACCCCCCTTTTATAGTAGCTTTTTCTTCGCCTCGCAACACTACTACCACCTTAATCCTCATCATCCCGGCGACCATGGATAGAGCTCTTGACGACGTCGTGAGAGAGCGCTCGGTAGGTTCTTCCTTCTTCTGCGTGTGCTGGCTGCTGCCTCAAAACCCAATCCACTAACGCCCCAGAAGCGCGGAAACAATAATGGCGGAAACAATGGCGGGAACGGGACCGGGAATGGGAACCGAAGCCGCCGTAGGACAGATCGAAGGGGCGGCGTCAGAAAGGTTTGCCTTTCCCTAACCTTCTTTTCCCCCCAATTATCGTCGTCGTCGCGCAGGAAGAGAGCGAGAGAGAGAAAGCTAACGCGAGATGTGTTTTCGGTTTCATTACAGCCACAGGCGTGTTACCACCACCTCCTCCTTTGATCTCATCCTCCTCATATCCTCCTCCTCACATCCTCCTCCTATTTATAAGTCTTAGTACTCCTCTTCCTTCCTGATTCTTTGCTTCCCAAGAATCGCAATATGGGCCAGGAGAGGATTAACGGCGAAAAAAAAATATATCTGAAAAAAAAATCACAAACCTCACCTTTTTATTCTTTTTACGCAATTGTCGCAGAAAAAAAAAAGAAAAAAAGTTCCAACCTGGCTAACGTAATCGTCTTTCTTCTTTTTTCTGTTTGGAATTGACAGACCGGAAACCCAAGAGGATACAGCGATTCCCTGTTTGGACTCCCCGAATCCAGAGCTTACATTGGCAGGAGAGTAAGGCTAACGGTTGCCTAGAGCTTGGGTACACGATAAATACGAAGGCGATGCTTCCGGCGGAGAAGTATACAGACGCGGTGGATCAGCCGATGCTCGTTTTGCTTCTGAGACAGGCAGAAAGTTGGTTCTTCTATATTCTTAGGTTTTTTTTTGGAGCGCAGTATATTAATGGTGACCTAGTGCTCCCAGCTCGGGCAAATTGAGAGTTGAAAATATCCATTACGAACTTGGACGCGATGACCTTATGGTATGGGTTCTTTCAACTCAGCTAATGGTCTAAAGACAATATCTAACATCTTGCAGGAGCTTTTTGAGCGCCAGGGTATTGTCACAAAGCTCGAGCTCCAGTACGATCGTGCCGGCCGCTCGGAAGGCACAGCATTCGTGACTTACGAGCGCGAAGAAGACGCCAAGCGTGCTGTGGCCGAATTTGACGGCGCAAACGCAAATGGCCAGCCAATCCGCCTCTCCTTTGTCAAGCCAATCTCAACCTCCAAGTCTCTTTTCGACCGCATTAAGGCCCCTACATTGGACGAACGCTCTAGCTCCGAACCAATGCGCCGCGGTGGATCTGGAAGACGGGAGGCGAAATCGTCCCCTGGCCCGGATGTACGCCGTGATCCCACCCGCCGCCCTACACCCCCTGGTATCGACCGCTATGTGCCCCCAGAAAGACGACGTGAGCGTGCCAGAGCCGATGAGCCCCTAAGGGGTGGCGAGAGAAATCGCGGTGGAAGAGATGGCGGAAGGAACAACAACAACAACAGCGCAAGGAAGGAGAATCCTAGGACCGGTGCTGGAAATGGTAGAACCAGGAAGACTGTAGAAGAGCTGGACGAGGAGATGAACAATTACTTTGCAGAGGCCGGCGCCGAAACTCCAGTTCCTGCAGTCAATACTCATATCTCTGCACCAGTGGCTGATGAGGACGAGGAGATGATCCTTTAAATCTGGAGAAGCTTTCTTTTTTCCTCGCTCTCGTATTTTCTTTCAGCAGCTCAGTGTTTTACTCTCTTACTTTCGAGTTTTTCTATCCCCATTTTTAAACCCCTTTCAATTGCTGTACCCAATTTGCTACCTGCCCTAATAAGCCCTTGCGAAACGGAAAGGAAAAAAACTGGAAAAAAAAATACAAAGTGTAAACTTGTTTTAAATGATGGTTTCGGTTTTTTTCTTGTTTTTTTATGTTTGTTGTGATGGATATTAGGAAATTAAACAGCAAAAGCCTTTTCTTTCAAATCAATCGGCCCACTCCGACCGACTTCCTGTGGTTATTTATTTCTATTTGGTGGCTTGCTTTCTCATAAAACTGCACGGCGGCATTCCTCAGGGACCTGCATGTGGCCAAAGTAGTAGGAGACTGGACGAGGTTTTTGTTGCCTGAAAACTGAGTGTTTCTGGAAAGCCCTGCCAAGATCAAGCCTCGTCTATGGTTAACCCTTCGGCTCTTTTAACTTCCCACTTGAAATTGAGGCAGGAGCAGGTTTGTGATCTAGATTATCCACATTGTTAAGGGACATTATTGTGCAATTGCCACACACACTGACTGTGCATAATGCATATGCACTTATGCAGAAAGTGAATCATGTATCATCACTCGTGGTTCTCAAGCTGCGAGCGGTATGAAGTACAATATCGCACGTATACGTTTGGTTTATCTGAGACAGATGCATGGTCTCAGTAAAAGAATTTCAAGGAGAAGCTGAAGATAGAAGATAGGCCTCAATAGGCGCATAAACCAGTTACCTGCGTCGTCTAGACAGATTCATCTCGATCTTTCTGAAGAAAGAGCAAAGTCCTGCCTGACAGGTGCCTGATCCTCTCGGTTCTAGAAGGTAGCAAGGCGTAGAGAATTTATATATATTTTTTTAAATAAAAATAACTTGCTATATATTTAAAAGACCGGCAGGATTATGCTCATCCAACTTAGTTCTGAATATACATTTCAAAATGATTATGGCAGTTATGCTCTCGCTGTAAATGCGTAAATAACTGTGGCGTATAATTGTGTTGGAAATTAAGATGTTCTCTTCTTGGTGGTACGGTTTGGGGCAATTGGCTTTAATATGGCCCAGCCCAGCCCAGCCCGACTAGCCCCTCCATATCATGACATATCATGCCATATAAGGTATCTGATTGTTTTAACATTCATATCTTTATGCATTTAACGGCCGTAGGCTAGCCTATGACCAATGGTCCGACCAAACCTGAGTGATCTCCGCAGGTTAGGTTGTCCGTCCCGGTCTTTTGATACTTTGACACTGATACGTATCATATCATTCGGATTATCGTTATCTAGTGCTATTCGATGGTCTTTTGTTAAAACCTCATGAGCCGCGGTATCCCCCCAAAATGGCCAAGCAAGACACTTCGATCTTCACTCTTTGCTCAACCCCGTTCATTCCTGCTTAGTCGTTTTTTCAAACAAACACCTCCATGGTTCCTGGCTACGGAATTTTTATCGTGAGCCCGTTTATTAGTATTTCTGGGTCGTTGTGTTCTCGGACACTTGAAATGGGGTTTATCCCATCCATATTTAGGGCAGGAAGCCGGGCATCAAGCTTCTCAGACTACAAATAAGTAGAGGGGATATCAATCAATATAGAATTGTCTCCAGGCCTCGTCTATTCCATTAGCGCTCGTCCCATACATTGATCGAAGAGGGTTCATGAAAAAGCTAGCCTCGTACTATCCCCCATCGTTGTAGTCTATAGTGGAGCCCAGCAAACTCGCGAGGCAGCCCAGCCAGCGGCACTATTATCTTCAAGACGAGAATATATCGACTGACCTGGTCCTCGAGGGGCATGATGTCTCGGACTACCTCAAGGCGAGGTATTGGGTAACTTGACTTCATAGAGCACACTGGTCAGCGGGTCTGGAACCTCGTGGGGGTATCCTTGGCTCAGGGTGAATTTGCCAACTTTAGCGGTCTGGTATACAGTCTGCTTGGTACGTTTAAGCTTCATTTAGGACGGATTCAGTACTAATATTAGTGAAAATTTAGGTCAGCCTCCAGTTTTAGGGGTCTATTCGGGGATGTGTTTGACTCAACAGAAAAAATGGAGGGGTTTTGTATTTAAGTTTTCTGATGATTTCGTGGGAACCGATTGAGCAAATCTCGCAAAGATACAAGATACACAACACCCCCGCAGGATAAAAAAAATAGCTTAAGCATAGAGATGACATTATCTAAACCCATAAAGGAATTTTAAAAGCTGTCAATTTCATCGGCCCCTCGGAAATCTCCCAAAGACCAAAGAGTCTAGCTGTCCCAACTACTGTCCCGAATATAACAGGAGTAGTTGGGAAAACCAGACTCTCAAGTGATCTGCAAAAACAGGTTGCAGAGCTCAGGTGAAATTTAAGACTACTTCCGAGCACTCACGGTGTTGCATCTCACCAAAGAGAATGCGAAGTGCCGGTAAGTAGCTTTGACGATGAACGGAGCAAGAAGAAGATGAAGAGAGAGAGATGGAAGCAGAAACCACGCTTTTATAGCCGAAACGCCAAGGGTTGTTGTGGGCTTTGATTCTAGGGCTCCGCTGCTTGCCCTAGCAGATTTCTTGGGGGAGGGGGGAATTTAGTGTGATGGCACGTAATGCACACCTTTTTGCAGGAGTACGTATATGTATATTAGACACGCGGCAGCTAGCTAACAGCAACATTCAAGTGCCTCTTAGTAGCAGCGGCACCACAACAAAAAGCGAACATCAGCTAACAAGATCAATTAGCAACAGACGACAAGTACATATAAACATCACTCATCCACCGCTGAGCCATGGGGACGAGAACGTTACTAGAGCCATTTGCAATCCACGCACAAAAAGGGCGCTCGTTCGGAGAAACTAATCAAACTATCAATAGAGCCGCCCATTTATCAAAGAAGCCGAAGCCTACTCGCTGAAGTTATCACAACCTCTTCACCGAGTATACCAGTGAGCTTGCTCGTCTGGCTTGGTTTCGAGCAGAAGACTTGATTCTCCAAGTACGTCAGCGAAGCTTTTTTCCGTCAGAGCCCCTAAAGAACTGATAGTGTCACTTTTTTTTTAGGGCCACTTAGAAAAGCTCTCGGGGGGTGGGTCTATTTTATGTCATGAAAAGGCGTCCAGACTCTGAATTAAACAAAAAAAAAGCGTCCAGACTCGAGCCACCAATCCAAACGAGTGATCATTGGTGACTCTGGCTGGATCTTGCCAGAGACTTAGCTGATTCATATATCCATATATATTTAAAAACAACTATTGAATTACATACTCGTTTTCTAAGGCAGCTGAAGCTACATGCTGCTTCCAGGCGCGCGATGGTACATACCAAACATAACGGCCGGTCGGCTCGAGACAGATACACATATCTCGTATAATATAAAATGTCAGGACGAGTAAAATTTCGCAAATGCCGGTTGCTGATTGGTTTGGCTAGCTGAGTAGGAACAATGATGGTTAATTCGGCTTGGGGAGAACATACTGGATTGTTCGTATGGGATTGTGACTATGGCCGACAATTGTGAACAAAGGCACTTCCGAAAGACGTAGTGCTAGCTGCAAAATTACTATATTATATGGGGGGGGGGGGGTGGTTCCGGTCCTATTTTGAAGTACCCGGTCATACCTACAGCCACTCCGCAAAAGTGTTCGCGACCCCGACCCCGGAGTGAGACACCCCCCCCCCCCCCCATATGTAACCGTGGCCGCATATACCAAGAGAAGACCAATGGCGTCAGGAATCAGTGGGGAATAGGTATCAGTGGCCTACTTCTATATAGTCACGAAATATATCATATACTAGATTTTTCGTTGTTTTCAATTTGAGTATTAATATCAACATAATACATTACGGATACGTCACACTGCGCACTGATATTAAAACCAAATCACGAACACTTTTGCAGAGTGGCTGTATACATCATACTTTTACTAGTAACCTCAAGTACATAGCTGTTGCTCGAATATTATAATAAATAAATAAAAAAAACCCGCTCGACCAAGAATTTACAAAAAAAAACAAAAAAGTTCACAACACTGCCTAGAGGCCTCGGTTGCTACATCTTTTCTACGTCCGGAGGGGGGGTTGAACGCTCACAAGTTCGGTACAGAGTGTGAGCTCTATACCGCTGGGCCACGTCCAACCCCATGTTCACCTTCTTTCCTTTACTGCTATTAGCTCTATGGGCGGCTCGTAAGCAATGATATGACATTTCCAGCCTATGAAGAAGAAATCTTTTTTTTCGTATACTACCAAGAGGAGCGATCAAAATACTGATTATTCATGATACCAGAATGGCATCCAGGACAGGCCGGTGTACCGAGTGATATGACATGACGCGATGATGACTTTCCACGAGAGCTACATAGTGGAGATCTAGAGGACTGAATATAGGGAGGTCTTCGGGGGGTATATACACCCGCCAAAAATATGTATCGATAGAGAGACCTGTCCCAATAAACTCCCCTCGATCTAGCCATCAGATGAAAAGTTGCTAGGAAGTACTCCAGCGGGAGGGAGAAAAACCCCACATATATACCCACGAGCACCACCGGCGGCCAACAGCGTTGTATCTCCCAGACCGTTGAACCAGCAGACGGAGCTATGAGAGGAAGGAGTATGTAGGCATGTTTTGCCCTCTGGCCCAGGGAGGTAGCAGGTTTGGGGTGCACCGCACACGCGTCATTGACCCCGCCCCCGAAGACCTCTGACCAATTGACACACCCTATGCATATATCATCTCATGCTCATCCCCGAGTTAGTAGAATACCCACCGTCAAACTTTCACCAACCCCGCCCCCCCCCCCCCCCCCTTCGTCAGGAAGACAATGCTCCACTTATCATAGCTAGCCAGACGTATATATGTAGAGTGGGGTAGGTGCGCTGAATCTACATGTAGTACTAGTCCTAGCAGCCAGATCTAGATATATGGAATGTTAGCCTACCGAAATCTGGGAGAAAATCAAAGCTGCCCCTGCAACCGCATGTTTCCAGATGTCTAGGCGACATCTTGCTCCACCCTATATCACTAGACTAGTAGTACTATACGGAATGAGTGACATCTCGTGGCCGTATGTATTTAGAATACAAGCTGCAGAGACCGACCACTAATCGAGAGCTTCTAGGGGTCAAAACAAGACAGCCACAAAACACACAACGCGCCCACATGCCGGGCGAGGAGGAAGGGGCGATGCTCTAATTTGTAGAGAGACGACCAGCCAGCCTTCTCAATGCCTTACATACATATAGTACTAGGACAGAGGTTTTGGTAATATACCCTTTTTACAGCCAAAGTAGCCAGGTTTAGCTACCCGAAGCAACCACCCAACCTCATCCAAAAAATTCCAAGGTTTCAAGGACAGCTGGGAACTATCTCAAGACGGAGCACAGAAAATTCTAGAATTTTAAGTCCATTCTTCAGGTGTGTGCGATCTAATTTTTAAAGTCATGGTTTGAGTGTTTCTGATTTTGTATGGTGTTCCCATACAAATTTCGTGTTGCACCGGCAACCAAAATTTACCAAAACTTCTGTACCCTGACTGTACATACACACTCGTCACCGGCAATCACTCGCCAACCCAAACCACACAGCAAGAACCACCAGCGATCCAGAATCCATCGTATAGCACACATTGGTAAAGCGAGGTGACCGGCAAGATATTTAATTCACTCTCCACCACCTAGGTCACAAACCACAGTACAGCAAGCCAGCCAGCGGTGATAAAAAGGCTTTTAGCATCAATTCATCCATTACTACATATATGTACCCCCCCCCCCCCTTTCCAGACCCCCAAGCATGAGGAGCCACTCAAGGGTATCTCACGCAATCCGAGCACATTCAGAAAAAGAATAATAAACAGAAAAAAACAATAACGAGTGCGCCAAATAACTCCCCCCTATAAGTCCCATAAAAGCCCCCCATCCATTACTTTTCATGATTTCACCCTCGCCATGCATTGCAAGATGATGATGATGCTACATCCCAAGAACCGATGATCGCCGCAAGTGGCCAAACTGAGCCGAGCCAGCGGCAGCGGGGAAAGCCTAGACGGTCCCCCGCCCCGTAAAGATCGTACGACTATGTCTCTCCTTCCAGAACAAAAACGCGCCGCCTATCCACCCCCACTATTAGCCCCACATCCACCACCAAAAAAACCGAAGCAGAAAAAAAAAAAAAAAAAAAAAAAAAAAACCACATACCCACAAAAGTCGCCAACCACAGCAACATCCCCACCAGATCAAACCACACCGCCGTCTTCATCCTCCCGCACGCGCCGCTCCCCTCACAGTCCTCGCCCAGATACAGCTTCCCAAACACCGCAAACAGCACCATCCACAGAAAGAACAGCGCCCCGTCCGCCGGCCAGAACCTCGCGCACCGCACCGCCGGCACAAGGAAAATGAGCGTGGTAAGGATCGTCAGCGCCGCCACGACCATGGCGTAGACCCAGCGCGAGTCGGCGGACTCGTGCACTTGGCTCGCGCGGTGCAGGTCGCGCCCGTAGATGCCTGTTATGACGAGTGCGATGAGGAGCTGCAGCGCGCGGAGAGCGGTGTGGGCGATGAGGCCGGGGAGGCCAAGGGGGTGTGGGGGGTGGGAGCTGAGGCGGGTGGTTTTGAGCATTGTGCGGTTTGGGGGGTTGGGGGTTGGAGGTTGGAGGTTGGAGGTTTAATTGATTGTGGTGATTGTGGTGATGTTAATTCGAAGTTTTAAGATTGATTGTTTATTGGTGCTGTTGTGTTATGCTTGCTTGTTGACGATTTATACCTCAAGTCTCAAGGTCTGGTATGTAGAAAAATCCCAAAGGACAGCCAGCAGCAGCACCACTCCTTTATATCCCCTCCTCCCTCGCAAAACAACAGCTCACCCTCTCTTCCAATCCCAAAACAAGAGGTGTAAAACATGACGCATCCGGTCTCAGCTGCTGCCCTGTTACCACACACCCGCCCAAGAGCAGCAGCAGATCAATGATCTCACCGTGCAGCAGCGAAACCCTGACTCGCTTATCTAGCTGTTTCGCCAAACGCCACTAACACAAGCTTCCAAGCCACGCTAGCCCGGAAACGTGCTGACAAGGGTCTGGGGAGCTCCAAAAATAATTCGAGCTCAGCTTAGAGCTAGCTATGGGGAGGGAGGGAGCTATGGTGGAGATTGTTTCAGCGCGCGCGCCTGCTATATAAAAGTACAGATGCTGAAGAGATTGATTTATTCGCGGCCACTTGAAACAGCTATGTATCTAGAGAGAATTCAACAGAATGAATATGTAGCTAAGCTAAGAGAGACAGGACAAGAAGAAAAAAAAGACAAGAGCCAATTGCAAGAGACTACTCGCTACCCGCAGGCTCCTCCTCTTCAAACAGCACCAGCGACACACCGGCCTTCACGACGTCCTATACGCGCACCACTCGTTAGCCACCACCAACCCCAATAAATAGACAGTCAACACCCAGCCAGGGGATAGAACACTCACGCCCTCCTTATGCACAATCTTCTGCACCACGCCATCGTGCGGCGCACGTATCACCTATGCATCCCCACCGCACATTAGCCACACATCCCCACACCCCACATTCCACATTCCACACTCCACATTCCACATTCCACACTCGGGCAAAACCTACCGTCTCCATCTTCATACTCTCAATCACCACCAACACATCGTCCCTCCTCACCCGACTGCCAACCTCCACCTCCACCCGCAGCACCTTACACGGCATCGGCGCCACAACACTATTCCTCACCTCCGCCACGCCCAGCGCCTTCGCAAACCACCCCGGCCGCGGCAAACCCAGCCGATACTCCTTCCCGCGCTGAAACACCACGACCACGTCCTCGCTGCGCACCACCGTCGTCTCCAGCCGCGTGTGCGGGTAGAACCCCACGATCTTTGACCCCCCCTCCTCCTCCGCGCCCGCGACGCTAACACCGGTGTACACAGTGCCATCGACATCCACATCATTCTCTCCCCGCCCCGTCTGCACCAGCGCAACCTTCACCGTCCTCCCCGCCTCCCCCTCCCCCCCCTCCTCTACAAACTCCACCACCCTTGCCTGCACACCCCCACCAAAGCCGACGCCCCCACCGAGAACACTAAACGGGTCGTCCCCGCGCTGCGGGATGTTCTCCCGCACCACGAGCGCCAGCGCCGCCTGCGCAAACACCTCTGCGGGCGTCTCCTCGCGCGCAAACAGCTCCGCGCGGTGCTTGTCAATAAACCCCGTCTCGACCTCGCCCGCGACGAACGCCGGGTGAGCTGCGAGCCGCTTGAGGAACTCGATATTTGTGCGCGGGCCCACAATCTCGTACTGCTCCAGCGCGGCGCGCAGCTTTGCGAGCGCCGCGTCGCGGGTGGGGCCGCGCACGATGAGTTTCGCGATCATGGGGTCGTAGTGGGGGCTCACTGTGTCGCCCTGGCCGAAGCCCGCGTCGATGCGGACGTCGTCTGTTGTGGGCGGTGTGCGCAGGTGCTGCAGGAAGCCCGAGTCGGGGGTGAAGTTGTTGTTGGGGTTCTCGGCGTAGATGCGTGCCTCGAAGGCGTGGCCGGACATCTTTGCTTCGACCTCCTCCTGCGTGGGGATGGGGAGGCCGCTGGCGACCAGGATCTGCCAGTGCACCAGGTCCGTGTCCGTGACGGCCTCGGTGACGGGGTGCTCGACCTGCAGCCGCGTGTTCATCTCCATGAAGAAGAACTCGCCCGTGTCATTGTCGAAGATGAACTCCACCGTTCCCGCGCCACGATACCCGACTGCCACCGCGGCCTCGCGCGCCTTGGTCCAGAGGTCCCTGCGCACGTCGGGGGCGAGGAAGGGCGCCGGCGACTCCTCGAGGATCTTTTGGTGGCGGCGCTGCACGGAGCAGTCGCGCTCGCCGAGGGCGACGCAGTTGCCGTGCGCGTCGGCGAAGACTTGCACCTCGATGTGGCGTGGCGTCGTGATGTAGCGCTCAATGAGGACGACATCGTCGCTGAAGGAGGAGCGGGCTTCGGACTTTGCGGAGACGAGCGCGGAGGGGAAGTCGGCGGGGGTGTGGGCGATGCGCATGCCTTTGCCGCCGCCGCCTTTGACGGCTTTGATTAGGACGGGGAAGCCGATCTTTTCGGCTTCCGAGAGGAGGAAGGCGGCGTCTTGGTTGGGGCCGTGATAGCCTGGGATGCAGGGGACGCCGGCGGCGAGCATGATGTCTTTGGATTCGCTGCAATTGGGTTAGTAGATTCGTGTAGATAGGCTGTAGATGTAGATTGTAAACCTCTTGTTCCCCATCCTCTCGATCGCCTCCGGCGGCGGGCCAATAAACACCAGCCCCTCCTCCTCGCACCGTTTCGCGAACTTTGAGTTCTCACTCAACTATCTCACCCATTAGCCCCCCACCAACCTCCCCCCAAGATCCACAAACACAGAGAGATACATACAAACCCATACCCCGGATGCACACTATCACACCCAGCCCTCTTGGCCACACCAATGATCTTCTCGCCATCCAGGTACGCCGCCACAGGGCCGATGTTGTAGGCGTGCGGCGTGACCAGCGCGTGTTGCGCGTGCGCGTCAGGGTCGGTGTAGACAGTGGTTGTGCGGATGCCATGGAGGGTTGCGGTGCGGTTGACGCGGCTGTTGGTGGGGGGGTTAGCTGTGGGGTACGACCGGGGTGCGGGGAGGAAAGGGCGAGGAGGAAAGGGTAGAGGGGGGAGAGGGGGGAGAGGGGGGAGGGCGGGGGGGGGGGGGGGGGCGTACAGAGCTATCTCGCCGCGGTTGGCAATCAGTATTGATGTTAGTGGTTTTGGGACTATTCCTGCTGCTGAGGCGGGGGTGGAGTAGGGGCGCCGGAGGAGGAGCAGCGGGGAGAGGGTGCGTGTTGTGCGGCGGTACATTTTTCTCTCTGTCCTAGGTTCCTAGCTATAGCTGTTTTTGTGGTGGGTTGAATTGTGGGTTGAGGTGTGCAATTGACCGACTTTCTCAATATACCAATGCCGTAGCAGTCGTAGGTAGTCAGTCGGAGTTGACCTCACAGCTAGCTAGCTACGTATTTACAAGTAACCATGTGAGCACATGAGCTCGGCTACCCACGGCACAACCGGCGAGCCCCGCCCTTCTCGTCATTCCCCCTGGTGGGCAGGAACACAGAATTGCGTCTTCAATCAGCAGGTTCTTTCTTCCTCTCCTGAGATGGAAGGTTGAGTCTCGGCCTCGGTGGGCTCAAGCCGGCAGGTGCAGTCGCAGAATTATCATTGACCACCCCGGCGTAGCTCTAGCCATGTGTAACCCTAACCCTGGCCAACAAGGGGGTTGGAGGGGGCCCTAACCCTGTGCTCGGGAGCAGGGTGTGGGGGAGAGCTGGGGATGGGGGTGGGTCCGAGGTAGGCTTTCGGGTGTGGGGTAAGGGGGGAGGGAAAGGGGTTGGCGGGGGGAGGAAGGGTGGAGATGGGGCCTTGCAACTGGGTGCGGCGGAGGGCCGGTCATGAGATGTCACTCACTCGTATTTGGGCCGAGCTATGTGTTTTGGCTGGCAGTGGTAATGATATGTGGATGGATGTGGATGTGGATATGGATTGAACAAACAAAAAAGAAACCCCCCATAGGCAGCTAAACTAAAACTACAACCAAGAGCCATAAAAACTAAATAACCTGGTCCCTATACTCGCGATTAAACGCCCTCCCAATGACAATCTGCCTAATCTGCGTCGTCCCCGCGCCAATCTCGTACAGCTTCGCATCTCTGAGCAGCCTCCCCGCGGGCAGCTCATTCACATACCCATTGCCTCCAAGACACTGGATGGCGTCGAGGGCGCACTCGGTCGCGCGGTCGCTGGCAAACATGATTGCGCCGGCGCAGTCCTTGGTCTCGATTGTGCCCTCGTCGACGGACCGCGCGGCGGCCATGGTGTAGGCGCGGGCGGCGGAGAGCTTGGTGTGCATGGACGCGAGCTTGGCTTGGATGAGCTGGTTGTGGGCGATGGGGGTGTTGAATTGCTTGCGCTGGTGCACGTAGGGGAGGGTTATGTCCATGCAGGCTTGCATTATTCTGTGCAGTGTTAGTGAGAGTTCGTGTTAGAAGGTGGAGAGAGAGCATACCCGATGGGCCCGGCGGACAACACAAGACGCTCGAGGTCGAGCCCCTCCATGAGCACCGTGACGCCCTTGTTGGTGGCGCCGAGCTGGTTTGCGTCGGGCACAAACACGTCCTCGAAGATGAGCTCGCCGGTGTTGGACCCGCGCATGCCGAGCTTGTCGAGCTTGCGCGCGCAGCTGAAGCCGTCCATGCCCCGCTCGACAATCAGCGCCGTGATGCCCTTTGAGCCCGCGTCGGGGTCGGATTTGGCATAGACGACGACCACGTCTGCGTCGGGGCCCTGAAGCTGAATTAGCACTGTAGAGCCCAATCCCATAGCTATCTATAGTCGCCCGCACTCACATTCGTAATCCACATCTTTGTCCCATTCAGCACCCACCCACCATCCACCTTCCTACACCCACTCCTCATCCCCACCACATCGCTGCCGGCACCATGCTCACTCATCGCCAACGCGCCCACCTTCTCGCCCGCCACCAAGCCAGGGAGCAGTCGGGCCTTCTGCTCCTCGCTGCCGTTGAGCGTGAGCTGGTTGACGCACAGCTGCGAGTGCGCCGCGTACGAGAGGCCGATGGACCCCGACGCCCGCGAGAGCTCCTCCATCACGATGCAGTGCGCCTGGTAGCCCAGCTCCAGCCCGCCGTACTCCTCCTCGGCCGTGATGCCGAGGAAGCCGGCGGAGCCTAGCTTGCCCCACATGGCGGCGGGGAAGGCGTTGCTGGTGTCGGTGTGGGCGGCGAGGGTTTCGGGGATTTCGCGTTCTGGGGGGGGGGGGGTTAGTGCGGGTATAAGGGAGGGGGGGAGGGGGGACAGACTGGTGAATTCGCGGACTCGCTCGCGCAGCTCGATGAGGTCCGAGGTGGTGGGGGGCGTGAAGTTCTTTGTGTGTTTTGTGGAGGCGGGGCGGGCGTGGGTTGACAGGATGGGGCGGGCGAACGTGAGGGAGAGCGCAGGCCTGGGGAGGAGTGTGCGGGCGAGGGCCATTGTTTAGGTGTATGTAGGTAGCTCTATAGACAGATGGATAACTTTACTGCAATTAACTCAATTGTAGATATCACACGACAATACGAGAAAGTAGGAGTAGAAGAGAATGAGGAGAGAGTTATGAAATTGAAATTAAATAGCTTGATAACCCTTCCAATTGAGCCCGTGGTGGTGATGCGTCGTCGTGTCACGGGACGGGTCTGGGTCTGCGGTTATCGTCGGCGCATGTCTCACTCTCTCTGTCACTCCCCCACACCGGTTCTCCTAACCTCCTCAGAGCTATCTATCAAGAATACAAAACCCTCCCCCAAGCTCACCACCTCCATCCCCCATTCTCACCAGTACACCAACAGCAGCAATGCCCCTCCCCCTCCGCCTCCCCCACCGCCTTCCCCCCCTCCTCCGCCGCCTCCCACACCGCACAATCACAACCCACACCCACCCGCACTTCACGACCCCCGTCTCCGTGCTCCCCACCCACATCGACACCAGCAGCGACACCTACGCCGCCAATGCCGCCCACATGAGCGTGCTCAACACGCAGCTGCGGGAGCTGCACCGCACCATCGCGCTCGGCGGGCCCGCGGCCGCCCGCGAGAAGCATCTGCAGCGGGGGAAGATGCTGCCGAGAGAGTAAGTCCCTACCCCCCCCCCCCTGGCTGTGTGGTTAGGGGCTGATGGAGGAATGGCCGGGGGGAATAGCCGTATAACAGCCCTGCTCGACACGGGGTCCGCGTTCCTAGAGCTCTCGCCGCTGGCGGGACATGGGCTGTACCCGGGCGAGGATGTGCCGGCGGGCGGGATCATCACGGGGATTGGAAGGGTGGCGGGGGTGGAGTGTATGGTTGTTGCGAACGATAGCACGTATGGTCCCCCCTTCCCTTCCCTTCCCTCTGTCTATGCCTGTCTGTATAGCTAGCTATCTCTAAGCTATCTATATCTGCTTGAAGCTACAACAAGCTACTAACTACTACTATTGCTATTGCTACAGCTGCAAAGGCGGCACCTACTACCCCATCACCGTCAAGAAGCACCTCCGCGCGCAGACCATCGCGCTCGAGAACCGTCTGAGCCCCCCTCCTCCTCCTCCTCCCCCTCTAAGTGCCCATCCCGGCGATCACTGACACTGACACTCCTCTTCTCCAGGGCTGCCGTGCATCTACCTCGTCGACTCCGGCGGCGCAAACCTGCCGCACCAGGCCGATGTATTCCCGGACCGCGAGCATTTCGGCCGGATCTTCTACAACCAGGCACGCAGTACGAGCCCACCTTCCTTCCCATTGAGCTTGTTCCTACACCGTAGCATTATTAGCAGTAGCAGTAGCAGAGTAAAGCTTACACCAGTGCCCCCCCAGTGTCCGCCCAAGGCATCCCGCAACTCTCCGTCGTCATGGGCCCCTGCACCGCCGGGTTCGTCCCCCCCCCCCCCCCGGGCCCCTATCCCCCGAGTGCTACCCCATGACCCACTAACCCAACTCCCCCCCTGCAAAACAGCGGCGCCTACGTCCCCTCCATGTCCGACGAATCCATCATCGTCGCCAACACGGGCACCATCTTCCTCGCGGGCCCGCCGCTCGTCAAAGCCGCGACCGGCGAGGTCGTCACCGCCGAAGACCTTGGCGGCGGCGAGCTGCACAGCAAGGTCTCTGGCGTAACCGACTATCTCGCTGTCGACGACGCGCACGCGCTTGTGCTTGCAAGGCGGTGTGTTGCGAATCTCAATTGGCCCGAGGGTAGCGGGGTAAGTAGTGGGGGAAGCGGGGGGGGTGGGGAGGTGAAGGAGCCGCTGTATGATCCGAAGGAGCTGAATGGTGTTGTTGGGGAGAGCCTGAGGAAGCAGGTGGATGTGAGAGAGGTGATTGCGCGCGTGGTGGACGGGAGCGAGTTTAGTGAGTTTAAGGCCAACTACGGGAGTACCCTTGTTACTGGTAAGCCCGCCCTCTCCCCCTTCCCCCTTCCCCCGCTCCCCCAACTAACCCACCCACCCCCCTTCCAGGCTTCGCAAAGATCCACGGCTACCCCGTCGGCATCCTCGGCAACAACGGCATCCTCTTCTCGGAGAGCAGTCTCAAGGGCGCGCACTTCATCCAGCTATGCACGCAACGCAACATCCCCCTAGTCTTTCTGCAGAACATCTCCGGCTTCATGGTCGGCCGCGACGCCGAAGCGGGCGGGATCGCCAAGAACGGCGCGAAGCTGGTCAACGCCGTGGCGTGCGCCGACGTGCCAAAGTTCACCGTCGTGGTGGGCGCGAGCTACGGCGCGGGCAACTACGGCATGTGTGGCAGGGCGTATGGGCCGAGGTTTTTGTGGATGTGGCCGAATGCGAAGATTGGGGTACATCTCTCTCCCTCTCCCCCCCTCTTATTCCTGCTGCATGAGGATGATGATGAAGAAGAAGAAGAAGAAGAAGCTAACAGAGAGCATGGTGGTGGTAGGTGATGGGCTCCGAGCAGCTCTCCTCCGTCATGGAGACGGTCGGCAAGAGCGTTGATCCGGCGCTCAAGGAGCGCATCGACAGCGAGAGCGAGGCGACGTTCTCGTCGGCGCGGCTGTGGGACGATGGCGTCATCCCGCCGGAGGATACGAGGCGCGTGTTGGCGCTAGGCTTGCGGGCGGCGTTGGGCGGAAGGGGAGAGAGCGCCGTGTCGAGGTTTGGGGTGTTTAGAATGTAGATAGCGCGGCACTGGGGAGGGAGGTGATACCGTCATAGTAGTTAGTGGCTGTTGTGTTATAATGGAGTTTTTTATGTTTTTTTTTGTGTGCTGGGTGATGGGTGCTGGGTGATGTGTTGTGACGGGGTGATTAGTGGTGATGTGAGAGTGTTGGTGTGAGTGAGTGAGTGAGTGAGCAACGACGGGTGACAAGTAGATAGCAGTGAGTGACAAGCGATGACGGGAGTACACACACAGAGAGTATTTAGAGTAACGGATGGCTGTGCTCGATACATGTACCCTACCCTATTGCATACTCTGTGTAGGTGACACTCACATGTAGTAGTAGTAGTACATGTAGTACCCACCGCACCGTAGGTGTAACCAGCTTATAGGTGCTACATATGCGGTGCAGACAGTCTACAGCCTACAGGGGGGCCGCCGTGGGGGCTGTCCGGACTTCGATCCATCCTGGCATACATACATACACCTTACTCATACCCCCCACTGCACGCACTGTCAGTCTCTATCTCTTTGTGTAGGGAATATATTACCCTCGTACTCCACTCTTACACCTCGCACTTCTAACCTCTAACCTCAATCTCAACCTCCCATCACTCACCTCTACAACCACAACCTCCCACCACCCATCACTTCTTCACCACCATCACCTCTTCACCACTCACTTACCTACGACTAATCACCCCCCCCCCCTCTGTCCGTGTCCGTGTCCGTTCCGTTCCCAAGCATTTCCCCCCCCCCCCCCCCCAATCCCAATTCCCAACCCCAATTCCCAATCCCAATTCCCAATCCCAGCTACGGGAACATATCCGACATCCCGGGTCCCCCCCGCCGCTCAGACCCCCCATAGGATATAGGCTTTTCCGCACGCCTTTTCCGTTCCGCATCCGCATATCCTTTTTCCGCAGCTGATTCTCCCTCCCAGCCGAGGGCAGGGCAGGGCCGGGCCGGCGGTCGGTGGGTCGGGGGTGGGCACCGGGCATGCTGGTGTGTGGGTGGGTGAGAGGAGTGGGAGTGGGAGGAAGTGGTGGGAAGCTCTGGTGGAGGTGCAGGTAGTGGTGCAGGTACTAAGAGGTGGTGGTCCTGGATAGAGAGGGTGGGTGGGTTTACCAAAGAGTTCGTGAGATGAAGTGCTTGGAGGAGTGGAGTGCGTGAAGGTCCCTGAAAAAAGTACCTATAGTACATAGGTACCTACCTGAAAGTGCCTGAAGAGACATTAAAAGTGCCGGGGACCATGGCGAGGACCAATATCACGGGAACCGCGTCTACGGAAAAGAAAGCTCAAAAAAATAAAAGGTGACCAAAGACCTGTCAAGCGAAAAGAAAGCAAATCAATCAATCAAGCAGCTCCCGAAACAAAAAAAAAAAGCAAAAAAAGCAAAAACAAATTGTAGACAAAAGTACCTACCGTAGCCGTCTGATCAGACATCGCACCGCCGTCAGTTACAGATCGTGAGGTGAGGTGAGGTGAGGTGAGATGAGGTGAGGTGCGGTCCATGCACCAGGGCCACAGACAGAACAGCAGCTACAACATCGATACCCCCTCCGGTACGGCTTCCCTCCCCAAAACCCAAAACCCAAAACAACTAAATTCTCATCTGAGCACTTTGCAGTTATGTACTCGCTTTCGCACGCGCGCGCGCGCACAATCAACCACCACCAAAAAAAAAAAAAAAAAAAAAAAAAAAGTGCCGCCCTCACATCCTCACCGCCTCCGGAAACGTCTTCCATCCATCCATTGCTGTCTATAATTATAAAGCCTAAATACCAAGAAAATAAAAGGAATAAAAAACATATAAAAAAAGAATATGAATACATACACAAAAGCAATGTTTTCCCCCAGGACCCATCTCATCTCATCTCATCTCATCTCATTCCCATCTCGCTAGTCGCTACCATACAAGACCGGGGGGGGGGGGGGGTTAGAGCAACTCTCTACCGGTTTTAAACATTTACTCCCCAAGCACACAACAACCTATGTACCTACAAGCACACACACATGCACACAGGTATCTTTTTTTTTTCCCCCCAAATCCAAATTTCTGGGACACCCGCCCGGCCGCGCCGCCAAAGCGTTATAATTCTTTACCCGCAGACCGTACCCCCGGGAAGCTAAGTATGGTAGGGGTAGCTAGGGGTAGGGGAAGGGGAAAAAGAGGCCCCAATTGCAATATCAAGCAAAAAAAAAAAAAAAACAGCCAAACCTGGCAACCAAGCTCCGGCCGGCGTGGTTTGGCATATTTGTATTGTGTGCATCAGCCCAATATAAATAATTCGCGACGCACCCTGAAAAAAACAAAAGGTACATGTAATTATCCTACTCTCTAGTACCACCCTTTGTACCTTTGTAACTACATGTACTCGTCTATTCATAGCGTTTGTGAACACCACCGCTATTGCATGCTATACAAAAAGGTTGTCTTGGCTATTTTTTGTTCACAAACGCTGTGAAAAAACGAGTACATACCTACCTTTCTATATACGTGCCGTCGATCTATGGGGTGATGGTGTTGGAACAAGCTAGACAACATGTGCTAGTAGGTACAGGTAGAGATGTAGTAGGTATAGAGCTACCGGAGGTGTATGTCAAGCAGGAAGGAGCGAATGTGAATGGTGAAGGGGCCGGCCCCGGGGGGGCGCGCGGGGGGGGGGGGGGGGGGGTTGGTGAAGTCGGAAATCGAAATCTGTGCCTCCGCTCTGACAGATAGACCGCCAAACAAGACAGACAGACAGACTGCCGGGTCTCTATAACAAACGTCTGACTACAAGCAGATATTATAAGTTACGAGTATGCACATCGCTTCTCACCCCACGTGCACTCCCACCTACTCTAGATAGGTGTAAGTGCGTATCTAGAGCAAAAAAGTAAGTAGAGGGTACATGTACCTACATGTAGGTTTGTACCTAGTCTCGTGCCCAGCCTGTGTTTGCTTTGTACCTACAATACGATACTGTACCTTGTGTTCCAGTTTCCTATTCCTATTCCACGATAGGTACCTCCACCATCCATTAAGGTTAGGTCAGGGCCCCGCCGCCCGTTTCAAAAACCCCAATCCAGGTCCTCTCCACGCTGCAGCATACCTTCCTCGGTAACGAACTGACGTTTAGGCAAGTCAAGTCTATTCCACTGGCAAAGTACCTACCTCCATGTACCACCCAGGTATCCAGCCAGCCAGGGTCAGGGTATGTGCCTACTATACATGTACCTATAGTATCTACAAGGCCGAGCCTCCACCCCCACTCCAAGCTTCCAGATGGATACGTTGTGCTCTAGATCTTCACACCAACCTGCTCTACGCCTCATGCCTTATGACGCCCACCCCCGACGATGACGCCGCAGCTACCAGGTACATACATGTACTCTACATACAGTACTTCGTACATGTACTTTAGCTGGGTACCGAGCTGGGTGGTAGCTACTTAGTGCGTGTAGTATGTAGCTACATGTACCTCCTTATACGTAGCTAAACAACACGGTTTCAAGTTCAATTGGTGCAATTCCAGTAGGATTATTCTGAGCTTGGTGCGGTGTAACCGTGAGGATCAAGCCCTTCCCTATCCTTAAATATCCGCTACACGACATGCAACAAAAAAAGAGAGAGAGTGAGAAAAAGAAAACCCGAGGGGAAAGGTACCGGGATTCGAAAAGAAAGAAAGAAAAACACTAAAATCATTCTTTTACCTCCTTTGACAAACGACCAAAAATGCCCAAATTGAACCACGATATAAAATAAAATAAAAAAAGAAGGGAGAGTAACAGTAAAACGGTGGCGGCTACAGCACAAAAAATGGGTTACCCAAATCAAAAAAACATAAACAGCAGTCGACGCCAATGATCGCCAAATAAAATAAAAAGATGATGCCCCTATAATCCGCGCGCCCTGTTCTCGCCCTTTACCTTATTTCCCATGTCTTCGTAGACGTTCCCTCTCTTTCCCAAATGGCGCCGAATGAAACATATATATATATACAAACAAAATAAGGAAGCTTCAAGGGTAGAAAGCTTTCTCCGATACCAGGAAATTCAAAGGGAAGGTTCAAAAAAAAAAAAAGGGAATTATGTCCCGGCGGGGGTCAGTGAAAACAAAACAAAAAAAGTCCAATCTTTAAAAAAAAAAGAAACCATAACCATTGACCAAAGAGATTACCCCCCCACCGCACTTCCTTTCTGTCGCCATTCCAGCCTTATAGGATTACGCAGAATCTTGATCTACCCTGTCTCCCGCCCGACGTTTTTGGCGGTTTTTTTCCTCCGGGCGGTTTCTCTTTGCCATATCCATCTGAACCCCAGCCGGAATTCGCATCCGCTCTCATCATTTGCCTGCACAGGTCCAAAAACACCTCATCCACGTTCTGTCGTTTTCTTGCTGAGGTCTCGTAGAATGGGACACGGCCCCATTTCTCTGAAAGGTGGATGGCGCGGTTGCTATGGACAGCACGATCTTCCTCGAGGTCCGATTTATTGCCGACGATGACGATCGGGACGCTTTCGGCTTCCTTGATACGCAGAATCTGGTCACGGAGGTCGGAGAGTTCGGTCAACGTGTTGAGACTTGTTATTGAGTAGACGAGGAGAAAGCCTTGGCCTACGTGAGGTGATAGTTGTTAGTCAGGGGTTCGGGACGGGGATTTATTGAAGCTAAGGTAGGTACCGGTTTTCATATATATTTCTCTAAAATGACGTTAGCTTTTCGCTTGGAAGGTAGGTGGGCAGAAGCTTTTTCTTACCTCATGGCGGCTATTTGCAGACGGAAAAATTAAATACGTTAGCTTTTCGATAATTCACAACTTTCCCATGGTGATTGGTCCTTTCCCCCGTTAAATACACAAAAAAGGTTACTGACTAAACTGTTCTGTTCCTGCGGTATCCAAGCTGTATTATAATTCGCCGCGGAAAAAGTAGTGGGCTTCATATTAGCCTTTCCTAAACACTCAAGCTGTGGGTTGGGAGCGGAATTTATTTCGCATTGGTAGAAGGGCACACTAACATCTCGAGTATGCATGACCGGCCCTGCAATAAAATCCTTCATTAGTCTTCCGTTGCAGTAGTAGAGATGGTGGGAAGGCTGTTCAAAAGCTCACATCAACATCGATGACCTTCCGATAGGAATCCTCGATGGTGGGGTCATAGGATTCTATCCACTCATTGTGAACGAATTGTGCTACACATCGACGAATAGTTTAGTCTCCTAGGCACGCGACACCAGTCCCGGAGGAAGCGGAAAGGAAGAATGAACCTGTAAGACAGCTTTTACCAACACCACCTGCACCACCGAACACCAGTCAGCAAGGCCAAACGAAGCAGACGAAGCTAGATTAGCATGGCAATAGTGATGCTTACCGGCTCCTAGTATCACGATGTTGTATTCTCGTCTTCTGCTGGACCGAGAGGAAGTAGACCCCGTTATTAGCCGCAGTACGTTTTTACACATGGTATCCTCCACTCGAAATAGGGGAACGACAGACGACACAGCACAGCACAGCACTCACTGTATGTGAGAGGAAGCGGGAGGTAGTGGTTGGGGGGGTGGGGAGGATATAGGAGCTAGGTGCAGACCATACCTGTGCTGCATAGATAGTTTTAATGTGCACCTGGAATTGTATTTGATGTGTATGTAGAGAGCCGCCTTGTATATAGTGTATTGGTAGGCAATGTTAATGTAATGTGGGTAGGATATGTACGGTGCAGCAGGGAGACAGACAACCAAAACACACCACGGCTCGATGACGAGTGGGAGGATGAAGTGGGGAGACGCGGAAGATAGATGGCAGGCTGGAACCGAACGTCTTCAGGGAAAGAATGAAATAAAATATATGAACGAAAAAGAAAGAAAAAAAGATATATAAGTAAGACTTCAAGTACTAAGTGGAATAAAATAAAGTTTCAAACGACTGGAAGTTAGAGACAAGAAAAGGATTATTAAGTCCAAGAGAGTAAAGAAAGAGGAAGGCAGAAGGCAGAGAGAGCAAGGAAAAAGATCGAGTGAGAAACCGGGCGCGAAAATGATCGACCGCGTTCTGGAAGCTTTGGGGGGGGGGGGGGTGTGGAGCTAATACGCCGGTGCAAAATGGGAGGTGAGAGAGAGAAGAAAAAAATACAGTTACACCATTGTTACCCGTAAACCAGAAAGGTAACTTATGGGCCTAATTAAGGAAACCGAATTCAACTGCTGGGTTCAATTGTGAAAAAGCGGGCGCGGGCGGTTGTTTGTGGGGGCGCGCTTTGGAAGTTCTTTTACTTACTATCGTTCACGGGGTATTGGCGGACACTGGGTGTTGACGGATTGCAGGCAAAACTTGGCTTGGCTGTCTCTTTTTTGGTTTGTTCGTCAACACCCAGTGCCCGTCAATACCCCGTGAACGACAGTACTGCTTCTACTGCTACTTACTACTACCACCCCCTTGAGGTCTTCAAGGCTTCAACGCGCCCGTCCCGGCAGTTCCTTTAGAGTCCTCGTTTATCTGCCCTACCTGCAAAGAGGGGGGAAAAAAATACACGTCTCACAGCTACATACATGTATCATACCCAGGAAAGGCACTGCTCTAGAGTACTTTAGAGGTAGGCTGTATGTACTACCTAGAGTACATCTCTACATATTTAACTTCATGCATAAACAAACAAGACATTCAACACCATCTGCATCGTTTCGCTGGCGGTCCATCAAATCAACTCAGACAACGAGCGGGAGACAGGCTTGACTGACAGCAGACGTTCGTGTAAAGTAAGAAGGGGGAGAAAGAAAAAAAAGGAGCTGTTTCGTTTCGAGCTTTCTCCGAAATTAGACAGCGGCGCAAACAGCTACCAGCCCTCTAAACCCGATCAGTAAGGGTTCCTAACGCTCGGGCTGCTAAGAAACCGTTACAAACGCGGTTAGACCTCTTCCCCAACACCTATTACTGGTTCGTGCCCCCAGTTCCAGCTTGGCGTGCATTAAGCTTGATTTTGACGCGACAACTTTTTTCCACTTGGGCTCAAAAACCCAGTCAACGCCAGAACGCCTCCATGCACGAACATCAGCCTGCAGCAAATCGATAAGATTTTCTCTTGGGAAGTCAACAGCACTGGATGGTGAGAATACCCGGTACAAGGTGGGATATGAATCGTTATCACATCCGTTTCGTTGGTTAGCCAGGTTATAAAATTTCCCAAGACGGTAAGACCCGTGGATGGAACATCGGAGAGGTTAACTTTGGCTGATTACAATTGATAGGAGGATAAACGAAAAGTAATATTTTCAAAACCACTTCAGGGTTCAGGAACCAAATATACCAAGAACAACGTTCTTCATTATCTTCAAATCTATAAATATCAAGCCATTATAAACAACTAATAATTATACAGTATCATAACGCTCCAACAAAAGTATTTTAAACGTCTAAGTACCCAACCCGCTCATAAAAAAAAAGACCAGTCCAATATGAAACATAAAAAAATTCATGATAACCAGTGATCCCAAAACCCCAAAAAATATTGACAAGAGAAGAAAAATAATAAAAATCAAGATGCGTAAGTGATTATGACTTCTCCGCTTGCTGCTGAGCCTTCTTAGCCTCTTTAGCAGCGGCAGAAGCCCTTTGACCCGCCTCGACCCTCTCAATCCTCTTCTCCGCGGCCATTCTCCACCCTTCGCCATAACGGAAGATCATCAACGGGAACAACAGTCCCAATGGCAATGCGATAAAACCCATCAAAGAGTTACCCCATCCGTACCCGAGTTTGTCGTACATCTGTCTTCCAAACAGCGGGAACGCGAACCCGAAGAGGGATCTGAAGAGGGTAGCTGCGCTAATAGCGGAAGCGGCATATCGTGGTGACATGTCAATCAGATAGGTCTGAACAGACGAGAAGACAGAGATAAGGCCCATGGAGAAGATGGAGGTTCCGATGAGGGGCATTATCCAGTGAAGACGCTTCTCAGCAGACCACCCGTACCAGAAAAGACCACCTGAGATCAAGATGGCTCCAACAAAAAGAGTAGGAAGACGGAACTCGGGCTTTGCAACGCCGCCGTTGGCAGCGGTAAGCTTAAGGTAAGTCTTCTGGAGCGCTGGAGTGAAGGTTGCAAGACCAAGCAAGAATCCGATTCCGGGAGCAAGGTAGTTCAAACCAGCAATACCAACAGTCTCGCCGTATTCACCCTGGAACAAAGTCGGGAAGGTGACAAACATCAAGTACAGGAATCCGTAAGTGAAGGCCATAAACAAACCAAGAGACAACAACACCGGGTTTAATGCCAACATCAAGAAAGGTCTGGTAAGAGCGATCTTGAAACTAGTCTTGATATCTCTGCTGACTTCGAAAACAGTGTGAAGGTTTTCATTTCCAGTGGCCTTCCTCGCTGCAGCAGCCTTGCGGTTGAGAATAACAATGGCGTATGTCTCATCCTTGAAGATGATGGCACCAGCGACCGCCGTCACACCTGTGACAATGGACAAGACCCAGAAAACCCATCTCCATGAGATATGCTGAACAATGAAGCCGGCAATGATTGGTGCGCAGACGGGTCCTACAAGTGGACCAAGAGCGAAAAAGGCCATTGCTCGGGCCAAATCGACGGGAGCCCAGACATCAGACAAGATACCAGCACCAAGGGCCAATGGAGAACTACCAGCCAAACCGGCAAGGAGACGGAAGGCAATCATTTGTCCGGTTGTCTGGGCGACGGCACAAGCAATGTTGAAGATTAAGAAAAGGAAGATAGAGACCTGCATGACCTTTACACGTCCGAAGATCTCAGAGAGTGGGGCAAAAAATAGAGGGCCGAATGCGAAACCAATCAAGAATACTGAAACTGTCATGGAAGCAATTGTGGTGTTGGTGATGCCGAATTCTTTTGCGTAAGCCTGGGCGGCAGGTGCGGCGATAGAACTGGCGAATGGGGAGACAAATGTGTAAAGGGAAACGATCAAAGTAATGGTCCATTTCTTTTGCGTGGGGAAGTTACGAGGATTTGCTGGATCATCTGGTCCATCCCTATATTTCACAAAAAAGTCAACATGTTACTCAGAAACGGATATATTGAGGAAATTAAGCTCACCATGTGATCAATTCAGGATCAATATCTTTAAATTCAGAAGCATCGTCCGGAGCGTCCAGTTCACCCTCATTTTCGGTCCGTCGTGAATATACAGATCGAAGCTCTTGCAGTGTTTCCTGTCGTCGGAGATTTGCATCGTCTGTCGACAGATCCTGGTAGATATCCTTCTGTGTAGCTGCAGATGAGATTGAAGCTCCTCGCCCTCGTGCTTTGTAGGCACTGGGCCCGCTCTGAGATTCGAGATCGACGTAGTGAGGACCGTTCTCGGCAACGGTTTTTGAGGATGAGTTTGAGGATGACGCTGAGGAGGCAGACATCGTTTTTTCCAATGCTCCTTCGTTAGGAGTGTTTGATGTCGCCATTGAAATAACCTTAAATTCAAATATCCCAGAAAATCACGTTTATATTTCCGGATATGGGCTACTTGTTAAAATGCCTTAAAGCTATTTGACTGAGACCGTTGTCTAAGCTTCAAGTGCTGTGTTTAGGTTGTTTGGATTGAATGATGGGAGATCAAGGCAGAGAGAGGAAATGCTCCTATTTAATAAGGATTCTTCTTGATATCCAGAACTATATTCTTTGGCAGCACGGAATACCATCATCCGGGCGAAAGTACGACATGCCCCGACCCACGGGTGTTACAGAGAAAAAGCTTGACATTAATCATCTACTAGTGACTAAGGTAGGCAAAGATACCGAGGTCAGATCCTCTGCTACCCTGATTTGGTGATCTAATACCGGCTTTAAGGTAGCCGTTGAAGGGTTGTCGACTTGCAACCGGTGATAGGGCAACTCTCGGACTATCGAAACACCCACATGCGTTCAATTTACCGTCATAGACCTAATGCCAAGAGCTCGGATAACGGTGCCGGTGCATACCACATGGGAAAATGCGAGACATGAGATTCAAGGGAAAAAAAATAGGGTTTCTTCTCTGTTTACGGAACATACGGAAGTGACAATTTGTGCAAATTTTCAATCTGGCGCAGGCTGACGTTGTGTGGCTTCAGGCTTGCATCGGGTGGATAAGAGGATTCATGAATCTAGCATTCGTTTCTAGAAGTTTCGTGTGAATCCCAGAGAATTCCATTTGCAGATAGACAGGGTCTGATTATCCAGATTTCTTAAATAGAGCGTATTTATTAAGTGTCAAATCCGAAAATTGACACTTTAAAAATGACAGTTTCGGAAGACAAAATTGACAGTTCCCCTCAGTAACCTAATTAACCTAATTAACCACACCAGGAAGGTATGATGGGGGAAACTGGGTAGATAAATAATTCTTCACGCTTACTGTGAAATACGCAGGCAGGATATATACTGCACTCAGTATAGTAAAAATCCCCAGGCGTATCCTACATCCCCACCTTGGAAAATTGACAGTTTCGGCAACCACTTTTCAATGTGGCGAAGTGTCAATTTTCGGATTTGACACTTAATAAATACGCTCTAATCCCTCTATCGGACGAGAGATGTCTTTGTCAACAATACTTACCAAGAAATTTCCTGTCCTTGCTTGAGCACAAGTAAGATTCATTAGGCGAAACGCAATCTACCACCAGTTACGCAGACTATGGCGATATCGATTTGGGATAAACTCTCCTCCCGAATGACTCCCGGGACATGCTTGTTACCTCAGGAGATTTCTCTTGCAGGGTCTTGAGAGGCTCAGCGTTTGCGAATCGGTTGAAATTTAGGTTGTGCCGAGGTACGTGTATCCTGTATGCGCCCTTAAATTTAGCACCATCAGCCCTTTAGCGGCACTAAAAAAAAACCGGTCCCGCATTCGGCCCGAATATGGCCGTATGTTGCTTAGTGTGAAGGATCAAAGATCCTCCGGCCCGCATGGAGAAGCTTTTTTTCTTTCTTCCTTGACATTCTCACGGGAACGCAACGTGGAAATGTCTTAACCCTTTCCTCCCAAGCCTTCCTTCATGTCATGCCTGGACGATGTTTCTCCCGAGTGGTCGGTCTCTTATCAACCTCCTCCTTTCACAAATCCAAGGGTTAAGGGGCTTGAGAGTTAACAAATACAACCACAATAAACGAAGGCCCATGATTACGAGCCGGAAAGTTTTTTGTGCTAAACAGGCAGGTTTGTGGCGCGTAGCAGCCCACGTGCGGGACGAGAAACATGTATCAACCGAAACAAAGCGTCAGAGCAGAGATACGCCAGCGAGAGACGTGAGACGCACGGCCTCATCGAACAGTTGATCGAGTCTTCCTTGCCGGCTTCCGTGCTCATTTTTTAGTGTTTAGGACAAAATGTGTATCATACGAGCCATCAGAGTCTGGGTACAGTCGTTCACAGGGTGAGGACGAACACTGAGTGAAGACGAACCAGGGTTCTCAATATGGCAAGAAACAGCCAAGATGCCCAAGTGATCTTTCTATTTGTCCAAAAATCCTTGTTCGTCTACACCCAGTGTTCGTCCTCACCCTGTGAACGGCTGTACCCTAGTGGACGCGTGTGGTAGCTGACGAGTTTCTTGAGGTCAATGCTTTGGACATCCGGTATCGGGGCATCAAACCGGGCCGATACGAACTATTACTCTAGGACGACAGATCGGGATAATCTATTTGTTCAGAATCATGCTCGTTGGTCTCGGAGTAACTAGAGAGCGCTCAAGATTAAGAAGTGGAATTGTGGTGATAGAGATGGCAATATTTCATGAGATAAACCGCACCGGGGGGGGGGGGGGGCAGATCTGACTTTACCCAGCACGACGGTTTCTCGAGTTGTTTATGCTCAGATGCTTAGTCTCCTCTGTGAAAGTTTATCGTGAGTTCCCGATTTGAGCTCTTACATTCGGTACCTTAAAACGGCAACGCCTATGCAGATGGGCATGTCAAAAAATGGTCCAGATCGAAACCTGATGAAGCAAACCAGACCCAAGTTACTGGGATTAACGGGGTCGGCCCAAGATACTGTCATCAGTGGCTTTCTAAGCCGATTGTTAGCAACCTTGTACGAAGGCAGTTTGGCTTGGTATTAGTAGTGATAGCTTGGGGTCTATAAAGTATGCATCAATCTCCTGGTGGAATATATAGGGGTTCGCATCCTGGTACAGGGCTTACCTGGCTGAGCCTTTCGTTCCGGGTGTAAGTTTATCCGCAACTGACTTTCATTCCAAATAGCTGGGCCTGATGTAAAATAGTATTCCTAATTATATCTAGAAGTTTGGTCGAGTCTCGTTTTATATTACAGCGGATATGGTAGTTCAGGATGTGATTGGTTAGTGAGCTCGAGGAGGCTTTCCTAAACCCAATTTATTGGCGCGTAGTAACCTTAACTTACGATTATTGGCGTGTGCAGGCACTTATGTACCACATGTTACTAGTCACTATGATTCAGGGTCATAGTATCGCACTCGGCGTTATATATTCCAATATATTATAATAAAATCCGACCCGGGCCACAAAGAATACATACCGTAGTGTGATTTTTCTAAACTATAGCCTACTTAATTGACCGTGAACAGGGGCCTTTGAAGTCTACATAAATTGACGAATTCTCGCGCTTTATCTTTCGGTACACATAATATACATTCAAAAAAGCAAGTCACTAACGTAGGAACCTATGTACGGATGAGTGAGATTCTATGAAGGAGAGATATAAAACTTGCTGAATGAAATCTTCATTCTTCCAAACATTGTGTCATTGCTTTAGCGATGTCTTCTACATAGACATACACGGCGAGGCGATCCACGATCGCCAATATTTCATATAATTACAACGAAATACGCTCAAGTAAGGATTGCCGGCAACCTATATATCTACACAACGTTATCATCGGGTTTACCATAGTGCTAAGGAAATAACCACCTGTTGGGTATTTCAAGCATTCATGTATATAAGAGATACATGTAGCTACATCTTGTCCGCGAGTTTCCTAGAGGTCTACTAGAGTTCGGCTGGAACCCTGCCAGTTTACTGGATGTACCCCTAGCTATTCTAGGATAAGCTTATAAGATGCTTTAGCAGTCCCTATTTTTACATAGAAGAGTTCTAGACCATATATTTAGATAAATAAAGCCCCGCAGCCCCTTTGTAAAGAGCGTTCGTATAAGGGGATCTGGGAGTCTCAACCACTAGTTGTAATCAACATATATATATCATAGACCTTCACTGGTGATTCTTTCTAAGAGAACTAGAAGGTATCTTGTATCCGCTACGCGTGTTGTGGGTAGAGATGCTTTTGATTACGCGCTTTGTGGTGTTGTCTACATAAGTCGCGTGCATGCAAGGGACATGCTGCCGGTGGCTATCATCCGACCAGCGCTATCCCCTTGTATTTCCAGCAAGGTACATCTTAGATTGATTTTAGATGTGCACTCTTCTCTCTTTTGGTACGGTGTACATGTGGTTAACACGAACCAAAGCAGCAGCAACGTGTCTAATGCCCACATGCACTCCAAATTACATGTAGTATTTACTTCTGATATTAAATATTTATCTATAGCCTTTAAGAATCAGAGCTTATAAATTTAGTCCATCTCTCGTGATGCGTAAATCATGTAATATCACTCGGTTACCGGTTCCCCCCTCTTTCAGAAAAATGATCATCGTTCATAGCTGATTGATGGCCCATTGATCAACTATTATGGGCAGTTGTGTATGTGCTCACAAATCACAAAATGGAAGGAGTATATGACTTGCGGCATATTGGGGGGGGGGGAGGGGGGGTGGGCTGGAGGTAATTAAGTCTTAGAAATCCCACGAGGGTACCGCAATAGGCCGCATAAATAAGATGATCCGCGGACCCGACTTCCCTCAGGAAATAACTTAGTGTGCGATTCTGTATCCAAATCTGGTCCACCGGCCAGTACATGAAATACTAAGTACAATCGAAGTAAGGTACCTGAAACGAAGGGGTATAAAGTGTAGTTCGATTTGGACTTCTATATATATCCCCATAAGTCTTGATCTTTTATTTACAGGCTGGGCCGTGCTTCAATATCTGGGTATCTATACGTACCGTAGAATTCTTTCAGCCACAGACCAGCATCAAGGGTGGTCTTACAATCAGCATTTTATGTTAGTGAATGGTTCAGCAATATCTCTGTGGCTGTTGGACTGGCACAGCCGTTTGAAAGGCTGCGGCAAATATTCTTCCAAAGCGATCATTGACATCAACATGCCGCTTACTAAGATGACACCAGTAGCCCTAACCCTTACCGTAGATCTTTCCGCTGCTCAAGCGTGAACTCTTCTTCTTCTGTTGCTCTTGCCCTTACTTTTAGCGCATAGCCAACCGGACACTCAACAGACCTCTTCTCTACGCGTTTAACTTTGCGACAAAGAACTATATATCAAAGCTACATACTTTAGATATTACTACACAAAAACGTTCGCAGGAGGCTAGCCGACCATGTCTGACGATGGCTTCGACGATGACTTTGATGACGGTTTCGGGTTCATCGATGATCTGGATTATCAAGATGATGACGAGCTGGTCTTTATCCCTTCACTCTCTTCATACATTACTAAACCCCCGTACACCCCACCTCGTAACAGCTCAAGCTGATCCCTCCAGCGCCCATAGTCCGCCCTAGTCGACTCCATGGCCGAAACCGCATTCGCCCAGGGTGACCCCATCTGGGATGAGTTCGAAGCCGAGTACGACACGACCGAATACCACAGCGACTGGTCATACTACTCTGACGGCGGTTTCTTCAGCGATGAGGAGAAGGCTCCTGTCCCTGCCGACAATGCGGGGAAGCCGCCGACAAATGGCGGTGTCAACACAGCTACATTAGACGGTGCAGGAAGGACAGAATCAAATGGAAAGACCAACAGTACCGGTAGACCGCTTCGGAAACGCCGAAAGCTCATGGTCGTTGATGAGAGTGGTGAGAGGTTGCCTGAATCTGCGCCGATACCACAGGACCAGCAGGAACAAGCGAAGGTCACGGCGACTGTCATTGTTCCGCTGCCGCCGACATCACCGAGAAGGCTCAATGGTAGCGAGTCAAAGAAGTCGAATGGTGTGTTGAAAGAGGATGGGAAGACCATATCTTCATCTATAAGCGTTGACGGGCTCAGGGCTGCAATGAAGCGGAAACCGAGTACAGATGAGGCTGTAATCTCTCCTTAAGTTTTCTTTCTCGGGGTTGGCGGACGGATAATGGTGTTATTGATGATTACAGGGAAAAGTTCATTTTTCATTTTTTTTCATTTTGATTGCAATGAAAGGTCTTTACAAATAAGACAATATCCAGTGTTCAAATTCATGTCCAACTATTCACTGAGGATAGTATTCAGCTACGTGGCACTGGTGTAATTGAGGAAGACACAAGCATGCCTACGAATAAAAGCTGTTGAGTAAACGTTTATGGCACATGTCCAATTTATTAGCCACTATCATGTACTAGGAAATCCCTGCAGATAAACAAAAATACAAGTACGTAGTAATTATGTCGAAGCTCATAAACCTCAGGCCTTAATAGGCTTCCCTTCCCCGCAGAAAAAAAACGCCACAAACTCAGATAATAATCCCAACCATATCACATCTATAAGTGCCATGCAAACAATCTCTTGAAAACGGCGCTTCCCTCGGTCTCGATGACATCTCCGTGACAAGGGATGATCTTGTCAAAATCCCACCCGGCAACTACCTTTGCACTTTGACTGAAAGAATTCTTATCCTTTGCCGTAGCCCACCATATGAAGCGCTGTTGACCCTTCCCATGTATTCCCAAGATCATAGCCATCAATTTCCCATATACTCCAGATTCTGGGTTTTCTCCAGTCTTGGAGTACTGCTCATAGGCCGGTAGGTTGAAGACAAGGTCGGCGTTTATGAATGTCCGTGTGGGTTTATGCAAGAAAGCAAGCTCCTTATTTGCGTGTCTAATTTTAAATCTTTACATCAGCAAAAAGAAAGAAAAACAATCTAGGCTAGTAGACTAGCCAAATAAGGGATTAACCATACCCGTCAAAGTACTCAACATCAAATTCTCTCGCAAAGTCCTCTGGTAGTTTGATGCTCCTCTTGTTCTCTTTTGTAAAAATGTGATCAATTACTACATCCTCATTGCCTTGCTTTGCTCTCTTCTCACGGAGCCCCTCTGGCCCAATGACCTGCGCGTTCTGGTACGCGGCCTTCCAGGGACCCAGTTGCATATGGTGCTCAATATCAGGCGCGATGATATAGGATACATTGCCGCCGAGAGAGGTAACGGTATCGCGGGCTTCCTGGGTTAAGCTGACGGGGGAGAAGACAGCAAGGTTTCCGGTTTGTAGACGGACTGATTGATTGGCGCATGTTAGTACAAATAAATATTAGGGAGGTTGCTAAAGGCTCAAATACCGATTGTGGCCCTTCCACCAAATTTGAAACGGTTAAACCGGAGGAATGGGACAGAGAGGGTGGTGATCTGGGGGATACACTTCGGATGACCATCGTTGCAGACATGTTTTGTTCTTTTGACATGATTGTTTTTTTGCTGGGATTGAATGAATGAGCGGGGTGTGTGTTGTTCTTATAAGCTATGATACTGTTACAAAGCGGTGATTTCCGTTGAGTGTCTATGACGTTGTTGTATTCAAGAGTGGGTGGTGGAGATTTTCAGCTTGCTTTATACAATCCCACGCAATTTGTCTTCTTGTCCCTTACCGGTATTTTTCATTCCCAGTGGATCAAGAATGTCAAATTCCATTGCCCACACAATTACGGACAGCCCAGAACACATGGAGTGCATGGGGAGGAGGGAGGCCATGCTTGCATATCAGTTCAACACGATACGTGCAAGGATACCTAGCTACGTATGTACGTAATCCGGAGCCTTCAACACGTGTTGAACATTTGGAATCCACTAACGCCGTACCGATCCGCAAATTGACAGCTCCCCATTCTCGCTTATCCTGTTACGTGCCACCACTTCGCACATGGTCGTACAACGAGGAGTTGACTAAACAACAGTATCATGCTGTTAATTGTAAGCTGATCAAGTCCCGGGCCGAGCTTTCACGAGATTTGATGATGTGGATTTCTGTGCGGAGTATGGGAACGCAGGATGCCGGTGGAATTCCAAATTTTTTGACCCTACCCGAGGTCGCCGAATCACTGGACATGACGCTTACTAACACTTCTAGAAGGCTTGATAGGATTTGTAACAAATCCATGCCATCTAATTTATTTCCTGGTACTCTAGACCTCTAGGCCTCCATGAAGGCCAGGAACATCGATGGAAGAGTACCATATCTTTGCTCCCCAGTCTCATCATATGAAGATGAAAGTCAAGGAGATTTCCTTCTGGCGGGCGGAATAGCTCACAGCACGCCCTCTGGAGTCTGTAGGTACAATTGTAATCCTGGGCTTGGTTAACGTCAGAGCAATAAACTCAACCCTGAAGGCTACCTGTAGAGACTAGGGTCCCTGTCAACTGTACTTTATGTAGTAACGCCCTGACTAGCAACGTACAGCGTGACAGAACAGATACAGTATCACACAAAAGCCGGTGAAGTCGCAATGAGAGATAAGTCGGCTTGACCCCATAGGTGGTAGGTGCGTGGTCGGACAGCGGAAGTAGAACGCGACGTTAACGCTGGCGACGATTAGAGCACCTACTTGACTTACTCCCAGGCAGACAACTTACTGTACCTACATACCTACATGTACATTTAAGTGCCTTAAGCACTTGCAACTAAGATTTAACTTCCTATTAATCGATTAACTGGTTTAATGCATTGGCCCACCTCCTTCTTCTTGAGACCGGGCCGGTACACCTACTGATCACGAGAACAGGGTCGGTCAAGTATGGCTCGAGAAGCTATGGTGGGTAGGTGTGTAAACTTCGGCGTTTGCAGCCAATCAATCTATAGAAATTGGGAGATCTACTCCCATAATGGTACTAGCGCCTAGCCCAACTGTGGAATTTTCTCTAATTCCCATACAAAAAAAGTTCCTCTGAAGTTGACACACCCCCTATGCCTTCTCGCGCCATATGTATAACGGAAACTTAATATTGATACCGAGCTGTGAAGGGCTTGGAAAGACAAGTTATGGTCTGTTTGGGCTGCTCATATTCTATAATATCACCCATTCCACTGATCGGGTAGAGTACACGCAGCAAAACATTAAATTATTCTCATTCAAATCTAATTATAAGTCAAAATGCGCAGCATCGCCTGTTATCGAAGAGAGGTGGAACATGATAAAAGAAAATATTGGCCCTTGCTCATTTGATCCATCTCATAGCCCTACCCCGATGCTCGAGTTTCGTACTTACCTATCACCTCAATCACTGCGTAAGCTTTGGTACCAACAGCGATCTTCCTGAAGTTCTAGACAAATAAAATATGTTCTCGCTCTCAGCTTCTCGTTTCCCATCATGCAGCCTAGCCCTACAACAGCGCCAGTAATATTCTCGAGAGCACCCTTACAACACATGAGCTGATGTACTTCAGTCGTGGGGATATATCTACATGTATCCAAGGGAACTGCTGCAAACAATGTCTCGGAGAGGATAGGCTTACATCCCCGAAGTACATATTTCGCTACCAACAAGGCCGCATATTGATAGTGTTCATGTTCAAGATTAAAATTTCTAACTGGATATCAGTCTCCTTTTCTTCTCAACATAGATCTACCGCCATCAATATGCCAAACTCTTGAGGAGTGCTTGAGCTGGTCCCTACTTATTATCGCACTGAAGGGAACCTTTTGTTACCAACAAACAAACATTCTAGACCAGTGTTTCTCGCGCTCGTTTCATGTTTGTTTATCACCGCCATGCCATGCCATGCGTTGGTATGCATGCATATATTTCCGTTTGTGTTGCGGGCCAGATCTGGTGGCCGGGCGCTCATGAGGGTCTAGACCTGAGTACATGCCTATTTCTCTGAGACAAAAATAAGAGTTATGAACGACCCGGGTGGGGGTATAATGACGTTTTACTCTATGCAGCTGGAGCGTTTCAAAGGGTTTCAGATGTTTTTGCGGCTGGACAGAATGTATTTTTTGTATCTTGTCTTTAGTTTCACCATGATGGTTGAAATGGTGAGTACTTACTACATCAGTACCACATACAATTGCCCCGCCTACCCTTCAAACTTTAATATTTGCCTACGGCCCAAATTGACCGCCTCCCTTATTGCAACTGAATACAGGAGGCATTCGTATTTACCGATGCCTCTTCAAGACTGATGTCCGCTGGGGACGATGTACGTACTCCTACATACATGTACTGAGTCATAATGGCCCCACATCCGAGGGCACCATGACGGTCGATCATACCCCGTGAATTGCACACCTTTTCGTTCAGAAATCTCTCGCTTGGAAGAGTAAAGGATTGAATGCCCGTACATACTAGACCTTCAACACTTCTTTAACACTCTGGATACATGTAGAATGTCAGGAGCTACCTAGTTTAGGCCTCAGAGTAATTTCAGGGATGTCTTGGGTAAAAGCGCAGCTACAAGTTATATTAACCCCGCAATCCTGCCTAGTTACCTTCATGGTAAGGAAAAATTTAGTCCTTGAGTTATAACGGTTAGCCTGTTTTGGAACATCCGGGGTGCATTGCATGACCGGGTTCCAGACTCTCGGGTTCACCAACAATATCAAATTTTCAGTTTTTTTGTGGAGAAAGAGCACGCAACCCTAGACACGCCATGGATAATAATTGATAGGATAAATAATATGTAGGTAAATCTGATTAATTAAAGAGATGGCGAACCAAAATAATAAAATTAAAAAAAAAAAAAAGAGTCAGGCAGACAAATAAATCAAAGTATTAATGATTGATACCAACAAGCAAACAAGCCAGCCGACCAACGAACTAAACCTCATGCTGCCAGATGATGCCTCCCAACCCAAAAACAGACATTGACTTTTTTTACAGTACTCCTTCCCACTTTCCTCGTCCTTAATAAAACAAAGCCAACCTGGCATTCCCATGATTTCTAAACAGTATCTAATCTGTCCCAATTCTTGGAACACTACCACGTCTCGTCGGATTCAGCTTCTCACTCGGTGCGAGCAGGAATTCATTCTTTCCAGCTGCAGATGACGTCGAGCCGCTGAAGGGATTTGGTGTGGTATCGGTAGTGGTTCGCCCTTGTGCCTATAAAAACAACATCAGATGGAATTCGGGAGAATTGTATTGGTGAATGGGGGATGACATACAGTGCATTGATTGCATTTCTCACCCCAGTTACGGACTTGATTTTTGCATTGGTGGTAACCCTATGGTAGTATTAGTGAACTGCAGCATTTGTAGCAAATAGTAATAGGCCTGGGCTGGTGTGGTCTGGACACGAACGTAGTAGTTTGAACAGTAATAAGCCCCGTTTGTACTCATGATTGATGAAGCTATCTTCTTGTAACAGGCTGGTTTTGAAGGCAGGAGAGGATAATGTAGAGGGAATGGAATTCTCTTGCAGAGAATGATTGTAAAAGGTACGGTAGGTTGTGCAGCAGAGCGGAGTAGACAAGATCTAGAGTGGAGGAGCGCTGTAGTTATGTATGTATGGCTGGCCTGATCAGATCAGTAAATAACAAATTCGCAGACGAAACAGAGCAGACTAACAGCAGTGAATCGAAGATCAGATCACAATTAAAGGGATAGAGACTAGAGCAGAGAGTGAGAGAAGAAGAAGAAAAGAAAAAAAGAGAAGAATACAATCTGCAAATCGAATCCAGTCCAATCGATCAGGAGCTGGCATGGCAGGCTTATATAACGACTCTTCCTACTCGTGGAACGCTGCCAAACCCCCCAAGAGAGAGAAAAAAAAAAGAAGAAAAAGAAAGCAGCAAAAGAAAAACAAATAAAAACACCCGTGTCAGTCCAAGCGCCCCTCCATCTAATCACAATTTCGAACCACTGCCATGATGTCTCCTGTTGCTGCAAGTCATGGTTTCAGGATCTTCCAGAGCATCCTCGAGTTGCAGGACAGGCAGGACCGGGCTGGGTAACACAGCACGTCGGACAAGCTCCGAGGATAGGGGATGATCACTCAAACTCAATCAATCACAGGCTTACAATAGGAAACACTGTACCGACTACACATAGACAATGTTTTATTTCTGGAAATTTGTGGGGGTAAGGCCATCAAGGAGCGAAGAAGGGGAGGAGGAGAGGCGTAGCTGGGAGGGAGGGAGGGAATAAAACGCTCAAATAACAACCACCAAACCTCATTTGCATAGGATACCCCCAATTGCAACCCAAACAACAACAGGAATACGTTGGGGATAACCTGTTTCCGCATAAAGTAATACATACTACATAGAGTACACCACAAGAGTACAAGGTCTGGTAGGGGAATCCGGAAATTGCGTCTTCTCTCTCCGAAAACCAAGGAGTCTGGGAGCGTTTCTCGCCAGAGAATGCACTCGGATTTCCCCGATCTTCTGGGGTAAAAGACGAGTGCACGCTGAGATGGAAGACACACTTTAGACGTTGCCCAGGTTACTTTTTCCGGACCCCTACTGTCCAGAGTTTCTGGAATGACGGGAACCAAATCGTGACAAGGTTGTTCCCTGGAACTTGAAACACTACGTTCCCGGGTTGACCTCCACTTCCACCACTACACTGCACCACACTGCACCACACTGCCTGCACCTACGCGGTATCGAACTTTGCATGTAGTCCATTGGTAGGTAGTGTGAAATATTTCGCTAATGATGCTCCCACAAGCGGACACGAACGGTAGGTTATGTTATAAATGGGAATAGAAAAAAAATGTAAAACAAAAAAGTTTATGACAAGACAATATATGAATCAATAACTTCCTCAAAGTCCTAAAAAAAACGCCATAGACGATCATTAAAAATTTCCACGAGTCGCCAGCGTGAACATCGAAACTTACCACCCACGCTCCCTCTAACCTCAGCGCTTGTTGCCACCTCCTTTCCTATCTTACCACCATCAAAGAAGAAAAAATAGACGACAATTATTTGGGTCTCATGTTATTCCGAAGAACTGAGAGATCCAATCATAATAAAAGAAAGGTCGCTCTGATGACGACGGAAGGATACAGAAACACAACCGATTATCAAACCAACCCCACATTAAAATGCAAGCTCCCCTAACCAAAGTAAAAATCCAAGACACTAAACCGGTTACGATTTGTTCCTGGACCAGAAATCCAGAGAAGCAATAACGTCGTCACCATTACCTTCATCTTCGTACGCATACAAGATCTGATATATGTGAGCGCATGTAACCAATAGCTAAAGTATATAGGGCTTACCTCTCTCGTTGACTCATGAAGCATTCGAATATTTTTTCCTGTCACAATATGCACCAAACCACCAGTTTCCACATTTCGAATCTCGATAAAACTGGGTTCGAAAGCAAGAATAAAGGGGTATGAAAGCGCAAAAGAAGTCGGTTGACCTTCCCAAGCAATTTGCCAGTCAGGTCGTGCTCTCCATCCGTTTCTGTTGACAAAGAACGAAAAGTCTGAATAGTTAAGTAAGAACTCGCCGTTCAGCCTGTAGATGGCTATCGGCTTGACGTTTTCTCTCTGGAATAGCTCTAAGGATGTATCCGCAGGATCAAGAAGAGACTGAGTTTCCAGGGTTTCCAAGCTGACAACTTCAAATCCCTTCGAACACCCAACGCACAGCTTAGACTTCAAGAAGTGTATTGAAGTTGATTCTGATGGGATATAAAATTCCTTAAAGCTAGTCAGCATCTTTTATTTTATACGACGATCGATATCAGAGATATTCGCACCTTGAACGGCTTTAGTGTGTCCTGTCCTCCTTGTAAGAGTTTACGGAAAGCAGGCGTTCTTTTACCGCGAGCCAGAGTGTCGTGCGGTTCTAGCACCTTCACAGTGGACGATAGAGATGAACTCCTCACACAACAAACAAGCACTCGTCCCAAGCACACACCGGCTTTGAAGAAATTAGTGTGTCCAATGACTTTCTTCGGCCGTTTATTGGCAAGGGTTGTATCGTTGGGATCAAGTCCTTCGACAGGAACAGACATAAGGGTCTTTTCTGAGAGAATGAGAATAATCGAAAACTCCTCCAATACGTCGATCTGCTCGACTTTACTGACTTCAATGACTTTCTTTGGCATAGATCCATCTTTGTACTTCCGGTCAGATATGTAAATGCCATTTTCCGTTCCGTATACCAGCTTTCGGCCACCATCTGATAATAGTCAGCGCTTGATTAAATTTTGTTCATAATAAAGTATTAAACCTACCAATGGGCACAAGGCAGCTAACACGATTGCCTGCGTTGAAGAACTGGTCGCAAAGAATTGTTCGTGTAAATATGTTACTTCTCTCCCTCAGCACGGTTTGTTGAGCTTCAATGTGTTCAATCCACTTCCTTCGACTAACTACTGAACCAGCAAACAGGGGAACGATATAACCCCGTTTCCCCAAATGTTGGAAAGTGATTGGGTATCCTTTTTCTTTGTTATTAAAGTCATTCGGTATCTTTTTTGTATCTGTCTTAGACGATCCGGGGATGAGACTCGAAGAAGGCCGTTTCGCAATCCCCCCTGCCCTTCCGGGAAGAACCTCTTCCATTTGAGTAATAACAAGTAATTCAAGCGGTATTGGCTATGGTGAATATCAGATATAATCCCCCACAAGCAAAAGAATGTAAAAATGAAAATTGGTGGACATACCTTTCGATGCACCTTGTATTGCTCCCTTTTGTTCACCACTTTTATTCTAACCAGCAGTAAGGCATGATCAAATAGAAATGCTTGAATATCTCCCCCACCATCTGTAGATGCGCTTTTCTTCAAGCTTCCCTTAAACAGGAGCTGCCTTCCCTCCTCTGTCAGTTTTAGATCAACTGTCTCCCCCGGTCTGAATACGAGTTGTTCATTGAGCTGCATGAGATTAAAGTGATTTTCCGCTTTCCCTGATTCAATATTCACTCGAGTAAGGAATTCTCGAATCAGCTCGGTTGCCCTCTTTAGATCTTTTTTATCGGGATTATCTTCAGACGTAGGTTTAAGTATAGCCTCCAGTAGTAATGGATATCGAGCAAGACGAGTTGTTGGTTTCGTAAGGTAGCCATTTAGCTCCAATTTCCGTGATTCTTTCTTACGTTCAGTCTCTTCCACGAAACGTGCAAAAGCTGGGTTTGCAGCCTTCTCCTTTTCAAACTCATGTTTCCCGTATAACTGGTTCGAGCCATACCTAATGAAAGGCTCAAATTGCGGCACAAATTCTAGGAAAATGTCACCGACGTTGTGAACAACTGGCGAGATTTGTTGTCTCCGAGTGAGAGCTTCTGCCAGACGAGAATTGACGGCGTGAACTTCCATTACATCGCCAAAAACTGTACGGATAAATATTTCACGGCGGTGCTCAGGAATCGGCGAAAGACTGTTGGGGTTCTTCGAAAGTAACGGCTTCATCCAGAAGTCCCGAAGGTACTCCAAATCCTTCACAAAATCTCTCTCTGTGTATATTAATTCGCAAATGACCTCTTGCCTCTTCTGTTCCTTCTCCGAAACACCCTCTGCGATCTCCTTCGGTACTGTGTGAATCCACAACTTTTGTTCCTTCTCGTCATCACCATGCAAGCTAGACCTTGACTCTTCCCTCCTTAGACCAGGCTGTGGCTTCATATTCAATCTCGCTTGCTGTTCCAAGCGACGAGGGCAAGCTATGGAATAACATAGCTGCTGTGGTGTACAAGTAGGCGAATAGCAGTCTGTTAAGAGAGTGAATACCCCGTTAACTTCGTTTTCTTCATCGACAATACCAGCATTACCATCCCTGAATTGATAAACCTCCGAATGTGAATCTCTTAATCGATGGTCGTATGTAACATCGTGAAAGAACTTTTGAGCATCAAGAGCCCTACCCAAAAGCAACGCAAGACTCCGATCGCTGGTTTTGATTATATATGCGATTACATCCACAGCTTCCGCGCCCGTAAATGCTGATTTGTAGGTCAGCTGATTCTTCTCCCGATCCCCAATCAATATCCGCTCCCTTAATACAAATGCGACTCGAGATAATAGAGCTGGATATACGAGTGGTGCTCGCTTCTGGGGTGGGATTTCCATCCCTCCCCCCCCTCCGGAGGAGGATGTTCCGGATTTGTGCATTGAAGGCCGTTCAGTGGCCTGTGTGAATGTCGAAGTTGTGGAGGGGGCAGCGGAAGCGGAGAATGCAGTAATGCTTGAAGAATTACTTGCAGAGCTTGGCGTTCTTTGTTTAGCGGCGAAATTGTTTTCTCTTGCAGGCATGGAGTTGAGTCGCTGCTGACCCGATGGTTGCCCACTCTGACTATATTGGCTATATTGACTTTCCTGGGAGTCTTTACGCCTGTGTGGTATCACTCTCCCACTCATCGTTTGCGCATGGTCCCGCTCATGAGAATATGTGGTCAATGACATTGTCCTTTCGTCATGCCTTTCGGGAACAACCCTGCCCTGAGCTGTGGTTCTCGACATTTGTGGACCCGGAGGTCTTGTTCCCTGGTAGCCAGCGAATGAAGGCCCTGGGGGTCCCATATTAGGTGAGTACGAAGCTGCCATAGATCTGGAACGGTAAGGGTCGTTATTCAGCGCAGGTGGTGGTGGATAATACCGGTGTGGTGCTGGCTTGGTCATATTGGGGTTTGGGGGAGGGGCACCAGGGGGTTGGACACGCATTGGCTGGGGATAAGGTCGTCGCTCGGGATACATAGGTTGCGGTAAATTTTGGGGTTGTGATTGCATCCTAGAGTTGGGATTTTGGGCGTGCTGTGGATAGCCAGATGGATTCTGAGGTGGGTAGCCGTTCGGTGGGTGTCCTTGTCTTTGTTGACGCGGTGATCCGTTTGGCCCGCTACCACCGCCATAGCCAGGAGCAGACATTTGTGAGGCAGATGTCATTGTCTGAGAGCGCCCATTTAGGGGCATTGGGTTTGATTGAGAGGTCATTGTGTGTGAACGTCCGGACGGAGCAGTACCAAAGATGTTTGCGAAATCATTGTCGCGTTGGGATCCCGGAGCAGGAGGATTGTGATGAGCACGGTATCGTGAGTTCTGCTGAGGATCGGCCATGATTACCGGGAAAGCTTATCTGTTCAAGAAGACCATAATAATTGGTTAGCGATTTGAACATATGTACACCAAGGCTACCTTATCTGCGGAAATGGACAGATAGGCAAAAAAAAAAAAAAATGACCAATATTCAACTAGCCAGCCAGCCAGCCCAGAGTAAAATAGCAAGTATATTTTAGGTTTTCCAGACAGAAGAATTATGAGATGGTGAGTACAAACGGGAGTACAATTTCAGATGCTGTAACGACATGCAGCTTTTCTGAGGAGGGGGGAGGGGGAGCGTGGGGTGTAGGTTGTGGCGGAGGTGGTGGTAAAGGTAAGAGTTTAGGCGTTGAGTGAGTGAGGTAGACAGACACTGGAGGTCAAGTTAGGGGATGGACAGCCGGATAGAGCGTTGGGTGTCGTGGTGGTGGGGACCGTTGTCTGGAGATTCTAGGTTACCCGGCCTATATTGAATGTGTTTCTGAGCTTGTCAGGGTCTTCAGTACCTACATTGTAGAGTATGTGGGCTTGAGCTGCTGCCTTGGGGATCACTTGTCCAGTAAGAGTGGAGCAGAAAGCACAGACTGCGGAGTACAATTTAGTATTTATCAGGGGAAGCGGAAATGAAGCCATGGCGTCTTGCTCTTTATTTTTCAATTTCGTCCAGTTGTTTACTTGTTATTTACAGTACTCAATTCTACTCTCATGATTTAGTCCTTATTTTTGGTAAACTTCAGAACTTCCGAGGTCCGGACCGATGATATTTAACTGCATTCCGTGCCTGGTCCAGCTACGGAATCTTCGGCGCCTCGACCGGACTATGTATAGGTCCTTACTGTTATTGTTCCACAACTCCAAATGACCTCCAGCATATTGCACTACCGAATGAAATCCCAAAGAGAGAGAGAAGATGCCCCTCCCCCTCCCATCTTTACTACATACATCATGTACATTACCTAGATGTACCTACATGTACTTATGTACCTCCAGCCGTTCTTCGTACCCGTACCCCCAGTCTTTTGGAAACATCTGCAGGGTATTTGGTCTAATCTATTGTGCAACTGTGAAGTGCAGGAAAAAAGGAAAAAGGAGAGAAAAAGGGCTTCCCTCTTTGAAATCCCCAACGCAATCATATCCGCACTAAGTAACTTGAAATATTGATTCTTGGTAGGCTACTAGGCGTTACCGTCACAAAGACCTAGTCACCATGTACCTACATCTTATCATCACTTCATCAGCTCGTAACTATGTCGGTATGGTATTCTCTAAAGCCACTTTCGGGCTTCTCTCCGCCACCGTGTTGAATAATGGCGAGAAAGTTGCGTGTATAAACACTGCAGATTCTAAAGAAAGTGACTTTTCCTCTCTCTCGTGGTATACTGCTCACACGAGCGTTTTTTCTTTCTTTCTTTTTCTTTTCACTTTTATTATTATTTTCATACCCGTATGCCCGCACTGTCATCTGGACAGGTCCGCTGTTTATCTCGATCTGCGGCGCCGAACCGTGGGCCGTAATATGGCTGTCTGTATTACAGTATTGACCCCCAGTTCCCCCTCTGCCCCTCCATCGGCTCTCCGCTCCCCTGACTCCTCCTTGTGACGCGAAGTTTGGGGAAGAAAGTAGGCGATCATTCAGTCCACAACGCAGCGCCTAGAGCTCAGACAATAAAGACCCGCATCTGCGACGCCGTGTGGCCACTATCTTGTGGAAGATCGAGCCACGCTTGGATAACTTGACTTCTGCAAACCGGTTTTCTGGTTAATGCTCCTTGAAGAGCTTACAACATATCTCACAGCTGCTTAACCACCGTTCACATACTCACCTACATACTCACCGTTCTCCACTGAAACATGGAGCCCAACATGCACCGTGGACCTTCGAACCTTCCTACACCTCCTCCAGATAGCATCACAGAGGAAGAAAGATCGAAGCCAGGCCTCAAGTTTGATTCGGGAATGGATATTGACTTTCAAAGCGACTCGTTGCACTCCCCGGTATCATCCGCTCAGCCGCCTGTCTCACAACTAGAGTCCACTATTTCTACTACTACAGCGCAGGCGGACTTCAAAGAAGAGATGAAGAATGATTCGGAGTGGAGGAAACCTTCTGTCGATGATTTTGATTTCATGACGACCTTGGGGTAATCAGCGAGTTGGCCATGTGTGATAATGATTGCCTTTTCTGACTGCGGGACAGCACCGGGACTTTCGCCAGGGTGTGGCTTGTAAAGCCTCGGAGCGTGCCGAATTCTGGCGAGGCACCTCTCTTTGCCCTAAAACAGTTGAAAAAATCCGACAGTAAGGGAGTTAATTTCTCTAAATTCTCAGGATATGCCTGGAGGAAAGGCTGCAATTTTTATATCTAGAGGCTAATGTTCGTACTATGGGATTTTAGTTGTTCGGCTGAAACAATGCGAACATGTATGTGATTATCCCCATTTACTCACAACTTATAGTCGGACCCGATCATACTGTTTCCCGCCGCGTAAGATATGGGGAATACTTGAGCGCTGAAAAAATGACTTAGGTACGCAACGAAAGAGCAATTTTAGAAGTCTGCCGGCCACACCCATTTATCACACATTACCTGTGCTCGTGGCAAGACCGAAACTCGTTATATATACTTGTATGTCCTTCATGGATTTACTGCAGTGATAAACTATCTGCGCATGCTAACACCATCAATAAAGCTTGAATACTCGCCAGGTGCACCCACTTTCTTCCCAAACACACAAGTCAAATGCCTAATATCCGCCATCTTCAACAGGCGGTGAAATCTTCGGATATCTACGACGAGCGCGCCGTTTTGATTTTGCCACGACACAATTCTATGCAGCAGAAATCGCAATGATCCTTGTATTTTTACATAGCCATGGTATCGTTTACCGAGATCTGAAGCCCGAGAACATCTTACTCGATGCAAGAGGCCATGTAAAATTGGTAGATTTTGGCTTTGCCAAGGTTGTCGGTGATCGTGAGTTTTGTCTTATTTCCTCGCGAATTAAATTTGCTATGCTTTACTGACAGGTTTATCACTCTATAGGTGAGACCTACACACTTTGCGGTATAATAAACATTCAAATATCCCATTTTTTTCTTCTTTTTTTCTCCTTTTTTTTCCAGAAGTGCTGCTAATATAGTTTTCTTTCCAGGAACACCGGAATACCTAAGCCCTGAAGTTATCCAGAGTAAAGGCCACGGTAAAGCTGTTGACTGGTGGGCCTTGGGAGTACTGATATATGAGATGAGTTGTGGATTTCCTCCATTTTACGATAACTCTCCCTTCGCGATATACGAGAAGATTGTTGCGGGACGGATATCGTTTCCTTCATTGGTCCCAGAGGAAACCAAGGATATAGTAAGAAAACTTTGCACCAAAGACCTATCAGCACGGTTAGGAAACATGCGTGGTGGCGGCCATCAAGTGATGGCGCACAGGTTTTTTGATGGGATTGATTGGCAAGAGCTAGAAAGCCAGGTCAACCCGGTATGCCTCCCGACACGACACGACACATATTTTATGCAGTTCCTTTCTTTTCCCCATGGACTAATGTTAAATCCAACCAGGGCCCCATAATACCACACCTTAGATTCGCAGGCGACACAAGGTATTTTGACCATTACGAGCCACCAGCACCCACAACAGACGACGAATATCCCAAAGAAATGATGGACAAGTACGATATACAATTCCGGGATTTCTAGTAGAACGGCGCAGGCGTTTATATTCATCTATTTTTACCGGGACTCGACAAGAGATATCAATATGTATGTAAATAGCTAGCGTTGGTTTGGTAATTTTACCTATGTACATCATTCTATGGCTTGGCTTTGAATTTGTCCGGTTTTATTTATTTCAACTTTCTGCCATGAGGTTAGTAGGCACATGTACCTGTAGAGATCGCTGTGTTCAACCAATGTGATATGTTAATTTGACGGAATACGGTGCTGAGTTTCAGCCATATAGTGTGTTGTACTCTGGTCTGGTGGAATCCAGGCTGTTGCGCTGGTATATATACATGTAGGTATATACTTTGTCTACGGAAGATAACTTGATAGGCGCTCTTTCAACTCTGACAACTCGACACCTATTAGGCAGAGATTTTGAGAAAAAGATAGGTCACAGTCATAGGTTCTTGTCGTGACTTCTGAAACATGGATGCCTCGATGTGTCGCTGTTGTTGGTGGACCGGCTACATGCGATATGCAGGGGCTCGGCGGAACTTGTACTCTTCTGTGCTGGGTGATAGCTTTGACCTCAACGTAGATAATAAATCACATATGATGGGAATATAGATGTCTACCTACTCATATTTAAATAGCGAGTACATCTCGGACCCGGTCATTCTCGCATACGGGTGCCACATCTAAAGATCCAAGTGAAGCTTAGATCTCAATCACAATCATAAGTTATCACTCGGATCATGAGTGATAGAAATCTGAATTTTTTTTCAATTTTGCTCTTCTCGCTAAACCAATATAAATTTAGGCTAAGAGCCATACCAGATATCTCCATCTTAGTACTTTAGAAGCCTCTAATGAGTTAGGAATACCAAATCCTCTTATATGGTTGACGATCCACATGACCTGCATACAAAGGCCGTGGAATGGATTAAATGACCAAAGAAACCATGACTAAAGGGGAGAACCTCCGTGTATTGACTAACAAAACCCAGAAGAAAAAATTGCAAATGAAAGAATTGCCGTGCAGTTTTCTTGACCCCCCATTTTCCTTTGAGAGATTTATTGTTAATAATCACCAGTCAATGACTCTCTCGGGGAAGAATTCGTCAATGAGCTCCAGATAGTAGGGCTATTATAAGTTGTTAGCATCAAACTGCTTTTTGTGGTATGAAGAGGCATCTATTATATATACCTTGAGCTCTTCCATAGTTGGCGTTTCATCACTCTTGGAGTATAGATCGTACGGGTTGAAAGCTTGGACAGCTTTCAGCATCCTTCTGTCATGATCGTTCATGAATTTGTGATAGGCTCCTTCTTTATGCCAAGGGTAAAATGAGTGGAACCTAATCATGGCAAGGCCTTCATCGGGGATTCTGGACTGGTGTTTGACAACGTGGTAAAGATATTCATCATGCCCCCATGAAAGCATGACATTGTCCAAGCCACAGCCCTCGTGGTAGATTCCAAATTCGGTGCTGTATACAGGATGATTGTAATCGGGATTGTTCACAAACGTCTCTGGAAGGATGATTCGCTTATCAAAGGCGCATCCCACTGTCACGAAAGAACTTTATAAATCACAACTCTATCATGTTGAATAGGAAGGTTCTCACCAGGGAAAGTATCGCCGACCACATCCCACTGACCCTCAGCATCAAAGAAGAACAGGAGCTTCCCCAAATCGTGAATCAGGCCAGTGACTTGCATCCAACGAGGTTTTCCATCCCTGCGGATAGCCTCGGCAGTTTGAAGTAAATGCTCTATCTGTGTAAGGTTGGTGTCGGGATCGCTCTCGTCAATTAGAGTGTTAAGTTTCTCCATTGCTTCCCAAATACTCATTCTAGCCCTCTTCTTTGTCTTAAAGTTTATCCGGGCCCTGAGATTGTAGGCAACCGTTTGTTTCTCATGTTGCTCACGGTAGAAATTCTTGACACGGTCACTAGCATCGAGGTACTGTCTAAATTGGGTCTTATCTTTCTCGGCATCGAACTCAGAAGCATCGTCGAAGCTAATATTTTTGTTCTTCAGAGCGGCTTTGAGGACATTTACATTGTCGATAGCGTCGGATGTATCCTCAAGCTGATGGCCATCACGACCATTGTAGACAGTAAGCTGTTGAAAAACCCCGGGTGCCATTTTAAAAGGGATTATGGAACTGAAATCCCAGTCTTGTTAATAGGTGAAGCTTTTATCTCAAATGATTAATAGATCAACGTACGGAAGGGCTATTCAGAAGCGCAATAACCGAAATCAGGCTCTTATAGCGAGTTTTTTTTATCCGAAATACTTTTGTGCGATGGATGAATTGAATATCAATGATACAGACGGGGTACGTATACGATTATCTGAACTTAAAAAAATATTAGTTATGTCATCCATATGAGGTCATCAAATATAAGGCACGGAGAAGAGAAAGGGGTAACGTGTATGTTTTGGCTTAAGGGTTTAAGGATGTTGGAGAAAAAGGTTATAAATATTAATCTGAAAATTGAAACCAACAGATCCATCTTCATACCTTCGAGAGTGATGGTTCTTTTAAGCTCTATGTAGGTGCTCATGTATGTAGAGGGGCGAGCTCTCTTTTATAACCAAATATATTTGTTAACATTCTCAAGATTCGCTTTATTTCACTACCGAAAAAGCAGATTAACCTCGGGTGAGCGTTGTAAGGCATTGCCACATCAGGACTGCCATCGTGTGAATTTCTTGAAAAAGGCGTGGGGTAAAATACGATAGCGGAGGGGATCCGCGGTCGATAATGCTGATAGATGATACATGTACGTAGCTAAAGTTGACATGTATTGATAAATTAAGATGTCTACAGATAACCATTGGCGCCCCATCTCACCCGAATACTTAAGGAAGCCGGGATTACTGCCAAGAATAATTGCACAATCAGCGGATATCGGTTCTTCTGGACGAATAGTTGGTTGCAGACCCTAGTTCTTGCATACAATTGAGGTCGGTGTTCAGTCCGGATCACTCGTTCGGTCAGGTGTCTTTAAGTTTTCTAACCGGGATTAGGGGATGACTTGATGTTTACTGTATTTTGTGTAATTATTTATTTACTTCATCTACTCATGTACCTCATCCCTTGCCAATGGGCATATGCATATACTCTAACGAAGAACAAAGTTTTCAAACAGTGCGGAGAAACTGCAGTGAAGGGGGAAATGAAATTAGGGTCTGGAGTCATTCTCAAAAAAACGTGGCATTAATATTGTCCTCTTACTGGGATAGATGGGTACAAGCCACATTGCTCACGATGCCCAGCTTATATGTAGAGTGTATTCCTTCCCCCCCTCCCTTCAGCGTCCGAATGAAATTCGGGGGAATCTCGGGCTTTCTAACTAGCATCTTTTGAATACAACTAGATAAAGCCATCACGATACTTGACATCAGGTGGTGTTGTAGATATCCCCTTGACAAAGTAAATTTCGGTAAACTTTTTCCTGGTGACAACGGACAATGTTGGTTTTAAGAGGGATGCATTGCAGGGAAAGGGCACAAGCCTTTTGTTACTCCATACAAAGACATGAGTTAGCGAGAGAAAACACAATCTTCCAGATGACGTAGTATAGCCACATTTGTACCCGTAATCTGCAAATAATCTCTGGCCGTTACATCCGACAAAAATGCCAAAAGTGTAAGAGGCACAACTGTACTGGAATGAAAATTGACGATTGGCATGAATTCTACCAGAAGCTTCGTTTCACCCCTTCAACATCATGACAAATTTGGTCAAAATGGCATTTCGCTTGGACCACTTGAACTTTCCTCATCTGGCTTGAGGGCGCGCTACAGGAGAGCGTTTGGGCACTGCACACCGTGTTAGATATTATTGACGTAAAAATAATGCCACTTTACCTTATAGACACCCTTTATTTATTTATTTTACGGCGAGCCCTCCTAAGTGAGGAGAGACCAATTGTCGTTCAGTGACAGCTTGATTCCAAATGAATTAAACAAAAAAAAAACAGCTTGATTCCAAGCAACGGATTAGTCGAGTGATATTTGATGACACAAACACCTGCGAAATTTGTCAATACATGTACCTACTTGGTTCTTGTGGTGGGTGCAACAATTTGTTTCAGCTAGATCTACTAGTAGAGCTGCTAGAGAAAAGGTAGAACTTCGCTGACATATGTACCTACTTAAGAGTGCCGCAGTCTATTACCATGTCCGTTGAGCCAATAACGCCATGCCCTCACAATCATGTAGGCTCGTGAACATCCCGAAAATTAAAAGAAAAAGACAAAAAGGAAATCCGGAAATTACCACGACAACAGTATAAGAAAAATAAAATAGGTTTTCAAAGGAAATAAGCATGCCAGCAGTAACACTGACATCATTAAACATCTCCCCAGTTCACACGAAACTTATTGTAAGAAGCCACAAATGATAGTCCACTATTATTGGAGGAGGATTTGCATGGCGATTTCAATCTGTTTTAATATTGAAACGTGTTCATATAACGGAGAACACTCCGGGTATCCATGTCTATACAGGCAACTGCTATTACTGCTTTTCTCTATCACTACCAGTCAATTTACTTTCATCTAAAGCAAGGCCTTAATCTCTGCTACTACGTCTTTGATTCTCTGCTCTGGAAGCCTGCTCTCAACCTTTGAAACAAGCCGACGTGTTTCATATATCCCGACTGCGGCTGCTTTGACATCTCCTTGAAGTGTCAACAAGGTTCCCAGCGCTACGAGCGCTCTAAATGTAGCCTCGGAATCTGTTTCAGTGCCAATAATGGTGGTTAAAGGTTTGAGAAGCTCAATAGACCGGTCAACTGAGTTAGTGGAGTGAAATAAAACCGCATAGCTATACCAGTCGTTATTAGGATTATTATGCCATAAAACCATGGGGGGTTGGCAGGTCTTACTTGAGGAAAAGTGTTGATTTGGCTTGCTTGAAGTTGCGATTTGTAGTGCCGGCAGATGATTTTTCAACTAACTCAACAGTCTTTGACATGGATTTGGGTTAGAAACAATCTATTCAGGATGGGTAAGAATACGTAAAGTACGTACCCGCTCAAACCGCGTGTTCATGTATTTTCTACCATCTACTGTCTGAAAAAGGTTTACATATGTTCTCGTCGCTAACATAGCATTGTTGACCAAGCCGTTGCCGAAACCACCTGAGGTCTCGAGTATTTCCCCTATATTTTGGTGACTGGATTGATATGTTGCTGCCTGGGAGCTTGCTGCTGCAAATAGCCTCAACAAATCCAGCCCCGGAAGCTGATTCTGTGGCGCCCAGCTCTTGATAATCTTAATGAGCAAGTCTAAACTTGCTTCGGTGGCAGCAAATGGCTTTTCTATCGGCTTGTTAAGTAAAGCAGCAGTTTGAAGAAATTCTATAAGCTTTGCAAGAACAGAGACCTCGTCAGGGTTCAGGGCAATCTCCTTCTCGCCCTTTGAAATAAGATCTTGGTTGATTTCGTTGATTTTCTTTTGAATAGTTGCCAGATTTGCGGCAACAATAGAAAGATATACTGTTTGCGGTATAAACTTTTGCTTGGTTGGTTGTGGGCGTGGGGCTGGAGAAGATGTCTCTCCTGGTCGATACCGATTCTCTGTGCCCCAGGGGTCTGGACCACCTCTATCTTGACCTCCACCGAGCTCGACTCCCTTTGCATTCGTCACAATGAAATTACCTACAGTATCCAGGTAGGTCATTGGAAGCTCGTTATCTTCCAGGAATTTTCGGGCTGCATCAAATGGGTTTTCAGATGCGTTGTATGGAAGCTTTAATGGTGGTGCGCCCTCTTGGAAATCAACGTCGAAGACAAAATCGTATTCCTTGCCCTTATATAGCTGTTTGCGGCCCGAACCTATAGCATCGACGACAGTCCCAACATTGGTCCAAGATCTGGTTTGACTAGACCAAGTATAGGCTTCTACGTTCCCCTCATTATGTATCATGATTACCTACAAAATGTTAAGTACTGTAATGCCTATGGGTTACAAGTTAATCTTGAAATAAACATACCTGCCCATCTTTTTTCCCTTGCTGCTGAAGAGCTTCTGGGCCTGGTAAATCTTTTTTGTTCACATCACCGACTTGCGTGCTACAAAATGAATTAGAAAGGTTATTTCTAGATGAAGATTCATGGATAAGTAGACACTAACGCAGGAATACTTGAAGCTGTAACGGCACTGTCAAATTCCTACACTAAAGTTAGCATATAAGTCCCCGGTGATTGTTCATGCCAATCAAATGGTAGAATCGGGCTTTAGAGCACCTTTAGGCCCTCTTCATCAGCCCATCTAGCCTGATCTCGTGAAAAGACCCGCACAACCCTATCACTCGCCCCGGTAACGATGTCTCCAGTCTCGGGACACACGGCAACGGACCAAACACTAATAGCAGGATGTGTTATAGTTTGAATACAGTTACCGTCTATCATGTCCAGAGATTTAGAAAGAGCTACCAATAGAAGTATTTACGAGAAACCGGGTGGGTGGGAGTTACCTTTCCAGATTTTAACTGTCCTATCCTCTCCAGAAGAGACAATCTCTCCGGTTGGTAAAGCAGCGATTGAGTAGATGAAGGAGGTGTGTCCATGAAGCTCTTGCAGTGGATGCCCTTCTGCACTCCAAAGACGAATCGTGCTGATTAATGTCAGTATATTCACAAAAGCATACCGTCATTTTGGCAGAAGAACTTACCCGTCATTAGAGCAACTAGCAAAACCACCATTTAGAAGTCTGCACAGCCCTCGGACGACTTCTGTATGTTCGCCCAGTATTTTTACTTGTTTACCGTCCCTCCAGAGTCTTATCGTCTTATCCGCCGACCCGGTAATTATCTCCGTTTCCGAAAGCGCGAGAACAGCCCATACAGTTTGCCCATGACCTTGCAAAACGTGTTGTGTTTCGCCGTTTCGCCAAACCCGAGCGGTACTACATGATTTGTTAAAACTCCAAGCAGAAATCGGATAGAACAGGGGATTATACCCGTCCCAAGATCCTGAGACAATGATATCCCCGTAGTTATCCAATGTACAAACATTGTGGCTATGCCCTAATAACATGTATGCGGGTGGTGCATCCGAATCCTGTGCTCCAGCCAGTGGTTCTCGGGCTTCAATGATTGTGTCTTGACCACCACTAACAATTAGGCCTGCACCGATAAATATTCAGTACTTTGCCTTTTGAAAAACAAGAGATTTACAGACCACTGGGATGTTTTTGACTAGGAGGGATGAATGTTATGCTATTGACGAAAGCCTGTCCGGTAGAGTTGATGTGGTCATCGAAAGTTACAGATTGAGCATCTTTGCGTTTCCACAGTCGAACTGTTGCATCCCGAGAGACCGAGGCAATAAGATTTGGGCTTGGAAAGACGACACCACGAACCTACAAGTAGAATTACAATTAATCTTGATCTGACATTCGGGAAAGCCAAGAAACAACCACAGGGAGCTCCAGGATAAGATATGAAAGCTACTTACATCATCTTCGTGGCCTCGGAGTTGCGCGGTAAGCTTGTACATTCCTAAAATATTGTATGACAAAGTCGAAGAATCACAAAGTTTGGAGAATGATGGAGATAACGAAGCCCCTAGGTGTTCATGACAGAGGGGCAGCCTGAATCGTCATCACTTGGCGGGGCAGCTTGCTTTAGCTCTAGATGACTAAGCCTGAAACCGCCGTTTGAGGCTTAAATGTCTTATGGTTCTTCTGTCCCGGTACAGGCGTCCCCGCTCAACCTCTCTCACTCAGGGTTCAGTGCTCACCACTTAGCCAGGTACCTCACCCTCATCCACCCACTTCACCTCACGTTGTCATTCCATTAATCCACATCTGTCTAGAGCCCGGGAACATAGAGCCCAAGTTAACCCCGAGTTCTCGACGCCACGTTTAACGATTTTACGACCAAATCCATCCACCACCTTTTCCGTCACTTACCCGCGAACTTACACTCGTCTTCTATAGTACATCTCACCTGTAATTGTGTATATTTGTGAACTCTGCTCCAGTCTACTAAATTTTGCTTCTTTTTGCGGTCCCTACACATTAGACCATCGACTGCCAACCATCTCCAGAGACAACCCCCAGGGTGAACTGAAATAACTAGAATGAATTCTGGATCACCAACGATCAATCTTCCTAATAATGGCCAGAGCGCAAATGGCGGAGGCTCAATTCGTCAGTTGGCCTGGTTCTCCTAGTTTTATAGGAGTTGTCTAATCTTTCTCTGTAGAGACCCCTCGTGTTGTCCCTTTGACATGTCATGGTCACTCTCGGCCAGTGACACATCTCTCATTCTCTGATATGTTACCAGACGATGAATACTACCTGATATCTGCTTGTAAAGGTTCGGTTTCTGCTTTCTATTCTCTTTTGCTTGAGAGCGACAGGATTCCGCCGGTCAGTAGCTAACGAATGTGCTCCAGATGGCAATCCAATGATTCGGGATGGTATCACAGGTGATTGGTGAGCTGATTCTATTTATGAATGCTGGTTGGATTAAGCTCAATTTGGTTCACATCCCAGGATCGGAACTTTTCTCGGCCACAAGGGTGCAGTATGGCAGGCACGGCTGTCAAACGATGCAAATCTTGCAGCTACTGCTTCGGCAGATTTCTCGGCGTAAGCTTCAACTAGCCCGTGCTATCAAGAGTAACATGCAAATTTTGATCATCGAATAGAAAGGTTTGGGATACATTCACAGGAGAGTGCCTCCAAACCCTGGTGCATAACCATATCGTCCGCACGGTCACTTTCGCTCCAAACCCTACTCATATAGCAACTGGTGGCCCGGAAAAAAAACTCCGAGTTTATGACTTGGCCCACTCAGACACCCCCATGGAAATTGGTACAAACGTACATACTGGAACCATTAAATCGCTCGTTTGGTCCGACAAAAATACAATCGTCTCGGGATCAGATGACAAAAAACTGCGTTGGTGGGATATTCGATCTCGAGAGCTGGTATCACAATTTGATATGGGCGAAGTTGTCACTTCTTGTGAGCTAAGCCCGGAGAGGACTCTGATCAGCGCAACGGCAGGGAAGTCGGCGTATTTTTTCGACACACAGAGTATGTCACTCATTAAAAGTATTACAACGGAGTATGAGCTTTCGTGTGTAGCTTTGCATCAACAAACACGAAAAATGATAGCGGGGACAAGCCAGGACACTTGGGTCAGAGTGTACGATTACGATACTCAGGCAGAATTGGAGGTTTATAAAGGACATCATGGAAGTGTTTGGAGCGTTGGCTTTTCCCCAGACGGAAAGTTATATGCTACAGGTTCCGAGGATGGAACTATCAAACTGGTAGGAAAGCGCCTCCCAATGATTGAATGATTTATTTTCTAATTTCTCGTGCAGTGGAAATACACAAACCAGCCTTATGGGCTATGGAAATGATTGGTTGAAGTGTAATCGGCATTCAAGGAGGTATCGGGTATTGGCAGTTATAGGTTATTATATAACTAGCATTACTGGATGGATGTCTGCCAAGTCTTAACGAAGATACGAACGAACCAGAAGTTTTGAGTCAGGGACAACGCGGTCAATGATCATTAGATTGATTTTGGATATCCCTTTAAAGCCTGAAGCCTTGTGTATCTATAAATAGTAACCAGAGGTGAATGAGAAACGATCAAGCCATACGTCATATAGACGGTTTAACAAGTTCTATATTTATGCCTTCTGGCCTATCTGGCTCTTCCGACTCCAGATTAGGTTTTTGGTGGTATACTCTACAAATACATCTCAAGTCTCTTGGATATATTGGAGCATCACAAGTCCCAATGGGGAGAAAGAAAGTCACACAGACCAAGGCACAGCAAGTAAACCCTAGAATGGATTGAATAGTAGTTATAGACCTAGAACTAACGACGGCCAATCTCCTTGATTTGGAGCTCCGATAATGCACGGGCAGGAGAGGTCTATCGTAACTAGATCATCATTTGCGGGGCATCAATATACTAATTTGATAAAGAGGCTTCACCTGTCATCCCCATATCTCTCCTTCCGAGTAATCTCTGTTCTTTCTCGATCTTGATGGCGGATTCTACCCTTCTCTTCATTTATATCTTTTCCTTGTCCTCGCTCCCTCTCTTTATGCCCGTCTCTGATACCCCCTCCTTCCCTATCATCACCCCGTTCCCTTCGTAAATCTCTGTCTCTGACTCGATCCTTATCACCAACCCGATCTCGATGTGCCTCCCTAACATTGTCCCGTGGACGACGGGTCTCCTCAATTGCTTTCGTAGAATGTCGGCGATCTGCTGACCGAGACCTATGGCGCCTGGAAGGCTCTCTAGACCGGCTCCTATGTCGATGTGATCGGTGCCGGTGTTCGTTCTTGCTGCCCCTTCCACTATGGTGTCTATGTTTTGACGATTTCTTGACCATTTTTAGTTTCTCGAGTGCCTTCTGGACTTCCTCTTTCTTCTCGCGAATCAGGTATTCTTTCATTGGATCGTCCTCGTCGTGCTCTCGAATCAACTTCTGCAACTCCAACTCTTCTTTCAGAATCTCTCGTGAAGGTGCCTTTGTTCTCCGGCCACTTTCATCTTCGGAGCTACCATCGCCTCTTCTTCTTTTTACAGGTCGTACTTGGTCGTCTTCATTCTTAGCCTTGGTCCCAGCGTTCGCATGGGAATTTTCATCAACCACCTCCCCTTCCTTTGGTTTGTATCGGGTATGGTCGACCCTGATTATTCTTCCTAAGATTGTGGCACCGCCGAGGTTGTCCACTGCCAAATTGGTGCTTCTCTGGTCCTCGTATTTCAAAAAAGCAAAGCCTTTACTCTTACCGGTGTCCTTATCACGAACAAGGTTGACATGTACAGGCTCACCAAATTGGGAAAATATGGTGATAATGTCTCCTTCACTAAGTTCGTATGGAAGGCCACCGATGAAGACGTATGCGGTATCTGACCAATCTGTGTGCCATGATGCAGAAAGTGGCTAGATTGAGGATTAGAATATTAAAGAGAATCGAGGAACTGAGATAATACTCACGACACCGGCTTCGAGTTCACGCTGGTTGAGAGCCTCTATAGCGCGAATATTGTTCATTGTTTACTTTTCTAGTTGGGTTTGGGTTTGTGACAGGAGCTCACGAACGGGATTCAATTCAGAGTTGGTACTTGCGCTAGCTTTGCATCAAATCATGGCGCGTCACACACGCGTGCGTCAGATGAGTGACAGGGGGTGCATCAAGAGTTAAAGGTTACCCGGCTGCCGAACACATACGGGCCTAGTCCGGCAGAGGTGCATTTTTAAGTTGCAGATTAAATCAGGGTCCAAGCTGGTCAGAGTTTATATGTCACAAGCCATGGGGAAATTTGCAAACAGTGTACCAATGGGAAACAAACAGTATAGAACATAAGAGGAATGTTTCAGGTGCCAATTCTGAAATTACTGTCATGATGGGGTCTATTTTCACCAGGTAAATAATAAAAAGTGATGATCTTCCTGTGGTCGGGGACTGCCAAGGCTCGCGGGAAAAGGGGCTTCTGCTTGTTGATGCTGGCTCTCGTCTCCAGCGTCTCCAGAATTCTGAACACTGCAACCTCCTCTCCCTACTAAGCCAGACTCACTCCGTCTGTCTTTCTGCCCTCACCACCCACCACGACCTCCAACCTCTCCCTTTCCTTTTCCTCAACCTTTCCTCGTCTTGCCTGACTTACTGCCCGTGCCTTGACGTGCTTTGTGTGCTTACCTACCTAGCTCCCGTGGCCGCTCTTCCTAATTCATTAACAAACCCCTGAGACCCGTGTTCCTACACATCGCCTAGTCATCTACCACACCATCATGTCTTCTCCTTTGAGTGCTGTAGGTTAACCCTGAACTTCGTCAACACCACCTGCACATCCTGCCTTCCCCCTCCCCTCCCTCGATCCTCATTTCATCATCTATCACCATTATCATAATACTCCTACTCTCTTCTCTATCTCTAGCCTTCTTCTACAAGTCCTCTACACATATACACTAAGAACCTTCGCGTCTCAATCGCCCGCCCCTAATTGAACCGTGTTCTACTGCCTATCAGAGCAGTCCCGCTAACAATGCTCTCATCCCGACAGATCCGCAGGAAGAAGAATGTCAAAAAGGGTATTCAATTCTGCCTCATGGTCTGCGGTGCCTCGGGAACAGGTACAATCCCCTTTCTACAGCTTCAATCCCCCCATATTTGGCGTAGGGAATTGTTTCCCACCAAGTATAGCTAGTGCTATGCTGACATCGTTTCCTCCAACTAGGCCGCACCACTTTTGTAAACACTCTTTGCGGCAAGAAGGTCTTGCAAACCAAGGACTGTGATGACTATGCCAATGCACACGTTGAAGAGGGTGTACGAATCAAGCCTGTCACTGTTGGTACGCTATATTGTATCTAACTCTAGCCCCTAACAGCTTGCTAATCGGGCCAATAGAGCTTGAGGAGGAGGGAACTCGCATATCTTTGACTATCGTCGATACCCCCGGATTTGGTGATCAAATCGATAACGAGGCCAGGTGCGTTCTGAATATCATACCGCCTTTATTTCTATCCTTGTTTTAACAATTGTTTTGGTAACAGTTTTGGCGAAATATCTGGCTACCTCGAACGTCAGTACGATGATATTCTCGCCGAGGAGTCCCGTATTAAGCGTAACCCTCGATTCCGCGACAACCGTGTTCACGCCCTTCTTTATTTTATCACACCAACAGGTCATGGGTATGTCCGTCTTGCCTGTATTTCGTGAAAGATATCTCTAATTTTATCGCTAGTCTCCGTGAGCTGGATATTGAACTAATGAAGCGCCTTTCTCCCCGCGTTAATGTCATCCCTGTCATCGGAAAGGCGGATGCTCTTACCCCTGCAGAACTCGCAGAGTCCAAGAAGCTCGTGATGGAGGACATCGAGCATTATCGCATTCCGGTCTATAACTTCCCATATGACATTGAGGAAGATGACGAGGATACTGTTGAGGAAAATGCCGAGTTACGTGGCTTGATGCCTTTCGCTATTGTTGGAAGCGAAGAAATTGTGGAGATTGGTGGTCGCAAGGTCCGCGCCCGACAGTATCCATGGGGTATTGTCGAGGTTGATAACCCAAGACACTCCGATTTCCTGGCAATTAGGTCTGCTTTACTGCATTCTCATTTGGCCGATTTGAAGGAAATCACGCACGATTTCTTGTACGAAAATTACAGAACCGAGAAGTTGTCAAAGTCTGTAGAGGGTGGTACATCTGCGTATGTAAAACCCAAAACCCACACCCTAGTAGAAATAATTGCTGACTAAACGAAAGAAAAAGCTCTATGAACCCTGAGGACCTTGCTACGCAATCCGTCAGGCTTAAAGAAGAGCAGCTCAGACGTGAGGAAGAGAAACTTCGAGAAATTGAAGTCAAGGTTCAGCGTGAAATCAACGAGAAGCGACAGGAGCTACTCGCTCGTGAATCACAACTCAAGGAAATGTAAGCTTTCTCCATTTGACCCCTGCCCCTGATTATACCAAGGGTGTCTAATTTATGGCTGGATTAGTGAGGCAAGAATGACTCGTGAACACAATCAACCAATGGATGATAAATCAAATGGTGATGTCTAGACGTTCTACCTAAAGACATCTAGAGAGTTTGGAGCACTGTGAATTTCTTTTATGGTGGAGATTTAAACCGCTAGGAAGGCAATAATCGGTTGTTACCAAGCAGTTGGGATGAGGCGCGCTTAATTACGTTATAGGATGGATGGAAAGCATGAGAGAAAAATAGGTTGAAGGACATGTTGGGGAGCAGGGTTATTTTCTTCATGTCTTCCAATTCAAAGGGTGTTTTGATAAACACACCTTTTTGGAAGGGGGGGGGGGTTAGGTGGCTCTCCTGTCTTTGGCCTCTATTTTGTCTCTCTTTTCAGCTCTACAATTTTGCGACCTTTCTTCTTTATTTCCTTTCAAGTACGTTTTTTACTAGCTCATTATCGATACCTACCTAGGGGCTTATTTAATTCTTCTTCTTTTCGTTCACTTTGTTCCCTTGCCTATTTTCTTTGTCTTTCTATGTGCAAGGCCCTGGGAGCATCACCGCTAAAATTAGGGCGCAATTTTTCCTCCTTGTCCACCGACATCCTTCGAATTCATCAACTCTCCATATGTTTATCTTTTTTTTATTTGGTATGTTGCTACATAGGTCTTGAAACCAGGGAGATCTTTTGAACGAGTGTCACAGAGTATTTAGTTATTCTTACCTACAATGCTTGCCCTACTCGTGCTGTAGCTACTGTAAACACATTTACTGTACAATACACCCTGTGATTCATTTGTAGTTAATAAAACCCCGAGACAAAACTCGCGGGGTGCTGTGTTGCGGACCCGTAGCCATTCAAGTATCATCAACATTGGGCCAGAACTTCATATATATATGGTGCGCACACTCTTAAAGGTGAACAATCGTGGCTGCAAGATGAACTCCAAGGCCAATGAGAGGGCTTATTCCTAGCCACTTTGCTGCATTCCTGCCGCAATTCACTTTTGAGGAGGTATAAATGGGTATAATACTGTTCCACTTTGCTCAGTCTTGGCGCCTTTTACATACAAAAATCCGCAACTTCAAACTCTTATAACTTTTTAACTAAAGTAGATATCAAAAATCTGGAAATAAAAACTAAAGTTCATCACTAGTACTACACTTTTTATTTACCGATTTTTTTAAATCTCTTTTTTGGCAAAGTTATAAGCCTTTGACTTTTCGCCCCGATTTTTGTCACCTTTAGGAGTGGGCCCACCATACATGTATATATGTTTTACCTATTCACCAAATAAATGGTTCTATAGTCGAATCTTGTCTATGGTACACCTAGCGAATTCAGGGTTAGGTTTTCTTAATTGATGTTTTCTAACTACATGGTAGATATAGTGGACAAGAAGGATACAAGTGGCCGTGCCAAGCCCACTGCTTATACCAACAGTCGCTTACATTATCAACAGCCATCAGATTACCCGACACTCTACGAATCGCTTCCTGATGCAGTGTGTCGCAACTACATGTAGAGTAGATACATGTAGGTACTTAGAGTACATGTATGTACCTCCTCTAGCTACTCTCTCAAATACCAGCACGCACTAAAACCCAGGCCAATAGGGTATTTCACATCGGGATTGACATCTAAACCAAAATCATGGGTAGGGCAATGTTTTTTCGATGGAGATTCGTTACTTGATCAGGAACCGAGAGCCTGTTTCTTGGACTGTTAGCCGTTTAGAGTAAAGTAGCGCTAGTGTACCAAGACCCGATCCATGAGAATTCCAGTTCATACAATTCAACTGATATTGCAGTATAAAACTCAACGGCAACATAGGAAACCGCTACCAGAGAGGACAGAGAGAGTGAGAATACATAGAGCCAAAGAAAGGAAGGGAAACAGACGGATTCAGAAAAGGGTATATTGCTGTTTCCCCCCATTGAGTAATGTAACGATCCTAGAGTGATACTAATTATGTAAAGAAAGGAAAAAGAGAAAGCGAAGATAGAAAATAGAGGGAAAATAGAGACAAGAAACAAGTCCAACTCGCTTTTTCCCTAAACGAACGCTGTAGGCCGCGATATATATACAAACAAGAACACACTACATTATTATCAATGCAATATAAAGAATATATAAAAATGAAAGGTGAAAACGAAAGTATGAGGACAACACCGACCGCCCAACTAACCCAAGCAAGCCCTGTGTTTTATGCTTGCTTGAGTTCAACTCATTTCAACCAATGGAATAATTCCAATGATCGCCAACAAGAAATGCTGCCCGCGGTGACTATAATGACGATTGCGAGGCCAAGTAACAGTGAGGAAAGAAGTGGTAAAAGAGATTGGAGAGAAAGGAAAGAAAAGGAAAATGTCACATGACATACAAATGAGAGTGTAGCCAGCTCTTCCTAACATAGAACCCAAAACGAACCCGCAGAACATTTCATCATAACACCGACTCTTGCAGAATCCCTGCCAATAACAAAACCCACTCAACGCCATTTGATAAGTCGATTCATCCTCCTTAGATGGCTTAGAGCAATAGAAATTGTTCATCCTATTGTCGTTATCGGACTGCTGGCATCTAATCTCCTGCTCTCCGCCTCTGCTGCTGCCGCACCCCTTGCGATTTGCATTTGTCTTCCATGTCGGGGTTTGACTTTTCCGTCGCTTGCGCCGGCATTATTATTCGTGAAGTCCTTCCACTTTCTCCACCCGTCAAAGTCGATCAATGCTTGCATGCAGCCCCATTCAGTTACCTTCCTCTCTAACCAGATAAAATTTACAGGCTGTTTCATCATCAGTAAATAAATAGTGGGAGGAATGATTGGAAACATAAACCCACCTTAGTTAAGAAATCGTTACAACCAGCTGCTAATGCTTCATGACGATCGCTTTGTAAAGAGGATGCAGTAAGGGCGACAATAATAACAGGCGATTTGAAAAGGATAGAATTCGGGAGCTTGTCCTCGTCTGAAAGTACTGCATTCTTAGGAAGAGGGGGATCCTGGAATCCTATTGAGTTGACTCGTTCCAACCGGCGAATCTCTTTCGTGGCTTCCAGCCCGTTCATAACGGGAAGCTGAATATCCATCAGCACTAGATGAAACCCGCCTGCCCGCCATTTCTCAACTGCTTCCTTTCCATTCATCGCAGACTGCCATCGGACTTTGAGACGTTTCATGAATGCCTCTAAAAGCCGTAGATTAATAACATTGTCCTCGACGATAAGGACGTTAATTGGGGGCACGGCTCCATCGGGTAGTAATCCTGCAGGGGATGCGTGCTGCTTCTTATCCTTCTTGATTCTAGTTGATAACGGTGATGCTACACGCGCTGGGGGAGGCGTTTGGACCGTCTGGGGGATATCCTCAGTGGGCGGTGTAGGAATTGGTGGTGGGGGAGGAGGCTGGTCTCGATTGGCCGCATCGGAATTGCCTCTCGAGCGAGCTCGCATGACTGATCCCGCAGCAGTCACGCCTGGGCCTGGAGCATGTATGGTTGGCGATGAAGTTGCCAGCCGTCTAGTACCAGGCCGAGTTGGGCCTCTCCGAGTTCCGCCCCCTGGCGATCCTGGAAGATTCGATACTTGGCCAGTGGTCAATACAGCGATTGAGGGGCCTGATAGAACATTTTGTGGGCCACCGTTCATTATTTGTGATTGGTTATGAGAAGATGGCACCAGAGGCATAGGTGGGAAGTACTCGTTACTCTCGATACCTAGGTGAGATTCGTGTGTGGAACCGTATGCATAGGTATGGGGGGACGGTCGAGGTGTCTTCCGCAACGGAAGAGGGGGCACATCAATGACCAAGGCTTCATCGATCGACTGGCCACCAGGAAAATATTCATCGAGAGTGTGTACAAGTGTCTCATCTGGGTTCAACATTCTTTCCACGGAGATGTGATTATTGTAACCATGGTGATTATGGTTCTGGTTGTGATCCAGAGAACGTGGCCTTGGATGCCGTGGGATAATTCGCAATGTAATATCCGGGGCATCATAGCTCCTCCCCAAGGCGTTTTGATATTTCTTCAGAACCACATCCCTTACATCATCCACCATATCCTCATTGCGGACACTGACAGTCGTTGGTGATCCACCTGGCCGTTTCACCCAAACCTTCCTGATAGGCATCTCTGGGCCCAGTGTAGCAGGCGTAGGAAGAGGGTGAAAATCGACGGGTGCCGAGTGGAAGTTATTATTTGTCGGGTTCTCTTCGGGAACGGGCTGCTGTTGTTGGTTGTTGCCGTCGGGATCTAGAAGGTTCTGAATTAGAGCACCCTCTGTGTTCGGGAACAACGATTGCCTTCGGACAAGTTGTGATGGACGACGGATGTACGCGGCGTTTTGTGCTTGATGTGTGGAGTGTGGGAGAGGCTGCTGGAATTCGGGGCGCGCTGCTCTGCTTTTCTCTTTTCTCGGCGGCTGAAAGGGAAACGCCGAGTCTGCTGCTTGTGGTGATGCTGGTGTGACGACTGGAGTAGTAGTAGTAGTAATACTGGCGGCAGGAGATGCGACGGGGGAAATTTCGGGAGTAGAATGTGGTGAGCCCTGATCGCCGTTTTCAAGGGATTTCGAGACGAGTGGAGGCTCTGAGGGCGTCGGCGGAGATGGTAGAGATGGTAGTGGAGGAGTGAGTTGTGTTGGAGGACAAGGAGTCGGCTGCTGCTGCGTTGGAGAGTTTTGAGATTTTGGCGCGCTTGATAATATTATTACTGCTGAGCCGTTACGAGATGAACTTCCCGCTGTTCCCGAACCTTCCCCCCTCGGTGCAGTAGTAGTACTGTCAGTAGAAGTAGGACGTTCGCCTGGAGCCGACTTGATGCTTGCCCTGCTCTGGTGATCGTTCTTGATCTCCACGGCATTCGAGGACGAACTGCTTAACGAGAGCCTTGCCGTTAGAGGCGAAGATGATCGCTCTAATCGCTCGGGAGGCTGTGGGGTAGAGTGTGAATTTCGACGCTTCGTGATGTATGCTTGAACATCTAGCACTCGCTGCTTCAATCTCAAGCCCGGTATCGGCATCTCCCCCAAGCGGTCCCGGTCCTCTCCACGTTGTTCACGCTCACTCTGCTCTTCACAACAACGACGCTCACGCTCAAGACGGGAGCTCACACGGCTACTACTGCTAGTAAGAGTAGTAACAGCAGTGGTAGTAGCAACAACAGGAGGAATATCTGAGTTGGAATTCGGCTTCTTCGACTCCGACTTGGAGCAGCAGCACGAGTCTAAGCAGCAAAAGCGGCAGAGACGGCGCTGGAATCGAACACAGCAGAGCAACAGTGTGAAACTCACCAGATAGCAAGCAGAAGCAGTAAAAAGGAACGTCGAGACAATAAAAAACAAAACTAAACAAAAAAGAAAGAAATCAAAGGAAATTGTTGAATTTGAAAAATAAATAAAAATGAGTGGACGGGGTCCGGCAGAGCTGCTAGTACTACTGCTGCTGTCCCTTGGAGATGACTGATGAAAGGAGACGAGAGGGCATGTCCGAACGAAGGGCCCTCTTTTTTTTTCGCTTAGATGCCAGTTGATGATCTTCCAAGATCTCACGGGAAGGCCAACGCAGAAGTCAACAGGGTCCGTCAATTGATCGAAGGTAGCTTTGCTGCTGCGTCTGCCAGCGTAATATAGATGGGGGAAATCTGGAGAAAGCACCTGGGATATAGATGGATGGAGATCTGCTTGGAGTAAAGGTGGTGGGGGAAAAATAGTGGGTTTTCGACTTCACGTCCTCTTCCACTCTAACGGGTTCTAAACTTGGAGGTTTTGCTGTTCCTCTACTTTTCTGTATGTTCTTGCTTGCTTTACGCAACTTGCCTACTTGCTTGATCCTTCTTTCAACAGACGCATCATAACCAGTAGGTACATCATACATACATGCAACAACCACCAGACCCAAATCTCCCTCCTCCTACTCCTCCACCCTCCCTAAAAATATGAGATACCAGTCCCGAAATTAAGCCGCAAAACCGTGGGAAAGACCTCTGGAGAAAGAAAGAAGTACCTGTCTCTCGAAAAATAAAAGTGAGAGAATTACGAATTACGAGGTATGGATCAACAGACTGCATACCTCTCTACCCACAGCGACAGACAGCATGCTGCAATTGAGCCACCCCCGTCCTTCTCCCCGTTCGACTTCTCATCCCGGTGGCTGCCGATTCCAGCCAAAAAGACTGATCTGTACTAACTGCATTTCGGGCCCTCCTGCAATCTAGTGGCACAACCGCTAGAGTAGCTGTCGCTGTCCATCATCTCGGTTTCCTTAATTATTTTATCCCTCTACAAGCTAAACGTGGACTTCCCCCGCAAGAGGTACATATGTATGTAAGTCTCATGGATAATTGAAATCGCCATGTCGAACAACAGTGGCAATAGACAGCATACGCATCCCTCTCTTTTCCTCCAGCCACCACCTTTTGCCCTGTCAGTTCTGGTTGTCTGGCTGGCTGTCTGGCTATCCTTGATTGGATCCCGCACGTATCCTCCCACCCATCCAAGTGGCAACTTCAACTCCGCAACAAGAACCCCATACACGATCTGAAGCCTTGGTCAAGACGCCAAACGAGTCTAGTTAGGCGTGCAAGAAAGAAAAAGCCCACTCGCGGTGCGCAATGTACATGGCAATTACGAGTTTTCGTAGTGCACAGATGTGTCGATTATTTGACAACCCAAGGCTTGTCGAAATAAAAATCGATCTTGCTCTGGCTCTGGCTCTGACTCCGCCTTTGTCTGTGTGTTAGTACCTCTAGGCATGGCATGTAAATTGACATGACAACCCTCCAGGGCTCAAGGGTTCGGCCGGAGATGAAAAAGAACTCAGACAACAAACGTGGCAGTGGCGAAACGGACGTCAAGTGAAACATCATCTTTAGGGATCAAATCTTGATCCGCTCGCCCTGGCCTTGGGTGAAATGATCAATTTTTTTTGGCACGGGTGAGGCGCGATCGCAGTCGCATATAGACATGTAGTTATAGGGTGTGTATGCGTACGTATTGTAAGTAGGCAGGTAGGTAGGTATGGTAGAGTGTTAGAGTACCTAAGGTATGGGCAACCCGGTCATTTGGTTATTTGTGCGTTTATGATCTTCAGAAACCGCTGGCAATACTGACTCTTCCCTCATGCCAACGATTCGGATCGGATTAAAGAAGTCAAGGAAGGCTACGAAAGAGCAAATACGACGACGGAGCCCCATCGCCGCCCCAATGCCATGCCGATAAAGCATGTGTCCAGGTTTAGAAACCCAATAAAGGACCTATGTGCCTATATAACCAGAAAACAAAAACCGTTTGGCGGATGACTGCATTCTTATTAAGAGGTACCACAAAACGTCGACAAAAGAGACTCGAGCCAGATCTACAAACCGTTAAGAGAGTCCAGATCTAGGTTCATACGTACGTTCAACGGCGGGCGCAGGTAGCTAGCCAGCCAGTCACGACTAAGCGGAATGATAGTGGTTCGCCATTGTCGCTGTGTGTTGGTTCCAGGCCGGAAGATAGAGTAGTAGTAACCTGAGGAGTTTGGTGATTGAGGTTAAGTTCGACCGGAAACCTGCAGTCCACGTTGCACAAATAGAGTAGGGAATATGCTATCGGCAGGGTCTAGAGTGGTACCCTACCTATATCTTTGCATGTGGCCTATGGAACGACGGTTTTCTCTATTCTGACCACTCTACATACATCATGTACTCATTCACAAGTGGCGCATGTCATTTTGGCGGACATTCTGAATCTGCCAATTACATATCATATGTAGTTTATATTTTTCTTTCCTTAGTTCTTTGCAGAGCTACTCTAGGCCGATTGCTTCCCAGACGAGCGAAAAGCGACAGATCAGAAATATTACCATTCGAGTTCAAGCAACAAATAGTAGGCACGTAGAGTATATGTACGCACTTTCCAGCATCCCGTAAGTACATATGGGTACATGTAGAGTACCCTCCCACTCTACCTCCAGTAGAGATATGCACATCCCATCCAGCAAATCCCTTCCTCCTTTATGCCACAGTTGCGGCTCCTCGACATCCACCGCCTTTCAACGGGCGGCGCCTTTCACAAAAAAGCTTAATTCTATTTCACACCATCATCTGAATCACATGAGGAAGGATCAGCAACCCCAGCCCCACGCGGTAAAGTTGTTTGCAAGCGAGGCCCAATCAATGGGTGTTCCGTTAATTGCGGGCCTAGCAGGGTGTGGGATTGGGTTAGGGAGCTTCTCGCTAGGAATGCACGGGCAAGACTCTAAAAGTAGTTGCGTTAGGCGGTGGACCCTGCTTGCTTGCTTGCCTCCTTGTGTGATGTGTGCTGCGAAGTGCTGAGAGTGCTGAGAAGTCTTACATTCTGCTAGGCACTCTACATAAATACATGTATATATCATGCTCTATTTGCCCCATGGTGCATCGGTGCTCCCTTGGCCATGTACCTACACAGGGGATTCTACGAGGTAGGAAAGAAGGAGGCTTGACTGATTGAGATGCTCCGGTCCGGAAGAGCTGTTGATAGCACGTGGATCTGGATATGTAGGTATCTGCTCGCTCACTCTCTCGCACCGGCTCTACACGGTACTGTCCATCGACCACTATATATCTCATAGTACCCACATGTTTCCCCCCTCCTCTGCGGGACCCATCAGCCTTAGTTTATGTGATAGGGCAAGATACCAACATCCAGAGTCTGCCTTCCTCTGCCTAGGAACTCTGATGCGAGGGTGCGAACAAAAGGAGTGCAGCGAGCATTGAATCTCGAAGGGCCCTGGGGGGTCTCGACCACGGAGATTGATCAAAGGGCCCCCAACAACATCCATCGACAAGAAGCAACTACATATTTGAGTAGTGAAAAGCATTTTTTGTTCTTTCTTTCACGGGTGTTATATTGCTGTAAAGATGCCCAATAACATGTTCATCATCATGGGCTCCCCTCGAAAAATCCCAGCGACCAGTTTCTAAGCACTTCCCCGCCGGCGCTTGTGGATTTCGCAAAGGGTGAGACAACATTTGGCTATCGAGGATAGAGAGAGGGGTGATAGGGTGCGTAGGGAGTGGTCCAGTCATCCTTTCCCCCGCCTCCCTCATCTGCCGGCGCGCGCGCTCGCGCGTTCTTACCTGCCTAATTGCCTAGCTCATCGCATTAGGCCTGGGTTCAGTCATTGGCTTCATCTCAGACAGAGAAAGCGTAACAGCCAGATGCGTAATTGGAGTAATTGTACAATATGTAGGCATGTAGATCACCTTGATGTAAAATCTTTGTGAGAACTCTATAAAGTAGAGTTGGTTGGAAACAGTAGATCTAGAGCTCCCCAGATCTAGAGCGATAGGGTTATTTTGGGGTAACCAAAAAATAAAGTATCGTACATGTAGTATGTAGTGGTAAATTCTAGTAGTAACAATGACCGATGACCGTTGCAAAACCTCTTTAGACCTCATTTCAGCACGCGCGACACACTGAAATCACCGACGAACTCACAACATGCGTTAAAAATAAGCCGTTTAGATATTAAGAGCGAAATTGTATCCCTCAGACTACATGTAGTTCTCATGGCTTACATTACAATTCTGTTATGATATATACTTTTACACTTGTTTGCCCATGGTTAGAGCATCAGAACCCTTTAAAGATTGAGATCCCGTGAGGTCTCTTTCTTTCATTTGCGCGCACTCCTGTAGTATTTACATGTATATATATTGTCTCTTTCATTCATCTCCTTTTCGTTCCCCTCACACATTTAGTATTACACACGGAAAGAAGGCTTCCTCAAGCTATCAATCTCCACACAGGCAAGACCAGAAGGTATCGTTCCAGCCTATGATTCGTCCCCTCCCTCCCCAAAGTCCTAAAGTGCAAAGTCATCTTAAAGGGTGCTTTGGCAGGCAATCATCTCTCCCTTACCCCCAGTCCCTCCACTCACTCCATCCCATCCCCCATCCCATCCCTCCATCCCATATATCCGCCCTCCCCACCGTACCTTTGCGTTCACACCCACCACACCCTCTCACTCACTCACTCACTCACTCCCAGATTTGCATACTTTACGCCCTTCCTTTGATTCCTTCCCTCTCTAGGTATGTACATTGTTTTTCTCTCTTTAATCACTGTGCGCGTCCTCTGATCAACACCATGCTAACTTTACATTTCCGCGCCAGACTGAGCATCGATACTCGAATCGTCGGATAGCCCGCGTGAAACCCGGCATCGCTTACCAGGACAGCTGCCCGCGTGCGTGCTCGCTCGCCTACCTACATCCTACTGCCTGCCCTGCCTAGCTGCATTGTTGCCAGTCAAGTCAGTGTGAGTCCGCATACACCACCACCACTTTACCTTACCCTTTGGCGAGTCCCACCACCACCTCCACCACCACCACCGACAGACCTCAACCCATAACCAACAAGTTGTTTCGCGCCTCGCTCTGATTCTCCCCCCCCCATCCTCTCATTTCCACTCACTCTAAACCTCCACCCAACCATCGCGCAGTCCCTAAGTAAATCCCTCCCTCCCCTCCCCCCGCTATTACCACTTTGCTTTGTTTTTGTTTTTGTTGTCGCGAAAACCCCTTCTACATTTCCTACCTTCGATAGCCTGCATTGCCTATATTTTATTACTATTTACTATCCTATCTTTGCCTATCTGTCGCGCAAGGCTTACCCCTTCTGCGCAATCCGTAAAGGATCTAAACCAAAAACCGCCGTTTTTTTTTTTTTTTTTCTCTCTCTCTTTTTCTCTATCGTTTTTTTTTTTTTTTTTTTTTTTTTTTGTGATTGTTGTCGCAAGTTCTACGTAGTCGTCGCCGTCTGTCGCTCTGCACTGCATTGATCTGCATCAGGGACCGACCGACCAGCGCGCGCCTCAACTTCGGTTGGTTGTTGTTTCTTTGAGCATCGTTACTGTTTGGACCCGTGGGTTCTGTCGCGAGCAATCTCAGCTAACTAGAACTCCCCGTCCAGTCCCTACAACCCCTCCACACTCCCCCCACATTGGGCGCGGCGCTACTACAACGCGATCGCTTGTTTTTGTTCGGATCAACCCAATAATCCCAGTTGCAGTCTAACTCCAACCAACGGGTCCAACACAAAGAAAATACTGTATCCAAAGAAAGAAATAAAGGAATCAGAAAAAAAAGAAAAAAAGAAGAAAAAAACACAGCAACCAAAGAAGGATACTATTTTCTTTCATTAAACAACTACATACATAACATACATACATACAACACCCATAGCGTAATAGCATAGCAGTGCATTGTCGACACAACGCGCCCTTTATTTATAGTACTTTCTATTACGCATCAATTTAATATTATTTGGCAATTATTCCCCGGGTGGCAGCCCGCGAATTACTCGATATGATGGCCTCCGCAATATCAGATCGGGCCTGTGGTGTTATCGGTGGTAATGACAGGTCTTACAGTGTCAACGGCAATGGTGGCAGTACCGGCGTCATCGGAGGGGGTACCGGAGGGGGTATCGTTGGAGTTATCGGTGGAAGTACCGGAGGACATCCTTTCGAACCCTTCTACCCTTTTAGCCAAACCCGGAGCGGTATTCTCGCATCTACTCCCCGGGGCATCTCCCCCGAGACTCACGCCCCTAGTGAAATCCGCAGCCCACCACCTGGGTTTGAAAACATTGTCCCTGAGACTTCGCAGTCTCATTCGATCCGGATTAAGAATATACCGTCTAGTATGACCCGTCGTGACATTTGCAACATCTTGTTGTTCGCAAAAGACATCCAAGACGTACGCATGATCAGTGAGGGCGCAGTAGCAGTGTTCGGCTCTTATGAGAGCGCAGTACAGGCACAACAGTGCTTGCATGGTAAAGCAGTGGACAGCTTCGGAGGTACAAGTGTATTATCGGTACAGTTGGTGGACAAGGACAGGGAGCTTATGGATTTGGGTCCATTATCGCCCGGATCGTCGCCGACATCGGAGGGATTGGGAGGCGGATACACAACTAGCCATCCACTGTTTTCGAGGACGGTTGGGGTTGGAGCCATTGGTAGCAATGGTGGTACTGGACATATGAACGGAAATAATGGCGGAAGTAACGGTGTGATTGGCGGGGGCAATGCCAACAATGGGACCGTCGGGGGAACCAGTCAAAATATCATTGGCAGTGGCGTCGGTAGTATTGGTGGAGGTGTTGGTGATAACAGCTTCTACGAGCAACAATCATTCCTTCAGCAATTGCCGCCCTACCATAGACAGGGGGCCGATTGTGATGATGCAGACGAGCGTGGAGCGGCCATGGGCCCCAGAAACAGATCCTTGACGAACCCTTTGGCTATTAACGGGCCTAGTCGTATGCCGCACCTGCCCCAGCTTTCAACTGCAGGCACGGGCTTTATGAACACGCCCCACCACATAACCTCCCCTATTAACAACAACCTGGTCTCACCGACCCCATGGTTATCAAACAGCAGTCACCCCCACCCCCGCAACCTTCCCGCTGCGAACCCTGCAGATCAGAACCCACCATGCAATACGCTCTATGTTGGCAACCTTCCCGTAAATACGACAGAAGACGAGCTGAAGAGTTTGTTTAGCCGCCAACGCGGCTACAAGCGCCTCATGTTGAAGCCCAAGCCCCAGGGGCCGATGTGTTTCGTCGAATTTGAAGACATCGATTTCGCAACCAAGGCTTTGGCTGACCTCTACGGCCGAAGTCTTTCCAATAGCGTTAAGGGAGGCATCCGCCTCAGCTTTTCCAAGAACCCCCTTGGTGTCCGCTCGTCGGGGAACATCCATGCACCTACCCCGATTGGCACTTCTCTATTGGCTGGTGGTAGTGGTACTACCGGTGGTTCTCAGTTCCCATTTACGACCGCAGTCCATAATCCTCCGGGCTTACCTGCTCCTGCCAACCGTCAGATGAGTCCCGGTGTCTATGACCAGGGTCAACCAGGTCAGGGCTTCGGAATCACTCCGTTTGGTGTTCCTGGGGGATACTATTCACACGGAAGGTAATTCAACCTTCAACCAAGGAAAAACAACTGCAAAAAAGAAAAAAAATATTTCTTGCTATATATGTGATGAGGAACGACAAACCGGCGCATTGGGTTTTAAAATTCGGTGTTTTCTTTTTTGGTAGGGGTGGGAACTGTTTGGTTCAGATTCATAGCCGGCCGGGTTTAGTCATGCGCATCAGAGTTAAGGGGGTTCATAATGTCATTGTTACGGGACTAGGTGTTTGTTTGTATTTTTCTTTTCTTTCCCTTTCCTTTCCTTTCCTTTTTTTTTTTTTTTTTTTTTTTTTGGGGGGGGGGGCGCTAGCGTTGTGATTTCCCCTGATCTCAGATCCTTCTCCTGCTCCTATTTTTATTTCTATACATGTGTCTCTCCATATGTTTATTTTCTTCAAGATCCGCACTCATCCTCTTGATAAACATCATTAGCATCAGAAGTTTTCGTGTCGGTGCTATGTTTCATTACTGTATTGGACACTAGGATTGTATGGGAAAAACTTTTTGGGTTGTGTTTTTAGGCTAGCCTTTCTGTTTATTTTTTTGGTGTCCTATTCAATAGCTTGGGAACGGTTTTTTCTTCTCTGTTTTATTTATGACACCTATGTCTTCTACCTCTATTATTTCTTGGCCCCTTAATTGGGGCAGCTTTCTTGACGGAATAAGTTCATGCCATGTCTTGTTTTTTTTCCTTCCTCTCCCTCCCCCTCTTCTATATACAGACACTGGTTCTTTCACATCTCACACTCCTTCTACCACCACCTTTCTACCAGCTTTTACAACTCGAACCCTCAGGACAGCGGAGGCTGACGGAAGAGACGAATAGCGGAGGAGATGAGGATAGCTTTGGTGCGGTCTAAGCCGCCCCGCCCTCTTGCTCACGAGTCGCTGTAATCGTGCAGGCGTGACGAAGCCTGTTTTGACGTGTTGGATGTGTGTGGTTAAAGTGTGGGGTTATGCAACAGGACTGTTGAGATGTAGGATTGGATGAGCGTATCTTTTCGTTAGTCATTTTCTTAGTAGGTTATATAGGAGGGGGCAGAACTGTAATGAGAAAGCGAGACAGGTGGGTGTGTTGCGATACAGTGCGTGTGTGTGCGCGCGGAGAGAGAAAAAAAAAAGGGGGGGGGGGGGGGTTATATATATTAAATGGCCACTGTGCTTTTCTTTTGTTTGAAACTTCGTATATGCCTTTTTCTCTTTTTCTTTTGTGAGGATTGGGATGGGTACGGGGGCCTGGTAATTGATATGGCATCATTAATGCATTTGCATGGGAAGAATGGCATTGGTATGGGGGAGCTTGTCTATATATAATGCAGAAAACGAAGGTTGGTAGTATGGCATAATGACATTCATCCGTGCGTTCATCTGTGCATCTGGGAATAACAAGAGATATCTATTATTTTTTAAATATAAACCGGAAAAGCTTCTCTAAGCCCTAGCCCTATAGCTGGCCATAGACATTAATTTAATGGAGTCTATCGATGAGCTAATAGCGGGAGACCAAATGATGCGCAAGTGTCGAGCGAGAAGCCAAGATACATGCATGTAGTTCAAGCTACGATTACAGGGCCAGAGATCTGAGCGATATCACCTAACCCACGAGGAGGGTCCAATAAGCTTCAAATAAAAGGAACAAAAAGTCAAATACTTGTTGAGGACTATATCTTTTACGGGGATGAGTGCCGATTTATTATATATTCCGCAGGACTCCCACCCTGGGATCTTACGAGTTAGGAGTCGAGTGATAATCTATGATCGCTACTCCCATTATTCATGCTCAGTGGCCCATAGCTTAGAACTACATGTATATTAAGCACTAATGCCTTGTAATGATTGCATATTGGGGCACTAGCTACGTGTCCCTCGATAAGCTTTTTAACCTATGTGCTGAGGGCTGCTAGGCTCGATAGATCTTAGGAGTGTGTATTAATTACATACAGTATCAGATCTAGAAATGGGGGTAAATATGATACCGCATCAGTACGGTATTGTAGTGTTACGGTAGTGGTACGGCATTGCCAAAGACTGCGGTAGTCGTTTTATCCATGTCTCTGTCACTGTATGTACATGTAGTCCCAGCATCACTATTGTGCGCATGCTATGAGTATCAGTACGAAAAAAAGGGTGAGATAACTATGGGAATACAATGGTAGTAATATGGTATTCTTGAAAATACCGTATTCTTCCAAATATCGATTTATTACCTATTAGCGTATTCGGGTACAGCAGGTTACCACTAGTACTGGCTGGTTTCAGGCTAGCTAGGCGCATCACCACTGATAAACTACATGTATCTTCACCATGCATGCAAGATCTGTAATTTATCTTCAAGGCTTCAAGTTTGAACACCTTCAGAATATCTACGGGAAGGCTTCCATTGTAGGATGAATCTACAAGTCTTCCTCGATAAATAAATATCTGGCGATACTTGTATATAAGAATATGCTTCAAACATGTACACAAAACACGAGATTTTGGTTAGGTAAGAAAGGTTTTAAGCAGTTCCTTAGATGCTATACTTGTAGTATTCTAGCGAGTTAAGTTCTGTATTACTATTAATTTTATATCCCTTGAAATTTGTATTCTGACTACTACACTAGCATTCCTGTTATATTTCTCGGTTTTGGTATCCTTGAGAATACATACATGTAGTTTTCGTTATAATATTTGTAACTTTATCGCGGCAGTACTGAATTCTCCTTCCTATAAGTTGCAATTGGGTATGTACTGGGATCAGCACAAACCGTGGCTGCCATCCACACCTAAATGCACAACATATACAGAGAGAAACCTTTACCACGGACGCATTAGCCCCAACGGTTAAGACGAGATGTAATGTATAGAAGGTATCGGTTGCGTCTTCAATTCTTTGTTTCTCTTAAGTGGCCTTTGCGGGTCTTTCTTACACCAGGAATCGAATCCTTTCCCCATGGAAATCCAGGGGTCTCACACAAACCCCCAAAGATTTAGGTGTTAGTAGGTCCACTTGGTCTTTGGAGTAAACCCGAGGACTAATGAATCTTTTCTGGAAGCAGGTTTGGCTTGTGGTGCGTGAAAGATAGCCCACCATTTTAGAACTGGGCTGGGCAACCTTCCCTTCGTGGGACCGAATTTCAATGATCCCATAAGGGTCAGCCTGTGATGCATACTATACGACTCTACCCAGATATTGAGGTTGTCACTACCCATAAATTCATTGATTCCGACGCAGGCAGAGGAAGTTAAAATATACTGAGTTCGGAAGTTTAGGATTCCCACAACCTACATGATTTATGGGTCAGCCTGGCCCATTTGAGAAAGATTATCAAATTGAGCCTTTGACATAAGCTCGCGATATGGTTCGAACTTTGGTAATCTATAGTCGCTGTACTGGCTTACAACCATAAAATCGTACGGAAACGAGAATAGACCAGATAAGATATTCTATCTCCCATTCCCCCAATACTAGGCGCTCCGATTAGTTTTCTCCATAAGCAAATAGTCAAGATTTCTTTCGGCGTTCTACCTTTGTGCCATTATCACCCGCCAAAGAGAATATCCTCGATGCTATTCGACCATGTCACTCGATTTCATCTAAATACCGCAAACCTTGGGGAATAGGCATGAACCGGTCCGTCTTATTGAAGGGTTCACTTTCAACCAAGTCAAGGCCCCAGCCACATGGTCGAACCAGCTGCTGCTTCTTAGGTTGCCGTCTCTTCGTGAATGAGAGCTGGTTATACGCCCACAAAGGTGGCCTCAACGCACTGCCTAGTAGCATGCACGGTTATATATAGCAATATAAATTTGCGCATGTATTCTTTGCATGTCGATGCGGAGAGATAAATAAAATCTGAAGGCGCGTGGCTCTGCCCATGGCCACGTATGAGCCATCTTACTGTACAGCGCACTGGGCCCTCTTTTGTCACATGTGAGTTACCTCTAGGTTATTGTCAGTTGCGGTGCCTGAGGTCAGTAAGGGCTAAATACTCGGTGACCTTCTTCCCGGCTTTCCAGAAGTAGGAAGCTCATGTACAGTATCAGATCGTCTTAGTACTTATAAGGCTATTCACATCAGCTGCAGAGGTTTTGATAGACATGAAGATCGGGGGCCGGATCAGTCCTGTTCACAATATTCCTGGAACTGACATGTTTATATATTAACCAATCGTCAAAATCTAATTATTTGCTAGGTAAACTACCACCAGTACCCAATAACCATACGGCATAGCAATATTCTCCGATGGGAATCATATAAATGTGTTTGACGATAACTGGTTATTTCATTATCTAACGCCCTCATATTCCAAGCAAAAGGATGCACTTCATGGGTTAAAGGTCTGTCCGGGCCACTAAGAAAATACCATTTAAATAGTTAACTGACTCCACAAGTTTCATGCAGGAATCAATTTGTGAGATAATTAATTCGTGGGATAATCAACCCTTCGTAAGATAATCAACTCATAAAGTGCTAATATTTTTAGCTAGAAGATATTTGAACAACGACCTTATTTCTTTGCTGCCCATTATGATCAATGTCTGCATGATTATATGTTTAAGCAATTAAAAAAGAGTACATTTCTTGTCTAAAATTATGATGCTTCCTTCAAAATTCAAGGGCCAGGACTCAAGATATTTTTTTCTTTTGCCATTTTCCTAGAAAATACTCCGACGAGTGATTATTTGTGACCGAGCCGTCGTGCTCGTGCATGTCAATAATCGTACACTTAAAGCTTTTTTTCTTCTCTACCAATGGTTTAATTTACCTATATGTTAGAGCTAGGACTGATATGAAAGACTGTAATGTTTCGAAGTTGAAATGTTCCGGTGAAGGTTTCCAGCGGGCTTAGCATCTGGTGTAACTTATAATCATTTAGTAATGATAATCACAAGCCAAAACTACATACGTGTAGCTAAACCCTCGCATGGTAACACAAAACAAAACAAAAAGAAAGGGGGTCCAATTTTAGTGAGATAGTCTCCCCCACCTCAGGGGGTATATCTGCCATATAATAGAGGGCA